TGGAAATGAGCCTTAGGTGTTGTTGTTCAAGGTGTTTGACGCACATGTGAATACAATCTCTGCTTCCTACTGCCCACACCAGATTTTTAACACCACATGTAAAACAGACTGAACGTACACTCATTTGGAGTAAATCAGAGCAAAGTTTGAACCAACCATTTTACTTTTACTTGCTAGATTACTTTTTTTGTTCAATCCTACAAGACTGGTGCACAACTACAGCAGTGAATGCTCATTTTAAGCCCACCCTGCAAGCTGCCTCCCTCTATTTGCAGTCTTTGTGCTAAGGTAATGCTGATACTGAACTAAGCTGACCAGCTGTTGGGCTGTAGCCTTGTGTTTAACAGACACTGGCATGGATCTTTTCCTCTAAGTCTCCATTAGAAAGCAAAATGGCAAACTGATGCTTCAAAAATTGTTTTCACAGCTAAGAGCAAATTGATGGAGGTGCTAGTGCTAACTACTCGCAGGAGAAGAGCTGAGGATGAGTGATTAGATAATAATCTGTTATTCAAATCCTTAGTACACACACCACACAGACGTGCACATACACACACATTATTTCTAAAATTTGCCCTTCAAGCCTCATTATCATTCTGAGCATCCAGGTTGTCCTTCATTTGTCTACTGGACTCTTACATCTCTCTCTCTCTCTCTCTCTCTCTCCTCAGCCTGTGTTGTGTCTGAGTGCAGAGCTGAGGGGGACGTGTTGTGTGAGGATTATGCAGACAGGCCTGTAAATCCTTCTGTAGCAGAAATACCCATGCCCCACACTGCTGCAAATCACAGCTGCACAACCTTACCATCCTACATTTAACAGGCAATCACCTGAAAGAGAGAGAAAAAAACGTATACATACCTGAATTTCTCCCTCAGTTTATTGATTTTTAAGTGAAAGATTGTTACACACGTGCACTCTTTGCCCTAAAGTTATCGATAACAGTGGTTTTTAACCTGCAGGGTAAAAAGGTTGCTCTAATTGAAACCTCAGCTGCCTCAGGAGAGCTGAACTGTGATATTCAGAGTCCAGATAGTGGGTCACCTCCCCTCTGCCCTCTGTCCCCTATATCTGCAGCACTGAGCCACTAATGGTCTCCTCAGTGCAGTGAAATGCTGTCTCTCACATCCAGCTCTCTGCTATCTTATTGTGCTAATGTTTGGAGGAAGTTCTTGAAGGACACACAGTTGCAGCTTGTCCTCACTGCTCTAGTAAATTATAGCTCAGAGCTGACTGGACCTGGCTGACAGGCAGAAAGTGACGAACGGGGTTTTATCAACAACTCTGACAAGAAAGAGTCCTCCAGACTCACATAAATATGTGAAATAAACTTTGAGAAAGTGCGACTTTGAAGTCAGGCTGTACAGTAAAAAAAGAAAAAAAAAACTCAGTATTTGAAATTCTCTTCTGTTCTTCTTATCTAGACAAAGCCGTAGTATTTCAGTGTATTTCATCTTCCTCAAAAGCCTCCATCTGCCTCCACACATGGGAACATATCTGGGAAAAAGGAATAAAGAATGATGTTGCTGCAGCAGCTCAGAAAGTGATGTTTTAGTGCCATCTAGTGGACGAAACCTGTCCTCTGAACGTCTGAACAGGAGCATATTTTATCTCAGGAGGTGACATATATGAATTGATTTCTGAAATAAAATTATTCCTCAATTGCAGATGTGGAAAACCAAGTGATTTGAATGGATAACTTTAATTGATGAAAAACTGATTCTTGTAGTTTTTATAGCTACAATAAAATAAGATGCTTTTACATGTTTTTACAAATGTGAAGTAAAAAAGACAAAGAAAGACTGTTTTCAGAATGACTGCATTCCTGCAATGACTCCAAAAATTATTTCATGTCATAGCTATTCGTTATGTTTTGTTTACTATGAAATGTATGACGAAGATTTAAAAAAGAGAGAAACTATGGTTGGTACTGGGTTTTGTTTAATAAATCTCTATAGGCTCTGACATATTGATATCAAATATCAAGGATTACTCAGAGTGGTGCGATCAACAGCAGGACGGGCTCTTGTGCTGATCTTCAACAGTCACTTGTGGCTTTGGAAATGTAAATGACTCTTTTTGTTGTGTTTGCTACAGTACATTTCCTCCTCTGTTGTTCTCCTTTGCACTGCTAATTGGCTGCTTAATGAGCACTGCAAGAGCCCAGAGTTGTCATTAGAGCTGTCAATCATGATGTCACTTCCCGTATTTTTTTTAATTGAGTATGTGGACATAAATTAGTTTATTATGAACTAAATTACAGTGACAAAAACCTTGTTTGAGACAAATGATTTGGTAGAATTAGAGCTTGATATAACTACAAGTCACTACAATCACTGCCAGCTTGGTTTTTAAATCTGAAATAAAACTAATATTTTGCTTCATAAGCTTTCTCAAGTTGGACGGTAAATTTTTTGTAGGCTGTGACGAAGTTTGTGCAGATAAACACAGCAAACATTTTATACCAATCATTCTTTACTTCAAAAACTTCAAACATGGGCTGCAGATATGGCTATGAATGTTTAAGGGCAGAATCATCATCTACCTCTGCTGTCGATATCATCCTTACTAAAAGCAAAAGTTAGGCTATGACCTCATATAAGCGATGGTCTTTCCTACCTTTGTTGGTCGTTCGCAACACAACCTTAAGGTGCATATCGCCATCTACCATACTGGACCGAGAAGGCCAAATATAGGGCAGTCCCACCTAACCACACGTGGAACTATTTGGGTTTTTCAAAGTCACAGTGATGGGAACAGCAGTTCTGTTAGATGTAGTGAATCACTAGAATCAGTTCATTAAAAAGATTTGTTCACCAAATCATTCAGCACTTGGCAGGAGGACCCTGCACCTCCAACTTTCTGAACTGATACACAGCTGAACGGTTCAAGATTCAGTTCAGATCATATTCTCCCTCAGTCACTCCTTTTAAGAGCTTGCTACAGCTGGTTAGTCTCACTCTCTTTTCATTACTTCCAGCCTAACGTTGGAAGTTTTTTTGATTGGGAACTAAATCTGTTAAAACAACGTGGAGCAAAGGTCGCCATGAAAGTGTATCCCTCAGACAAAAATGATTCCAGAGAGTGTAGTTCACTCTGTGACTCGTTCACCGAGGGATTCAGGCGTCGCCGGCTGCTCGCCTGGCAATGCTATATGCTATATCAACTGCACTGCTGACAGCTCAACTGCAGTGAGAAATGAACGAACCACTTAAGGAAGTGATTCGGTCCAGTTCGATCACTTATAAGATTCGGTTCTTTTGAACGAATCATTCGCGAACAACACAACACTACCAAGTGAAGTCTCTAGTCTCTTTGAGCAGTGGCAAGTCCAATTCAAGTCTCTAGTGGTGTCAATAAATAACAATAGAAAAGTGTTCATTCATAGAATGACGGTCTTAAAAGTTTGAAAAAAAAAATCACCCCCATGTCTTATCATGTCAAATTGATAATTTGTCACTTCGTAATTTATTATATTGAATATGTATATAAGTGAGATAAAAAGTAACACAACATGGAGGCAACATATGAGCTAAATTTCCCAAATTTAAATTTATATGAACTCAAAAAGAAGTAGTCGTTCATTGAGGCTGATATAGACACCACTGCTACTAACGCAACAATAAGTAGGCTACACACTGCACTCTGCGTACTCACGCTTCGTGCAGGCCACACACACACACCGGAACCAGAAACAGGCATACTAGTAGTAGGCCTTTGAGCGTTTCTCCTTAAACTCAGTCGGGGTATAAGTTTAGTTACAGCAATCATGGACTTGATATCAGAACATTTTTCTCTTACCTTTGTGGACTGAGCTCATCTTTGTCACTACTCCAGTACTCAAGAGTCGATGTTCTGTTTCAATCCTGGATCTCCAGAAAGGTCCTGGTTCAAAAGTGTCCACACAGAGGTAGGCTCTCTTCCTTCAACATGTTGGTGAGTTCAGCTGTTCTGTGTCTATGGATCTCTTTCTCAAAGGCTCTGTGCATCAGAACCACTAAATTTCGCTTTTGGACCGGGGTGAAGTTGGCTGAGTAAATAACAGTAAAATACTGTTTTATCTGGTTGGCAGCTGTTAAACCAAAAGTAGCGACCAACGAGTCCTTTAAATTTCGCCATTGATGATTATGTTTTTTTAAGTAACTGTTTTTACCACTTGTTGCCGTGAAGAGTAGCGAATTTGCGATCACAGAACTACTGATCGTCATTTGCTTCCGGTCCAAAGTCGCAATCTTTTCAAGAGTACCCAGATGCAGCGCCAAGATGGCGGACCCAAAGATAGAAAACCACATTTACAAAACGCAATAAGTTTCCGCATTACCTCCGATTGGCGGACCCAAAACATGAACTTTGAACTTCTGCTTTGCGATGCCAGAACAGTAGGTGGCGGTATGTACCTACACTTTCTGACGGCAAAATTTACAGAAGAAGAAGAACTCTCAGGAAGTTTGAAAAGAAGCAAGCCGTCCGCATTCATTCAATCTCACCTCCGACCACTCAAACTAACCCTAACCCTGCATTCCATTGTTTCCATCATGGGAAATCTAAGTGACGCTCTCAAATTAACAGGAACATTGCGCAGAAGATATGTCCTGGGCAATGGACTGAGAAAACGGGCAGAGATTTGGAGGTATTTGTGCATGCTCTATATTACAGTTGAAAAGTGTATAACAGCTTTCCAATGCTGTTACTTGTGGCGAACACCTTTTTGCTTGAGTTGATGCGTGCCCGCAGGTGGAATAATGTCACATGTCACACACATTTTCTGTTGTTTTGATTTATGTACTCATTCATCATTTTATGTGCGCACCTCTCCTAATCAACCCACCCATTAAATAGACAGGCACAATAGCACCATCTGCTGGCACAAAAAATACATAACAATAAACTGCAAAACCCCAATCTGGCTCCTACAAAGTGTATGTGACAAGATGATTAACGTTTGCTTTTGTTAAATCAGGGCTTCCCCAGCCAGGACTTCGGCTCAGACTGTGGCATATTCATGTTGATGGTAGGTCATAACGAGCTGTAATGCACAAATATTGTATCTAGAATAACTTTCCAACATGGACTTTTTTAAAGTTATCTCACATGTTGTCTCATAATTTTTTTTAAGTCTGCCATGTACATCGTTATGGAGTCACAGTTTGACTACTCAGTTGTAAGTACTTTTCAACACGCAGTGTCATCCTCAAGATTGTATTTTGTATTGTGCACTAAAATGAAATACAAACAACAATTTCAGCATGACATGCCTGTTTGGCGGCAATGGTGGTGCCTGTTGCTCCTGGAGAACAATTCTTTGAACAGGTAGACAGTTTAAGTAAACTAGATGTCCTAATTAACTGGAAGACAATCAATATATTGTACTCAAAGACATATTGTCATTACAGTTGTGGGAAAATCTTCGCCCACTGGACCAAAGAATGTCAAGAGCTCATTGCTGGAAAGCATACTCCGGTCTTCAGTCTAAAGAGGAAGGCAGAGCAGCAGGACATAGAGGTTAGAAAATTGCCTTGTAAAAACAGTATTATCTCAGTGGGAGTCCTTCAAAATGCACACAGTTGTATGGATCAACATCGTCTCGATGTATTTGGTAATTGATGTTACTTTTCAAATTGCCTTGTCAAGGAAACCATGACGCAGACGGTATCGGATGTCCAAAGAATGTGCATGGCAGATTCAATGCAATTCTGTGTCTACCAGACATCGAACAACACAGGAGAGAGGTGTGTTGCAGACTCAATTTAATAAATGCAATTATCGGGGCCTATTCAGTGATTTTCCATGAAGTGACCACTTTTACATATAGTTTAAATGCACGAATCATGCAGGAAAATTATTTATACATTCAAATGTGCTGCAGAGGTACAATCAATTGGACAGCGTGTTTGTTTAATATTATGTTTGTCTCTCATTTGATCAGATTGCTTTACCCTGAGGTAAACGTCATAAAATGGGTCCAGTGCAAGACGTGCAGGGGCTGGCTGCATCAGGATTGTGCTGGGATTGAAATGGAGCCGTTTGACTGCGGGTGCGAGGACTCCATTGAGCATCCTCGGTATAACATAATTTATCAAGGAAACATAGTATCAGTCAAAAATACGAGGCTCAAAGGATGAAAAAATGAGGGCTTGCTCTTTTCTTATTTCTCTGCAGGATCAAGGATGCTGTTGACAGTTGAGGAATTCATGCTGTCTTTTCTAAGACACAGATCAAGGTTGCTTTTGAATGCACTATCAGTTGTTAAAGCCACCGTTTCTTTTTCAGATGATTACATTTTTGTCTCTTGCTCTTTGGTTTCAGACATTACACGATGATCTACTGTCTGGAAAGATCCGCTCCAACAGAATGTTCCTTTGGAGGAATCCCGCCACCTCACTCCGACTAAAGCAGCATCTTAAGATAAGGACACTAAGTTGGAGTGAGCAGCGCGTAAGTAAAAATGCCATCCATCATGAGTATTTTTACTCTCAGGGGTGTTACATTTGAAAGGTGTTTACTTTCTGTGTTTTTCTTCAATAGATGTTCGAGCTCCTGCGGTTCATTGAGGTGGCAACAAACATTTCTAAAAAAATAAAGAGAGGCGAGATTTATCTGCTTGATTTCGTTTTTGACGTCATGCTCCCAGAGGTGAGTAGATCAAACTATATAGCTTGCTTTGAAAATTGATGATATTGTTAAGAGGTTGTTCTTATTCATTTGGAAAGCTCAAGAACAACAATTAACCCATACTGCATAACTTCAATTGTTCACATTATTTGACTGTTTTTCAGCTTTTGATCAAAGCACTGAAGGAGCATGGCATCAACCGGTTCAGAGCAGAGCTGATGATGGCCTGTGGCAACAGGTTTTAAGCCCCCCACCACACCGACGGCAGTGCTGAATTTTGTATATATATATATTTTTTTACTGTTCACAATTTTGTTTGGAAAAAATTAAAGAAATCTTCAAAGCAGTTGTATGACAATTTTCCATTTCTTTACACAGTCTGTAATGATATCGCTATTCAATTGTTTTTGCTATATGGCTCTTCTGAACCTTAAAGAGATCATGTGACTTGTCTCTACAACTATTGTATACTTGGATTTTGCACAGTCAAGCAATCCTGAAGAGGTTCACCAGGAAGCACACCATTTCATAAATTATGTCCCTGGTTACACAATGTTACTAAAGGATGGGGGGAGTAAATTTGTGCAGCAACATAAGCACTCTCATAAAACATAATTATGAACAACAGAAAATATGTGAGGGTCAGGGCAACATTGTTGACATTAAACAAGGTCCTAATAGGAGTGGAGAAACAAGGTCACAGAGAAGTTAAGAAACATTGATGTGCTGTGTAATAAAGCTATTGGAGAGAAAAGTTAGAAAACACTGTTATATGATGTGTAACGAGAGGTTAAAACAGTCCATACTTGTAGCAAACTCTTACAAAAGAATTTGAGTAAGATGATAACTTCTACATACATTTACCTATTCTGACAAATTATCAGAATATGAGGACATCAGGCTATATATACATATTACTGTAAACTTCAGAATTAAATCAGAACAAAACAGTAGTCATAGTTAATACATAAACGTTTTATTTTGATTTTTAGCTCAATAATAAATTTAATTCGATTCTTATGGAATGAACGGAGCAAAAAAAAAAGGATCCGGCGACTAAATCCGACTACCTGAAGTATTTCGGCGCCGGAAGTCCGCCAACGAGAAAGCCTTTCCACCGGAAGTAATTGTTTTGGGTCCGCCAATCGGAGAAACTTATTGCGTTTTGTAAATGTGGTTTTCTATCTTTGGGTCCGCCATCTTGCGCTGCATCTGGTCACCTCTCAATCTTTTGCGTCCTTACCAGCTCCCGTCTCATGTGTTGAGGGAATGCGCAGAACGAGAGTCATAGTATAATAGGCTATAGATATATAGGCTTATATCTACTATGACTGTATATAGAACATATATACTGAATAATAAAATATATATTCTATGTCCATGGTATAGATGGAGTCAACAGAGGCCCCAGGGCCGGAAACACGTGATGATTAGTACCTTTAGACACATAAAAAACTGGTCCTCTACATTTAACAACAGCTTTAATTTACTCAGTTGGTAAAAGTGTAGGCCATTTTTTAAATCTTAGCATCAGTCTGACTTATTTAAAAAAATTATATAATAGTCCTTCCCCCATGTGCAGAGTGGTGGGGCGGCGCCCTAGCGCCCCCTACTGACCAGCCGCTACTGTCCCAACTCGAGTCCCCATCTCTGAAACCTGCTGACTTCAGGAAACATGTAATGAGAACTTATATAGAAATGTAGTGGAGTCAAAGTTTAATATTGTGTTGTTGTTGTTTTTTTATGTTAATGTCGTGGAGTAAAAGTAATAGGTTTCCCCAAAATTGTTTCAAGTACAGATAACTCAAAAAGTAGGCTACTTCAGCACAATAGTTAAGGTAATTTACTTTTTGACTGTCCACCTCTGCATATGAATATTATTTTCTATTGTCACCAAGTCTGTTCTGCAGTAATGCTGCTGAATACTTCACACTGCTGCACCTTTAAGAAGTGAGATAGTTGTTCAGGCTCCTATGAGAGGAGTTTTCAGCCAGTTGTGTAATAGACTGATATTTATTCTGATGCATCTTCATGAGCTACAAAAAGAACATCAGTGATGAAACTGACTATCAATCTGATTTCATTACATGTTTACAATGATTGACACATTTCATTGCTACAGGAAGGAGGAGGAGACTTTTTGTCAGAAAATACTGCCATGGCATCAAACTTAAATAACGCATAATAATCCACATTTGCATTAACTAACTTATTATTTCATTTTTTGAAATCATTCGTACACTACTTCAAAAGAGACTTTTTAAGAACATTTGCCACAAAAGCATGATAAACAGAGAGATCATCAGGTATCAAAAGGAGACATGCTTCTGTTGTTAGGATTAATAAACATACACACATTAGGAACCTCAATTTTATTTTTGGTATGATAAAGATAGAGGCGTTAGCAAAACTGTTTTTGTGGCTTACAAGTGTTGATAATTTGCGTTTTTTGTTCTCTACACAGTCTGGATGAGGGTAGTTCAGTTAATTTGATAAAAAATGGTGGCAAGGTCCAAATAAGCATATTATCCCTGCCTGTGTCTGTTCACTCAAGACTTTGTACATGACTGATGGCTTCATTTAAAATGTCTCAACCATAAAAACTACTGTATGATGACATACCAAATTAATATTTACTATTAATTCTACTTCTTCTATTTCTACTAAAACAAGGAAGATTTGACTGCCCATGACAACAAAACATAACATGCATGTTTTATAAGCAACATCCATAAATGATTTAGCTAATTTATGTTATACCATATAAAAGAGGCCTTTTTATTCCACTGGTGTTTTCACTTTTAAAACACCTCCATACCTTTACATGAGCTAAGTATCAGCTGATATAAATGCATGATAAAAAAAAAAAGTTCTGTAATCCTCAAAATCAGTGAAAATAAACAAAAAAGATGTTCTCAATGTTCCCTAGAAATGAGAATATCTTATTTATTTTGTCATTTAGTTTATTCGTCATTTGACAAAGTTGCAGCCCTATCATAGTAAAAAGTTGCATCAAAATGAAAAATTTTCCATGGTAATATTGAATTAACTAGAGATATGTCTTCATATTTGAAAGTGAAATGAGCTTTTTAGTAGACAGAAGCTTCTTGTGCTGTTCCCCTTTTGTCCACCAGGTGTCTCCTGTGGCCCGTTCACCATGGTGTTTTCCCTTCAGACTGAGCTGCAGTCTGTCCTCCATTCATCAGACGTCTTTTATTTATGCGGACAAAAGAGACATCAAACAGGGAGGAGTGGGAAAACACAACAATGCGTTTCACAACACAGACACTGACTAATATATGCAAAGTGGGGATGAAGAGTCCAGCCCCCTAGTGTGTGTGTGTGTGTGTGTGTGTGTGTGCGTGTGTGTGTGTGTGTGTGTGTGTGTGTGTGTGTGTGTGTGTGTGGATAAATAAGAATTTGTAATTTTATTGGATGTTTGTTGCATTTTGAATTTGAGTCGAACTTTTATTGAAATTTGAATCTCAGCAATTCTATCTTTCAGTACATAAACACAAAACTATAAAAATTTTATCTTTCTACATATTTATGAAATTTGAGTCAGTGCCTAATATCAAAACACAATTTTTGGACCACTTTGAACCAAAATCTAAACCCACTGTTTCTGAGAATCACAGGACTGAAACTGAAGTGCTGTCTCTCTCCTGGCTGCTGCTGCTCCCTGTTTCCCACCCAAATCAAAAGCGGGGAATCGTGGGGGGTCATGTCTGGCCACCCCTCAGGAGAATAACGGGGTCTCTGTCTGCCCCCCAAAACCACCAATGGCTCTCTACCGTCCCTATGGCAACAGCCAAGGGCCCTGGAAGGCCCCCAGACTGGGGCGTTCAAGCAGATGCCCATAATTAACGCTGCTATACGGAGGTGTCAGTCCTGCCAGTCTGCAGAGCTGCTCCCAGACCTGTCAGAGGCCCACAGGCCGGTGACAAATGACTGCCCTGCGGTGTGTGTCTGTGACTGCAAGTGTGTGTTGGGATGGTAAAGATTGCCTAGGAGTTTCTGCCCAATTCTGTTTAAGACTGAGTATTATCCTGTGGCAAAATGATAAAAAGGGTTTTGAACCCAAGGCCACCTCCAGACCTCAGCTTAAAATGTCTGAATTGTTTAAAAGTTCAGTTAAAAGAAAACAAAGAGACACAAACAAACAAAAACCAAATAATTTCATCAAGAAATTGTCGTGTTAAAAATCATTTCTGCATTTTTAAAAGGATGTTGAAACGTAATCAGAGTACATGGTGTTGTTTAGTCAAAGTGTCCATGTTGAAATGCTGTGTGACAGTTTGACCTGCTGTCTGAATCACACGGTCTGCTGAGGATGAGACGGTTTCTCAGACATCCGACCTAAAGCTGTGGAGGGGCCTCATCAGACATCTCCATAAGTCCTGAAACAAGCAGACCTAAGTGATACACAGCAGAGCATGACCTGAATCATTTACCAGCAGCATGACTGAGAAGCATTATCCAGCTTTGAACAAAAATACTTTTATTTGCTTTAAAAGGGTAAAGTTTAGTGATGCTGATAGATCTCGCATTTCACATAATTATTTCGCGTTTTGAATCAGAGTATGTGCGGAAAAAAAGTTAATTATATGTCCTGAACATAATACCAGGTAGTTATAATGTAACAGTAGACAAAAACATTAGATATGTCCCCGTGTTTACAGATTTGGTTTTTGAATAATTCTTTCAGTCAGAGGAACATAAAAATATGCAGTAATTTATAAGATAAGATCAAATGTTCCTTTAATAGTTCCACAGGGGGAAATTCCAAATTTACACTAGCATAGTATAGATACAAAAATAGAAAAATTAAAAAAATAAAGAAACTTTGAGTTAAAAAAAATATGTAAATAAATGTCGTGAGCTGAAGCTGAACGCTCAAGAGAGCAGAAAAAATGTCAAATGTGGCTTTGAGTGTAAAAAAATGAAAACAACACAATTCATAAGAGTTTTGGATACATTAAACACTCTTGAAACTTTATTTAAAATATTTTTCTTGTCAAAAGTTGATGATAGATGTTGGTCCATTTGTTTTTAATATTTTGTCCCAGTTTGTTAATCACAATCTTTTCCTTATTTATAAAGCAAATTTAAATGTAAAATCTGTGTCAGTGAAAGTTCAATATTTTTTTATTTGTGCTTGTCAGAACAATGGGGGTTAATTTTTGAATATCAGACATCTTACATAGGCTAAAATAAAAAAATGATTTAAAAAATGTTTAAATCAAAGTTTGTTGATTCCTTGACAAAGACGGTTATGATATAAAAAAAGATTTCCTCCCCTTAGGAAACAGAACAATCAGATGATCAATGATTCTCTGCCCCATCTCTCAGGTAATCAGGTTAAAGACACAATGGTCCTCTGTCCACACTTTGACACCAAAGATCACTAAATGCACTGTCCACCAGTCCTTCAGTTCATCAACCTCCCTGTGGTCAGCAGCACACTTCACCTCTCAGAGGGAGGTCAGGGGTTCGGCTCACCTCTGACCTGTCCAGCCCTCCTCGTGGTCATTACATAATAAGATGTTTCCTGACACGCTGATCAATCTGTTTCTGTTTCAGGATCACTGAGGGGATCATCTTTATGGGGCTGTTGGGCCTTTAAAGCTCAAAGCTTGAAGAGGTCTGTAAAAAAAGGGTGATTAAAGGGTGTATGGGTGCTAAATGGTGTATGGGCTTGTAAATGTGGGACAAAAGCAGAGCTGCACGTGGGTTTAGAAAGATTCTGATATTTGCTCAATTTGGTTTTAACAGTTAGAAGTAAAGGCTAGATTCAATTACAGACATAGATAATACTTTTTTACTATATCGTGACAGAAAATTACTGAATTAAACAGAAAAGAGGGCACATTTTCAAGTACAATCATAGACTAAAAGCCTGAAAATGAGGATAATTATGCAGTAACTCCTTCCTACCCCTCACTTCTCGATCACAGACAGATCTACAAAATCATGAGTGAGAGATTTTTTTTTTTTTCCTTTGGGGGGTTGTGGGATCAGCGAGCCAGACTCTGTTTTTATGGGTCGTCTGATGCAGGAGCACAGGAGGTGGGACTGGGGCTGTCTGAGACCGGGCCGGCCAATTATACTCTGACTAGACACATCATCATACATGCATGTCATAGACGTGGGAACCTTTTTCCTCTGACATCAGACTCGCGCCGAGCTGCTGCTGCTGCTGGTCATATTAAGTACCTACAAATGTCTGGTCCTGTTTGGCATAAGTGAAGGAGACTTGAGCTGACTTTTGTTGGAATGGTGTCATTTATAAATTGATTTAAAAAAAAAAAGTCTAGATCAGCAGTTTTAAGGCTTGTTATGCATTTTGAACCATAATGAAAACTTGCTTATTTAAAGGGTTTTGTGCACAGAATTTGGCTTACTTGCATCGTACTGTCATTTTATGAATATAAGGCCATGAGGAGTCTGAAGGAGCTTTTTTCTTGCCTTTGAGCTGAGATGTCTGAGCTGAAGTAACAGATCTGCTTCCATTAAACCACTTATATAACTCTCATATTAATAGACTCTTAAATAGTCTATATTTTCAACACTCCACAAATGTTTTACAAACCACTTAGAGAACAGCTATAAAGCTGAAACGAATGAGATGAGAAGTACATAAAATATTATTTAACTCATGAAACTACGATCTGTTGCAAAATTGCATTTAATATGTCACTTCTGATATTCTAGACTGTTTTTGTGATGTTTTTCCTCACTGGAAGACAAAACAAATGTTTAGTCCAGTCAGTCCACAACCCACATAACTGTTACCATAGTTTTTTCTTTTTTGTATTATTTTGCCCTGCCTTGCAACTAAAGTCATCCTTAAATCAATATCATGATATTCTTGGTGGATCCACAAGAGTAATTTTAAAAAGTCATTCCTGATAAAACATTTTTTCTTCTTCAGAACTTTCAGGAAGTTGTAAAATTTTATAGTTTGATTTGAATGAAATTGAATGTTACTTTCTTTGCCACAAAGATTTTACATAATCATCTTTGGAGCCTAAGTCACATGATGCAGAAAGCAAGAATAACTTGAGTGAACAACAACATTAGACGGAGCATGATTTAAGCTTTTCAAGATTCAAGACAATATTGTCATTGTGCAACACAATGAAACTCCAAAGCATACAGAGGAAGATAATAAAAACTAGAATAAATGAAATTAGAAATTGTAGTTATTATTATCAAAGGTGGATGGATAATGTGTGTGCAATGTCAGGACTGCTGTTTTTATCATGTTGCAAGATTGAACTCCTAGTTTGTGGACTGCAACCCAGCCATTTACTTGGTGAGCCACTTGGTGTTAATCAAATGCATGTTTTTCTAACAAAAAGGCTTTTAAAAATCTATTGCCTTTAGCTCAGTAATTGATATTTTGTACTGCACATGTATTGTAGGCTAAAAATTAATTACGTTATTTAAAAAAAACTGAGGCTCTTTTTGAGTCCCCTGAAATATTCATTTTGTTCATAATTTTTCAAGTATGATGACCTTTTAGTTTAAGCTTGTCCCTGTCTGTGTATCCCTATGATTACGCTGCATAGTAATACTGTATAATAGCAACATCTATTCTATTCTACTCTATTCTATAAATCAGGCATTTTTTTGAGTAGACAAATGTTCAGTCCTGTGATTCTCAAAAACAGTGTGTTTAGGTTTGGGTTCAGAGTGGTCCAAAAATTGTGTTTTGATATTAAAAGAACGTTTTTCTCTATTGGGGTGTTTTAACCCAGTAATGCATTTGTCTACTCAAAAAATGGCTGATTTATAGAATAGAATAGAATACATGTTGCTAACACACAGCATTATTATGCAGTGTAATCACAGGGATATACAGACAGGGACAAGCTTCAAATAAAAGGTCATCATACTTGAAAAATTACGAACAAAATGAATATTTTAGGGGACCCAAAAAGAGCCTCAGTTTTCTTTTAAGTAATGTAATAGTTTTTGTGAATAGTAGGATACCAAACAGGATGTTTTGTGCCTCTTTCTCCTCTTTCAGTGGCAGCTTTGAAGCCTTCTTGAGCTGTTGTTTGTTTCCTAGTGTTGATGACAGCACCACAGTGCCTCTATCTATCTATCCATCCATCTATCTGCTCCTGCATCTGAATACATGTGACCAACTCTCCCAAGGCGGGAAGTGCGCGCCTTTCTCTGAATTAGCCACGCGGCACGCCTTGCATAGTAATTGAGGCTCACGCTTTGAGCTTGAACTTGACCGGAGGAATGCGGCTCGTGGGAACGCCGGCTCGATGTGCCCTCTTCTATTCAGCAAGCACAGGTCGGTGTCAGCTCTGATTAGCATAAAACCCAGCCTGCCTCAAATTAAGGCACGAGGACGGAGGCTCGCGCTCCTTCTTTCACATCAGGCAGAGGAGGAATGAACAGGTCTCTGCTGCACGAGCCTGCTGGTAAGAACTTTACTCCATTTTACTGTACAGCAGAGAATTCATAGTTTGTTGTGCTTGTCCTCTCTTATAGTGCTCCTGACTAAAATATCTGCGAAAGGATGATTTGTCGTGTTTGTACTTTTGGTTTGTCGTTCAGAGAAAGAGAAAGTTGAATCTTTTTTCTGCAGTCGCTGTTACAGACTTACTGCGACCAAAAACGCTAAGCTTATACTTACCAATTTTGATTTCAGGCTAATTATTATTTGAGTATTCCTTTTTAATCGTTTCAAATAATGTTACAGGTAACCTATGTTCAGCATGTCCCTAGACACAAAACTGAACATGGGCCACATTGCCATAGAGAGTTTGAGGAAACCTCTCTCCTGTCCATAAACCATCTTTGTAACAGTCTGCAGGGTAATAGGCCGATTATTTTATGAACCCTTTGGTGCAGGTTATTTACTGTCATCTACTGTGAAAATGCAATGTTGTGTCGTTTTAGTGTGATTTGGCATCTTTACAGTTTATAAAAGGGCTACAGCTTAACAGGCCATGAGGTTTTTTTATTCTTATTTCTACAACCACTTACTGTAAACTCATGTTACCATTATCCATGTAAAGTAAAATAAAGGCTCATTTTGAATTTACATTTTATCATTTTTAATTTTAAGTATATAAGCTGTATTAAAAAATACTTTTTATCAGTCTGTTCCACTTTGTCATTCCAAAATACAGAAATGCAATCTGACTATCAAGGAAATAAAAGATGGTTACAGTTTTCTATAGAAATGTGAAATCAACAAAACAACAAGGTTTAGAGGATAAATTCTTATAATTTTCACAGGGCTGAAAAAAGTAGGCAACATGTTTAAAATATACATCCATGTATATTTTAAATGTCATCACAAAATTTTGGTCACACAGGCCAACCTATCGTCTAATTCTGTATCTTCAGTAGACTCAATGTAATAAGAGGCCTACAAGATTTAAGAAAGATAAAGACTAAAACTGTCTCCATAGTATTCATAGAAAATACACAAGCTATTAAAACTCTAAAATAAAAGTTTGAAATTAATAGATTAATATATTTATGAATCAGTTAAAGAGATTTACCAGTTCCTTTTTTAAAAAACATACTTTTATGTAGAAATTAGGAAATGTCAAATTCAGAAAGCCAAGCTGAGAAAGTAATATGCTTCCCAACATTTTCTTGATAAAATGTCAAACTTAAGATATTACTGCACAGTGTTACTGGTAAAATAATAAAAAATAAAAGATTGTACACATTAAATAGCTGGAAAATAAAATATCCCTCATGTCTGCCTGTTTTATCTCTTTCTGAAAGTTGTACATTCCAGACAATTGAAAATAACATTTTAATGACAGATTAAGAGCCGGACGATACTCAAGCTTCAAAAACTTGAGGAAACATTAACACAATTCATTAAGTTTAAAATTCTCCCAAAAACAAAATTACAAAAAAGTCTTACTGTACCAAGTATCTTTAACTTCCTCCTTTCACAATACAGATAAAATAAAAGTTGATGGTCAGTTAAAGTAGGTGTAAAATCAAAATGTACCACAGCTTGTATTGATATTGATATAAAATATTGATATATATTGATATAATTAAATCACAAAGAAATTATCAGATTTAACTAACTACCTTTTTTGAAATGATAAACGAAGAATCAAGTAAAATAAAATAATAGGTTTTGTGATAATCAGTATAGAAAATGTGGATAAACTTAAGTTATATTCATGTTTGTAGACTTGAATTGTTGATTCAACAACTAGTGAAAAAAAACTAAGCAATGTTATACTATTTAAGCTGTAGAAATTAAACTAGAAACGTACAGATAAACATCCAGTCTACTTTACTACTACTACTACTACTAGTAATAGTAATAATAATACATTAAGCAAAGATGTCCAAAGTTTTTCATTTCATGTTACACTGCATCTTCTAAACCCCTATTCTCTGTCATGTTTCAACAGGTGAGTTTATCCAGACACTAAATCACAAAGTATAAATATACATCTATATAAGAAAAACTTTTCTAAATAGCAAACTTCCCCCCCATTTTACATAAACCACAAATTGCACATCACTGTACCTTTTACAACCCTTTCATCCGTACACAGTGAAGCTAATTTCTGAAATACTGAGATATCTTTCTATCTTTAAATCTTAATTCAAACGAGTAAATTATAATTGCTAAAGTCTACGTTTTGATATTTTTTTCCATGAAGGAGATACTTTTTAAATCCTACTTCATTAAAATAGGGAAATATTTTGTCTTTTCTGGAGGCTACAAGAACAACTACAAACGTAATCCCTGTCTTTGGTATTTTTTAATTTCTGATTAAAATCACACTCAAGCTTCATAATCCGCTGAATACATTTTAATCCTGATGAAACAGATTTGATGTCAACAGTTTTGACGAGTGTAGATACTGTTCCCTCTCGCCGACGTGTGGCGCTGTTCTGCCTAATGTGGGGTTATTTTATTGTAAAGAGCATATACTGCATTTCCTCTATGTCGACATGTACCTGTGTGAAGAGCGTCTTTTTACCTGTCAAACCTCCATCTGTGCTGCAGACTGTCTCTGTGTGTTTAATGCTCTTGGATTGAGAGAGGAGCATCTATATGCCAATAACTGCGTTTATTTACTCTATTAAAAATGTGATGTACCAATAACCAGTCTCAGTAACAGGATTATTACCCAGCATGCACCACTTTAAAGCAGTTACTTTATGCTTTTTGTTTAACCTAAGTCTTTCTTTCTTTTTTCTGAAACAGTAAAAATTCCAACAAACGTGAGGTCAAGTTTTTTTCTTTAACTGTCTGTTTATGATTGAAAATAAACGTAACCAAACTGAGAGTGAGTTTTAACCAGGACTTAACACTTAACCCCTAAGCAATTGGTGCGTAGTAAGTTAAAAACGTTCAAGCATATCATAGTAAAATGATCCCTAGAGCTTGGGACCTAGAGCAGTGATTCTCAACTGGTTGGTCCCGACCCAAAAGTGGGTTCCTGGTCACGTTCTGGATGAGTCACGAACAGCTGCTCAAAAAATTTAATATTTAATGTGATATTTAATAGATACTCAAAAATTTCTGCACACGCAACTTCAGTAGTTGTCATTCTCATGTTGTCCCCTTCATGTGCTCTGAAATGCACTTTACTCAATAAAACAAGTGGATTTGTGTTAAAGATCAGAGTCTTTTAAAGGTATTTTTTTAATTATTAAAAAGATTAATTTGCTTGGTTTGAATTCTATAAAAGTGGGTCGCGACTTAACGACCATGGGAAAATGCGGGTCCCAGAGTGAGACCAGTTGAGAACCACTGACCTAAAGTAACATTTCATTGCTTTGTGCGAGACACTGTGGGATTTTTCTCAATCTGTTTCACGTTTTAAAATACTAACCTACTCTCAGGGTATTTTATATTCCCCACCATTATCACAAGGCCTGTTTGACAAATTTGATAGGCCCTGGGCCGGCTTTACTCCCTCCTCCTCCTCCTCCTCCTCCTCACCATCAACCTCATCTCCTCCCTCCTCTCCTCACCTCTTTCTCTCCGTCTGCTGCCGCTGCTCTCACATCACACTCCTGTCTGTCTGTCTGATGCGCTTTCTATCCGGTAAGAGAGGATTTTTATGCACAATAAAGGAGCCAGTTTATGATGAATGCAGCAGGGAAAATACACGAAGATGTGAAGAGGGGGGGGAAAGCCACTAAACAAGAACAGGAGCTGTTATGCACGTGAGAAACACGGGATACGAGGTACATCTCTCTCTCTCTCCCTCCCTTTCTCTCTCTCTCTAACTTGATGCTACTGTAGGCCTATTTAAATGAACTGCATATTCCTTTATTCTCTTAATCAACACGAGAGTCTAATTGGAGGTATAATTATTGGATTAAAGTCAATATTATAAAACACGAAATAGGTGAAGTGTTGTGTGCGTAATTTTAGATATATTTCAGTGTTTTATTTTACTAGAGTTTCCGTATTGGTGGTGTAATTTGATTAGAATCAGAATCAGAATGTCCTTTATTGTCATCATACTAAAAGTACAACCAGATTGGAGAGCTTCTCTTTTTCCAGTGCAGTAGACAGGTAAAAATAAGGTAGTAAAAGTAGTAATAGTCGTAAGAAAGAAGGTACTATATAAACAAGACGAGTATTTATTGGTGCATGTAGTCTTAAAGAAAATTAAGTTACATCTGAAAACGAAGCCATATTCCAAGTCCTAGCAATCTCTCTTAAATTATTGCAAGCTCATTTGTATTAAAACTTGTTATGGCGAATAATTGATGAGTTTAATTGAGATAGTGTAATAACAGCAACATGGTCACAATCATTTTACGCATGATACGGCCTTTAGAGAGCCAAAGACTCAGCAGAAAATCTCACCCATGTCCTGACAGGTTTTTTTTTTCCTAATCTCGCGATTAATCGACGCTAAAGTTTCTGCAAACTCCTGAATACTTAATGAGGCCATGTGCTCATGAGAGAAGTATTCGTGTATTAAGAAGAAGAGGAGGAGGTGGAGGTGGTGGAGGAGGAGGTGGAGGAGGAGGCCCGGGCAGCGCTGCAGTGCAGAGTTCAGCAGAGATATTGTTGTGAGCCTGGGAAAGTGTAGCGGGGCTGACGCCAGACTCGGTCAGGCAGGGAGGGGGGGCACCTCGAGGATCCCAGACCGGATTGTCATGCTAATGTCTCCCCGGCACGTTGTTGAACTTGATGTTGACTTCTTTCTTTACTGGGGGGTGAGACAGAAGGGGAGGAGGAGGAGGGGGGTGAAATTTTCCCTGTCACTTGTTTGTGGGAAAATCCAAGTGAGGACACACACACACACACACACACACACACACACACACACACACACCAGTTTTTAACAGTCACTACAGTTGATTTAATCCTGATGCATTATATTTCTCAGAATTAATACATTCAATTCAACTGTATATCTTAAAAACCCAATTGGCTTGTGGTTAAACATCTTGAAATACTAACTTGAACAACTCAAACATTTATTCCAACAAAACAAGTATTTTATGGGATTGCTTTCAAGTGCTAAATTTTTGCTTAACTCGGATATAGAAAAAACTCTTGTGCAAAATCTGACCAGAACAGAGTCTAATATTTATATTTAATTCAAAATTGTAATTTTAAATTGTGTCTTTAATTTGTTTCTTGGATTGAACATGTCTCTTCAGAATTTGAGTTTGCAAGGATACAGAGATACACGTGCATTCTCACGCCCTCCTTGCGCATGCTCAAGAGGATTGACATTTGTAGCTCCAGTTAAAATGCAAATGCAGTAACGATGGGTTAGTTTTAAAGGAAGTGTGTGTAGGCCTTCTTCAGCCGTGCACAGTGTGATGTTAGTTCAATTACATTAGGACAGCACTAGAGTCACAGCTGATTACATCTACTTAGAAATGATGAAGAGTCCGGCTCCTCATAAATGATGAAGAGGAGAACAGCAGTGATACAGTATGGAGGAGGTGGTCCTGTGCTGCACCTCCATGATACTAACAGATTGCTCATGCGCAATAATCAGATATGTAGCTGCTATCTGATGCAAGCTTCGTTGGGAAACCCGGACTGTAGCTGCTCTATGCTCTGTTATTGGTTTACCTTTACACACACACACACACACACACACACACACACACACACACACACACACACACACTCCAGCACCTTTTTAAATATCATTTCAAACTTTGAAAGATATTACAAGTTGCTATTCTCGTCTCTGCTTGGCTTCTTTTATCAAACAGTGTGATTATTATCGCTCGCACTATCTCATCTCCTCAGCACAGATATCTTTCATATCATAACATCACTATCGATAAGGCTGCATATATTCCCTGAATATGTTATCAGAGTTTGGCTAGCTGTGGGTCCTCTCTGCACCAAGGACAGGAACCAGGAATTCCTCTGCTCAGTATGAATTTCTGTATTTTTTGTTGGCTATACTAGACTTAAAATCAGTGCCCTTGCAGCATCTTTTTGTCCTCTGCACATTATAGACACCTAAGATCAGAAAATACACTATAATATTTTTTATTAATGCCCCACAAATGCCATTAAAGGTCGTATAGCCTATTTAAAAAAGCTATAACAATAAGAATGGGGAAAATGTGCTCTAAAAGCCACAGTCAACCTACATACAGAAGTAGGGCAGCTGAGATACTTTATAACGTATCTGGTTATATTTTTACAATTAGCTACACAATATAAAAGAGAGCTAACGCTTTCATCTCAAGTTGTTTTATTAACGTTTTTTGTTTTAGCCTCCTAAACTGACCTTAAAAACCTTAATTAAATGAAACATCTCGACAGCTATTTTATGTTGAGGAGTATTAGCTTATAACACAACAACAGTTCTGATAAATAAGCTAAATGCTCTTTGAAGATGGCTGTTTTTTTCTCCAGAATATTGAATTCGAGAGATTTTTTCTGGACTGCTATGAACTACAATTATAAAAATAAAGAGCAGTTGTCAGAGAAATTTCTACCGTATGGGTTTTTCATACAATGCTGAATTAATTTCACCAAAATATACCTTTTATCGATGTTAAAAACTGTAAATGTCACATAACTCCACCTGCCCCCCCATTCCCCCTCTTTTTAAACTTATCTTCACGCGCTTCTTCTCTGTCTTCTCATTGGTCTGTTGTCTAATGAGGATAATTGGTGCAATAAACCACTGATTGACGCACACCTGCTTTCAATTTCCAATAGGCTTTAATTACTCTCTCTCTCTCTCTCTCTCTCTCTCTCTCTCTCTCTCTCTCTCTCTCTCTCTCTCTCTCTCTCTCTCTGAGGCGGAGTTTGTCCCCTCTGCTCTCTCTCACTGGGTGCACGCTCTGCACTTGTCAGTCAGTCGCAGCTCGCGCGTGCGGGAGGGAGGGAGGACACATTGAAGCTCATAGAAAGCTCGTGCGACAGTTTTATCCTCGATGATTATTTGTTTTTTTTTTTACTCTATTTCCTCTGATTGGATGCGTTCAGATCACGCATCGATCTCGGCGGGATTGAAATAGTTGGAGGATATTGACTGGAGTGGAGTTAGCTTAATGTGCAAGTAAGTGGGATGCTGCCTTTATGTGATTGAGTTGTCTCTGGCTTCTGTGTATTTATATTTTATTTTAGTCCACAGCCTGCTTTTTAAAGGCAGTTGCATGTATTCCTGGAGGCTGCTTAATTCTGGTGTGTTTCTTGTAAACTGTAGCTGTGACATTAGCATTAAAGGATGTTTGGTGGGAACTTTATTGTCTTAAAGGCCCACTGCTGTGTGCCTCAAAACTGATGCAGTCCTAACAATGTATATATAAAAAATAACAACAACCCTGACAGCCTAAAAAATGGGTTTATTTACCACCAAATGATTGGGACAGGGTTGCAAATGGATGGGTTAGTGTGTCTGATAAGGCCTTGCTTCAAGTGTTTCAAGGCAAAAAGTGCCACCTCAGCATCAAACCGAGACTGTGGTTGAGCATGCTTAGAGTTTTGGCATCACAGTGTGTTTTAAAATGGTTTCTTAAAGTTGAACTTCATGATGGGCCGAGATGTGTGAGTGTGTGTGGATGTGAAACACGTCTTTGAAGCCAGTGCCTCATTTTATTCATCTATTGAACTTGTTTTCATCTCCTTATGAGAATTTCACAGCTGAAATCCACGGTAGAGCTTTTCTTTTATTGTGCATCTTGTCTATATGTTTTGTGTGTGTGTGAGTGAGTGAGTGAGTGTGTGTGTATGAGGAGCTCAGTGTGAACACAGGCAGCCTCTCTTTCGCTCTCTCTCCCTCCTTCATCCTCTCCTCTCTCTCTGTTGGTGTTGGAGGGGCGGCCCCTTTAAGAGACGACGGGTGTTAGTTTGTGTCTTTGGTTATCTAGCTGTATGAGTTTTAATTTCATAAAGCTAGAGAACCGAAAGTACGAACTGACGCCGAGCACTTCGGAACCCAGGTGATGATGGGGGGGATCCTCTCGCTCGCTCCGGCATGGAGGAGGAAGAGGGGGAGGAGGAGGAAGCAGCAGCGGCAGGAGGAAAGCAGCAGCAGGGACGGATGCTGAGGGGAGGCTGCACGAGGCTTCCGTGGAGGAGGAGGAGGAGGAGGTTGTGGAGGTTTTAGAGCTCGAGCAGAAACCCCCGGTGTGATGTGAATGTCGTTGGTCCACCTCAGGTTCAGAGGAGTCCTCCGCGTGTCTGCGAGCGCGTGAATGTTGCTGCGTTTAAGGGGCTCGTGTTGTGGGCACCGCGGTGATGCTTAAGGCCTATAATGATGAAGAAAATTGACATTTCGTTGAAACGTTGCGCATGTGGACAGTGCGCACCAAAACCTCCTCCGTGTGTTGTCGAGTAGTTGTCATAACTGTGTGGGTGTTCTTACATTAATATCTGGAGGGGCTTGACAGAAATAGTTAAAAGATTCCTCTGATTGGTCCAACCTGGAATCACGTGACAGTGTTGGCAGCAGCAGTAACTCGGTATTTCAGATCTCACATGTTGGTTATTGTGTTCTCTTTCCAGGTGGAGAAGTTAGCATTGAGCAGCAAGGCCCCATTAATTAGATTAATTAGTTCTCTTGGGTTGCATCTAGACTCCCTCACTCCCTTGTTTGTTTCTTTCATTATGTTGTTGACTAACTATTTCCTCCTGGCTGTAAAGGAGTGTTAACTATAATAGTGTAAAAGGGTTTGGAATGGTCTGATCAAGTATTTTAGCTCTGTGAATTAAAAACATACATTTGTTTTGTTTCAGTTTTTTCAGGGTCACCTAATGTGGGGTGTTTGACCATTTGCTACCAAACCAAAACATGCAGCATATACACCACATCCAGATCACCAGTGCAAACAAAAAAAAAAGAAAAACAGGCCCTATGCACCACCATCTTCATCCTGTTTCCAACATGCTCTCATCACTGCGTTTGAATCCGGGTTAGACATGGCAGATGCGTTCAAATTTGTGTTTTGCAGGGTGGATTATTTTTGTGTTTGCCTGCTAGATAAGAACAAAATAGGACATGGGCTCAGAGTTTGATCTATTCTTAGAGCGGAATCAGCGAGCCTCGGAGATGACTGAATATCCCTGAAGTCCCAGCATGCTCTATTTAGACCATGACTGACAACATTTGATGTGCGCCGTTAGACAAGAGAGCCGGGATGGTGTGTGAGCGAGTGTGCGTGTGTGTGTGAGTGTTGTTGATGCTTGCATATGTGAACTAATGTGCTAACATACGATTTGACCCCCATGTCCTCCATCTTGGTGTGATACAAAGCAGATCCTGGTGACGATTCCACCTCAATGGTTACAGATTTTAGCAAAGGCATTGTTGCGTCCTATAAACAGTCAGTAGCATATGGCAACTTTGCTGCTGCTCTGGAGACATATACCACACATCATTGTTTTTTGGTGTGTTTTTCTTCTTAATGTGTGACTCTTCCAGCGTCACTTTATGTTTTTTGCTTTTCTTAAGCTGTTGATTTACTGTTGAAGCAACAGAAAATATAAACATGCTCTCTCAGGAGCAAAATAATTAAAAGTGTGTGGAGAAAAAAAAGCAAACATGAAGTGCTGTTAGCTGCAAGGTCAACAACACTGCATTCATTTCTTCTTTTCTTCCACTGCATTGAAAGCCTCTATTTATCCCTTAAGTGATTTGTTTTGTTGAAAAGTAAGCATACCCTGATCTTCTTTTCTTTTCTTTTCTCTTGATAGGAAAATGACACCACCTCGGGATAAAGACAAGCTGCCACCAGACAGGATGAGGAGCGACAGAGAGCCTGCAGGTAAATATCAGAGAAACATTGAGAAATTATCCCCTTGTTACAAGATAATGCTGCTGAAAGCACCAAGAGTTTGGGTGTTTGGGTATTTAACCTTGTACATATTTTGTACGTATCTTTGATGTTTTGAAGTTGTCACTGTCAGTGTTTGCTAATAGGAGCTCTCAGATGGTTTCATTTTTTAGAGTCTTGCATAAGTGATGGTGCAGCATTCCTGGTTCTTGATTTTCTTCCATATTTGTTGAGCTGTGAGGATGGAGCTTGTTGTGTGTGTGCATGTGTGTGTGTGTCGTGTGGGTGTTAAAAAAAAAAAAAGTCTGACCCTGTATTTCTGAAATATTGAGGATTTTCTGTTTTGCATCAAGAATGACTTGTGCTGTAGTGGACCACGCACGTCTTATTCAAGCAGGAAGGAGCGTTAAGCGGGACATTTATAAGCTGGTTTTACTCGGCCACAGTGTAAATGTCTGTTTTATATCATCCATATATGTATCATTCAGACTGTGTGGAGCTATAGTACCCTACAGCACCACAGAGTAAACGCTGTGATTTGAGCTAGTGAAGTAAGACCTCCATATTGAATTCCATCATTCCTTTGAAGTATTAACATCTTTTACATTGTACATCACCCCCATCCTCCTCCTACACACACACACACACATGCACACACACGTCTCTCTTTCATACTCTCACGTCCAGCGTTTTATCCCTTTAAACACTGTGATCCTATTTGTCAGGTAGAGTGTGTGGTAGGTGCAGGGGAGGTGGCCGTGTAATCTTTGCTGCGGTTCTTTATCCCGTTAGGAGAACGCGTACGACGTTTGGAGCTGCTCATGTGGAAAGAGCGTTTGGGTGGCTCTGTCCTTTTTGGCGCTAATGCCTAGACAAGTCACCCTCCCCTCGCTCAAAGTCTCCTGATTATTGTGAGCAAAGTGACGGCATGCATAGAGGTATGCATGGTTTAGCGAAGGCAGCATTAGGTCAAAGTTGGAATATCGTAGATTACAAAAGGGAGCTAGGAAGTTAAGCACAGTGAGAAGTTTATTTTTTCACTTTTAAATCAAAATTTAATTCCCAAATCTTTTGGCTCTTGAGGAATAAAATGTTTTGGTGTTATTTTAGCGAGGACTGAAACAGACATTCCTCGCTTTTCAGTTGTCTGTCTTTTCCCTCCAATTCCACCCCCAAAAAAGTCCCACGTTAGGAATTAAACAATAAGTACACATTGTTAGCAAGGTCAAATCTTCATGGTTCCACAACCTTGAGGCTCAATCTAAAGCTCAGTTATTCAAATTTAGTGTGGCGTTCTTTAAGGCGCCCAGATTTTCCCAAGCTTTCGATTAGCATATGCAAGGGCCGGCCTGTGCTGCTGTTTTCTAAAGTGGATGTAAATTATAACCTCAGTATTATACAGGCTGATGGGAGATAAATCTCTGCAGTAATGCATTGCAGGGAGTGGGGGTAGGGTGGGTGGGGGTGCTGTAAAGGGGTTGTGCGTTTGTGTGTGTGTGTGTGCGAGGTACTGTACAATAGCCGGTGGCAGATGGAATACAGACTAGCAAAGGGCTGGCTGATAGCATGCTAAACTCCCTTTTTACCGGCTTTAGTTTGTCCGATTTTTACAGATCCTGGACAAAAAAGCAGAGATTTTCAGAGGAGATACTTCTGAAATAAAAATGTTAAATCAGCTACATTACTGGCGAGATGAATTTGCAAGTGTGTACACATTGTTTTAAAACAAATATTAACACAGGAAGATTACTAAGTCGAAATCTGCACTTGTGCGGTCCAAAGGGCTGAGGCTTCAGGCCTCACGAGCTGAGTGCAGATCTTTTTGGAATCTCTATGCAAACTAGGGCTTGAATAATGAGATGTATTTATGAAGGGCTGGGAAGGGGGTCCCTGCTTTTGAAAGCAAGTAGGCCGGAGCCTGAATGGGATGGAGGGAGGTGGGGTTGAAGGAGAAGGAGGGGGGGATGAGGGGTGTGTGTGTGTGTGTGTGAGAAGAGGGGGTACAGGGGGCCCCCAGCAGCCCGGGCCTCGGCTGAGGCAGCTGTGAAAAGGGGTCCCGTCTTTTTCCCACGCCCAGCAAGACGCGAAACACTGCCGCGGCTCGCTAGGGTCAAGTCCCATCGCTAATATATACACGCATACATACACACGCACGCACGCACACGCGGGGAGAGCGAGGGAGAGTTGTGTGTGTAAAAGTTGTGCAAATTAACAAGCTGTCTGGGAAGCTCTGTGACATAGGGACACCTGCTATACTCCCAGAATGCTTTGCAGCCTCATCAAGGGCCACTGGGACAACAATTAGGTCATAGCTTCAACTTGAACTTAAAAATTGGCTGAAGATTGAAAAGAGTCTGGATCATATTTCTCTCTGCTGTTTTCGATCTAAACGTTAAAAAAATAAAAATAACACTTTAATGATTCTGCTCTTGCTAAGTTTTAAAAATACAGTTTCTAAAATAGTTTTCTAAAATAGTGATCATTGTTAGATTTTGAAGGAAAACGTGCTTTTTTTTATTTTTGCAACTCTAGTGTGCAAAAACACAAGTAAATGCTGAAATGTTGAACTTGTACGATTGTTGCTGTGTCCATTGACGCAGAGACAAACTTGGCCTTGTGCTTGATCCGAGACCCTAACTGTCAACTTGGCATTGTCTGTCTGCACACACCCATGATCCCACCCACCCACACGCACGCACACACACAGAGCTTGTCTCAGGGACACACAAAAGAGAATTTGAACATGAATTGGAGGAAGGTTGGAGAAAGATATTGAGGAATGTTTTAAGTCTGAACTCTGACCTTTTGTGCTTCTTTAAATTTGAAAACAGGCACAATGTGAGAGACCAAAAACACTGACGACCGACGATGAGCCTGAAAAGAGAGGCAAAAATCCTACTCTTAAAAAATAATCTCCTTGGTCTAAATCTTGTGTGAAATTGTAGTTTCTTGTTTAGATATCAGCTTGTATCTTTGACCACCCATTGTTGTTTACAGCAGCCATGCTCCTTTCTTCCTCTTGAAGCTGGTGTCACACCCATTCCTCCCCTCAAGATACTGGCACACCAATCAAATCGGTGCATCACTTCTTTCACTCCCCGCCGTAGCTGCATCAGAGCGGTGTCACACTTATTCTCTTCCCCCTGCCTACTCCAGCTACTTTCTTGAATTCCACATGGAGACTCTCCTGTTATGGTTTTTAGAATATTAGCAAAAGCATCCAATCTTTTTCTTTTTTTGGTGTCTCACCCTCCTCCTCCCCTGCTCCTCCTCCTCCTCCTCTTCGTCATCATTTTCCCTCCTATTCAGAGAAGTCTGAAATAGAGAGGGGGCTCCTTCTAATTAGCTCTGTAAAGATGCTTTGTGGCGGTCAGTGTGGCCACCAGTGTGTGCAGAGAGAGGTGATGTGTGACAGCTAGTGTTAGCATTAAGAACATGTGTATGGGCCCTTAATGAGGTTTGTTAGCTGAGTGTGTATCCTGCCGTTTGAATGCACCCTCGGCAGCCTTTGAAGGAACGGAGATGAAGAGAGCGAGGAGGAGGAGGTGGAAAAGGAGAGAGGAGTCTTTCAGCGTGGCAGGTTGCAGAATACAGATTATGCATTATGCTCAGTGTGGTTTCTATTTGAACGGAAGATGAGGGGAGCATAATGCTTCACTTGCACGTTGTCTGGGGAAAACGTGGGAAATAAACGCAGGTCATCTCGCTCATCAGATGTAAAGGAGTTATTTACCTGGTCTTATGACATTTGCAGTGATTCCAGTAAGTCTTAACGGTATAAGATAAGCGAAACAGGAGAGCGATAGAGCTGATTTCCTGTAAATATAAGATCAAAATTCATCTCTATGTTTGTATTTTATGTAGTTTTTTTTTAAGGTCAAGCTTATTAACAAGATATAAAAAGAAAGGGTAAAAAAAATAGTAAATGATAATATAAAATCAGTTAGAAGAGAGCTAACAAAAACATCCAAATTAAGATTAGACGCGACAAATTTAAATAACCAAATAAAATATCTAAAGAGCCAAATGGAGATATATAACTGCACATCCTCAATCCTGTTAGACCAGATCATGTTGATGTACAGTATGATTCAGAAAGGACTCCCATACGTTATAAAATGTTTAATTATTGTCACGCCGCCAAGCTTCTGGTGCATGAGAGGCCTTATGCTAATTCGTTTATAATATGTAGTCATGAATGGGGCAAAGAAGGACAGGAGCGAACTCACTGGAAAAGAGAGCACCATTTATAAATCTGTATTGGGACACCGAAGTGTTTGGATCACCAATTATTTGTTAGTTTTTCTGCTTTTAAGGATTTTACAATGAGGAAACACACTACTGTTCATCCATGGATAGACAATCAGGAAATAATAATCATGTACTATGAGGTGAGAAACAAACATTTCAGACAGAATGTGGAGCAGATTTGGTGGTTATCCTGGAGATTAGAGATGTCGAGCTGCAGATGAGAGCCAGAGGTGGAAGGTAGAAGCTGAGAAAAACCAGGTTGGGAAATGAGGGATTGTATGGAGGCAAAGAGGCGACCTGCTGGGCTTGCCTGCTGCCTCACAGATTGTAAACTGTCACTCAGGATGCACACAGACAAGCAGACAGACATCATTTGCCCACATCACCCTCTACTACTGAAACTGTCGCCCCGCAGCCCCCTACTGCTCCCCTTCTTTTTCCTTCCCTTCACTCCATTTCCAGGCCTTTTTCTCCTTGGCGCGTGCACATGCATGTATATAAACTCCCTAATCTATTTCCTCTATTTTCCAGCTCCTCTCCTCTACTTTTCTCTCTGTCTCCGGGTTTTCCGTTGATGAAATGAGTCAGCTTGCAGCATACTCTCCCCTCTCATTGTTCGCTGGTTCGTTGCCTCTCCATAGGAGGTAGAGAGTGTTTGGGCTCTTTCCCCTGTTTTACCAGTTTACCAGTGTAATCCTTTACAGCGGCACAATGAGCTCTCACTCCAGCCGCAGGATTCTATTAGGCTCCCAGAGAGACATGGGATCTCCATAAACATTTTCCATCTGCCCCTGAACCCCCACCCACCCTCCCTACACAACCTATACCACCTCAAACACAGCCAAAATAATACTTTCCTTTATGCATTAAAAGCAGAACTCTGTTTTTTACCCATCCACAGAGAAGAGAGAACAAAATCGTACACACGCACATTACAAACGACTTGTTAATGCTGTCAGCTTCACTCCCAAAACAGTGGTCTTTTACAACTGCAGAACGAATAACAAGCAGCCGGGGACAAGCAAATGCTTGTTATATGGTCTTTGGAGGAAAACAGAAGATGTTTAAAAAAAAACGCTGAAATCAGAGGAGGATGTGATTTGTGCTCCGTGCTGAAAGTACAATGCCGTTAAAGTGTGCGGATAAACTCCTCAATCTGTTATCTCATGCTGGTGGTGCAGATCAGAGTTGGAGCCGGTTTTGTGTTTCAGTGAAAACTTTAAAAAATGTACAAAAATAAGTCACTTTATTTGAATCCGGTAGAAGAAAGTAGTTCAGGAAAACAGCTCAGCACTAGTAGAAGAGCACATCTTCAGATTCAAATACTAGAATCAGCAACACATAGAAGCAGCGTTTAATGAAAACTCCTTCAACTTTGGGTTTATTAACTTGGGTGAGCCTTTGATCAAAGCTGTTTTTGCTTATCTTGTTTTATACATGAGTGTAAGTGTTTTCTTTTCTCCTCTTTTTTCTTTTAAAAGTCACATGTATCACTCATTGTGAATCTTTGCTCAGAAAATGTTGCTCCAGCAGTGTGCGGTACTTTGTCTTACACCCACAGCAGCAATTTTAAGTAAAAACTTTAAGAGTTTTTAGGCAACTGGAATTAATATTGTGCCATAAAATATTTCAACCAGCTATGCACTCAAAAGTCAGCCTGCTGCCTCATACAGACTTTTTGACCTCTCGAGACACAGGAAACCAAACGCATTGGTAGCTGATTTTAAAGTTTTTTATGTATTTTTTATGTTCTATACATGCAGTCATGGCTAATTCTGAAAACAATCCCCCAAGATTCAGACAAATAGTTGAGTAAATAGCTGATGCCTTGTGTGCTGTTTTAAACTCTGCCTTGAACAAATAGAGCATGCAGAAATAGTTGACACACATTCACCGTGTTATAAGAGCAATCAGGACAAAGACTGCTGTGCTTTTTTTTTTTTATCAAATAAAATTCATAAAGTGTCCTGTTCTAGTTTCCAATCAGAAGCAGGAGCTGACTGAGGCGATGAGCAGCCTTTGATTGACCTTAAACGAAGAATCTGGTCCTCGAAAAAAGACAAATCAGGATTATTTGAACGTTTTTTTGTGAATTGCCAAATTAAAGCCCCAGTGATGACTGACCTGATACTGACTACTGAGGGCTACTTGATTTATCTTCTTTATTGAATCTGATTTTGTGCTTGAAATTGATGTAACTCTTGAGGCTTCCTCAGATGTAGAGTTAACCCTTAAGTCTAACTTTGTTATTCTGTTAAATGTGAAAGAATAATCACCTTTAACTCTTAAAAATCCCAGCCTGTGTATTGCTGCTGAAATGCATTTTTTTCAACATCCCCCTGATTTGTTCAAGTCCAAAGCCACGGGTCACACAGTGCTTCTTTCTCCCCCCCTCCGTCCCTCTCTTGCTCCTCCTCATACACAAACATATCCCTCCATCTCCTGTCGGCCTCCCTCCTCCTGCCCCTCCGTCCTTCCCTCTCCTCCTATCTTGATAATGCAGCTCTTTTCTCTCTGTCGGGGTGGAGGGCTGCCTGAACCAACATTGTCCCCTATGCCGGCTCTAGTGGGGGGCCCTATTGTGTGTGAAGGAATGGGGAGTTAACACCCATGTCTGAACCTGCTCAATGGGTGCATTGTGTCTGAATCTTCCCTCGGCTCACCCAATCTCACCCTGCGTCTCTCCTGCCCTTGCACGGGCCAAGGAAGGCAGGGTGTCCTCCATGTCCTCAGCCATTAAAAACAGAAAACATAAACACAACTCAAAACTCACAAACACTCAAACTGGTATTCTCAGCTCTTTGCTTTCTGTGTCCGGTTGAGTTTTCCAGCAAACTGCAGTGGGTTCAACACACTCCTGCACAAAAAGTGGGGGGTCAGTGGGTGCATGGTTACTAAAGGAGGCCCCTGCGTCTCGTTTTTGTTATAGAACAGAACAGAGAGATGTATAAAGGACAATATTGTATTAGCATGATAACAGGATTCAGATGCTTTTTGAAATATCTCGAGTTGTAGGGCGTCGATTGAATCGGCTCAAATTATTACGTTAGATTCAGCAAAGTTTCAAAGCAAATCGTTCAAAAGAATCTGAGGCATGATTAAAAAAGATATTAGACATAATGTTGAACCCTATTGAAGTATAAAGTGGATTTTTTATTGTGAGTTTTAATGAGAGTGATTTATATTTCAGGTTAAACATTTAAAACAATGAGCAGAAATGGACTCGTCTGTTTCAGTATTCTGAACATTTATTTGTTTCTGTAGCAGCGAGAGCCTTGGGGCAGGTTACAAAAGAGCAAGTTGGTGTTTTCTTCCCACATATTTTTAATCAAAGTGTTAGTGTTTACATTTGCATTTGCATTGAGCACAGGGAGGCTGAATGCCAAAGGTGAGATTTTGAAAAACACTCTATTTTCCCTTTTTTTGCAGATGGAAACAAGGGTGGGTGGTTGGAAGGCTGCATAAAGGCTGCTGGATGACTGAACTCAGAGACCCGGTGCAGCTCATCATCATTGCCACGGGCTTTCGTCTTCCTCCTCTTTCTCCTGTGGCCCCGTACCATTCCATCCAGGGGTCCAGCAGAGCCAGCGAAGCCCAGGCGGGGAGCTTGTGAGTGGGCTGGGAAGGATGGAGAAGCTCCCTGAAGGCTCGGAGCACCTCTGGAGCTAGCGGCGTGCAGGAGAAATCAATATGAAACACAGAGCGCTGCACAGCTCTGAGTGGGGTTTCCTGTGTTAGTCTGCGGCCTCGGGGCCCGCAGACCTCCAAAGGACAGGCCCTGCATGGCCCCTCTCAGCTGCAGAACCGGACCTCAGTTCCGATCTCCGCTGGCTGTGTGTGGTTCTGCTGAAGGGGATTGCTCCCCAAATAATACCCAGAATGTGGAGAGACCGCCGAGAGGGATATTTCTTTTTCTCTTGATTTTTCCTTCCTTCATAAGATTGACATATCCCCCACCTCCTGCCTCCAGCTGCTTAAAAACCAGTTTGGGAGATCTGCTTTGGACTCTCTCTCCGTTCTCAACTCACCCGCTGTTTATTCCCTGACCAGTTTTTAGATTTGACAAAGAGACAGTACGATCTTTATTTTCTCCTCCACTTTCTCTTGGCTTGCAGTTACCATGGTGAGCTGTAGATGTGTCTGTTACGACCAGAAACGCAGGTACACGAAGTTTCAGCATCTTTTTTTTTTTTTTTTGCTCCTCCATGATGTCTGCTCTTCAATGCAAGACTGTAAAAAAAAAGTTCCCAACCACAGAGAGGGAGGAAGATCACAGAGCAGAGAGACCCTGACACTCTGTAGAGGAGCTGGTGAAATGGCAAGTATCTCTCTTAAGCACTCAACATATTCCACTCCATGAACAGCTCTCAGTGTGCTCTCATTAAGTCAAACCCTGCCTCATATGGTGCTGCATGTGTGTGTTTGTGCTCCCTTGTACCTCACATGGTTCAGGGGGATGTCAATTACAGCTTCAAACAGAGGTTTCCCAAACTCTCAGAAATACTTAGAAGTTAAAAAAGTTAATCGGCATATTTTCATCAAACCCCTCTGATCAGTTGAAAAAACGTGTTTCTGTATTCTCCAGCACAGAGCGCTCTGTTTGTGTGTGTAAGTGGTCTGTATACGCTCCCATTTGAACGGGTTTGCCAGTGTGCAGCAGCAGCAGCAGCAGCAGCACCCACAGCTCGTCATCACAGCGATGCAGTACGCCTGTTCCCATCCAGATGGGCACAGATTCAGACAAAATGGCCGCCAGTCTTCCCACTCTGCCAAAGATGGCGGGCGCAACTCTGTCGCCTGCCATCTGTGCATCCGTTAGCTGTTGTCCAATGCAAATCAGGGCTAATTGCATTTGCATAACCTCCAAACCGTCAGGTCGTTTGCACGCTCTGGTAATTGCTCGTATGAAGCGACGGCGTAGATGACGTTCAAGCAGAAGCGCGTTCGTGTTTTAGCGTGTTTTGGGGCATAAGTGTGTGGGTTGTTTTTTTTTAGGTTGTGGGTTTTGGCGTGCTGAAACATGTCTGATCGCTCCCTGAGATCAAGAGTGTGGTCGTTCTGTGCCATATGGCGTGTTTGCGTGTGATTCCCTTGCATGCAAATGTGACACTGTACTGAAAGATTAAGTCAAAGCTGTTTTAGAATCAGAGCTCTGTCACGCACACACACACAGACACACACACATACATAATACACAGATGAAAGCATTAAGCAAATAGAGCAGCTCAGACATGCTCACAGGCTTTAATTAAAAAGGGATCCATAGGCCCAACAAACTCTAGACACACCGCCATCGTAATAGTCTCATATTCATGCACGTTGGTGTCTGGTTACCATGGCGCTAAACAAATGGGGGAAATGGTTAAATTAGCCGCACATGACACGATAAATAGGTGATAAATTCTCCTGGTGAAGAATGATATCAGTGTTATTTCAAAGGAATACAGAGTGAGACAGAAACGATAGATCTGCTGAAGGATCAGCTGGAAATATTTCACCCAGAGATCCGATAACCTGGTGAATACTGTTCGGATCTGTTTATGTAATCAGACTGAAGCGCTGTGAAATTGAATATCTCACGTTTCTGCTTTTCCACCACTGTGTCGCTTTCGAAGTCTCATTTGATTGAGCCGCTCTTGTTTTTGGGGGGCGTTTATTCATGTGATGAGAGTCGTCTTTGTAACAAGGCGGCGCTCGTATTTGCATTCGCCCATCGGGGCAGCTGCAGTGCTGTACAGTTATGTCTACTGTGGGCAGCAAAATGGCGGTCACGCAAATCACAGGGTCTGTCTGCTGGTCGTGGGAGCTGAGGCGAGAGAGGAGGGGGAGGAGGAGGAGGAGGGGGAGGATTTCAGGGCGTCTGGTTTGAGAATATGAGGGAAGGTTGCAGGGTCTAGACTATGGGGTTGGGGGGGTCGCTCATGAGGGGATGATGGAGTGGGGGGGGGTATTTGTAGAGGTTATTATTTGAAGGGGGGGGTGTCTGGTTTTAGGAGGAGCAATTAATGAAGGAGTGAAGAGGAGAGGAGGGGGTTTAGTTTGTCTGCATTTGTGAACATGTGTCTGTGTCTCGGACATTTGCATAGAGCAAAGAGGGCGTCCATATGCCGCGCGGCACGGGGAGGCGAGGCGGGTCTGTCATTTCAGGGTCTGAGCTGAGCGAAGACCTTGCCAAACACCCAGGAACACACACTTTACCACAGTCCTCACAATAACTCTGAAGCACTCCTACCATGCTAGAGCCTCATGTTAGCAGCATCACTGTTTCTGTCCTTTTTACCAGCCAATGAGGGGACGCGGAGCTGCTTTCAGCCAATAACGGCGCGTAAAGACCCAGGAAGAGGAAGGGAAGGCGCGGAGAGTTTACCCTTGATGTGCCAGGCGAGAGAGGATAAACAATAAAACGCTTCTGCGCGGAGAGAGAGAGAGAGAGAGAGAGAGCACAGGGGGAGGAAGAAAATGAGCATCACTCTGCATTCATAACCCAGTTGGAAGGCAGAAAGATAGAAAATAAAGCAGCTGATTATGGGGAAATAGAGATCGAACGTCACACATTTTCTTTGTATGCCAGACACAGGGTGGTAGAATGATTACACGTCAATCTGAGGGGTACAAAGGCAAAGAAAAGCCCCCCCTCCGCTGAAAAGAAATGGAGTCATGAAGACGGCGAGAGCTGCCAGGCATAAAAACATAACAAAACTCTTTAACAGGAGCGGAAAGAGGAACAAAATATTCCTTCTAAAATGATCTCTGTTGAAGAGTGCACTCTTAATGTGAGGCAAAAATGATCATAAGAGTGTTTCATTTTCTGCTGTAAAATCAGACATGGGATTTTTAAAACCTAGATTTATTATTCATGTGTTTAAACAGGACCTTCGTTATATCGTTGCTACACAAACGATATTCCAGTGTTGCCTTTAGCTCATGAAAAGAGACACAGAAGAATTACAGCATTTTTAAAAAGTCTGTCTCATATTTTTAGAGTCACAAAAAATCTGACTTTATTTAATTCAGACCTTTAATTACTACACATTATATTAATTTTACATAATAGATTTCAGTTTTTAATAATTGCAGTTCTCTTTTTATAAAATTTAAACATATCCGAATTAAAGTAGTTCATTTCAAGGCGAGAGGAAAGGAAAGAAAGGTCTCTCTCTCTCTCTCCATCTGAGAAGAAATGAAGTCATGTATAGACAGGTCGTGGTCGTCAAAAGGCCTTAAACATGCAGACATCCAGACACAGACACAATGCAGATCTCCATAATGTGGCACATGAATACTGGCACGTTTAAACCACGATCGTCTCGGAGCTGAGGGTCTGAGTGGAGCGTGGGAATGTGTGGCGAACATATGCAGAACAGTCAGGCGCTGGCGAGACGGCCCTGCTAGCATGAATGCTGTCGTAGCAGGTGAAAAGAGGACCCTAGAGTTCAGGGGTCAAGGCCAGTGCAGGGGCTGTCTGGCTCATGTGTGTGTGTGTGTGTGTGTGTGTGTGTGTGCGTGTGTCTATGTGTGTGTGAGAGAGAGAGACACGCACACACTCTGGTTGTCGTCTGGGTCTTGATGCTAATGAAGTAGCCCGGCTGTTTGATAAGCACTGCTGTCTATTGTTAGCCCAGTCTGGTGCTTCAGAGAGGACTAGACGGGGTGTAGGTTTGGACAAGAGCTCCTTCATCATGTTCTAGTCGCAGCAGAGCAGCAGACAGGCAGATCGACAGGCAGCCTGAAGTCAGGCCTCCCCTGCTGAAACTCTGATTGTGTTGTCTAGAAGACTTCTGTGCTTTCTCTGACGTTCCCCCTCTGAGTGACACGTTGGTCTAGGGCTCTGCAGTGTGGTGCCGCTCTTTGTTTCTCCGTGGATTGATGGCAGATTCGCACGACAACTCTGCATTTCAGTGACTGGTGAAAATTGTCAAGATCACATAGGCTTTAAGTATATATTTAAATAACAGTTTGCAGTTTTTTTTCTGCAGCTGTGACTTGTGTCATATCAAACCTTGGATACCCTCTAACTTCAGACCTTTGTAACATCTTTGGTATCGTCAGAGCGTCAACTAATCCCACAAAAGCCTCTGTCTAAATTAAATGATTAATCCTCATATTAGCAAAGCTGTAAACAGAACTATTTAAAGCAGCACTATTGGACACACACTCATACAAGATGTTGGCTCCTTTGTTGCTGTCAACCTGGGCTCCGTGGTTTGTTTTGATTTAATACCCAGCCTTCCATGAATACCAATTAGACATCAGATGTGTACTAATCTGCGGCTTAAATTAGTCTCAGACGTCCGCCTGGTTTATTCCTGTTTAAGCAAGGTTCAAAAGAAATAAGAGTAAATAGTTGTTTTAAGGAACAACTTGAAAAGGTCATATTTATTTCTTTAGTTTTGTGTTTTTTTTCATGGGTTTTGTCGATCATCACGTCGATAGTCTTACACTTTTGAACCTCAGAGTTGAAAAAGTTTTGTTCCCATCCAGAGCTTTGTCAGATTCATGTTTCAGCAGGATTGTACCCACAGCAGATTCATAGTTGACACCTCCCGGTCGACGTAAAGGTGCGTTACTTCTAGATACCCCTTTAAGAGTTAAAGCATTACCTCATCAGGAGCTGTGTAAAGGCAGGAAGTGAGTGAATGGCTGAAGGAGCGCAGTGCTAACTCTCTCACTCCTTTATGCCTGTGGCTGCAGGCTTCATTAGCTCGACAGAAAGGCACCGCTCGCTCCCCGTCCCCTCAATAGACCCATAGACCTGTCTCGCTGGCACAGGCTTGCTCCAGTGTGCAGCGTATGTGTGTTTGAGTGTGTGTCCCTGAACCATTCACACACCTCCAGGCTTCATAGTTTCTCAGTCATGCCTAAAGGAAGCTGGGCATTGACACTTTTTTGAGACTCACATCTTTGTCCCCCTCCACCTCTTGTTTTCTGCCACTCGCTCTCCATTATTCTCCATTTCACTATTTTACTCATTGTGTTTTTTTTTCTCTTTCAGTTGCTTTTACTCCAAAATGTCTCAGATCTCTAACAGAACGGAATATTTAGTCAGGGACCATATGTCGTACTCGGCTCAGACTTTTGTGTCCTTGCAGCAGTTTGACGCCATTTCCAACCTGAATCATTTTACTTTAGTTTGAATTTCCCTGTCATTCTCCAAACTTTGAGTGAAATCTCCGTTTACTAAACATTATATTGAAAAATAAAGAGGCTCTATAACAATTAAAACTACTTCACAAAAAATCTAAAACTAGCACTGTGAAAAAAAAGCAGCTTTGGCAGTTTTTTAGATGGTAAAATGGATCAACTGAGTCCTTTTTGAATGGATTTGTTTAGCTTTTGCGTTTAGCTGCAGTACTGGAGATAATGAATCATCAGTATACCTCTAACCCCCCTTAAAATAAATAGGTCAACCAAATCTAATGCTGTTGTGCTGCATTAAACTATACTGTATTTTCTGTCCAGTCTTTCCTGTATCTGTGATGACACTTGACCTTTAGTTTATGTCTGTAAACCATTTTGGACAGTGGGGGTAAAAAAAAATGAGCCATCGTCTTAATGAGATGGAAACGCAGATATCGTCACAGGTCCGACTGATGCATATTCCTGAAATCCTCCCCATAGCGCCTCTGTTTCCCATCAGGCACTGAGCTGAGGCAGCTACCAGGGGTCCTCATCCATTGAGGAGGAGGAGGAGGAGGAGGAGACACGTGCTGCGTCCGAACTGCCCGCTCGGATACTACATGCTACTGCTACGTACTACTGCTAGATCCTACTCCTACATACTAAAAACGTTGGCCCAATTCGGACACACTAGACGAGCGGTGGGGAAAGACGACCCCCGCAGGCAGAGAGTAGGTACTGCGCCCGTGCAGACAGTGGTAACTGAAGCTCCTCATCTGCGGGCCTGGCTGTAGTACTGCAGCTGTGCAGTTTAATGATGGAATAAGTGAGCTTTACCTCCATGATGTCGCCACATATTTGCTCATAAAATGATTACTTGGGCAAATATGACACCATGACATGACAAAGAGATACAACCGCACATTTTTTAGGACAGTGTGTGAAGTTACATGAAACTTAAATCTGTACTGCTGCGGTCCCGCCTGCTGCTGCTGCTGCTCCGACATGGTGCGCGCTGCTGTGGCCAGCCGGCGTTCGCGACACTTTTAAATAGGCAGAGCAGCTGGTGGCGCTAGCATCACATGCGCTTCTACAACTTTTAAGAGGACGAAGAAGAAGCCCGCGGTGCATTTTGGGTCAGTAGCATGCCCGTAGGATGCACCGAGACCAACCTACAATGTGGGCGTGTCTAGCATCTGAAGTAGTATCTGAAGTAGCATGCTACTCGCTCCGGTGGCCAATTCGGACATGCTAGATACTACTTCGACTACTACTTCGACTACTACTTGGCAATTCGGACGCAGCTACGTACACGAGGAAAGGTGCTAGCATTCATGATTAGCATGTGCAGCCGCCATCGTGTGCTGAGCTCATTGTTGTTGATGCTGCATTAATGAGGCCGGTTTATATCAGACGGTCTGTTCACGACACACAATCATGAACACGCATTAAACAGAGCCTGGGTGTGACACATGACAGCACGCACCCCACACTCGCCCTGTTTTTAGACTGCTCATGAGTCAGCACCTGCCTTCACAGGTGCAAAATTTCATTGGTGCCATTTTTTGTATCATAAATTAGTTTATATTGAATAAAGTCAAAGTGTAAAATAATTGAGGGGGTTTTAAACACACCTGATGGTGATTTTAAATCGTCGATGTCAGGTCCAGTCTGTGTCAAAGCTCTGAAGAAAATAAACTCTGAAAGTAGAGTAATGAAAAGTTTGTTATAGTCACAGAAAACTGCAGCTTTGACTCAGAAATAGAAACCGTCATAGAGAGAGAGAGAGAGAGAGGGAGGGAGAGAAATGAGAGTACAACACTGTGGCCTGGTTTGTGGTTCCAGAGGGATAGAGACACTTTCCTGTTCCCTGCAAAATGAGATAGGATGAGCTCTTTTAACACAGACACAAATGCATACACACTAACACACTCAAACACACACACACACACACACCTTGTTCATTCCTTCTAACTGTGCCTGGTCTACATTTGTGCAGCTTTGTTGTCGCGGCAGCAGGAAACTGATTGCCCCAGATTTAAGCGAGCCTCCTTCACATATGCAGCAGTTAGCTGTCAACTCTCAAAACGACTCCGATCATCAATTTTTTCTTTTTTTGTTTGGTTTTCTGTGTCACTTTTCATCGCAAGTGTGAGTGTGTGTGTTTGTAACAGACAGTCTGACCTCTGACCCCGACCCGCTGGGAGGCTTTCATTCCCATAGGCTGGGGGCTGTGGTTGTCTCGCTCTCTCTCTCCCTCTCACACACACACACACTGCCGGCTCTATTGGTTAAGCGGTCCCTCGGCCACCCATTCAGGGCTCAGTCACGGCCACTTAGAGCGCAGCAGACACAGGGATTCAGATGAGCTGTGATCCAATGACATGTATTTATAATGAGGGGGCTGTGGGGACGTCTTTGTTTGATGGACACAATGTCTGCACAAGAGTGTGTTTGAGTGTGTTATAAGTTTGTGTGTTTGGTGGAGAGGGGGAATTTCTGTGTCTTTTTACACTTTCTCTACTCATTCAACTCTCACACACACATTCAGACTTTTTCTTTCTTGCCTTCAAAATTTGCAGAAAAGACTGACTTTATTATTTAGCCTGAAAAAAATCAATCAAGAACTTGCTGGGACAGCTTCTAGTGAAAATTAAGTCTCTTGTTAAAGAAAGTGAGTGAAATAAGAGTGAAGTTTACAATCACTTTTGCTGCCCCAATGGCAGATATTTTCACACATTACAAGCGTCTCAGGTCTTTTTATTTTTAGTTTCCAACGTCTTGAAAAAAGACTTTTATCTGGTGGCCTATATTAGTGCTCTTGAAATATTTGAGAAACACACTTGGCTTAGTGTGAGGCTGTGGAGTATGATCTATTGATGATCACATTTTTCTCTTGTTTTATGAAGGGCCTGTGTCCACTAACGGTATCTTTTGCATAGGCAGCACCTATTTTCTGATAAATAAACAAACAAATAATAGAGCTCAGTATTTAAGTACAGAACATCCTTGGTTCCCTGTCAGCTGTTTTTCTGTTGCTGCACTTAGAGTTGAAATAGTCCAACTTTTTAGTACTAACATACTCTTCAGAGTAAATCTTTCATTGATCAAAATAGTCAAGAAGAGGCGGGACTTCTGATATCAACTTACTCAATAACAATAGCCACAAAGCAGAGGCAGAAGTACTGAACATCGTTTGTTATCCAACAGCAGTGAGTAAGACGTGAGTGAGAAAGTGGGGTCTTGTGGGTGCTGCCAGTGCAGAGACTGCTGTCGGTGGACATAGGCCCTAAAAAAAGCTTTGACTAGACTGTTCTGATGTTCAGTTCAGGCCAGGATTTATAAGATTTGCAGCAATAGTTATCTTATAAATTAAATTTTTGATACCAATATATTTTGAGGAAATCAAAATTAAAAAGTTTACACCATCAGCTATATAATCACTTTTTTAAAACAGTTTATGGTGACAGAAACAGTAATGAAGTATTTCGTGAATAAAAAGTGTAGATGATTTTTGAACTATGATTATTTTGAAGCTCACACCAGTCTGAGTCTTGTTAGCCAGCCAAATCAAGGACAGTAATAACTTTTTTGATAAGGAGGAAACTGTCATTATTTTTTTGTCTTTTACAAACTAAGTAATTTTAGAAATGTGTGGCAGTATCATTAAAACAGTGAAAACACAAATCATTGTGAGTCCACCCAATACAAGTACGTCTATGTGTGCTGAGGGAGTGTGGTGTGTAGTCAGAGCTGCAGTCTGATCTCTGCCTACATTAGTCAGTGGTTGGGACAGCGTGGGCAGAAGAAGAGCCCTGGAGGGTCCTACAAGCTGAGGAAGGCCCCTCATAATGACCAGTGTCTGAAACACTGCCGCTACCCAGGGACCAGTGTCTGATTCTGATGTACTCAATCACAACCATAATCACAACCCCAGCCTCCTCACAGCCCACACTCAACTCCATTTTTGCTGCCTATCAGTCTGAACTGTTGGAGTATAATCAGAAATTTACAAAGTGTCATTCCACCTTTTCCAGCCTGACGTAGATTGGGACTTTACCAAAGGTCTTACACATTATTTAAAAGTGCATCTGCTGTTGTTGTTTTTTTTTATATTATCTATGATGATTAAAAGTCTCGACAAATGAGGATGAAGTCCCTTATCTTGGCTGGTTGACTTCTTATCTTGTTCAGTCATGACGGTGCAAAACCAGACAGTGGAAGTGTGTCGGCTGTCTGTGTGTGTCTGCTCTCTCGGGTGTAATCATGGGTTCCCCGGCTGACTGCGTGTCCCATAGTGATCTCAGACTTCAGAGGTCAGAGGTCATTTAGTGTGGGCTCCGATATAGACATTATGTAGTCATGACGAGGGACTACCACTTGAACCAACACTGTCCCATTTTTTTCTGTGTTATGTTGAAACTGCTGCGTCAGCCTGTGGTGTGACAGATGGACAGAATTGTTCACTGTTAGAGCTCAGGTGTACATTTATCAGACGTCTGTGGTTCTTAATTTAAAAATACAGAAAGATTTTTGTTGTGCATTTTCTTAGCTGCACTCGCTAATTTCCTCCATTGTCTTGTCTCTCTGCAGGTTCAACAATGTGAGGAAAATTCCTGGTGTAAAAAACATCGAACTCAAACTTGACCGGACTGGATTACATGTTTTATTCTGGAAAATGAAGGACTCTTACATACACGAATATATTTTTGTTAAAAAAAGGGAATACTTTGCTTTGAGCTCCTGTAAACCCGTGAAGATGAACCTCTAAATCTGGACTGAATCAAAGAAGAAGACAAGGAGAATTTTGTCATGTAACAACATTTTTTACACCAGCTGTACCTTCTTTTTCTGACAGTGAAAATATTTGTGTGTGAATAATCAATAAATGGGAATGGAAGATAAGCAACATTAAATGTTTTATTTTTCAACTGTATCAATAATTATCAATGGTGAATAGTAAGAGTCAGTTTACTCGAGTACTGTAACACATTTTTTGAGTATTTGTATTTCTGTATCTGGCTGATATTTGAGTCCTCTACATTTTCTACGATTCTTCTCATTTCTTGCTATTTTTGCCCTGAAGTCAGCTAATAAACTTCCTTTTCTTTTCTGAAATCCAAATGTTAAGACGTGCTTGTTGAGTTCTTGTTGTTGCTGTATCTTTCAATCGTACATCTGTATTGTTAAAGAGACAAACGCAAACACAGATCAGATCAGGCAGTTCATTTTAATGTGGTGTTGATTGCTACAGCAGTAATTGTTTGCTCTGTTTACCTCTTAAGAACTTCATTATGATTGACAAACATTAGCTTTTTCAATGCTTTCTTAATCCATGTCATAAAAAACGGCCTGGTGAGCATTTAAAGTTGTATTTTAACAAAATAAGCTGTGGGTTTAAAAATTGTGTTAGTCTGTATTAGTAAAAAATGTAAACATAGCATGGGAATTAATACAGACCATCACATACTTGAGCATGGGTACCATTTTCATTCTGTAAAACATCGGAATACGTACTTATGAAATCACAGACTTTTTCCATTATAGCACTTGGAGGACTTAAATCAAATATATTCGAGGTGATGATTACACATTGATCTTCTGATCAGGATAATAGCATCATATAATAGGTTGTCACAGAGTTTTGAAAAGAAGGTTTTGTTTGACATATTTCAGGTGCTAACACCCCTGTAAAGAAGTAAAAAAAAAACAAGTGTGTCTCAGCAGCTACACAGTTATCAAGTTCAAAAGGCCTTGAAGCTGCTGAAATGGCTGTTTGATAAAACTTCACCCAGTAAAGCCTGGCTGACTGTTACACTGGTGATCAGGCGTTTTTTTTTCCCGCCATTTCTCCATGTAATTTTGGACTTGAGTATATGAGTTAAAAATGTAAAAGATGTTTTTTAAATCAAGAAAACATTACAGAATATGCACCCATATATTCTTGATTGTACTCATGCATGATGAAAATAAAATGTTTTGGGATTTTTTTATCAAGTACATTAAATACTGAAGTATCTTTAAAAGACTCCAGTAACAAATGACTGAGCATCTTTCACTTTTGTTGGAGAGATATTTGACGAGGTTTATCTATTATTTGACTCACATGATGAAGTGGTGAACATTGTCCACCAATGAAAATGTAATTGGATATATAATAATTTGTTACCTTTTCTCTCAGGTACTTACAATCAAGCTAAAGTGGTTTTTTCACCAAGAGTTTAAAATCATGACGAAATTCATCACCTCTTCTTTTAAAGTTTGAGTTTTCACTAATGCTCCTCTTGTCAAGAATGAGTGCACTGAAAAGTCTTTGACACACAACCAGTAACTAACGGATAGATCAGCATTGCTTTGGTTTATTTATATAAATTTGTATGTTTTCTTATTCACATGGTGAAAAGTCTGTGTTTTTTTTACAATTATTTATACGGTCAATAAAAAGAGGACTGACAGACTGTTTTTCTCCCAGTGAATTTCTTCAAACCCTGAGCTGAGTTTATTTTGTTAAAGCTTCAACACACTTCCACAGGAAAATTTAAAAGGTCACATTTTTATCACTGTTTTAATATATTGTGTTTCACTATTAGGAGGTGTGAAGAATTAAAAGAAAGTTATTCTGCGGATCTAATTTAGCTACTTAGGACTGAGCGCTAATAAAACTTTTCAGAGGCAGCTTTTTAAGTGTTGTTTTTATCCTGTTACACCATTATCCAATGATTTAGGTTTTTGCTGCTTTTTTAGATTTCTTTTTAATTAAAAGGTTTCTTGGCCTAACACCAGCAGGCTAAGCTGCTGCACAGGCCACACTCCTAAAGATGGCTAATTAGTGCTAAATCTGTGCTGACTCTTACACTGGTGGGTCATGAGAGCATATGGAAAATAAAGCTAAGCACATTTTAATTTGAGATTTTTTTCATGAGAATTTTAATTTGAAGAAAACTCTGAGAAACTCTAAAAAGGCTAATCAGGCCGGCATGATTTTAGCTGTCCTGCTCGTGCAGTGTACACGCTCGCAGGACGTTATTGTTTGTATGTTGAATCAAATAAGGATGAAACTGTCGAGTATCTAAAATACAGAGCATCAAAAAGCTGAGGACTCATCTTTGAAATCAAATAACTAAACAGGGTCTGAAAAAAATAAAGGTAATGCTCTGTGTCCCATTAAAAATAAAACATTTTTGGTGAGTTTAAGAAGGTAAATGCATTTTGTTAATTTTTGTAGGAGTTTGCTCAAAAATAAGAACTAAAACAAAACTTGTTTGAAGGGGAAGTTGTGACTAAATCTGAAAACGATTAATTTAAAAATTTTAACTGTTTTTCTTTTTTAAATTAAAAAAAAAGAAAGAAAGGGGGAGAGAAAAAAAGGAGCCATCATCTGAATAAATGCAAATTGTCTTTGCCTCTGCCTGGCATCTTGCCAAGTATCTATAGCAACCACATCCTGTGACAGCCTCAGTCCATCCCTCCCTCCTTCATTCTCTAATTACTCCTCTATCTTCCCTGTAGCTCTTTTCTCGTGGTGCTTTTTTTTTCTCAGAGAAATGTGTGCATGAATAAGCAGATCTGAGCTCACTGTCCAGAACAAAAACAAATATTTTTGTGGATTATACAAAGAAAATTTGAGTAGACGAAACACTAAAAATACATTTTTTCTTTCTAAATTTTTTGTCAGATTTGAATAATTTTTCAAACATGTGGTATTTTCTAATAATTTCACTAATTTTTAAATGAATTTTTAATATACAGGGGGTGGTTTCAGTTCACTACCTTCTTCTCTCAGGGGTCCCTGAGTGTCTGTGTGGCGTTCACGGTCAAGTTCAAGTCTTCCAGCGAGGCCTCGGGCAGAGACGCAGCTCCATCTGACCCAGCTCACCTCCCCTCAGCTCAGAGCGCTGGGCTGCACCGCCACCTATCGACTATTTTTGGGACTACAACCAGAGAGCTTCACTGATATATATTGACTGAGCTCCCTCCAGCGGTCACTGCTTGTCATTACATACCACAAGTTAGTTAAAGGAATGAGCATGTTGGATAAGAAAATAAAGATTAATGATGCCATACAGATTTAAAAAAGGGATATTAGCTTATTTCTATATTTTTTTATTTAAATTTTTATTTCATTCACTTATTTTTAATATCTCTTTTAATTTTTTTTGGCGTTTCTATATTTGCTTACCTGTTCTGCATTTCTATTCTGATCTTTATTTCATTTTTTAAATTATTATTTTTTTAATTACAAAAATATGAAAAACTTCAACAACACAAACATCAATCTCTTTTCAATATCCAGTTTTATTTGGGAATTCAATATTTCCAAACTTTCCTACTGAAACAGCACCAGTACTAGAGACAGGACACAAGGTGTTAGTCGACACGTTTACATTCAGTTGGCACAAACCACTCAGATTTACAAAAACAGCCGCCTCGTCACTCAGCTGCTGCACTGGAACGAAAAAACACAAGTTGATCTGTTGTCACATGCAAACACAGTAGCATTAAATGTCTGCACATGTATGTGGTATCACCCTAAACAGGGTCAAAACTGTTCAATTTGCTTTAACAAGAGCAAATCAAAATCACATTTCACCAGAGTTTGTTGTAATAGTGTTTGACTGCCTCCTCTTTAAGCCACTGTCAGGTTCTTGACAAAAACAGAAAATATCGTCAAATAAAAATGTACAATTGTTTGGCATTTCATGATTGTCTGGGTTTTTGTCAACTATTCCGACATTTATTAATCAGTGTGCTTTGAATTGGTTGAGGGTGTTGTTTAAAAATCTCATTATCACTCTGGTTTCTCTAATTCAAACAGGGATACAAACAGCAATTAAAAGAACTTTCAATAATTCCTCCCACATTCTTCAGATTAGTCCTCGTCTGGTTGGAATGACTCGTCGAAGTCTGTCAGGGAGCTCACCCCACACAATAATACCCTGCAAAGGCAGTTTTAGTTTTAAAAAATTTAAATACAAAACTGAACCTGAAGTTCTACATTCAGACACAGAGGTTCCTCAGATTGATGGACTCCCAGCCACCCGCTGTCCTGTGAATATTCAAAACTTCAACACTGAAGCAAGGCTAGAAAATGGAAGCAACCTTCAAAAAGGTTAGTAGGAGTAGCTCAGTCATAGTAAAAAAACATTACTACCCTTTGCTAGGCACTTAAAGAGTCAGAAACTACCCTTTGCTCAGCGTTCAGTCAGCGTGGACGCCTCACTGCACAGCACACCTCAGCAGGCTTCAGGCTGTCATCACCTCAGCTACACGTTTCCCTCCTGCTACCCAAGGCAGGATATCAAATATTAGACTGATATTAAAAGACTCATCTTAGATCTGCTCCTCTGTTAACCACAGTGTGTTGTGGTTTTACTGACTAATAAAATAACTCTTGTTTCAGTCATAAAGCTCTGCTACAACTCTCCTCATCACTCACACACAATGCAAGACAATGGGAGCTCTATGAACATGGTGGTCGGACTCCGGCAGGGCAGAGGAGTTAGGTTTAATAAATGAGGGTGAAGTGTTTGAGCGATTTACTCGTCTTTCTCTCTTTTTCTTATTTTAATTTGAATCAGTATAGCAGATTATTTCATTCAGCCACAAACTGCTTATGCTGTTTGTGTTGGATTCAGGTATTTGACCTGTCATCATCAACTTAATTCACCCAAATATCAACATAAGTTCAAAAAGAAAAAGTGTTAAAAGCCACTTTTTAACATAGAAGCAACTTATTTTCCCAGATAAGATGTATATTGTTGCTTTGCTAGTTTTATCTAACATTTATATAACAAAAAAAGGCCATGATATGTTGCCTTTCTTTGAGTACCACAATAGATGGTATCATACTGAATCATACCCCCTGTGTTGTGATATGTTTTGTAATACCAGATTCTAGCCAGCGAACCGCAGTCATTTCCAAAGATCTTGTATCTTTGAATAGAAATAATCAATAAGTTCAGCGGTGGATGATAACTGTGTTGACTCCTGCTTCTGTGATCTGAACTCTTACACATTCCCTGTTAGAAATGAACTCAATCAAAAACACCAGGCTTTTTATCTGATGAAGATTTATAAGAAGAAAAAAAACAAACAGGCTTCACCACCTGCTAGAAGCCTCCTGTGGTAAAGGTGACACTGGTTTCCTGCCCTCTCCTCCACTTGGCTCTGCAGCCAGCCCAGGCCCCCCGCCTCGGTATGTGCGCTCTAACTATAGAAACTGTGACTCTCTCTGAAGACTGTGTGCCTGCATCAATACTGCACAGACTGCTTCAGATACTATTAATAAATCCAAACTCCTACATATATAAAAACAATGATATGTTAGATGATCACGAACATTTGATTATGTGCTGAGGTAAAGAACAATACTGAAAACACTAAAACCATCAAGTCTCTATAAAGAAATCCTATATCTTCAGCAGGTGTGCATATTTCCAGTCAAGTTAGTGTATTTGCATGAAATGCTACAGCTCTACACCAGGAGTGTCTCCAACAAAAATTCAAAAGTTTTTTTCTGAGAGCGGTCTCAAAAAGTGTCAAAATACTATCAGCGGCTGCAACACGAACTGCAAAATGGAAGACGACATTCGTACACTGCGTTATGAGGATATGTGAGGGTGCAGTGACAGATCAGCAGAAACATGGTTAAATTAACTATAATGCAAAGTCCCTAAAACAGTGCTGAAGCATCACCTCACACAGCAGCATAAAGCTATAAAGCTGTAAACTTCCAGGTGGTGGTGTTCACTGCAGGGCTGTTGTTGGATTACATTAGATCTTAAACTGTACGTGTTCCTACCAGAGCTGTTTAAACAGTGTGTATGGTTTCACATTTGGGAAATCAACTTAAAAAAGCTTCAAGATGGGTTTGTAGATTGAAGATTCTCGACGGACAGAAATCTGTTTGATCACCTGGATTAATACTTCAGGCAACAAATCTGTCAGTCACCTCTGCAGCTTTGTTAAAAACCTTTTTATATAACCAGAGTGTCCACTAACCAGAGAATCAGGGCACTCTTAATACCACACTTCAATTGGCACTGGCATCAAATGTTACTCACATGTATGCTGTCAGGACAGTTTCTCAACAAGAAAGTGGACTTGATATTCCACTCAAAAAAAAACTGACCATTTTGAGCAGGTTTGTGCTGCTTTAATCTCTGTGCTGGGGAAGATTTTCACTCCCGAGTCTTTCTTTGTGCTTTAATATTCGGTCTTTATATCATCTGATTCTAGCTTATGAACTACTTATTTACCTTTGGTTTAACTGCTTAAAAGGGCTCATTTAAAACATAACAAACCCGCACTTCACTATTATTAAATCAAATGCTTGAAAATCAACGAGTGGCAAACTCCATTGCATTGTTAATTTTAGGCAGACACACAAGGCAGATGGGAGATCCCAGTGTGTGTGTGTGTGTGTGTGTGTGTGTGTGTGTGTGTGTGTGTGTGTGTGTGTGTGTGTGTGTGTGTGTGTGTGTGTGTGTGTGTGTGTGTGTGTGTGAAACTCTGATTAATAGAAACACTCACAGGCCTGTTCCACTGGGACAGGAGCATAATCATGTGTACACACATAAACCCACATATTGCACTTAGATGAAGGGATGGGGATCATGGGGTCTTTGAAAATGCCTCATTTATCCAAGTATTGATCCAATCCTCTCCCAACACTGCTTGAATATTGGGTGAAAGGTCAGGACCCAAGAGTTAAGTGATTAGGAATTGAATCATTGAATTTTTGCTGCAAGAGTCTTGCTAAATTTGGGTGGGGTTACCGTGGAGGAGGATGACTACCGCAGCAGACAATCGAAGGTACTGCGTTTAGCCAAACTTGAGACATCTCAACCATCCTCACAGGCTGTATAATGAGCTCAAAAGTCATTGATTTCTGTGGGTTTCTTTTAAATGCATATCCGGGTCCTCAACAGAACTAGGTCGTGATCCCCATCCCTACTTAGATGTACATGAAAACAGTGTGCACATGTACTCAGTACCATTCAATGAACCCCCCGCCTTCAGGGACTCTTGCACCCCATGTTGCACACATATAAAACAAGAGGATACAGCGATGATATCCCCTCATCCTGAGCCGGTGTGTGACACACACACTCCACTTTCCTTTGTTTTACTCCCTATTTCTCCTCTCTTTGTATCGCTATTATCAGTTGGTGTAGCCCATCTCGTGCAGCTTCCTAAGGAGGATCTGAGTGAGGTCAAAGGTGGTGAAGCTGATCCCCACTGCCATGGGTCCTTTGATCCAGTTCATGCTGAGACCTTTGAAGAGTCCTCGGATCATACCCTCCTCGGATACAATCTCCCTCATGGTGCCCAAGATCGTACCGTACGTGTGACCCGTAACTCCGGCAGTCTGCATGCGGCGTCTGACCACATCCAAAGGGTAAGAGGCCGACTGGCTGATGAGACCTGCGCAGGCTCCGAATGCGAGGCGTTCATAAGAGTAGGGCTGCGGACGCCCACTGTGCTCTGTGTGAAAGAAAGAGAGAGGTAACACTTAAAACACTGAGGATAAAGAGCAGGCGTGAGGACAGCGGGTTGAAGACAAATACAACGATAAACTCTGACTTACCTGCATGTAATTTCTTCAGTGTCTCATAGGTGAAGAAGCTGAGACCAGCATAGGGCACGACTCCCATCATTGTCGGAGTGAAGCCCCGATACAGAGTCTTCAAACCCTCTTCTCTGGAAATCCGCACAAAGACGTGAAGGATATTGCTGTACCTACACATCAATGAAAAACACATCAGCAAGAAAGTGAATGAGAAGATCCACTCATACCAGCATGGGTTTAACAATGTCCTTATAAAATCAGGTCTGTTGTTAATTAGGCAACACTACTGTCTCTGAATTATGTATTTCACAAAAGCACCTCAGGCTACATGAGCACCAGTTCCTACAGATACATACAAAAGAAATTTGGGAGCATTCTCTTCGGTGTCTGTTTCAGACAAAAGGTAAATCTTACTGAACTACTGAGAACAGAGGTTTAAAATCAGGGCTGCAGACAAGTTTGAGGATGTAAGTTGGGAAAGTGTGATTAAAGGTGGGGTAGGCAGGATTCCGTTAAAGAAGCATCTTTTTTGTGCTGTAAATACAAAAAAGCTTTTAATATCAGTCAATAGGTATTAGTTATTGATAATATTTGGTAATATAACGATATCGCTGTGTTCTCTTATGTCTGTGTAGTCAACATTTTGAATTTTTTGAGTGGCCTGCTCTTTCTGACTGTAAACAAAACCATTTTCCACCTCCTCCCCCAATCTGAATGGTTGTGAGGCAGACACTGCTCCTTAGTGAAGATTGGTTGTGAGGCACGCTCTTTGCCCTCAAATAGCGTTCATGAGCCCAAACAAAGTTAGTGTGCTACAATTTCGGGCAGTAGAAACCAACCAGAAAATACGAAAATTTTTCTGAATCCTCCTTTGACCATGACTGCCAACACAAGCAAGAAAATCAAGTAAATACCGGAGACTCTGGTGGAATAACGGGCAATTAAAACAGAAGTAGACCACCCGGACAAGAGCTAAAAAGCCGGGTCAATGGGGGACGCTTCAGGATCGTACGGACCCTGCAACCTTTCTGCTGGACAGGTAAACTGCTTTAACAAAGTAAGCCAAGTGTCTGTAACAGAAGTGTTTCTTGTCAAACGAGACCTGCTGAGTGTCGTAGCACCGCTAAACTGTTGACCTCAGGTCCTGGAGTATGTCCCTTTATCCTAGTTGTAGAAGTCCTGCAAACATTGTGTTTGCTGGTAGTCCGTTGGCATCTACAGTAGCACCAATGCTTTTTACTTTCATGTTGACTGGGCCCCATTTGTAATTATCTGAAGTATTTATCTGCATTATATCTGAATTTAATTGAAACTATATGAGCGAGCAGGAGCGTCTGTTTGTGGGCACTGAGGGGAAAACTGGTTGGGAAGGGTTGTGTTTACATTCGAGATTTCTCTCCAAAACTGGCACTTCCTCAGATCCCGCCTACCCTACCTTTAACTTATACTGCCGTAAACACCCTCTGTTGGCTGTGTAAACATGGGCTTACATTTCCTTTGGAGTTACAGCCATTCTAGCTCGCACCATGTCCAGTGGATAGGTCAGCATGGCCGCTGTGGCACCAGCCATCGATCCGGCACAGAATCTTGGAAATGGAGGTAGAGCTCTGGAACACAGTAAAAAACAAGATGTGTTCACTAAACCTTGACTTACTTCATTGCTGCAACAAAGACAAAAGTGTATAAATGAAAGACAAAAACAAAGACAAAAGTGTATAAATGATCAGACGGACACATACTTTCCCTGGAAGCCGTAGTAACCTCCCAGCAGCCCCTTGTACTGCTCATGAGCACAGAACTGGATGGCAGCGTATGGGATGACTCGCACCATGGTGGCAGAGTTTCCCCTCCACAGACTGAAGAAGCCATCCTTCAGGTAGGTGCGGTAGATCAACTTAAGGGCCTCCTGTGATTCAGTGTACACAAAGAAACACAAACTCATGCTAACACCCCGTTTACACAGATGGTTATTTCAGTGAGAAGCAAATATGAACAAAACAACTTACCTTGACTGAGAATCTTGCTGAAGACACTGAGGGAAAACAAATGAGGCAGACTTTTAATTACCACATATTGTGTTATGCTTATGAATTCTGTGGAATTCAACTTTTTTTTTAATTAGAATTTTAAAACTGGATCCCACTTTGAGCTTCCTGCTTACCTTGAAAGATGATTTTTGTCCTGTCCAGCGGGGCAACGGCTGTCTTGGCCACAGCTCCCGCCAAAGCCCCAGAAAAGAGCCAGTTGAGGACAGAGCGAGTTTGCATCAAACCCTGAACAAAGAGAGAGGAACTATAATTAGGGTTGCAACTCCAACAGAGAGGATCCTGTAAAGACAGAGTCCCTACATTACAAAAAAAAAAAAGCTGAGTTAAAAATGTTGTTGATCATTAAACTGGAGTTATGTAAGAACATATCAGAGAAACCAGCTCAAAGGACAACAAAGAGGGGGGCAGCTGTCCTCAAATGAACCTCAGATTGAAAAAAGAAAAAACTACAGGAAGCCACACAGGTCAGTTTTCATACTAACACCACAACAGAGCAGGAAAATGTGTGACAGTGTTCAGACAGAGCACAGAGTTTAACACACAAACTCAGGATGCTACTGCATTTCTGCCAATGTATATAACCTGATGATGACACACAATTCTAGAGTATCTTTATTCTACTGGAGTGGGAAGGAGTTTAAACTTTTTAAACTTTTGTTTTCATGTAAAAGATGACTCGAGTGGTTTTAGAAGAACTGATATAGCTTGTTAATTGAATAAAAAGAGATAAGTACAAATCAAATATTAGCATAGTTGGTGACTAAGAAAAAACAGCTGCTCTGATGGTCCAATATTTACAATCAATCATGAAGCTGTGTTTTTTTTAATCCTAATATGACAAATATTTTCATATTCAATGGTTAAAACAAAAGGACATAGATGAGATTGTTTACTGTCTCACCTCATGGCTGGATTCTGTCTGACTGGAGGAGGCCAGCGGCAGCACTTCTCCCTGTGTGAGCGATGCCCGTTGTTCCTGGACTCCATTCCCCATTCCCAAGGACTAAGCACGGCTGTCACTGAGCACACTCATGAATTCAACCAGCAGGGGAGAAGGGGGAGGAGGAGGGAGCAGCACCAGGCACTGAGAGCTACAGAGGAGAGAGAGAGAGAGCGAGAGGTCAGAGGGAGAAATGGAGGTCAGTTTAAGGCTCAAATTTGTCCTAAATTTAAAACAACTGACAGGACATTTAAGTGGCTCAGCTTCCTCTCATTTCACTCAGGGAGCTGTCAGGGTCAAAGGACAAGCATGGCCGGGACTTCATGAATATCAGTTAGAGAAACACGAGGTTTCTGAGTTTGATTTCGACAGCCATTGTGTTGTCAAGTAAACCTGTCCAAAACAAAGTCTGTTGTAGTTCTTGCAGAGTCATGTTCCCTGACCACGGCTGTTTATCTTCAAACAAGAAACTAGAAATACAACATGCACCTATAGTAAACTGTTGCCTGAAGGATAATCCAGTTACCTTTGGTCAACTGCTGCACCTCTGAGGGCTATATAAAGACGCTAAGCAAAGCAGAACTACTGGAAGAAGGACGGTACGGTTGAGGAGTTGTAGGTGAAAGGTGTCTGTCTGAGCCTCTCCCATGCTAACATACCAGATTACGATTTGTGTGTCAGGACATTGTTACCTCTCTATTCAATTAAGTCTCACAGAAAAGGAATCCACAGGGGAGGACTTGAGCAGAGGTAATCTGACCACATTTACAAACAATGATGTCTCCGTGTTTTTCAAAGAGCTAATCATTACAGGACAAATCCTCCATTCATGCTATACCCTCAACCTTTCACCGAAACAGCAGTCTGCTTTTATAAAGGGCACAACTTTCACGGCAAAGACATTTCTGAACTGACTCCACCTTAAAACACAGTCTCAATGCTAAAGTTGTCAGTCAGCATTGAAAGAGAACAGGTATAGTTGTTGATTTGGAAAAAATGTTGACATTTTATCACCACACCTCAGGACAATACTTTGTGATAAACAAATTATTATAATAGTATTAGATTTGTTTTCTCTACAGTGTCACAAAAACCTGGTGATTAGAAAAGACACAAAAAAAATCTGTGGTTTATGACTTGATTGTGATAAAGGTGATAACACATTGTCCTTTTTAGTAAAAGTGAATTTTTGACATTAATGCAACTTTGAGAATTTGAGTGATATCAAATTCTATGTTAGCTTTTTCTACAAAAACAAGAAGTATTTATTTTTTATATATTTGGTTACAAAAGTGCGCAAAACGGTGGTTACAACAAAGGTGTGGCAAACAAATGCAGCCAGACATGCAAATGTAAAGAGAAAACTTACCAGGAAAGGCAATCTCACTGGTTGTTGTCACAGTTTCTCAAGTATAAACTAGCCGTTTGTTTCCTCTTTTTATTTATCCACATTAAAAAACTCATATCAACAAAAAAAGCCAGGAAAAAACAGTTTATCCTAAATAAACATGAAGCAGCAATTTTTTAGTTGATAGATCACCATACAATCAATATATGGTGGTAAATTTCTTGATCTGTTTGTCTTGAACTCAGCCGGCCCTTTAGATATGTTTTCAGCACTATTGTAATCCTCTGAATGATACCCAGCAGCTGTGAAAAGATCCCAGCAAAACAAAGCAGAGCGAGAACTCTGAAGGACAGGAGAGCAAACAGAGGCTCTGCTGAAAAGCTGGGTAGTCATGGGCAACTACAACTGGCATCAGTACAACAGGGCTCAAAGCCAGGCTCTCAAATGAGCACTTAGACCCCTAATGCGTACCCCCTTTCATCCAAACCACAACTTACAAACAGACTGTCCCCTATCCTTCCCAGCAGCCTCCTTCCCAATACCGTATCATTTTACAGTTCCTTGTTCCTGACCGCTAACTGTGTCTGTTTGGTATGCTGTGGGCTTGGCTGCAAACACAAGATTTTACACTGGTTTCCCATCATGCTTTAACCCTTCACCTTCATATCAAATATACACTTACAGTTAGAAAGCCCCGGTTTTATATTGTAATGGCTGGTTGGTGTGTATATTCTTTTTACAAAGTGTAAATAAACTTAGACATTCAGGGTGAGAGTGACTAAATGGAGAGTCATGGTGAGCTGTGTAATGATTCAGACTTATCATGCAAACTGTTGAGAGATATACTGTGATAAAGCTTATATTTAGGATTTATGCATTAATATTTTGGTTGATCTAATACACAGGTGTCAAACTCAAGGCCCGGAACAATTATATCTGGCCCACAAGATCATACTTGTATTATTATTTGCCCACCAGTATGAAGTCTGCAGATTTCCTCCAGTATAATAATGTAAACTTTAGCACCATTATTTAAAATGTCCTTAATAAACCACGAAAATCTGTGAAATTAAAGAGTAAGGAAGATTTGATAAATAGTCAAGAATGTGGGGGAAAAAATATTTGGTGTTTTATTTCATGTTTTCAATTTTGCATCTCAAGATTACAAGTTAAACATGATTGGATTTTTATTTCATGCTGTGTCATTTTTATACTTTAGATTCCAATTTTAAATTTTAAGTCATATCTTGACCTTTTAAACCTGATTTCAACATTCTGCTCATGTATTTGCTCTTTAAATGCATAAATTTTCTATTTTTAATATCATGCTCTGATCTTTTGAACTAATAAATAAAAATAGAATTAAAAAAATCTATCTTTTTATCATATTTGGATTTCCAAATGATTTATAATCATTGCTGTTTTTGTTACATATTTTATGAAAAGGAGGTTGACAGTTTTGGTGAAATGTTGACCCTCTTTGGCCCTCAGGTTAGACCTAAATCCAGATTACGGCCCTTGCTGTTGTTGAGTTTGACACCCCTGATCTAATAGCTCACATTAGGGTAGGAAAAAAACAGCCAAAATGCTGGCAAAAAAGTAGCTACCAATATTCAAACACAAAAAAAAGGAGCTTAGTGACTGATGGCTTTAAACAATCTTTAACCATTTAACAGTCCATTTCAAACTTGGTCTATAGTTTTCAAGATGTTAGAAAATGACAGACAAGATCATACACAAATGTTAGATTTTTAGGGACATGCTGTTCAAAGTGAAAATACTCTTATACAATATCAGACAAGGAGAAAAATCCCCCAATAATCATTGATAAACAACTTCAATGTTTTCCTGTGAGAATTTTCATTTGTCAAAGATGATCAATTTAATGTCTTTTGATTTGTCAAATACCTGTTTGAACTGAGAGTGATTCATATTGTAAAGATGCATTTTCTTTGAGTGTTGCTACAGTACATTGTGTTCAATCGATGAGTATTTTTGCTGTTTTGTAACATCACAGTGTCCCATATGCTAACAGTTCACTGGCATATTACCTTGAGTCAAAACATCTATCATTTCATAGTGCACTTCCACTGCACAACCTCCACCAGGCCATGTTTTCAGCTCAGCTAGGTGTAACCTTAGACATTCATTCATAAAAACAAATCACTATGATCCACCCTCTGTTTTACTAGCTGCTGGTGCACCCTTTACATTCGTTGAAACTTGTTTACCTAAAAAAACACACACATACAAACACACTACCACCCTTTTGCAGCCAGTCAGCTGTCATTAGTGACAAACAGGTCATTTCTTACCTTCTGAATCCTTGCACCAGCTCAGACCCGCACAGTTCTTTGGTTCCCCTCTCTTGGTTTGTTTCGAGCTCCTGTGAAGCTGTTCCGAAGTGAGCCCAACAGCAGGTCAAGTAACGTTAGCCAGCTAGCCGTTAGCTTACCGCTACATAACGTTTTCATTAACGTTATTTTCGTCGCCAGCATCCAGGTGATATGAAGAGTGTGAGTCTGAATAAAAAAACGTCTTCTTTTGTGAAAGGCACTGTCCTCCACGCATTTGTCGGAGTCATTAGCTACACAGTGACTTTTAATGACAGGCAGCGTCCATGCTGGTATACCTTTGCCGTTACTACTTCTGTCAACGATAGCTTGACCACAGTGAGATTTGACAAGGACGAGCGCGGAGCATTGTGGGAAATGAAGTTTAAGTGAGGAGGGGCATGTTTGGATAGGCCCGTTAGAGGGGCGTAACTACCAATTTATGGGCGTGAACGGAGAAGAGGTCCGCCGTGTTTTCTGGTGTTTTCTTGTCCTTAAAGTTGGTTCACAGTGTCAACAGATAACGACACAACCCAGAGGCAGGATATCAGTTAGGAAAAGTGAGTTTTATCATAGACATGCAGAGTAAAGTTTAAGTGATGTCCCTTAATGTCCCATAACTCATCTGTACACAGTAACAAAGCTATATAAGCCAGAAAACAAGTTGAATTTGAATAGAAGCTAAATAAGGCATTCAACACATAATAAAATTGGCTGAGGAAGTAAACAACGGAATGAAATCTGCACAAAACAGTACAGTTTTGTAATTTGCATAGCAGTAAATATATTTATATTTACCCATGTTACATTACGACGGAGTATTAAGGCCACATTAAGGAAAAAAATGTAAGACTTCGAGATTAAAGTCATAAATTTACAAGAATAAAGTCATTACTAACGAGAATAACGTTGTAATAAAGTAATAACTTGTGAGAATAAAGTCGTAATAAAGTAATTACTTACGAGAATAAAGTCGTAGTAAAACCATTACTCACGAGAGTAAAGTCGTAATAAAGTTATCACTTACAAGAGTAAAGTCAGAATAAAGTCCTTATTCTAACCTGTTGTTTAAGATGGCAGTTGTTAAAATGAGAGCCATGGAGCAATTCATGAAAATGTACTTCAATTTATGTTTCTCAAATAAGGAGATACGTAATCATTTGGCACATCAGCACCACATTTTCATAAGCACAGTACTTGTAGTAGTTGATTACGACTTTATTCTCGTAAGTTATTACTTTATTACAACTTAATTCTGGTAAAAATGATTTTATTAAGACTTAATTCTCGTAAGTAATGATTTTAGTACGACTTAATTCTCGTAAGTAATGATTTTAGTACGACTTTATTCTCGTTAGTAATGACTTATTCTCGCAAATTAACGACTTTAATCTCAAAGTATTAATTTTCTCCAAGTCTAATTTTTTTTTTTCTTAATGTGGCCCTAACACTCCGTCATACTACATAACCCAGACACAAATATAAAAATTATAATGGGATCATTTTGTGAACAAAACACAAGGAAAAAAGTGCAATACAACAAAAATGTGTCTTTCTACATCCACTACATTTTACATTTTGGCTAAGAAGTTACATCGACTCAAATTCATTGCTATGTTTCCTGGCATCGTTATATTTCTTCATGCCTAACTTCAATTTTTAGGCACACCCATGGGACAGGTTAACGTTTTTTGGTGATGGTCTCTACTTTCAGTTTGTAAGGCTGCCATGTTTGCCAGTCCACAGTTCTCGAAGCTCCACCTGGCACCCTAGATCTCTCAGGGCTGCTTTACCAACATCACCACAGTCTTGATGTGTCCGTAGCGCCTGAGCTATCAGAGCCTCTGCCCCCATCTCCAGAATTGGCTGGCTGTAGTTTTGCATCCGTGAAACCAGGTTTCTCATCAGCATGCATGCCTGTTTCTGTTTATAAAAGGAGAGAACATGAAGAGTTTTCAGGGTGATACAGGGCCTATTTGAGAAATAAGACACAAATTATTGATGACCTCATATTACCTGCACATTGACCGAATCCGCATGTGCCTTCATTGCCTGCACAGCTGCCAGGGCTCCTCCATTCTCCATGATGACTTTGCAGTTGTTTGGTTTACGCAAGGCAAGGACAGAGAGGCATGCACAGCCCTGTTCACAAAGCTACAAAAAAAAACCAACCAACAATCTTAGACATCTACAGAATTTACTTGTGTTCAAGCTCATTTTTAAAACGAAAATCTGTGGAATCAAAGGAATAACATTTAACTCACAGCTGGGTTGCCCATGTGTCTGTTCATAGCGATAACAATGAGCTGGACTCCCCCAGCATTTACAACGGCATCTTTCACATCATCATTTCCTGCGATGGCTCGTATTGCACTGAGGACTTGCCGAACCAACTCCTGCAAGGAAAATGAAAAACAATGAGCATGACAAAACATGAGAGATGAAAACTAAACCAGTTTGTTGCTTGCTTTACAGTTTGCTACCGGAGTCTCGTAGCTGTCTGCAAGGAGCGTCATCATGAGTTTCAAACCGCCCAGATCACAGATGTCTTGGCAGAACTCGTTCCTTACTGCCAGACGGGACAGAGTGGCACACAGCTCACTCAGAACAGAAGTATCATTGAAATGAGCTGTGAGGGGAGAACAAACAAATTAGAAAAGTCCCAAAGTCCCAAAACACCAAAGGAGCTGAAGTTGGTTGACCACTTCCTTACCTTTTGCAGCCTCAATTAAAACTTTGAGTCCATTGTGCTCCAGAACAATCATCTTTGCATGCTCGTGAGCATGTCCAAATGTAACTCGCACATCGTCGTCAAAGGTCATAACTCTGAGAGCTAAAGAGGCCTCTTTGATCACCTCAGCACATCCGCTGTGATTTGTGGTGGCTCTCGTTAACAGAGGAAGTATCCCGCCTTTCACAAAATCCTGCCTGTTCTGTTCATGTTTCAAACAGCAGTGTCGTACAGTACGGATGGCTACCCTTGTCAGAGAAGAGTCTGCCTGGTACTTCTGAAGGACATTTATGAGGAACTGTTGGCCTTCTGCATCCAATAAATCTGGCTGTCCATCTGTCAGTGCAGCCAGGGCAGCCAGGGCAGCCAACACAGCTTGCTGCTCCTCCACACTCTTGGTGCAGTAAGAGAGGATGACAGGATAGGCACCTTTTTGGGCAGCCAGGTACCGTTGGGCAAATCCAAGAGAGCAATGCTCAGTGAAGCTATTTAAATTTGCCATCATGTCTGAAACACCAGCAGAGTCTTGACCACTTCGTAGGGAATCTAAAGTCTGCAAGTGAAGAATGACATGTAAGGAATCAGGGCAATGGGCTTTACAAAGCAACCACTGTTCACAGAGTAACTCCTGAATTACCTGTAGGACTTCATGTGTTTGCTCTTCTTGGCTGCCCTCAGATGGTACAGCTGGAGCAGCTTTTACTATATAACTGAGGTCCACACCTGCATACACACAAAATAGATCAGGGTAAATAATGAAAACAACATAACAGGAAACAGAAAAACAGCAGAAGCAGCAACTGAGCAGAGGTGGCAGTCTTGGGCAGTTTTTTTTTTTGTGTGTGCAAGATTTTTATCACTTGTCATTAGAGCTGGGCGATAAAACAATAATGATATATATCGAAAATTATTTTATCGATTTATCGATATCGATATAAAACATGGTCAATATGCTTTTCGATAGTCAGCATTCTGCCATGTTTTGGTAGACCTTACGAATAGCCAATGAAAAGGGGAGTTGCTCTGGGTCTGTGTAGTACCAGGCTGCAGCTACATGCAACCATAGCACTTAAACACGTGAAGCCAACAGCACTGTCAGTGAGAAAAAAAGAAAATGAGTGCTATCCCCGGCAGAAATGCAGATGACATACAACAGATGATGACATCGTCAACAACACTGGCATGAAAACGTCGGTGGTGTGGAAGTATTTCGTGTTTTTGAACGAGACGTCAAAGAGACACAAAGAGCTCACAGAAGTAGTAGCTTATTGTATTACAAAAGAAATGCTACCAATAAGCACTGTTAAAATTTATTTTATATATCGTGACATATTTTGATAGACTGATATGAGATATATCGCCCAGTCCTAAGTGAAATATATAAAAAGTTTACATGTCCAGTGGGGTGGGCAGATAATGTTATCATTGCAGCTGGTGTAATATGATCCATCAGGTAAAATTTCACATTCAGACAACTAATCGGGACAGCAAGAGCAGCAACTGAGCAGAGGTAGCAGTCTTGAGGCAGTTTCTTTTTTTTTCTTTTTATGCAAGATTCTCATCACTTTTCATACATGTTCTTCTCCAGCTACATCACCTTGAGACTCAAACTGCTCCACAGCCTCCCTCAGAGCCTCATCAGGGTCCATCTCAAACTCCTCCATGTTTTCCCTGACAGCAGCATCAAAGGTCTCCTGTGTGATCCTCCGCTTTGCCATTTTGACACGGTCCTTCCTCAAGTCTGAAATAAAAATGAAACAGCCATGAAAAACCGCTTTATACAGTATCCATGGTCGTATCTGGGTTGCCTCGCTATTGTTAAGAGCGCAATAGACTACTCTACTCTTATAGCTCCCCGCAGCAGGTTAAAGCATAACGTACAGAGCTAAATAAAGACGAATTTATGTAGGATTTGTCTAACTTAACAATTAACATCTATAAAAAGAAATTCACTTAACTGATCACACGCTTCGAGACAAACAGTCCTACTGTTATGAATGAACCGACCACTGCTGTCGCTTTACGCTCTTTCCGTACGTATTTGTACGGCTCTCAGCGAGGAGCGCGGGGCGTGAACTGTGCGTACCAGTTTAAGTGAATAGTGAGTTGCGTAAAAGTCCCACCTACGCATGATCTCGGTCGGAACACAAACTGCAGAGTGGTTCCGCTCAAAGATGCACTGTCACCAGGGAGAGCGGAGTGAATCTTAAAACAAATGTATAGGACGTTTCTTATTGGAGCGTATTACTGTGACATGTGACAAAAAATAAGCACTTTAGTATTCAAGTATTAATTTGAAATCTTTAACTTCAAAATAAAAGAGGAGTTTAAACACAAACTTTATCACGTCTGGTGTCAAATATCGTTCAATGCCTCAGAACAAGTGGAAAATGTAAATACTGTGTAGTAAAGTCCGTCATGTGCAAAGATAAATTGAAGAATGATAAATATCTTTAAAGTATACTGTATGAGTGTGGCTTTATGTTGAAAAGAAAAGCAGGAAGTTGCTCTTTTTCAAGCTGCCTATGGGCTAATAGTAGAGATGTAAACAAATGTTTGTTGTAGGGCTCGCTGGTAGTCGGTTGTCGCCTACCTTTGTGGCTACTTCTCATTAAATTTGTAAATATAGTTTTTATAACCCAAGATGACAGCGAGCACAGAGGCCACTGAGGCCTGGTACTTAGCCCTGCTGGGTTTTGCTGAACATTTTCGCACGTCGAGCCCACCAAAGACCCGCCTGTGCGTTCACTGCCCGCAGGCGGTGTTTCAGTTCCAGCCGCCTCCCAGGGTCGAGGCCCGGACTCAGCTGCAGCTGGGCTCGGTCCTCCACAGACACACCAAGAACAGCGAACTGGCCCAGACCCACCTGGAAAAAGGGGTAATAATAAGAACCACAAACAAAACTACCAGTATGTGATACCTTTTTCTTTTTTACACAAGCTCACTGTATGAAATACTGCCCAGAGTGATACTGATACCAACAATCTTTGTTATTTTTGTCCACAGTGGTTCATATCACAGCAAGTATCCTTTTGTATGCCATATTTTTTACCTTTTGAATCTCACATTTATCACACTTAAGAGAGAGTACCCTGTTTTATTCCACACAAAAAATGTCTAATTATAAAGTAATAACTTCTTAATGGTTCACATCAGATCCCTCAGTTTGAAGATGTGAAGTTTGAAGCAGCAAGCATCCTCTCAGAGTTTTACTGTCACCAGGTACGTGTTTGCTGTCAGAGTGAGATAATGTAATCAATAAAGAAGATTTTGAATTATACTTTCAACAGGTTTGAGTATATCTAAGGCTTTAATTTATGAAAAAAGAGGCTTGGTTGTCTCTGTCTCAGTGGCTCTTGTGTTGCTTTTTATTTTCAAGAACTTGGTGGACTCAGCGAAGCCAGTGCTCAGGAAAGCCATCCAGATTTCTCAGCAAACTCCCTACTGGCACTGCAGACTGCTTTTTCAACTTGCAGTATGAGCATGTCATCTGTTCTACACTACTTTGTATCAGGGAATTTGGCAAAAGCATGTAAAAATGTATTTTTATACTGACTTTCTCTAATCAGAAATACTTGAAATTACTTTTTTGCCTATACTCAATAGATGGCTGGATTCTCTTCTGCCATTGTGAAGCAGTGAGGTTTGGATTGTGTTAGGAACTCTGTATATAAAGGTTACTATGACTTATATATTCTTTGTCACAGCAACTTCATGCTCTGGAGAAGGACTTGGTATCTGCCTGTGATCTCCTTGGAGTCGGGGCAGAGTATGCTAGAGTTATGGGCTCAGAATACACAAGGTAAACAGACGAGATTCATACTGCACACAATGATCCATGATTGTATGCTTCATATTTTATGTCCTTTTCTTTTCTTTGCAGAGCGCTGTTTTTACTTAGTAAAGGAATGGTAAGTTAACTGTCTCCTCTTTCCTCGCCTCTCATACACTAGCCATTATTTTGACACCACACAATTCTAAAAACTACATTTGTGATTTTGCAGCTGCTTCTGATGGAGCAAAAGCTAAGCGAGGTTCACCCTCTGCTGACGCTATGTGGGACTATCATGGAAAACTGGCAGGGAAACCCAATCCAGAAGGAGTCACTCAGGGTTTTTTTCCTAGTGCTGCAGGTCACACACTACCTGGATGCTGGGCAGGTACAGGTGTATGTGTGTGCCCCACTACTGGAGAAAATAACTTGAATCCTATACCAAGAGCTGCATTTAAAAGTACAAATATTTTCATTTTTCTTTTACATTTTAACACAAAAATGTTATGATGGAAATGTACTAAGACTGCATCCAGTTTTTTTTTTTAGCCCATAGCCATGACAAGTAACAAAAGAGCCCTCACTGATTTGTGCCTGTTGACAGTGTTAGGAGAGGAACTGTAAATTTTCTTGTTTCAAATCACACAAGTGGCTGTATTGTGGTTTCAAGTTTCTAACTTTTAAAGTTAAACATAATCAACATGTCTTTGTCTTTATTGGGGTTTCAGGTGTAAAACCCTGTCTGAAGCAGCTCCAAGAATGTATGCAGACCATTTCCACCCTCCAAGATGATGAAATTCTTCCCAATAATCCAGCTGCTCTCTTCCACTGGCTGCCTAAAGAGCACATGTGTGTGCTTGTGTACTTGGTGAGCATTTTCATAGATGGATGAACAGGTATTTTCATACAACCCTAATTACAAAATAATTGAAAATTAGGCAAAAAAAAAAAAACATACCAAAGTGAAAAATAGAAGCTTATTGAGAATTTCATGACAGCAACACATTTCATAAAGACTACATTGATCAACAAAACACTGAAAAAGTTTGGCAACTCAAAAGGAAAGAGTAGAAAGAACCTCTCCCTACTGAATAAGTGAATTTGCTCCTTGTAAATAACATGAGTGGTTATGTGGCCATCTCACAGAGGCAGAGTCTCTCAAAAATAAAAATGGGAAAGATTAAACATCCTGTGAGTGAACTATATATAAAAGTGATCTAAAAATGCTTCTGACCGAGGTGAAGTGGAAAAACTATCCTGTCTGACAAATCAGATTTTGACACTCCTTTTGGAAATCATGGATACGGCGTCCTCAGGGCAGGAGAAGAAAGGCTTATTGTTACCAGGCTTGTTATAGGAACACAGTTCATAAAGGAGAATCTGTGATGGTGTGGGGGTGCATTTCTTTTTGCATTTTTACATGTGCTATATTTGCACTATCTTCAGTCAAATAAAATAAAAAGTTTAACAATTTGCAAAACTTCAAAATCTTTATTTTTTTTTTCTGGGATGAACTTTTATGTAGCATCCCATTATTGAAATAAAAGTTTTACATAAACTCCGAAAAAGCAAATTCTGTCGGATGAGTCACAGATTTCCTTTCTTTTTGTCTGTGTGTGTTCAAGGTAACAGTGATGCACTCCATGCAGGCGGGCTATTTGAAGAAGGCACAGAAATACACAGACAAAGCTCTCATGCAACTAGAAAAGCTGAAGAGTAAGTTAGTTTGATTGTGTCGCGTCTTGCTCCCTCCTGTTCTCCTTTCTCTCATCTAAGAAAACAGGGCACCGGTCTGTGGTGACCCGACAGTTCTCCTGTTCCTGTCCCCCCCCTGTATGTGCCTGTCTACTCTATGTTTCTTGGGCGGGATGAACTGTAAATGGGAATTTCTCCTTGTTGGACAAATTATCTTGATTAATTTGACTGTGTGTGACTATCACTGACTGAGTATCTGTCTGTGTTCAAAGTGTTGGACAACAGTCCCATCCTGTCCACATTTCAAGTCATCCTGCTGGAGCATATCATCATGTGCCGCCTGGTCACTGGACACAAGGCCACAGCTTTGCAAGAGGTCTGTCCATCCACTGTAGACTTTTACTCTGTTGCCTTTTTTTACCAAACCAATGAGTCTCTTACACAATTTTACTTTAGGGGTTGTTTCAGCCTTTTGAGTGTAACCTGACATCGCGATAAATCTTTCTGTGTTCAGATTTCTCAGTTTTGTCAGCTTTGCCAGCAGTCTCCCCGGCTGTTTACAAATCATGCTGCGCAGCTTCACACGCTACTGGTGAGTCTCCAGACAGAGAGAACAATTCACTAAAGCAGCCAAGTCTTTGTCACATCATTGCCATCTGAACTCTACCTACATGTGTTCTTCTTTGTTCACAGTTTGTCTCAGTGACTCGTGAGTTCAGTAGCTTCAGAAGGGCTCACTGTTTATAAGATACACCTGTCCCGTATAATAAAAAACACTCACACCTGTTTCTTCTTTTCCTGCGTCAGGGCCTCTACTGCATTTCAGTGAACTGCATGGACATTGCTGAGGCTCAGTTCACAGCTGCTCTTCAGGTGAGCTCATTTCCACAGAGATGGATTACAATGTCAGTCTGAAACTCCAACCAGCATTTGGATATGTTTAAATTTTTTTATGTGAGTGGTTGCTGAAGACTTTTTGAAGACATGCAACAGCAGTCAAAATTCTTGGCTGTGTGAAATATCTGGATGACCACATTTTGTTTTGTTTTTTTGTTTTTTCTGTCTAATAGTTGACAACACACCAAGAGCTGTGGACATTCATAGTGACCAACCTGGCCAGTGTGTACATCCGGGAAGGCAACAGACATCAAGAGGTTTGGCAGCTGTTTGTCACTTGAGCATTCATAAATGTAAAGAAATTCTGTTTTTTTTAAACTATCTATTCTAACTATTTCGACAGCTGTACAGCCTCCTTGAGAGGATCAATCCTGATCACAACTTTCCTGTCAGGTAACTTTAGTTACCACACAACTTTTTTGGAGTTCATCTTAAGTTTTTTTGCAGATGTAAAAAGTCTAACCTAAAACTGAATCTTCTTCAGCTCTCATTGTCTTCGAGCTGCAGCATTTTACATCAGAGGACTCCTCTCCTTCTTCCAGGGACGGTACAACGAGGCCAAGTATGATCATCTCACCAAAAGTTTTAATGAATAAAGTCAAAATAAAGTCGTCCTTGTCCTTATGCTTCATGCATGAAAGCTCAACATGTGAACTTACATCAACAGGAGGTTTCTAAGGGAGACCCTGAAGATGTCAAATGTGGAGGATCTGAACTGGCTGACTGCATGCTCGCTGGTACTACTAGGCCATATCTTCTTTGATCTTGGAAATCACAGGGTGAGTCTACATTTGACCAAACATTATTTATACCTCACCACAGTGACTAGTGTCTGTCTTTGGGTTTCGTTAACTTGACCACCTTCTGGTTTCATGTTCTGTGTCAGGAAAGTAACAACATGGCCAGCAAGATTCCTGACATGTCTGTGCAGCTGTGGTCTTCAGCACTTCTCAAAGGTACAACTTTTACCAAGATTTAACCAAGCATTAAGCTCTGTGTGTGGTTGAGGTCAATGACACTTACTTCACAGTATATGTTCAAAGACAAATTAACAGTTTGACCAGATGGGGGTGCAATTGTAAAGCTTATACTGCACCTTCTTATATTTTGATTGGAGGCGTTGCATTACACTGTATGTCCTACCATGAATAAAGCTGCTTAGATATTTTTAAAGAAGTCAGCCCCTTGGACTTTTTTCTGTATTAATCAGCATTAGAGTTGATATTGGCTCAAGATAAAACTTTCATCCAAAACTTTTGGATCCTTCCTCTGGATATGATCAATTTTCACATCTACACATCAGCATCAATTGACATCTATTATCACATCAATTTTCACATCTACTATTGCTTCATTCTTTATAAATAAAGAAGAAGAGCTTTATTGATCCCTGAAGGGAAATGCAATATGAATAAAATGATGCTGTAGTCAGAAAAAACTCCTTCTCCTAGGCTGTTAGCTAGTCTGGTTGGTAGGTCAAGAACAGATTTCAATATTCGTCAAAAAAAGATAGACAGTTGAGCATTTCAGTGTCAAGTAATTGGTTCATTGTGGCAATGGTTTGTTGTTGCGCAGGCTAACAGGATTTTTTGGTGATAACTATGAGTTTGCTAACATGAGGGGGGATCTGAAGTGTCAGAGTGGAGGGGAGAAAACCCTTTTTTTTCAAGAGCATGAAATAAAGCCAGAACTGGATTGAGTTATTAGTAAATTGCCCTACTCATACGTATGCATTTTTTTTCTCTCAAGTTAAGTAATCATATAGAAAAGACATGACTCAGCATAATTCCATCCAGTGTTGTATTGTAAGTAAGTAGTAATAGTTAAATACAGTACTTAAGTATAATTTTGAAGTATCTGTACTTTACTGGAGTTTTGACTACATTTCGAAAAATAAAAGTATACTTCTACTCCACTACATTTCACAGAAGCTGTTTTTCCCCTTTTACCTAATGTTGATTTGCATTGCTCTTGATCATCGTCAATCAGTCACTCATGCCCAGGCATGTAGGTTGTACAGTTGCTTGCACCCACCTAAATGTCCAGTGTCTGTTTGATAGTTCTCGTCATGCCCAACTTCTGTCCAAAGTACTTTCTTGACTGTAGGAGGATGCACTATTGCTTCTCCTGATTGGTGGTTTGTGTGTCTGAGTGTGTGTGCCCCTCTCTGTGTGTGTCCATTTATTTTTCTAGGCTGTTGCTTGCACCCACCTGAAATGTGTGCTTATTTGGGCATAAGTGACTTTTGCAAAAAATAAAAATATTCATTTGTACTTTGACTATTTACTTTGACTTGGAGTACATTTACTTGCGTACCTTTGATACTTAAGTAGTGAGAATGCGATATACTTTAAGACTTCGACTCAAGTGGAATTCTCATGGGAAACTTTTACTTTGACTTGAGTCATTTTCTGGTAAGGTAACTATACTTCAACTCAAGTATATTTGTTTAGTACGTCATACTGATAAACACTGATAAACTGAAAATAAACAATCCTAGTTTGAATCAAACCTCTCCTTTTTCTGTCTCTTAGTTTTGCACCAATATACCGGGACCTCTTGCAAAGGAAACAAAGACGCCTGTTTTCTCATGAAGTGAAAGCGTCAGTGCATCACAAAGTAACAAAACCAAAACTGAGTTAGAATTGGAGATAGCTCAGGGAGAAGTGCAAAGTGGCCGAGGAAGCAATTAATCACCCTGCATTGACTTGATTTGTCTGCGCATATTCAGAGGTGGTTCTGATGTTAGGATAACAGTGCAGATCCAGTCATCAGAACTCACAATGTTCTTTTTTTTGCAGACCCGAATAAGGCTTGTGGAAACACCATGGAGGCTCATAAGGCGGCTCAGATGCACCAAAACTTTTCCCAGCAGCTCCTGCAGGACCACATTGCAGCCTGCAGCTTCCCTGAACACAACCTCATTAGTGTAAGCACAATCATTAATCTGTCAAAATGAGAACAGTGAGTCAAATCCACGTGTATGGATTCAGAAGAGCTTCTGTTTGATGTGTTTCAGTGGACAGACAGCCTGCCACTGGTGCAGTTTCAACCTCAAAATGGACCTACTACCGGCCTGGCCAGTCTGCTTTGAAAATAACTATAGTGGACAAAAGGAGAAACAGAAAAGCTATTACAGAGGAGACAACAAAAGAGGAGCAGCTGATCTAGGGGTAAGATGAAGAAAAGACTGGACAACTAGTCTTCAGTGAGTCATCTTTTTGGTGCAGTGCTTCACCAGGGCGTACTGACTGGATTTTTCCTAAAAAGCATAACAAGTCAAGGGCACACTTTGTCTTCCACTGACACACTCTGGTGTTCAAGAAATAGTTAGTTCTACCTACTCTGGAACAAATAAGACGAGAATATATCATTTACTTTCCGGTCAAGAGTTACTGAAGAAGGTTGATATGACTTTCATGTGTGCTCGGTAAATATAAAGCTACAGGAAGTTAGCCTAACCTGGCACAAAGACCGAAGGACGAGGCTTGAGAGGTGAATTTTGCTTTATTTTTAAGAATAAAGTGCAAAAAAACAGCTCACTGAGTGTCCTTTTGAGCCAAGAAACCCTGCTTAGAGCTCATATGAACATTCACAGAAGTACTGCAGAGTTAAACATGTTTACAGCCTGGTACATAAAATCATTTTAGTTTCTATTCTTCTGTCCTCTAAATATAGCAACGGTATGGAGGGTGTTTTTACTATGATTCATTCAAAAGTTATGCATAAGCACAATTAGATGGGTGCATGCATTTATTGCAGCTGTTTGCCAACCAGTCAGGCTTTGGCCCCAAACTCAACATTTTATTAGTCGCTAGACAAGCTTGGAGTTAATTATGGCAACCAATGTTATTGGGCTACATCACAGCTCAGAAACTGGGTGGTGACTTCGCTGAGACAACGTGAATGTTCTATACGGCTCACTCTTGCCCCAAGTTTGCTTTGCTAAGCCTAGTTGTGGCTTGATATTTACACTACAAACCGTAAACTGGTACATTGTGTTTGTTTTGTGCATCACTATCCTGTTTGTAGTGGGAAATAATAAAGTAGGGTGTGTTTTGAGGCATGGCTATCCATTACCTGTTGGCCTACAACTTGCCGTTACAGCGACTTGTCAATCAGGGGTGCTAAAATATCTCTGATGTTTGGAAAATGCCAAAATGCTCGGGTTTGCCTCAAATCTCTAGTTCATTGATCAGTGGGTGATCATACCTCCTACGTTTACTTCTTTTATAAAGTGCATGGCAAAAGCATGGAAGAGAAATCCACTGCAAATATAACTCTTGGCAAAAAGAAAACATTTCCAAAGCTGGAAATTAGATATCCGTGAGGCCTTGAGCAGTTTTTTGATCAATCAAAAGTACTGAAAGATACAAAGATCCAGTATTTTTATCCTTGGTATTGAACAAAAATATGTGTATCTCTCACAAAACATGAAAATTCGAAATGCAACATATTTCAAATCCACGCTCCAGAGCTTACAGCCCTTCTCTTCCTTGTACTTGTTTTTGCATTGCGGCATGTCTTCCTATCAGACGGCTGCCTTTTGATCAGTAAAAAAACGAGACACTCAAAGAGGGGCTGGTAATCACATCCCATGTATGCCCCAAGTATCCAAGGGAAGCAAAACTTCTTTAGTGTGCGGAAACCTCCAAACAGATCATTTAACAGTCATATGTTTTAATATAACTGATTTTACTGACACATCAAGCTTGCACCATGGTATTGGGATTTTAATTTCAGAAGACAGATCTGAGCTTTATCAGTACTACTCATAATTCTAGAGACGTTCATTTGACACATGCCTTTGACTTAAAAGACATCTAGAAATGCATGATGATAATAATATATGTTCTTTTAAAGCACTGGTTCTCAAGCTCTGATACGCAATAATTAACAGGATGCACTTGACTATAAAGCACACTCAATAACTTATAGGATTCCATGTGGTGCTGTGTATGTTTAATGTGTACTCGAAGGTTGGTATCTCAATTTATCACTGAAAAAAAATATGGTTTTATTCAATAAAAAACACATTTATGAAGGCAAGTGATATGAAACACACACTATGGCTTGCATGGCTGTTACTTCAGTATATTTCAGGTTTAAAAGTGTTTTCTAACAGAAAGTGTTTGGACATTTATTTGGACTCATCTCAGTTGGCTGCTTCACTTTGATATCTTACTCTGTCACTTTAATGTGGTGTGTGTTTGTATCGGATCTGCACATTAAGTTTGAAGCAGTTAAAGATTAGCTGTAAGGTTGACTGTTACTTTTTGCACATATGTTGCCTCATGGTGAATTCCACAATTTTGAAGTTGTTTTAGAGAAATGTTTTTTACTAACTTCAACTTTCCTTCATTTGCTGCTCGACTCTTATCCTTCATATGGTGGCAATATGACTCTGTGTTTGAACAATTATTTATTTATGTTTCTAATCAATGCACCAGACTCTTTGTTGTCCGCCAATGTCACTGTCACCCATCTGATATATTATCGGCAGATAACTGGTAGGACAGTTTAGGTTACATAATATTGGATGGGTGAAATTGAGTTTTATCTGAATATTAAAGACAATTTGCACAGATTATTTTCCTGAGAGTTTTTATTCTTACAAAACAAACTTCTGAGTTTGATATTTTGCCAAACTTTTTACTCACTTGTCATTTTGACTATCTTTTACACATTTATGTTTTTTTTTTCTTTTTAAATACAGTCATATGATTATTTTATTGCATAATGCTGTGAACTGCAGCTCACTGAAACTTCATAAATAAGACATACTAAAGTCGTTAATGTTGAAGATAGATGATTTGGTTAACTGTTAAAAATGTACTATTTTATAAATTTGCAAACATTGTACAAACTCAAACAAGGCTTTCAATATTTAAGATCTCAGGGTGAAGTTTGTATTTATTTATGTGAAAGTTTCATGTATTAATGATGCATTTCAGATTTAACACAAACTGTAGTACCACGCTGGAAAGTTTAATCTGTTTATTATTTCAGCAATCAGAAATTAATGAGAAACACTTAATACTTTAAAAGATATATTTAAAACATGGTTAACCCCTAAACTCCTCAACACAAACTCACAAATGATAAGCAAAGAGTACAATCAATGGTGTAAATTAGTGAAGTTTGAAAGCATATTCCAAATCAAACACAAGTTTTCTTTTTCTCAGTGTCAAAATTTGCAGTTTCTGATACAAATACCTTGCAGGTTGATTTGACCTCTTTATAAACAGCCAGGTTGAAAACTTGAATTAAAAATACGATTATTATTTGAATGCATTGTAGGGTCTAGATAGACAACAAGTCCAGAGGGTTGACTACATAGGCCACTGTTCTTTTAGTTGCAAGGATAAAGAACCAAAAACAAAACAAGAACTAATTTCTCTGGAAAATGTCTGGACTCAGACCATCAAGACATGAAACAGTTATAAAAGGCGTGATATAAATGTCACTAAAAGGCTTTTTCTCCTCAATTCTTGACTGCTGGCATTAAATTCTGTTTTTTTTCCCCTTGCCCTTTAAAAATTGGATGTTGAACTAACTGTGATTTGAGTGCGAGGGACAGAGAATAAAAGTTTAAGAGGAGCACAAGTGAGGGTAAAAGGACGGATAACTTTTTGTTGTTCACCAGACATGAGTATTTTGATTGGAAAACAAGACATTTGGTGTTTGCACACAAGATCACCATCAGGTCAGAGTACAATTTTACAGACTATTCAGGGTGATGTATTTGCCTGTGTATTGCACCACATAGGAGTCAATCTAAAAATCTATTTGCTACTCCACTGTGAAGGGTAGGCAGCTTAGGTGTATGACATTAACCAGGGACTGAAATGACCCTGCAGATCCAACAGAAGGCTGAGCAATGTGCTGGGTCCTAATGGCAGTGACTTTAGTGAGTGTTAATAATCTTACACTGCTCCAAAAAATAAAGGGAACACATAATCATCACAATGTAACTCCAAGCCAGTCACACCTGTGGGAATGTTTACCTGCCCAGTTAGGAAGCAAAAATGATTGGATAGGAGAGGCAATCGCCAAGGCAACCCCTGTTAAGGAGTGGTTCTGCAGGCGCTGGCCACACATTTCCCTCTCCTTATCCTTCCTGGCTGATTCTTGGCTAGTTTTGCCTTTTTTGTAGGCCCTCACCTCTAGTGGTATGAAACGATATCTGCAGCCCACAGAAGTTGCCAGGTAATGCAGGGCCTCCAGGATGGCATATTCAGATATACCATGGCTAGAAGGTTTGCTGTGTCTCCCAGCACAGTGTGCTGAGCGTGGGAGAGATATCAGGAGACAGGCCAGTACATCAGAAGAGGTGGAGGGGCAACAACCCAGCCGCAGGACTGCTATCTGCTCCTTTGTGCAAGGAGGAACACTGCCAGAGGCCTAAAAAATGACCTCCAACATGCCACTGGTATGCATGTTTCTGACCAAACTGTCAAAAAAATATTAATTTGGTGGTGGATCAGTGATGGTCTGGAGAGAAATATCCTTAGAGGGCTGCACAGATCTCCATGTACCCTGGCTGCTGTTAGATACCAGGATGAGATCCTCAGACCCTTGGTCAGACCATATGCTGGTGCACCGGGCCCTAAGTTCCCTCTGCTTCATGACAGTGCCTGGACTGTGTCAGCACTTCCGGGATGATGAAGGAATTGGTGCGGCCCACCCGATCCCCAAACGTGAACCTAATCCAGCACCTCTGGGACACCATACATCATTGCATCCACCTCCACCATGCACCACAGACTGCCCAGTAACTGACTGATGTCCTTTTCTTGGTCTGGGAGGAGACCCGCGTGGAAACCACTTGTCGTCTGATCAGTGACCATGCCCAGATGTTGTTGTGATTTCATACAGGCCCACGGAGGCCATACACACTACTGAGCCACATTATGAGGGGTCTTAAGGACATTCCTAGAAGTTCAATCAGCTTGTGATCCCATTTTTCAACTTTGTTTTTGAGTCTGATTCCAAATCCAATCCTCAGTGGGTTGGTGATTTTGGCTTCCCTTTATCATTCTTATGTTATTTTGTTCTCAAAATTTGGTAGCGTGTGTGCATGTGTGTGTGTGTGTGTGTGTGTGTGTGTGTGTGTGTCGGCTCACAATAATAAAACAAAATATTATTCGTAAAAAAAAAAAATCTTAAAAAAATACAAAAAATTGTAATAATTTGGCATATGTCTGCGGTTTGGTTTAAATTTAAGTACAAGCAGACTAAACACGATGGTTTTCGTCCTTGAGAGGATCGATGAAAGTGCAGGACACTGCTCCAACAAATTGTGACGTCTCCCCTCTCTCTCTCTCTCTCTCTCATAATTGTCATCATTTCCAGTGTCTCCAAAAACTGTTTTCATTTGAGGTGGTGGGTTTGCATGAGAGGGAAACTTTTGTGATGGTCGCAGTATCTTGGACACAGCTGACAGTATTGCCTGTGAACTAGTGAGCCTGTCTAATTGTGACTTCCTGTATTGTTAGCTGTCTTAATGAGGATTAAGTTGAAGCTGTCATGTTGCAAGGGGCGGCCATTAAGCCACCTCCACAGGAGAGAGAGAGAAGGAGAGAGGGAGGGGCTTCATGTGGTCTTTGTAGATCCCCCTATAGTACTTTTTTCTGATTTGCCCTTTTGTTTGGAATTTTGCAATGTCTTGAGCAGATTCCTGAGGAAAACGGTACCATCATTTTTTTTGTTTGTTCAATTTTACTGACCGTGTGACTTTCTTTGTTTCCATGTGACAGATCAGGGTAATTTTGGACGTGTTGAAACCTTATCATTGACCTTGATATGATCATTCTAATCTTTACAGGTTTTATCTGCAGGTTAACTCAAAGTTTATTAGCAGGGTACAAGACTGTGGTATGAGAAGTGTTTTATTTAATGTATACTATCAGTTTGTGTCCATCAGTAGTCTATTGGTTTTTTTAACTGACCTGGCTTACATGAAGGAAAACAGTCAATGCGAGGAGCAAAACAGACTTACCTTGAAGGGCATGTTAACATAAAGCAGTTAATAAAGACTGGGTAACATCTACCTGTCCTTGAATCCATTTTTAACAGGGATATTCATGCTCAACTATAAAATGCATTTTTTTTTCTTAAATGATTGTGGCTGTAGGCTGGGTGATCATAAAAGATGGTCCCTTGATGCAGATTTGATCACATCTACACGAGACAATAAGTGTCCTCAAGAGTAGTCATGATAAGAGGGGCAGAAACAAACAGACCTGACGTCTATGGAGTATTTTTCTGCAAGTGTGATACACACTGATGATGCACTCAAAACACACTAAAACCCCCAGCTGTTGGAAAACAACAGCCCCACTACACCCCCTTCAGTCTGTAAAGGCAACGTCTTCTCCGTCACTGTATTTCAAATGTGTGTGTACATGTGTGTTAGTGCATTTCTCTGGGTGTTGGTGGACGACAGAGGATTAGTTCAGTTCGCAGGGACGCTTTGAAGGTCTTGTCATGAAAGAGACAGCCAGCTGGATCCTTTATGGAAGCAATTCTGCAACTTCTGATGTTAACCCTGCTGCTCTGGACTTGCATGTAAAGATCTGACTGCTAATACAAACTCAATGCAGTGCAGTCCTCTTAATCCATTCAAGACAAAAATTCTGTATGTTATCTAGGTTCATTCAGAGTTAAGAGGTTCATGTTGCAGTCTTGCTCTGAGGATGGATGCTGGAATGTGACTTTTGTGGGTTCAAATGGGGAAGAGAGTGTTGAGAGTGGATTATGAGACTTTTCCGATAAGCTCTGGTGGCTGAAGAGAAGATTTTTAAGAGCCACAGTGCTAAGTTTTGACTGTGGATGATAAAACAGGCCTCTGCTCAGTCCTGTGAGGTTCACAGGGCTTGAGGATGCTTGTGCAAAATCTAAGGGATAATTATGCTCACATTGTTGCAAAATATATTGCAGAACCATATATTGTCCTTTCCAGCCCTTTATGCTTGGTCTTATTGACTGGTATGGAGACTCTGGCAAAAACCTGTAAACCCACTTCCCACCACCGTCTAATACAGTGGCCTCAAAGTTTCCATCCTCACAAAAGAACCACAGAGCTTTACATGGTATATGTTCTACTTGAGGCAGTTATGCTAGAAATCCAATTTTATATAAGCTTTCTCCTAAATTGCTCTTGATACACATAATGAGACATGTTAATTCAGACATGTAAAGAGAAAAGATAAATATTTGAATAAGGACTGATGTGCTGGTCGTACAAGTTCCTCAACATATTTACTGTTGGTTATATAGTTAAAAAATGTTAATATGCAATAATAATTAAAAACAATTATTGTACCAGTTGAATAGCTTATAATAGATAAAAATACATATGAATGTGAAGAAGTGACTGTTATTTAGGGAGAGAGAAGGTGAGGGAGGGCTGGGGTGAAGAGTGGGGGGTATTAGGGATATGGCTCAACTTACCCCGCTCCTATGGTCAACTTACCCCATACACAGGGTAAGTTGACCATAGGAGACCACTTTTTTTGGCATGCTATATTATCAAGACAGTTATGTTTACACTCATTCTGTTGGTTTGCAGGGATGCACAACATCATGACATATATGCAGGTACACTAGTTAGAGACAAAACTATGATTGCCTTGATGTAGTGTTCCGAAATATAAAAATGGCTCATCTTACCCCACTCTCCCCTATGTCCAGCTTGAAGGTGAAGAATTCTTGCTGTCTCACATAGAAATCCTCATTCCCCCATAAAGTTCATGCAAAATGTTAAAACTACTATTTGCTTGCTGTTTACATTGCATTGATGACTGTATAAACTGCTTGTAGTATTTCTCACGATTAAATTTTTTTTGTGGCCCATTAACAGATCCAGCATCTTTCTAATACCTGTAATAAGATGGTTTGCTGTTCCCACAGGGGTTGGTTGTTAAAGACCAAGTTGTTCATTAGGATTAAACTATGGTGTGTGTGTGTGTGTGTGTGTGTGTGTGTGTGTGTGTGTGTGTGTGTGTGTGTGTGTGTGTGTGTGTGTGTGTGTGAGGGAAAATATGTGATGTCTTTTATTATCACAGGTCCTTATTCCAACGTGTTGTGTGTTAAAGTGTGCTTAAACGAGTCAGTGTGTGTTGGAGGGGATCTTTGTGCGTTCTGGTAAAGTCATGGGTCAGCCTGAGGAGCCTATGGCTCCTGGCACGGTCACCCTGCCTTGGCCCTTGGTGGTCAGTGGCTTACATGATGTGATCCGGTCGCCCTGGTATGCTGAGGTGCGCATGCCCACTAAGAGGACGCAGCGGCTCCATGTGTGTTGAGGCGCATTATTTGGCAACAGACGCGGCAGTGGGGAGGGCCGAAAAAAAGAGGATATCCCCTGGATTTCTAAAAAGCAACGATTTATCGAGGTTAACTGCAGATTTAACACTCCCTGGTCGGCCATCGGCGAAGAAGGGGCAACAAAGCGACCGAGTAAGTTGACAGAGGTGAAGCCGAAGTTTTTTAGTTGGTGGATCGAGGGGAGCCTTTTATTCGGAGTCGTCGAGAGAAGCCAGGTCTTCCTCCACCTATCTGTGACGATAAAGAAGCTGATGGGCTGTTGAAAAGTAACACTTCTCCGCAGAGCCAAAGGTTGAGCACCGGGGAGAAGAGGAGGAGGGGAGGGGGGTCGCTTTCAATGCCAAAAAATACAATATTTTACGTTTCTGACACGTGCCAGTTTGAAACTGAGACCCCTGTACTTGATTTTGTGCGCTAGAAGTCGTTCAGTGAGGTAAGGATTACAACGTTACATCGCCAGCGGCTCTCCGGCGGCGGCAGGCTCAGTCCGTGGGCCGGTCGATGAAATTTATGAGTTCCGACTTGGTTTTTCTTCTCAGGAGGGGACACACAGGTAAACAGTCCCGACCAGGCCGGTTCTGTCTCACTTTTGACTCTGTAGGTTTTAAAGTTTTGTCCCTTTTTTTGAGCAGACGCCTGTCCCGCATCAGGGTGCAGCCAGGTCAGCGGTTCGGGCTCGGTTCTGGCTGTGCGGGTCACGTTCATGAGCAGCTGTCCAGCACGAGGACTTTTACTACTTTGACCGGGGTCTCGCGGCAGCCGTTGGTCGGATATTAACGTTTTTTTTTGCGCGAGCTAAAGTGGCTTCGTGTTTTTGTTTGTGCGATGTAGCTAATGTTAGCTCGCTAACTAATAACACGTTCACCTCCTCCTCTGAGGCGGTGTCAATAAAGAGAGAAAAGCCGGCTAGTTGCACATGTAGTGTGGGCTGGCTCTAGTTTTTAAAGGGCTGAGAGTGCTTTAGATGGTGTACTGGGTGGTGTAACGTTAATGGTGGACGCTGCTGCCCGCTTTAAGCCCCTTGGCACCAGTGTTGGTTCTGCTATCTGGTAGCTAATCTTCCTACTTCTCTCTGTGACAACCATAGTCTTCCTCCTCTTAAAGCTGAACACACACGCACGGTTACACACACATACACTCTGACACAGCACACACACTCCCTCTCTCCCAGACAGGCACGCACATACACTTCCAGCCACCGCTGCCACACGAGTTCGGGACAAAGCTGTGGTTCTGGATGTTTTCCAGCTAAACTAGTTTGTACACATTATTTTGACATGTGTAAATCAGGACCCACCAGTAGTTACGGTAAATATGAAGGAAGCCGGCGTTTGCTCATGGTGTGTTCACGGATTCAAGCAGCTTTTAACGTGATGGTGTGAAGGCTTTGGCATCTGCTGTGGCGATAATCAAGATCCTTTATGTTTAAAATGAAACACATTATCTTGATTGACAATATTTAAGTGTTTTTGTTTGTCAGCATAGACTATTTATCACTCATTGTCTCATTAAAACTTGTCAAGTTTCCAACTCTTGACATTAGGATTTGTGACTTTTCCTCGTAGAAAAGAATATTCTCTGCTCTTTCATGTGTAAATCAATGGCTCTGATATAAAGAAAGTTAAATTAGATAATTAAAAAATATATTATGGATTAATAAACTTTTTTTAATGACTAATAGTTGTTGATATGAAGAAGTAAAGTTTAATCAATTGGTTTGCAAAATAATAAAAACATTCCAATAGGGATGGGAATTTATAAGATTTTATCGATATCAATGCCATAATCGATTCTGCTTATCGATTCAATTCTTTAACGATTCCCTTATCAATACCTTTCTTTGATTAAAAAAATAAAGTAGACTATAGGTTTTCACAGCTAACTCAAAATTTTATTGAGTCTCTGATAACAGAAAAAGGTGTATGCCACCTTTAGTGAGAGTCTAAAAATAATCAAACGACAAACTATTTGTACAGCATTTACTTTGGTCGGTTTAAAGTCAAATTAGGGTGATCATATTCTGGATCCCCAAAAAGAGAACATTACTATGCAGGGCAGAATCTCACGCAAAATTTTGAGTTTTTTGGGGGTCAGGTCGAGTGTTTTTTATGTGCTTCTAACACAGTTAGTCCACAGTATACAAACTCAAAACTTCCATACAAACCCGTTGTTGTCTTTCTTCGTAAAATGAAGCCACACTTGAGATCGTTTCTGCCTACTTTTTGTACCATTCGCCATGTTTTTTTCCTCAAAGTCTCTGAAAGGAATTGTTAAAGGAATCGTTAAGATTAAATGTACATGATGTCGATGGATTGAACCATTTTGAACCGGTTCTCAACAAGAACCGGTTCTCGATTCCCATCCCTACATTCCAACAAATAGAACCCTTAAATTGTCCTGTATTGTCCAACCAAACAGGCCAAAATCCACTAACAATAATAATAATAATAATGATAATAATATAAAATCCACTAATGTTATAAAATCCAGTAATAGGAAATACTTAGGTGAAAATTGACTTCTAACTGAAATTACAACATGAACTAGAACTTTTGTTGATTAACTTTTTGCCAGGAACTCTGTAAGACCTTAACTTTTTACATAATGTTTTGTTCTACTTTGAGCATTAATCACTTTGGACATTTGCTGCATAATAGGAGAAGTGTACATTACATATGGAGTGGGAATAGCATGGGCTAAAGAGATGTGCTGTTGGGAGACTTTATTGCCTTTTTGTGGTGCTCTGGAATGAACCCGCAGTTGTTCGTGAAAACAAAGGCCTTGTAAAGTGTTATTTGCATGTTCACAATGTGCGGCATTGTTATTAACCCACTGTGAACAAAGTACATGTTCTTTCGTGATAGTGTTGTCTCACACTGAGCAGAAAAGAGGAGAAGGCTTTGACACCAGGACTGCTCAGCTACCTGTTATACCCACAAGTGGTCCAATCCAAAGTGTGATGCAATGGCCGTCCTACAAAGTGACTGTACTCATAGTATTAGAATTACAAGAGGGAGTGAGTCAAAGTGCTCAGAAGTTTCTGCCTTGTTTTTGAGAGAGGACTGTTGCAATGATCACACACAAGACTGATCCAGAGGAGTTGTGTAATCAGCTGCTGTTCTGGAAAAGGGCTGTCTGCTGGCCACATTTTAAGCTGCTGCACATGATTGCAGGGGTCACAGGGCAGCTGTTTGGTCAGGCCTCAATGACTTCATAGGATATAAGGCTAACTATTTGCTATCTAATTGCCATTTTCTGCCCATCTTATGAAGTCTGTTTGTTGATAAATAAAACCCTGGGTTGTTAAGATTGGAAGGTGTTCAAACAAGCAAGCCTAGTGCTTGGACACCATCATTGCTGTCACTTGTTATTCATCCTGATGCACCCAAGTTATTGATAAGAAAATGTTGCTGGTGCAGCAGTTTTACAAGGTGGTTGCACGGTGTTCTGAATACCCTGCGCAATGTAAAAATATGTTTTCACAGGTTAAAGGTCTGTCAGTGGGTAAATAAAATGCTGAATACACGCTGTACATGCAAGCAGATGTCGACATTGCATGTTTGTCTGCCAGCCTGAATGAAAGGGGATTGAGTGACTGACGCTTGACATGATTCATGAGTGACTTGATAAATAACTGCCTACGGGCAGGAAGGAAAGACACTCAGCAGAAAACAAGACAGGCAGCGATAAACTGTAGATTCAGGTGAGTGGCACCCTGATAGTGAGAGCAACATGACACCAGATTAAAGTACAAGCGTTCTGTGTTGGTGAAAGCCACGCTCACTAAGGACCAAGAATCTGCACGGATCTACGTGATTATGTGATAATTGTGGTTTAATTACACTGCAGGTGTCAAGAGGAGGATTGATTAAACCTTCACAAAAAGGAGACTGTTGCCAACGTGACATAGAGTAAATCAGCAACTGTTATATATTTTTATATGTTCAAGGATTCTTGTGCCCTTTAAACTCTTTTTCAGTATAGTTATAACATCAGGCTGTGCTTACATTGTAGTTACCCTTTGAAAACTGGAGTGTAGACGCAGAGTTATTTTTATAAACCTCAAAAACGGTTATATTCATACAGACGACTCTTTATATATAGACTTTGTTTATTCTTGTTCACTTCCTTGTCAGTAAATTTAGGCTGAGTAAAGTTTGTCTCCTTCAGTCCCCGAGCTACCAGATCTCTGTTTAGTGTTTTTTTTTTTCTCTGACACTGTGAACTAGAGATAAATGATATGTTATAGAAGAAAAAATGAACCACGTTTTTTGGCATTTACACTTCCTGTGATGAGAACTGCTGTGAGCCCATCATGCAATTAATGTGATATGACAATTACAATCAACTCTATTATAGTAGCCATGGTGCAGAGCAACTAATGATATAGGACCCAGCAAGTGGGACATTTTTCCTTTAGAAGTGAAATGTCACCTATGAAGTATTAATCTGCATTCTGGAGAAAAATAATAAAAAGATGATGGGAAAATGTGTTTTACTCAGAAAACAATAAACAATATTCTTTAGTCCAGACTAGGTTTTTTGTCTAAAGAGTGTTAATCCATTTTTGAGGAGTGCTCTCGTGATGAGGATAGTGTAAAGAAATGACCTCCAAATACAGCAGCAGTCTAACAAACTTGTCACCATGGCCGCCACCACAACGCCCAGTACAATAGCATCTCTCCACAGCGTCATTAAATGGAGTTTGAAGATTTCCATCTCATTTGAATATTTATCAGGATTATACAGTGGAGTGAGATGATTGCACTGTGAAGCTCTAAGAACCACACATACAGTCTGAAAGTAGTTTCAAACAGAAATAGACTGTGTGGCTCTTCTGTTATGTGTGTGTTTGCGAACGGGAAAGTGACTTGTATGTGAAGTTTGTGTCGGGATAATTTGTGTGTTGTGCTAAGTTTTCCTCTCAGTTTGAGCTGCTCTCTGAGGTTTTGCACCGGTTGCATGTGATGTGGCGTTCTTAGATGGGTGGGGGTTTTGATGATCCACCATGTGAGTGTGTGTGGGGGCTTGACAGATGTGTGTGTAAAGTGCCACGGAGATGAAATGCGAAACCTGTCCGCCATTCAGATCCCAGCTACAAAGATAGGGTCAGTGTCCGTGTAAGGTTTGTCAGGGGTGGGGGGTGGGAGGGTGGCGTTTATGAGTCTAACTTCTTCTCCCAGCATCTTTCACAGCTTTATGCATCAGAACTGCCCCCCCACACACACGTGCGCCCACACACACACACACCTTCTTCCTAACACACTCCCTTACCCCCTCCCTAGCAAGCGCACACACAGACTCAACTGTATAATGGCCGTCAGTGTAACGTCTGCTTCAGCACCTGAAGGGTTAAAACTAGCTTCAGCTTCTCTCTCAGTCATACACACACACACACTCACACACACACACTCACACAAGTCGACCGGTTTAAACCGGTTCTCAGGAAAAGTGCTTTGTGTGTCCCACTGAATCCTGGGAAGGGTCATGTCATGTGTGTCTCAGTGATGTCAGAGTATTAAAAAAAACTTAGTCAGCTCAGTGTTATCAGATGGCTGCTCTGCATACTGCATTGTGATGCTGTATGATTATTGTATAGGTACATCAGGAATACACTGAGTGCTTTATACACACCGCCATCACTATTCTGAGAACAGGAAGGGGAGGGGGCCAAAGTGTGTACAGTGCATGTGTCACTAAGAAGTAGAAGGTTGTAAGGGTTAATTGTAGTCCTTTTTTTTCCCCCAAAAGACCTCATTGCTCCCTGTACGGCACCGCTGGGCAGACTGAGGGCCTTTGCAGACCTGGCAAGACTGGACTCCATTCTCTAACATATGTGCAGCTGTGTTTCTACTCTGTGGTCATATAGTAAATAGTGATAAAATTAGTGTATCTTTAAATTTCACTTGTACTTTCTGTTTGAGATTCAGTGAACTTTGAGCACAGATTGTTTCCTGTTGCATGCGTCACGGGCCGTAAAGTGTTTATTCTGATTTTGATCTTGTTCTGGACAGTAGGTAGGACAAGGCCAACCCTGACATTCACATTCCTTTATAACCTGGTCATGACTTGCATGACAGGTATGTCTTGATCCTTGAAATATGAAGCACTATGTATCATTTCTAGACCTGTGCAGTTGAAAATAATCCCAGCATGGTGTGATATGTTTAAACATGTAGGCAGAATTTAATGAGTCTTCTCTTAAACAGAAATCATACTTTCCTTTTTCTACATATTACAAATAGTTTGTTATGTCAACCACTGCGTGTGAGTGATGTAGCATTAGCTAGGGACAAGGTTTGATCCAGATTTTCAAGAGCATGTGACTTTTTAAATCAACCCGAAATGAGTACTCTAGTGACATGTTACTGAGAAAGTGATACAGCTGTGATCACAGTCAGAAGTCAAATGAAACTAGTGTCACAAGAACAGCTATTAGAAAAACCTCAAAACATTTCCAGCAAACTTCATCATTAATGTTTCAAGTCATGTCAATTGCATTTTGTAGATATAGGATGGGTTTCTCAGTCAGCTGTTGTGTAAGCTTCACACACACATGGTGTCGTTCCACCCTTTAGGCTCTGCAAACTTACAGGGATCCCATCTGGCCTCTATAACCCCTCTTACCACCTCAGACACATCCCACTATCACGCCTCTGTGACACTGCTGACAAAGGCAACAAATAACAGTAGTGTTAATATGAAACTGCCTTTACCTAGCAGTATGAAAAAGGCCAACATAAGAATCTTAAATGCTGCCAATCTGCCAAGTTGTTGCTACTTTTCTGCTGTGTTCATATAGATGCAGATGCAAATGCTTGAATGGCGAAATTGAACATTCTCTTGCTGGGCAATACAAAAAAATAACATTGTTTTAAGCTTTTTTCCGTACCATGTGAGACTGAAACATAGGTGGACTTGATTTGAAGCAAATACACAGGCAGATGAATACTATTTGTAGGAGCTAAATGGATACTTAAAGCTACTGAGATGCTTGACCTGGAGTAACCTGGTTGACGTGCCGCGCTACTGAGTTTTACCATGAGTTTTGATTATTAGTGGAAGTCCGGACACTATTTCTCAAATGCAGCAAACAAACATTTATTGCGATAAACATAACCAAATTCATTTTGCAAGGAAAACGCCAGCAGCTAGCGCCACTATGGTCGAAAACCTTTTGCTCTTCCGGGTCAAACACCTGCCCACAACAGTGACATGGCTACCTTTATCCCTGAGCCCCAGATAACAAGACAGCAACACAATGTGAACTGCAACTCATAATATGGTTTCACATCAATATGTTTGGCTCCTACACTATTTACAATACAAAAGTAAAAACCAAGTATACCTTTTCATGCGTTAAAACGTATGCTATTTGACTAGCGTGTGGTTGTTATTTGACAGGTGTGTCTGAGGAGAATTGACCATCCAAGTCCACTTTTTATCTAAAGTACAATCGACTGAGCTGAAGTACACATCGTCATTGTTATTGCGCTGGCTGATGAAGTCACAAGGTCATGATAAATGCATCTTTTAACTCTGATATGGAAAGTGCATTAGAAGTGCACACACAACAATGTAATTGGCCATTATCAAACCATAAAAGTAAAGATGTATTGACCCATGTGGTCTGCCATCTCCCTGTCTCTTCTTCCGTTTCTGTCCGAACAAGGATACAGAGCAGCAGCCACTATAGGGGTTATGTTTGTCTCTGTGTACCATGTACCATCTAATGGTGCAAGTCAGTGACAGGAAGGCGGCAGCTGCATCCCTCAGACTTCACACAGCTAGCATGCCAGCATCTGGGTCAACTACATTTCAATATAAGGGGAAAATCAGGCTGTATTGGATCTTACACTCAAGAGAAGTGAAGTTAGACTCGAGCTGAAGTCATACTACATTTTTGGGTCATTTTCCCACACACATAAATCACTGAAGTACTTGAATTTATTTAGTTGTTATGAATTGATAAACAGGAATCAAGCTTCAGTTAAGTTTGTTTATTCCCTAAAATTGATTGCAGCTTTTCTTTGATTTGAATGTCATGTTCTTAATTCTCTTTGATGTCTTTGTGTTGGATTTTTCGCTGTTACAAATCTTTGGTGAAGACCTTGTCTTTTGCAGTGACATTGAGTACCTTCTGAGTAGTCATTTTCTCAGTTTTCCCCTTATTTTGGTTTCTGGTTCAGGCTGAAATGTGGATAATTAGATGTTTTGGTATCATACTTGAGTCACCATCTTTGTCATGTGACTTTACTAATCCAACATGTTTTGTCTGGAGGCCATTTTAGTCACCACCGTGTCCTCTTCAGCTGATTCAAGGTCAGTTTTGTCTACAATTGTTCACAGCCACTCCGAGCTTAATGGATTACTTCAGTTTTAATGCGATGATAGCACAGTCAAAAAAGGACCATTATCCACCAATCACCAATGTTAAAGATGTGTTTAAATATTGCGGTGTGCAACCTTAAATTTCTAGCTGTGACAATTAACATTTTGAACATAAGCCTCATTTGTTTGCTGACATTCAGGAGTGTTTTACATATTGCTGTTGTTTGTTGCTTCCATCTATTTCTCGTCACATTTTGTTTTTACTGCCTTTAGGGGCCGAAAAATTATGTTCCTGCTGAAACTCAAAATAACAGTCACCAGTCTTTGACATGAACTTCTTTTAGCTCCACATCTTCCAAGCAAAAAGACAGCCAGCGTACTTTTTTTTGTAAATAAACAGAAGTTTTGTACTCAGTCAGCTTTACTTGGAAACATGCTGTGTGTTTATCCTTGACGGCTAACAAAGGTGCCAATTTCCTCCCCTGCAAATCATGGATGCAGCTTTGGCAGCTGGGCCCTCTTTATACCAATGAAAGTTTCTCATTGACTCAAAAACAACTACAACGACAAAACATGTTTGTAGTTTTGAGGATACCCCTCATGAGCGTTTTTATTGTATAAATCAAGATCTGTAATGTTCCTCTGAACACCATCTCCCAGGACCGGAGTCTCTAATGTGTACACGTCTGGGATAAACCTCTGGATGTTGCTTTTAAAGGGGCAATCAATGTGGTTGTTGGTTTACAACAGTGAAAGAATTGTATCAAGGTTTCCCTGTTTCCAAGTCTCAGTCCCCACCCTAAAGCCACAGCACCAGACCCTTTTATCTACATCACAGCGCTTGTGCTTGTGTATTTGACGATACATTGGGGCAGCCCTAGACACTCGTAGCACATGCACTCCTTTGGATTAGGATCAAATTTATTGGTTTGCCTTGTAACCAGAATACAGTTAAAAGTGGTGTTTTCAGCATAATCTGACATGTTAAAGTCCCACTCCGATTGTTTTTTTCCTACTACTTAAAGTGTTCTCAGTGGTCTTTAAATTGTGATGTAAGGTTTTTAGCCAAAATCATCAAGGGCTTTTCTTCTACAGAGCTCGAGTAGCTCATTAGCAATTCACCTCTGAGTGATGGGCAGAGACAGTGCTGCTCTGCATACTCCCCCTCCAGTTAGCTTGCAGCCTAACATTGCTGGTGTAGTAGAAGAAACAGGTAACATAGGAGCTTTCAGCTCTCAGACACTATTGTCTTTAGAGACATGATGAAAGTTAGTATCATAATTAGCTGTCTTACGAGCACTTCAATCCCCTAACGCAGACACTTGTTCCGCGATCGTCCTCTATACTTCTTTGAGTCTGACCTGCATGGCGGGGCTCTGGGGGCGGAGCTTGGATTGGTTACATAGGAAATCTCACTGTATCTGAACCAGCCGTTTGGATCTGCCAGCGATTCACAGCGATTTGAATGCAAGAATACTCAGAAATGCAATTTTGCATTTAGTTTTCTCATGATATGTCCTCTAGTATCAGAAAAATGCAATATGAACATGTAGACAACAAGAAAAACATGATTTTCAGAATGGTATAGTTATGGCCTGTGTGTCTTGTGTGATTTCACGTTATGTTTTTATCATGTTTAAATGTATAGCAAAACTGAGACTGAGATTGTCTTTTCTTTCGTCTCCAGGGGATGTCTGAGGAGGCTGTCCGCCAGACACGCAGCCAGAAGAGGGCACTGGAGAGAGAGGCTGCCCCTCAGTCGACAGAACCAACCAATGATGAAAGCGAAACTAAAAAGCCTAAACTGTACTCACCTGAACCCTCAACAGAGACACAAAGTAAACCTGAACCTCCTGTCGCACTTGACAGTAAAAGCCTGGCTGAGGATGGATCAGAACCTGAGAAAGAGCAGGTGAAGGAGCAGAGCCAATCACCATTATCTTTAGCATTACCTTTGGCCTCTCAGCTGGCTAAGGATGATCGGACCCAGAAACAACAAACAGTTGAACCCAGCTCAGACTGTCGGACTGAGAGCAGTGACAGATCCAGCAAGGCGAGGACAGAGCCGGTTGTGGATACAAGGAGTCGGGTCAAACCGACAGAGCCTAAGGTTGCCAGTGGCATGCTGGCTGCAGGCGAGGTGAAGGCCACCATCAAAGTGGAAGTTCAGACGGGAGAGCAGCCGGTGGATATGAGCACCTCCAGAAGGTGAGAAGCACAGTAGTACCCGTGGAAAAGTCATGATTCGAATGTTCTGGAAACTTGAATGCCCAAAAGTTTTTTGTTTATATGAGACGATTCTGGTTACCTGACTCGACTTTTTTGTGTGGTAAAAACTTACTTTAGTGCAAATGTGTCTTTTAGCCCGAGCCTCTGAAGACCTCCAATGTTCAAACTTCGTTCTGTACTTGTTCTGTTTGTGTAACTTTGTGTTTAGAGGGACAGTGTGAGGTTTTTTTTTAGTCCTCAGAGGTAAACTTTTATCTTCCAGTCCACCTCCATTTTCCCCCCACTCAGCACCTGAACCCTAAAAACTCCCCTCACACAAAATGAAGCCGTGTGTCACAAACCGGTTCCAGCCGGTCGTTGCCATGGTTTCCACAGTGGAAGGAACGGTGAGGGGAGGGGAATGGAGGGGGGGAGAGTGAGTATATCACGTGATGATGACTTGGAGATCATGTGACTTCTTTGGAAGAGTAGTGATTAATCCACAGGAAGTAATGATGGCGCTAAGCTCTGAAGAGAGACTAACACACACACACACGCACACACACACACACAAATATAGGGAGGACTGCCAGGAGGGACCAGCCTCATGTTGTCATATGCTGGTTTTAACTACTTGATGTGCGTCATAGTGATACATAGCCTGTGTGATTATGAGGAGTTATCATTTTTAGAGAAACTCCACTCTTGTTCTTCAGTTTTTCAGCGCCCTTAGTCGAAGAATTTAGGTCATCCACTCTCACACTAGCCCACAGTTGAACCGGTCGCTTTGCAGGAGAAGCTATACGTGTGTATAATCATGTCGACAGAAGCGAGAGAGGAGCCAAACAGCCTCCAAGATTCCCACCACGCTTTAATGTCTTTAGCATGCTTTAATGATGTATGTCTTCACCTCCCACTTCACCTTAAAAAATGTTGTGTACATATATCATCCCTCGCCGCACAATATGTTGTTTTGACAGGGAATGTGTGCTCTTGAACAGCCGTTGCGTTTTAACTGTAAGACTTTTTCTTAAACTGTAAGTCCCTCCTCCTCAACATTTAGGCCTGCTCTGCTGTTGGCGTTGCATCAACACGGAGAGAGGCTGTGTGGAGAATCTGTGAGTCTGGACTTGCTTAGATAAAAAAAAAAGGGCCGATCAGCCCTCTGTGAAAAACTGTAATTCAGGTTGAGAACAGACACTACTAATAGATGCTAATATTTAAGCCAGTTATGGCGTACAACATCCCATCCCAAAATATTCTTTTCAACCTCAATGAATTAGACAGTAGAAGCACACACATATCTCTATTTAGATATAATTTTAGCACTTTTTGTATTAAAATACAGGAAATGTGTCTAAAAATATGCATCAGCCAATAGAATATCTTATTTTGTTTGAAAGGGATCAGCCATACAGGAGCTGAGTATGATGCTGTTTAACATAAAGACTGAGTCTGATTAAGCAGAATAATCAAAATAGTAACAAAAGGGGAGAACTGAAGATGAAGTATTATGTGTAGTTGTTTACACCCCAGTATTTTTCTCAGTGCTGGGATTTGTAGGAATTAGTGATATGATTTGTGTTTAATCAGTAGTTGATTGATCAATCAAATGCTGTTATATCTGTTTGAATGTCTTTCTCCGGCTTGTGTCCAGCAGTATCAAAAGAGAGAAGCGTCCTCCGTCCCCTGAAGATGACGACGTTATCATCCTGTCAGATAATGACTCCCCGAGTCCACCAATGAATGGCCTTAGTCATTTTAAGGAGCTCGACACAGACTTGCTGATGGTGAGTCACAACAAAGTTTGGCTTAAATGTGCAGCTTTTTTAATGTAGAGACTTTTAGTTGGTTTCATAGAGACATGCTATCCTCAAAGATAAACATAAACCAGCAATTAAAGGTTAAATATCTAAGCATTAGTATTGACATGTGTTTCAACAAGCAGTTTAGATAAGAGGAATATTTTTTGTCTTTTATAATTTGAGCGGTGAAAAATATGTCATGATTTCTTGACTACAGAAGAGCAGCCCAGCTGAGAGGGAGAGCATCATCAAGCAGCTGAAGGAGGAGCTGAGACTGGAGGAGGCAAAGCTGGTGCTGCTGAAGAAACTTCGACAGAGTCAGATACAGAGGGACACGGTGCAAAAGGTAACCGCAGTTAATGACCCAGATCAACACAGGGTCACTCAAAGAGTACCAACATGGGCATCACTAGGGGTGGGAGAAATGCAGCATAGTATCACAATATTTTGTCTGGTGATATTTCGTATCGTCTCATTGACCAAATGTCGATTTTTCAAATTAATTGCTTACATGGAGTAAAATCTATGATAATGGAAAAATAAAATCAACTGTTTGAGGTTGGCAGAGGTGACATCATAGAGCAGATGAAAGTTAGTACAACAAATATATATAAAGTTTGCAAGATATGCTGCATGAAAATAAAATACTGTGTGAATAAGACAAACACAAAGGAAAGCCAAATGCTAAATTAGCTAAACAGTAGAAAATATTATATAAATCGCAATATATTGTATCGCAGTACTCGCTGTATTGCAAAATGTTAAAAATCACAATAATATCGTATCGTGGTCCAAATATCATGATAATATCCTATCGTGGGGCCACTGGTGATTCCCACCCCTAGGCATCACTGCACGCGTTCCTCTTGTATCCCTGTGAACTTGTGTGAGCTGCTGACCAGAGCACAGGTGTAAACGCTCCCAGGATCCTTTGCAGGAACATGTGCTTTGAAATTCAGTTACCCAGATGACTTTCAGAAGTGGCCTGAACCACATTTTTTGCATATGTTTCTGTTTACTTTTTGTATCCATGGCAACTGTAACATCAGCTGACAGACCCTATTCCCATATCTTGGCTGTGTCAGAAATGACTGCTTTTATTCCAAGCATGTGAAAAAGCGGCGACACATTAAGATTATGGAGTCCACCAAAATACAAAAATGCTTTAGTCATTACCAAACAGTGTTTTGGTGTTATTGTAATCTGGGCAGCTCTGGGGAGAGGATAGGAAGGCAAGGCAGTGCCAGGATGAGGATGTGGCCCTAAAACGGTTCAGCATAGTTTATAATAACACAGCCCTTTGATGATGAAGGGCTGTGGTCTAATTGTTTTCTGTCCTTGTTCACAGAGACACCAGTCTGCAGTGTAGACGCAGAACTGTCGAGTAACTAGAAACTTCATTATCAAAGAGAGATTTTATTTCCTGATTGTTCAACTGTATATGTTCGCCAAGCCCTTCAATTCCACTCACTGACATTCACTCTCTTTCATTCTCTATCTCTTTGCTCCAAGTCTGTGTCACATGTTTTATCGGTTGTCGTTTTCATGATGAAAATGATGTACCTGCTTATTTTCATATAGAGTGGAAAGTGAGATTAGATCACATCTGGTTACTGGAGCCTCTTTCTGTAGTCAGTTGTAGTCAGATGTACCCTGAGCTGTCAACTGTCAGTTGGACCCACACAGTACTCGTGTTCACACAATATTGAAACAGGTTCCTTGTTAAAACTCTTTGTTTGTTTGTTTTTTTAGCCCTCTGGTCTGACTGGCTCCTCTGCTCCCCCTCCTTTGATTCGTGGAACAATTACAAGCAATAAAGGCTCCCAGCAGGTAAATGTTCACCCATCAAATATGCATCTAGGCAGCGCATTGGTGCTCTTTCCTGCTGTTTGTAATGTTTTATTTCTCTCCTCAGATTCTGACTGCAAGGAGTTCAGGCACGGTTATTCCTCCGCCGCTAGTGAGAGGAGGACAGCAGGTGTCGTCCAAGCATGGCTCCCACATAATAATGCCACCTCTGGTGAGAGGGGCACAGGTGAGTCATGGGGAAATGTTATCAATTAGATTAAGTCGCCAAAGTATGAGAACAACATTGTTATGTATTTTAAAACAATCCCCTTTAACTGCTGTTTTCAGTATATGAGACAAACTGCAGGGAAGAAAATGACTCCCAAATTCAGGACTTATGATCTCCCTTTCACCTCTCTCTCTGTGCCCTTTGCCTCGGTGTTTTTGATGTTCCTCCCCTTGTCCTCCACAACCTATGTCCGTGACGCCCCTCTGTGTCACCCCTCTCATTGTCCTGGTTAGCCCATCTCTGTATCTCCACAGCAGATCCAGGCTCTCCGCCAGCAGCAGCAGCAGCAGTTGGCTGCCTCTGGAGGCTCAGGCCCCCCTCCTCTGCTGTTGGGTCCAAAGACCTCGGCTCCTGCGGGCCACCATGGGCAGAGAGGGATGGTCCAGCCAGGCCTCATAAGAGTCGGCAGTAGTGCTACCACCCTGGTTAGTATCTCAAGTAAAAGAAAGTTTTCAAAAAAATAAAAAATACGTTTCATCACCCAGGATAAAAAAGAGGAACCATACAGTACTCATGTAGAAGTATCTCTGCAGGGCCTAATTATACTAGTTATTTTTGTCCTGCTAATTGCATCACTGCTCAAGTTGAGAAAATGCACAAAACCACAACACACTTCACCGCAGCTCAACCTAGTTAAGTGTATAGTGAGGAAACACCAAAATATGCAGCATTTGTAGCTGGATGTAAAAAGAAAAAAAGGTAAAGTTAAATGAAATGAAAGATCCTTCATTTTCATGCATATCCTTCTAACCATAACAATATTAAGACAGCTAATATCCTAAATTAACCATCCAATGGCACCACATGCTCGGACGTTTTAAGCAGTTTGTCTTATCAACCCCAGAATAACTTAAAACAACTTAAAATGCAAAGAGGATGACAGAAGATGTAGGCCGGTGACTCTGTTCTTTTTGTAGTGGCTTTGGAAGAGCAGAAGGTGGGTGTAAAGACACTGGAGGACAGAGGAAACTTAGACTACAAACACACTGACTTCTATAATTTATTATCAACAGAAAGAAACCAGTTCAACACACACCCTAGGCAGTTTATCCAGCTGCTCTTTGTCTTACCAATGTCAATAACTATCTTCACATTTTGAAGAGAGTCTGTCTTAAATGTCAAAGCCTTCTTCTTCACCTCTGAACCACAGAAAAGCAGGTCCTGGTCCAGAAACACAATACTAATGTGAAAGCTTAAAACACCTTTATACATTTGAAGTGAACAGTTTTTTACGTCAATGGACATGAATAATCCATGCTTTTATCACTACCCGTCTTGACTACTGCAACTCTTTGTATGTAAGGATTAGCCAGGCTTCCCTTGCCCGCCTGCAGCTTGTGCAGAACTCTGCTGCACGTCTCCTGACGCAGCCCCGCAGGCGTGAGCACATCACCCCCATCCTGGCGTCCTTACACTGGCTCCCTGTACAGTACAGAATCAATTTTAAGCTTTTAATATTTGTTTTTAAAGGCCTGAGAAACCTGGCTCCATCTTACATTTCCAATATGCTCCAGCCTTACTGTCCACCCCGATCCCTAAGATCAGCCGGTCAGCTGTTACCGACGGTCCCCAATACGAGGCTGAAGCTCAGGGGTGACAGAGCATTTGCTGCAGCTGCTCCCAAGCTCTGGAACGAGTTGCCCTTGAGAATTAGACAGGCCTCCTCATTTCCTGTTTTTAAATCCTGCATTAAACACACTTTTATTCCTTGGCTTTTAACACATTTTAGTGTTATTTTCTTTGCTTTCATCTTAGCACTTACCGTGAGCCTGATTATATATTTATTTATTTATTGCATTTATGTATTTTTGCTCGCTCTATCTTGTTCTTTGCTTGTTTTATTTGTTTTTATGTCACAATGTACAGCACTTTGGCCAACCCTGTGGTTCTTTTAAATGTGCCATAGAAATCAAGTTGATTGATTGAAGAATAGCTCACCACTTTACTGCAAAGCAAAATCTTAAAACCCAGAAATTGTTTTGGTCAGTGAACAAACATCAAAGCATAATCATGGACTGATCACTTGGTTTGTTTATTTATGTACACTCCTTCTCTATAACTGGTCTTGATTAGCATCGTTCTTTGGCCTCTGTAGTGGTAGCCACCACCAAAGTGTGACTGTGTGAGCGAATGAATGATGTATCCAATGTAAAGCGCTTTGAGGGTCTCTGATAAAGCGCTATATGAAATCTAATGCATTATTATTATTATTATTCTGTTCCTTAAGTTTTGCTAACGTCAGTAAAACTGTAAATCAGCTGTTGATGAGATTATTTTTTCCTCTGATTTCCCAAACAAGCTCAAATTTGGCCCACATGAATCATTATTTGATGAGAGGAAAGGAAGGAAGTAAATTTTGCATTTTCACTAACAGAAGAAATGCTAAACTAATCTGAAACTGTTTTAGGAGACTGTTGCCTCTCTGGACAAATTTTACTATTTCAAAGGTCTGCAGGTATGTGGGGCTCTGAATGAGGACCTGGTCCAAATGCAGCCTACAGTGTGAAGAAAGAAATGAAATCACCTTTTTAAACAACAACAAAAGCAACAAGAATAGGAATATTTTTAATCTGTAACATTGTTTCTAAAAGACAGCAGAATGTTTTTGGCCGGATATCACAGGTCTTAGCACCGGCGGTTCGAACCCGGTCTACAGGTGAAAAAATACTGTTTAAAAAGTCCGGAGACTGAAAAAATCGGGTCCAGATCAGACAAGTTCCAATGGTTTCCCCGGTCGTCCCCCTTAAAGTCGACTCAGATGCTGTGTATAGATGTTGAGTTCGGCGTCGTTTCATTCAACATGCCAGTGAGCTGGTACAGCGTCCTCTGAAAGTAGTAAATAATATTCACGGCATCATCGATTTGTTAGCCATTTATGTGGTTTGTTGCCATGTCTGTATTAAATCATTAAGTACAGCTCTGTAGACTTTTAAAGTCTACCTAATGAGCGCACAAAGCTACTTTTACTTATCTGTACATTAGATAAACGCCGTCATCTTGCCATTTAGCAGGTTTGCGTGTCGTTTGTTCAGTTGACATGATGTTCACACCGGTCTAACTTTTTTCTGTCTTTGCTTGTTTTCTTCAGGGCTCACCTTCTAGTTTAAAGGGCTCTTCCTCAGGAAGCAGCGGCCTGTCTGCAGTTAGTATGAATGACTCTCCAGCCAGCCGTCAGGCAGCAGCTAAACTCGCCCTGCGCAAACAACTCGAGAAGACCCTGCTGGAGATTCCCCCTCCAAAACCACCTGCCCCGGAGTTTAACTTCCTGCCCTCTGCAGCCAATAATGAGTTCATCTACCTGGTGGGACTGGAGGAGGTGGTGCAGAATCTGTTGGACACCATCCACAGAGGTGTGGGGGTTTTCATCTATGATTGCTTTTTGTTGTTTATTGTAGAGATAAAATACAGTGTAATTCAGTTAATCTGCTTTTGAATTTAGAAGATTCTTGCATTTATTTGTGATATTGAACTAAAAGTTTTGACTTCTAGTTGAAGAAAAAACTAATTTAAGGACATCTTTGGGCTTTCAGAAAGAGGGATTGTCTTAGGGTATAAACAGCAAAACTGCAAATCTTTCAGTCCAAGATGTTTTTTCTGGAGGTTTATTCTCTATCAAACATTCTCTACTTTCATTCAGGCTTTGAATTTGATGAGTTGTGTCTGCCCATTTTAAAGATGTGTGTCCCATCTGTCTTTATCTAGGCAAGACAGGAGTTTCACTCTCCAAGTCAAGTGTCAGGGAGCCCTTCATCTGCACCCAGTGTAACACTGACTTCACCTGCCGCTGGAGGCATGACAAGACAAAAGGCGGGGCGCTCCTGTGCGAGCAGTGCATGTCATCCAATCAGAAAAAGGCTTTGAAAGCTGAACACACCAGCCGGCTGAAAGCGGCGTTCGTCAAAGCACTTCAACAAGAGCAGGAAATAGAGCAGCGAATTATTCCTCAGACATCCTCAACGGTCTCCCACAGTAGCTCCTCTTCCTCATCCTCCCTGAAAGCAGAGCAGCTGGTGTCGCAGCAGCTGAAGCAGGCTCAGGCTAGAGTGTCCTCACTTCACCTCCACCACCACCAGGCCAGCCGTGGAACCAATCTTCTTCACCATCACTCCATTAAGCAGGTCGGAATCAGCTATTTTAAAGCCTGTCAAGCAATTACTTCTTACAACCCCCATTGGTTGCTGAATATTGATAGTTAGTTGCAACTGATTGCATGTTTTATTAAGTGTTAATTAAAAGTGATTCTTTTGTCTTGCCTGTTCAGTTGAGCGATTTAGAAGTACTGGGGTGTTGTCATTTTCCATCATAGCTGCAGCAGGAAGCAGATAGACACAGTGGCTGTGCAACAAGAGTGCTGAAAACGACTAAGAAAACATGCAATTAAGAAAAACAATCACTTTGTATCCAGATCACTAGATTACTCTGAATGCCATTGTTATTTTATCACCAGAAAGGCTCACCCCAAATGATTGCATCTGTGACTTAAATCACGTGTGTCTCTCCTCAGAGCTCCCAGGGCCAGCTGTCCCATGGTGTCTCGTCACTAGGGGTGAGGGGCATCCCCCACTCCTTCTCCTCCTCCTCCCAGCTGCAGAGTGCAGTGGCGGCCGCAGCTTTGGTCAGCCGGCCAGGTAAGCACGCCCATGTTTCCCACCGCTCTGTCCAGAGTTCAAAGGTGAGCAGCAGTGGGATCGGCGGCAGCAGGAATATCAGCGGAGGTAGTTCTTCATCCACTGCATGGAAGAAGCAGAGCAACATCAACACAGGTAGACTCGCATTAACACCAGCCCAGCTTTGGCGCCTGACACCTGCTCTATTTCCAATTCTTGTCTGATCCAAAACCAATCAAAGAACATGCTAGTTCCAGCTTTTCTGGTACTGAGGCTTCTTGTTAATAAAAAATATAATTCGCTATAACTTCCCACACTACAAACAACTCAAATAGAGCTAAAGGAAACCTGTTATACTCATTTCCACCTTTCTTATGTCAGTCTGGGACAGAAGCTTCGCATGAATCGCATCCTTAAAAAAACCTCCTTATTAATCTTGCACTGGTGCAGCTTGTGGGCGTTACTTTTCACACAGTTTTGTCGCAGAAACAAACTGAAAGTTATGCTTTTGACTAGACTAGCAGTTGGTGCTTGCAGGGTCTTTATCGATGGAACAGCCCCAGGTTTCAGTATCAGTTGATGGCATTTGTTAACAAAGGAGTCTTTAGTGGTAAGCACAGACGGCTACACTGTGGCTCATGTTGTCCCTAAAACACAAACCTTCCTCAGGCGTCTACATTTCTGTAAAGAGGAAATAGCTGTAATAATCTTTCACAACTAACAGAACAGTTCTGAGCATCCCTGCGACACACTGAATCTATACAGTGCAGAAGAAAAAAGCTGAGCAAAGTAGTGACTTTGTAAGTAAGGGAACATTTAAAAGAGCTCCCGGATGAGCATGTCCTTGAAAAGGCTGCAGGACAGAGGGCTCTGCAGCTGGATGGGCATGCTCTTCACCACTGTCATTAAAGGACATTATAGGCCCTGATGACGAGTTTGCAAAGTTCTCAAATGAGCTGTTTAGAGAACAGGACAAACACATCCAGGGATCACCCCAACACTCGTGTCTTTTCAGTGTCACTATCATGCTTTTGAAGAGAGGTGGCATCATTGTTCTTTCTGTCTGTCTGGGTGTTCTTTCCAATCACACCTCTTCCTCTCTTTAACTGAAAAAAAAAACATCAAACTGACTCAAAGCTGCTGCTTCGACACCTTTAACCTGCTGCTCTGTTGCATGTTCACAGGAGTCACTATGGCCTATGTGAACCCCAGCCTGACAGGTCATAAGACATCTGCCACCGTTGATGCTCGCCAGAGGGAGTACCTGCTGGACATGATTCCCTCTCGCTCATCCATCTCTCAGACTGCTAACACATGGAAATAATGTAAACAGCACTCTTCTTTCATTATTAGGTCTTGTACAGGTTCCTCAACTTTGAAAAGTTGGTCAACAGCTACCCCCGGAGGACTGTTCAGTAAATACAATCTTCTAAAGTGAAGAACTGTTACTTCCTTACATAATTATGATTATTGTTTTAGTTTTCTTATTTCTTGTTGTTTATTTTGAGATTCACTGTTGTTTGTTAATTGTGCAGAAACCATTTTGATTTTGGGTGGGGCTAAAAAAATCATATACTTGAAGGGCTTCCCCCCTGGGTACTTGTGTCCCACAGAGTGGGTGGTTAGACAATTTCATAATAAGAGGTTATCTTCATATTGAGTGCTTTGATATAAGAAAGGACTCTGTTTGAGGTTTATGGTTTGTTCTGCCATAATGTGGGTCAAACTGACCCGTCTGTATACACTTGAATGGTTCTAGTCACACCCCAGATCCACATTTAACAAAATACATGTCATAAACAAAAGCAAAACTAGTTGTAATGTCTCAGTTCATAATCCCTGTAGTCTTGATAGGTTAATTTTTTTCTATTTCCAGTAAGTTATTTGGGATATTTTTTTTTCTTTTCTTTTTTTGGACTGATGTCTAAAGTCATTCAATACATTGTGGTTTCACAAATGAAGAGTTTATTCTTGCTTTGTTTATTTTATTTTTATTTTTTCTTGTTTAACAGCATGCCAACCTTGAACCCCTCTGTTCATTTTGCACCTTAGCTGAAAAAAGCATGGTGTCGTCGCTTAACTCATCTGTAATTACCATTTGTAATTAGCCTATTTTATATTAATGTCATTGTAAGATTATTTTGAGTGTCATGTCAACACTGAGAAAATACAAACTCTGAAGGAGCTGGATTAGCCTCACTGGAGCCAGAGATTTGAATTCTGATTAATTAAACCATAATCCCATCTATATGCATCTTATATTTGCTTAGAGTTGGTTCTGAAAGGAACTATTACCCAATTACCAGGACCCTGAAACACAGTCATCTTTTCCTCACCCTCTCTGTAATGCATAATTTCTCTGCTTTTCACTGCATTGTACAAACTTGTCTTTCAATTTATTTGGTTTACTTTTTTCCTAGCTCCTAAAGAAATAAAAATTATACATTTTAAGTGTTTGTTCTCATTTTGCTGGCAGAGCATTATTTTTCAATGACATTTCCTCTTTAAAATGTTAAAATAGAATAACTTGATTAGTGCTCTTACTTTTTGTTTTTACAGAAATCACATGTTGTACTCACTTTTGCATCTTGGCAGAAAACTGAATGCATAGTGCTGGACAAAAGAAATTAGAAATGAAAACAGCACTACAAGAGGGAAAAGAATAGCAGCAAAGGTCTTGTGTGGAGCTAGTTGAAGATGACAGTGAGATAAAAACAGGAAAAACAGGCTGGTGGGATCACTTAATATTTAAAGAGAATACTGAAAATTGACAAACAGAAGACCCACAGGACAAACTGCCATTTATTATAACCAAACGAGCATCCCTGTGCCTTTAACAATAAGGTATTGTTCACCAACAGTACACGATTAATAAACAGTTTATGGACCAAACTTGATTCAAGAAAACAAAGTGTCAATAAGCCAGAACAAATAATGCACACAGCTACACTAAACTTTCATCCTAAGCAAATGCATATGTATCCTTTGACTGGTAGTGCGTAATAACGGTATTTGTTATATAACTTCAACGTGTAGGCAGGTGCATTTATGAAAATAAAAACCCTTAACCCTAAAAAAAAATCTAACAAAAGGTTTCTCAACTGCTTTTTTTATAGTATTTGATGTCCTTAATAATATACTAAAGGTTTACCAAAGTTTGACCGCCAGAAAGGTGTCATTTTCACCATGGTGTCCATGATGGGTTGGAAGCCTAATTACCTGACACCAAAGGTAATTAGGGTAAAATTTTTAACAAACAGATTTCACTATGAAACTTCCCAAATTTATAACTCACATTAAGACAAATATTTTTGTGTATTACAAGTTCTGTCAAATGTTATGTTTGAACATGTAAATGAGGTAATATCTAATTAAATATGCACTAATTTGCATACATTTCCAGAACCCAAAACTGAATAATGGATAAGGCCCCTTTTAAAATTCTTATTTTATTTTTACAAACTAGAGTCAGAGGGGGGGACTTTGGATATCTCTTTTTATCACTCTGTAAATGAGAAAATACTGTCACCACCCCTAAAAATTCAGATGTAACCATGCAACACTGCCCGTGAGGCACTAGTTGAACTTGTAATCACTTATCTATCATACAGATATGCTAATTTGAATATAACATGGTCAAAACATGTACCAGGTGCCAGTATTCCTGGTCTAGAATAAATACAAAGGAGTAGTAAGTTAGTAAGTAAGTAACTTTTATTTGTATAGCACTTTTCACGGACAAAAAGTCACAAAGTGCTTCACAAAAAATTAAAATGTACATACAAATTAAAAGACTGGATCAGATCACAAATGTAAGATGGAGCCTGACCATGCAAGGCTCTAAATGTTAGGACCAGAATTGATTATGCTAGAGAGATCCCAGAGGACACAGGCAGCCAATTTAGAGCTTTAAGCAGTGTTTTGCACTAACTGAGAACGAGACAGCTCCTTTTTGTTTAGACATGAAAACAAACTGAGCAATGGTCATATTAAGGACCTGAAAAAAAAACCATGGAGATATTTGAATATATTATTGAATTATATTAGTATATCATTAGGGACATCTTATTCTATACAAAACAGCTAAGAAACCTTTTCTTAGAAGTTTTATGGGGTCAAGTCATATTTGCACCTGACTAGTACGGAAACAGTCGGAAACGGTTAAAACACGCCAATCCTTGCTGAAGTGTAGCTTTTTCACCCGGACACGCGGGGGCGGTGAAGAGCGACCGAGTATTTATTTTTTTATTTTTTAAGGCAAGGAAGAAGAACCCCTCAGTGACGTCACCGTCGTGTTGTGGGAGAAAGGCTGGAAGAAGATGGCGGGGTCCAAGGTGAAGCAGGACATGCCTCCTCCGGGGGGCTATGCTCCCTTCGATTATAAGAGAAATCTACCGAAACGAGGACTTTCGGGTATATACTTTTTTTTACTCTTATACAGACCCAAACACGAGCGGCTAATGATGGAAAAGCACGAGACATTTGTAACTATGTAAACAGCAGCTAATGCTAACAGCTTAGTCAGACACACAGACTCAGAGACAGAGAGAGCTGTATATTTTATGGAAGCTGTATAGATGAGATTAACACCTGTGCCTGCTAAGTAATAGTCTTTGGTTTTGCTACGCTCAAGCGTATCTTAATGGGGTCTTAACGTGAAACCACCCTCTTCAAAACTGTAGTAAAGCAGGAATGTCACCGATAAAAATGTAAGAGTGCTCCTCAAAACCCCAAAGAACTCAGGTATTTCTGATCTTATTGAAACCTCGAGTATATAATCACACCGACCAGCCTTAACTTGGGCAATCTAATTCAACTCAAAACAACAACTGTACCCCAGCCGAGTTTCTGAATATTCAGCTTTTCTTGACATGATCAGACAGGTATTTGTGGAGGTGAGATAGGTGATGGACTAGTGTGTCATCTTGAAATATGTTGCAGATATATTGTACACATTATTCATTAGGAAGAGGGGGTCAAGTCGCAGGAGCAACCTTCAACATAATGCAACACCCTCCATAACTTTAACAAGTAATGTCGGGAATAGTTAGCATCTACATGAGCATGTCAACAAAGTGGAAAACTTTGTTGACAAAAATAATACCATAAGTATAACTTACGGTAGAGCTAGGAAGGTTGCATTTTCATTGCCCATGTGTTCACTATCATAATAATAATAACTTTATTTTTATAGCACTTTTAAAAACAGAAGTCTACAAAGTGTTTTGACAAACAGTTGCAAAACACAGAACATAAGTACATGAAAATAAAAACAATTAAAAACAAAAGCTCAGTTAAAAACAAGGCCTCCGAATTGAAGGCCAATTTCATTTGTCATAAGAAACCCCAACAATACAAGAACCCTACAACATAAAATGAGATCATGAGTCCCAAAATAAAAACATAAAATAGGTAAGAAGAAGAAATGTAATGTAAAGGGGGGTAGAAAGCAGTAAAAAGGATAGTAAATATAAAACGAGCATATTAATAATGATAATAGAATAATAATTATGATAATATTAATGATAAAATGGAATAACAAAATGAGGAGGAAAAAACAATAAAATCAGTTAAAGTCCTTAAAGGTAAAATAAGAAAAGATTATTAGTAAAACAAAGGCTAAACAGAGTGAAGTTGAAATAAGATAAAAGAAATTAAAAAAAAGAGAGAAAAGATGGCATCACATAAAAGCAAGTCTGTAAGAGTGAGTTTTTAAATTTGAATAATAATGACAAATAATAGCTATGATAATGCTATTGGTGTTTATTCATGTCACAATTCTGGGAGAGCAGATGGTTAAAAAAAAACATGATTTATTTCAGTTTTCGAGTCATGATTGCCATGCAGAGAGCAGGATACTGTACTATCTGTACTGACCCTACAAATGTGGAGAAGCACCCTCATGACAGGATATTTGTGAAAGCTTAAATATAGACGATAATGTCACTGATGATCATTCTGCTGAGAAGGTCAGAGGTAGAATGAGTCTACTACTGTGTTATTTTGCTGATTAATGGATATCATTCACAAATATTTTGCAATTAATTACTTGTCAGTAAGTATCTGAGTAGAGTAGTTATTTTATATCACAGCAGTGGCTTGGTGAGAGCAGAATAGCACTGAGAAAACAAGAGCAGTTCCTTTTGTAGGTACCAGACAGTATTTGAGCTTAAACTCACCATGAAATTTTCCTCTTATACTTCCAATTCTTTTGTCCTTCACACACAACTTCAATTGTGCTTGTATAAACCTCTGCTCAGTTTTTTTTACAAGAAAACTCAAAATATTTCAAATCATCTTGCGAATTTACTTCCACTTTACTGAATCAGTTATTCTCTATTTGAGCAAGAGCAAATAAATGAGCATGTCCTGAGAAGTTGTTTTGAGCTTTTATGAAGGACTAAAAGTGAATAACGGTTAAGAAAAGGGTGCTTGTGAGTGCAACACTGGATTCTTAATTTATTCACCCCCTACCTGGCATTGTTGGATGAAAAAAAAATGACGTTGTCCAACCACCAGATGGAGATACTGAGCAGTATTGAGTGTTTTTTAATCTTTTAAATCACATTCTTGAACACTCATAACCTCTGATCATCTTGAAATAGTAAATTACTAGATGTTAAGTCAGTAATGTGAATTTCAGATGTACAGTGGGTTTGGTGTTGCTGGGGTATCTTTGGCCTGACGTTACCTGACGTTGGCATGTGGAAAAAACTAAATTTCTAAAAGTACTGCAGTCATTCAGACCAATTAGAGATCCACACAAGGTTTACTGAGGTCACAGTGTGCCCAATCCTCACTGCACTGCACTGCACCTGTACCCCACTCATCAAACCTTAGCGTTCTCCATGAGGTCAAATATTTACTCAGCCACGAACATGAACACTTTGCTAAGTTATAAAAGACTGTGAGTGTGGAAAGGTCATGCAAGCTTGTGTCACCAGTCATTAAAATAATTATTGATATGTATCCTCTACCAGCAAGAGACATTCTAGTCTCTATATTTATGACACTAGACCCTACTGGGTGATATACCGTAGTGGGTTTTCAAAATGAGATTTTAGCAAACAATTGTGTCTGGATCTATCTATCCAGGTGTTTTGGCTGTTGCCATCTGTCACTTAACTTGGTGACCTTTCGTGTCACTGTCAGTAGGTCTTTACTGTTGCTGTGCAGCTTGATTTTTGAGGAACAGATCTCACAAGTTGCCCCTGTAGCAGCTCTGCTGTTTGCTAGATTTGACTTTTAAGTCGCAAGTAGGCCTGTCGCGATAATCAATAAATCGCCTTATCGCTCGGTAAATAAAAACGAGGTCGGTCATTTTGCCAGCCTCGATAATTGACGTGCGTTTGTTTTCCTCCTCTCTCGCTACCAAACACGCTGGATGAGAGAAGAGGTCTCACCCTGCGCATTTTTCTCGGCACCTGGGGGCGTTGGCTCTATAGTGGAATGAACGGAGTTAGTGAACCCTCCTGTCAGTCATTCAGTGTCTTTGTCACGAGGGGGCTGGCGCGCACAGGCACACAGACACAGACTTTTGGATACAGTGCTGCAAGTGAGCGTAGTGAGTGAAAAGCAAGCAAACAGAATGAACACGACAGCTTTGGTGTCTAAACCGAACGCAACAGCCCAAGTGTGGGAATATTTCGGCTTTAAACCAGTTTTGTTTTCGTCAACCACAAAACTCCACGTGTGTGTGCGCGCGCGCGCGTGTGTGTCTGTGTGTTGGAGGAGCACAGCAGGCTGATGAGAGCTGTCAGAGCGGACTGAAGCTGCTCCTATATGTTTAGCGTTTAACTGACTGAGTTTTGCAACTCTGTTCGTCATTTTCGTCTCGTCCCATCAACGTAAACGCACTTTCGTCTCGTCACATTTTAGTCATCTCCGACTTATGATTAGCTCGTCAACGTTACGTCTTCGCCATGGGTGAAATTAAAGTTGATCACTTTTGACACGGTGTACTCGCATTATTATGCCATTTAATATCATTATCTATAATTTAAAAAACGGTGTCAATAATATCGTTTATCGGCGATAATTTGTAGCACAATTATCGTCCAGCAAAATTTGTTATCGTGACAGGCCTAGTCGCAAGCCACTTTGATGAGGCTGTTGCAGTGAAAACAGCCCTATAGAAAAATGACAAATCATCTTTGATTCAACAAGTCTGTTCAGACATAGGATTTGCTTTTGGCACACTTCCGTTCACAGAAACCAGTCAAGCAAGTTCTGGTTAATATGTAGCAACTTATGCACAGACAAGTGTGTCGGTGAATGTCATTGTCTTGATGTTAAAACTTTATTTTGTTTTGTTGATTTAACACAGAAACATCCTGATGCAAACCAATATTTGCAGAGCTCCAGGTGGTGTGAATCTTAGCATATTTTAAAAATGATTCATTTTTCACTGTGTGACACAAGGGGAAGGAACTTGCCGTGTATTGATACATCGATGCCACAAGTTGCTCACATTTTTCTGATATATTTAGAGCCTCAAACCCAAGACAAATTATTCTGTGTTAAGCAGCATTGTATCACTGATCCGTTCTTTTATCAACAGGGTATAGCATGTTTGGCATCGGCATCGGGATCATGGTGTTTGGCTACTGGAAGCTTTTCAAGTGGAACAGAGAGAGGAGGTGGGATTCTTCTTGAAGTCAAAATTTCCACACAGTGTTTCACAGTCTGTGGGCACCTGGTAATCATTTGTGTTTGTGCACCACAGGCGCCTGCAGATTGAGGAGATGGAGGCCAGGATAGCTATGATGCCACTGCTTCAGGCAGAGCATGACCGACGGTGACATACAACAAATATTTGGTTCAGGATTTTTGTTTTGGTTGCTCCTAAAGGCAAAAGTGTATTTAAAAACTTCCTTTCCTCTGACCAGGACCTTGAGAATACTGAGGGAGAATTTAGAAGAGGAGGCAATTATCATGAAGGACGTTCCAGGTTGGAAGGTAAAGAGCAAACTTATATTTGCTGTGACTCGACTACAACATGAGAGTTTGTAACCTTACATACAAGTGCATCTAAATCAATAATGATATCATCAAAAAAATGATTTTTTTCAGTAATTTAGTTCAGAGTGAAACTTTGTTTTGGCATTACCACTTCATTCTACAAACATATACTGTAAAACAGGATTAAACTGATGATGTTTAGGTTTGTTCTTTCCAAAACAAACCTCTTCTCAATATTAATAAATACTCTGTTTGACATGCTGCAGGTCGGCGAGAGCGTCTTCCACACAGACCGCTGGTCGACCCCTATGACGGAAGAGCTGTTCAACCTCCGGCCCCGTGAGGAGCACTTGAACAAAATTTATGGCTTTATGTCATATATGTGAGGACCCATGGACCTGAGCTCTTGTTCAGTTCAGCTTGTAAATGTTCAATATTAAACATATTTTCTCTGTACCTCATCCTGGTGTAGCCGGTGTTTTTACATTTTGGACAATGTACACATTTGATCATAATCAAAGGTGTCTGAATGTTTTGTAGGTGTGGTCATTGACAGGGGCTAAAATTTATGCTTTAAAATAGTTTTATTTTTTTTCATTATCTATTTTTTTGGCAGTTTCAGTTTGACCATAAACAAATCACATGTTGAATACATGTACATAATAAATTCCCCCAGTCCCTCCCTCACCACCCCATGTTCCCACGTCCTCTAAAAAGAGTATAAAATGAGAAAAATAAATAAATAGTTATAATAATAAGGATGATAATAATAAAGATAAATTATACTGTAAGTTGTCCTGAATATACAATGTGAAGAAAGGGCACTGCAAAAACAAAAAAACAAACACACACAAAAAAACAGAGTCCAGAAAGAGAAATACAAATTATATTGAAATAAGGGGGAAGAGAATAACATTAAAAGGAAAAAAAAAAACAAATAAAGCGCAATATTCCAGATCAACACTGTTAACCAAATGTGCAGATTTAAGTACACATAGATTTGAGTACACTCATCCTATGTTAAATACGGCTGTAACCAGGTTGGGTCAGGAAGAATCCCAGTTTGTGATGGTAGTGAGGTTGTCAAAGGAAGTCAGAAAAAGCCTCTAAACCTGATTAAATTTGTCCCTATTACCTCTCAGACTTAACTTAATCCTCTCCAATTTTAGATGAAACACAACATCCCCAATCCTTCTGACCTGGGACAGAGGTTTAGAACTCTTCCAGATCAGTAGTAATTGGCATCGAGCCAGTAAAGTTGTAAGGCCCTAAAATAGTTTTACCAAATTATTAAGGCTCCCTCAGCAGCCCAGTATAATCATGTTGAGGTAAACACAGCCTGATAGTTCCCACTACATTATGCTGTAAAGCAAAGACATCATGTCTCTGACATTATTCCATTTATATCAGTGTAGCTCTTCAAATCAAATCTTCTAAATTAGCAGTTAAAACTGATGATCAGGTTGTTGGAATATTAATGTAAGCTGATTTACCTCAAGTCTCCATTCCCAACACCATCCATCAGTGATTCTTCATGTTCCTCTAATCAAACTACATCCTCAGCACAAATAAGCCTTTTAAGATGAGAACCAATAGTAAGAGGTTCTGTTGTTGTTTGTCCGTACTCCACGGTACTATCACAGACTGATCATAATAGGCACCTTGGCTTGATTTTGAATGAATACATGACATTTAAGGATGTTGTGGGTGTTATAACTCAGTCAGCTGGTACAGCTCAGACATCTATTGATCTAAAACATTGTAGTACATGAGCTTTATCAACGGAAAGGGACAGAGCCGCCTCTTTTGCCTGAGAAGACTCCGATCAATAGACATCTGTAGTAAGATGCTGCAGATGTTTTATCGGTCTGTGGTGGCAACTGTTCTGTTCTACGCTGCAGTCTGCTGCGGAGGAAGCATCAAACACAAAGATGCAAGACGTCTTAACATACTGGTGAAAAAGGCTGGCTCTGTGGTAGGACTCAAGCTGGACTCAGTGGAGGATGTGGTGGAGAGAGCTACACTGAGAAAGGTGGAGTCTATTCTAAAGAACATGGATTACCCACTTCACAACACTTTGATGGACCAAAGAGCCAATGGTGGTGGACGGCTCCTCTCTCTTCACTGCAGGACAGAAAGATTCAGAAGATCTTTTGTACCAACAGCCATCAGGCTTTATAACTCTTGTGTAAATAGTAAACTTTTGGAGACATATTATGTGAGACAACAGACAATTGAATTTCCCATCGGGTATTAATAAAGTTCTTATTCTTATTTTTTCAAACGGAGGCTTTATAATTGTGTTAAATTGTAATGTACAATTATATAATCATCACAGATCACTGTAATACAAAGCTATCAGGTCCTTCTCTGGGTTGCATACATCTGTCCTCGCTAAAAAAAGAGACATGGGAGGAGATCCTAAAAACTCCCAGACACAAATAGGAAATTCTTCTGGTTTGGACTCAACGAGGAAAGATGTCTTTTTCGAGAGAAAGTGTAAAGGTTTCTTCTGGTTAGATGACTGTAGAAAGCTTGGTTTTCAAAGACCTTTTTGTAACAGATCTGTATCTGCAAAGCCAGAATACTGTGTTTAGGAATGAGCTGTAAAAGAAGCATGCAATTTTAAAAGTCCCTCTTTAGTGAATTATTAAACCATTGCAGAGGTTTCTGGTTTTATCATCGTCACACTTTTCAATCTTCATGGTAGTGCAAATGGAGTATCCCAGTGTGTGATTTGACAGTGCATTATGCTGCACTGTAGCGCAGGAGGAGCTTTGTGTGTATACAAAATGGTTATCACTAATACACACACACACACCCACACAGCTAAGCTCTAGTCCTGCAGTGGTCCTGTCTCTTTAAAACATTTGGTTCTGGCACAGCAGAGGAGTGACTTGGCCCTCCCTTCACATAGTTCTTTTGAGGACAGGATGTAGGAGGAGGGGTGGGGGGGGCAGGAGGGGCTGATGTTCTGTGCTTGAAACTAGCGGGAAGAAGAGGACACCAGCCATTTACCGACAACATTGGTCATTCTGTATTAGCTATTTTGAGTCAAAACCGAGTAAGTACCGATCCACGCCTTGTTTTTTTTTTACACACTGAATTAGAGGTATTGTAGTGATGGAAAGAATTTACACCAGAAATTGAAATTAATCCTTTTTGCATCTTCAAATCAGTTTTGTTCAGGTTGACATCCCAAAATCTGTGCTTATGTGTGATATTACCAGATAAAAACTGACTTCTTCAATTGCATTTTTTAGCGTTCGTCTCCCTCTGTGTTAATGATATAAGGTGACCTTGAGTGTCAAATAGGATGCCTATAAATAAAATGCATTTTTATTATGCGTTGGTTGATTTGTATGAAGGAACAAACCCCATCTATGGTTTATAAGCCCTGATTTCTTGTCTTGAAATGTCCATTTGGGGTTCATTAACATGGCATAAAGGACTTGTGTTTTTCATGAATCAAAAATTTGTTGTGTCAAGAAACAGGACAAGCAGATGAGATTTTTCTCGCTTTATTTCAGAAAGTGATCAAGCAGCAAAATACTGTTTGAGTACCTGTAAATTCTTAAGTTGGAAAAGAAAAAAACCTCAGTGGATTTGAGACATGATGGTGACCACAAAGAAATTTGTGAAGTCACCATGACTTCTAGGTGTGGCTGATTTCTTCATGGCCGGATGAACATCAATATCCCATGTTGACTTGCACCAGAGCAATGCTTTGCAAAGTCTTCAACTTTCTAGTTTGCAGCATCCAGGCAGGTTCCTCCCATGTCGCTGTTGCTTACAGCCGCTGCACTTTCGACCTAGAATATGGCAGGAAGACATTTTTATTGGGTTGGCAGATTTATTCCACTCTAGAAACAGAGGCATGTGAGACTTAATTGTACTTGTCCAGCTAGACAAGGTTTTACCTGCCATCTGCATTAATGACTGCCATCTAAAGCTGCACACGTCAGCCTCAGGTTGATCCAGAGTAGCCTCTGACTCTCAGTTTAATCTAAAGAGAAACAAAGACATGGGTTAAGCTTCGCATTGGACATTGGACACAAGACAAACCACAGAATGCATGCAACCCTATTTAGGAGTATAACACTCACCACTGAGTCGTGTAAGGATACAAAGAGGAAGTGAGTACAGTCTAAAACACCTTGCACATCATTAGGACTGTTGTGGGACATTACTCGGGCAAATTTGAGGACCATTACAGTGAACATAAGTGAGCTGAACACGACTTAAGAGGCCGCTTTTCGTGTGGTGGACTCAGGTGGAGCACTACAATCCAGAGGGGCTTCACAAAAACAATGTCTCAATACTTCTTTATGAATCAGAATCGGAAAGAGGCCATGGCATATTGTAGGCGACATCTGAAGCACAGTATTAAAATCGACTAACTTGAAGGCATTCATGGAAACAATGAGAACTGAGTTTGAAGGATATGAGCAAAGCAAAAGGAGATTTTTACCTCACGTGCATTGGCCTATTTTCTCCACATATGACCTAGGCAAGAGCAGCTTTCATCTCTGATGAGCACTTGTTGGTAGGCGCAACACTTCACTCTCCAAGGACTTGTAGGTTTTTGAAGTAGCTGACTTCTTGAACGTAATGAAGCATTAACATGACCAGACACCAGCTGTATCTTCCAGAGGCTGATTACTCAAACCCCACAAGGGGTCTGATCAATACACATTTGCCTGATGTTTTGAGAGCTCTACAGGATTCAGTGGGCCAAATATGATCTTTAGTTTAGAAGCTTAGAAAACCAGACAGAGGACTTTGTGGACTTTTTTTTTTGGATAACCTAATTCTGATTACCCTCTAGAATCCAGATCACGACTAACCCAACAAGAGTGTCCTTGTTCTGCCGCAGTTTTTAACTCCCCCATGCGATAAGTTTTCAAATGCAAAGGAATCGAGATTATTTTCCACTTTCTTTTTAATAGGCTCCATGAAGCCAAACTGACAAAGCAAAAAATATATTGATCATACAAAGAACATAAAGTACAAAATTGTCCCCGACTGAGATGTTACTTTGGGGGAACGTTGTTACATTTTGGATCACTTCAACAAGATTAGTCCATTTTACAGCACATTTAAAATGCAGATGTTGAGCAGAGAACAGAAGATACCTTGGACAGACTTCATGAACAGCCGGCCACTTCGGATGTGTAGTTCACCAGTCTGAAAGGAATTCACTCTTTTGGGAAATTGAACACACAGGAGCCTCAGCTATACTAAGTTTTTATAGTAAAAGAAAAAAAATCCCCCAAATGCCTGAATAATCTGAGCTCATTTCTTCACTCAGTTCAAAACCTGGCAAGAGGTAGTCCAGCCACAGAGACTGACAGGGGAAAAAAGGAATAAACAAAAACTGCCCCATCGGATATTTCAATATAAAAAAGTAACTGAGGAATCAAAATCAGGAAACATTTCTGGCGTGCTGGACAAAACGTCTACAGCATGGTAGGGACTGTTCAACGAAAAGCCGTGTGGAGAGCTGTTCGATCCCCTGGGATTGGGACTTTAAGTACTTATCAGATTACATAGATGCCTTTTAGTTAAAAAAAACGAACTTCGAGGAATCAAGATGCCAAATCAAGCACGATAAGAGTCTGAACTATACTTTGTTACATGGTTTGTTTAGGAATGACCAAAACTCATGGCTACATTTTTTTTTTTAAGATGCTTGAGCTACTACAACAGAACTACAAAACTAAGGTCAGCAATAACACGTGGACATTTTTCTTGAGGAGGGCATCTTTGAAATACAGCCAGCCAAGTGATGATCTTGAATCAGGGAGATGTTTACTCGTGTGTAGCTGAGGATAAGAAGTGGGCACACAGGTAAAGACACTGAAAGTTCTGGAGTTTCACAACATCCCCTCAACCCACCACAGTCCAAAACCCTCCCTCAATGTTTGCTTTAGGGGGCTCCATCAGCTTAGGTACGAGAAATATCCGATAAAGGAGGGTTTCATTGTTAAACAGCTTCTAACAGAGAGGGGGGCTGGGGGGACTAGTAAAATTTGGCAACGGGTGTTAAAAGGCATCAGTTAAGGCTCAGGTAAAAAACTGAGGGGCATATAACAGATTATTTCCATATGTTGGGGCTGTGTGTAGTCAGTTACTTTTTATGTGATGCCTAGTGTGATTTGGGATCTACAAACTACAATCATGAGAAGCAAATTTTAAATTGCAATTGTTTTTTTTTTTTGGGTTAATGAACACTGAAACTTTATCTGTAAAAAAGAGAAAACAGCCCCAACATAAGTCTACATACACAGTATAAAATAATATCAGCCATGCTTACCATAGCCGTCGTATTCATTGCGGTAGCTTCCGCCGCCGCTAGGGCGATCATATCCACCCTGTCCCCTGGAAATAACAAACAAAACGTTGATTAATCACTCTGGATTTACATTGTAGTCCAGTCAACAAGTCAAAGCTGTGACCTTATGAATATCTCACCTATTTTCTCTGTAGCTTCCACCAGAGTATCCTCCACTTCTGTATCCTCCTCCGCCGCCGCCGCCGCTACCAAAGCTCCTGTCATTGCCTCCAAAGCCTCTGTCGCCATAGTTTCTCTCGCCATATCCTCTGTCACCGTAACTTCTGTCTCCGTTGTATCCACCTTCAGATAGATGCAAGAAAGCAACTTAGCACATATTTTATTGAGTAACAAAAGTTGGAGAGAATGTAAAGAATAAAAAGAGGAATTCCCGATGTAGACTGTAGACAGTCTTCACCTCTGGAGTAACCTCGCCCACCTCTCCCTCCTCGCGATCCGCTGAATCTTCCACCACCGCGAGGTCCAGATCCAAAACTTCCTCTGGGGCGTCCACTCTTTCCAGCTGCATCCACCCGGATTGTCCGGCCATCAATAGTCTGCAACAGAGGAATACAGGTCATTTGGAAGAAAGTGGACATTTGAGTAGGTATAACAGAGCTAATTGGGAATTAAGTTTAAGTCAATTACCATTGAGGTCAAATGTTATCCTAGATGTAACAAACATTTTTATTACTTTTTTTAATTTTTATTTAGTGAGATGTCTTGGTAGATATTTACCTTGCCGTTCATTGCTGACATGGCATCTTTAGCATCCTCTGTGCTATCAAATTTCACAAAGCCGAAACCACGAGATTTGCCGGTCTCTTTGTCTCTGATCACATCAACTGTGGAAGAAAGCACATGGAAATTTTTTTTTCTGTTTTTTTTTTGTCAAATAACGTTTGATTGTGTTCTCTGAACCTCGTTTGAAACCAAGGCCAAAAAGGTGAGAAGAATGAGCATCTTACTTTTTTCGATGGTTCCATATTTGCCGAAGGCCGCCGCCAGCGTCTCCTCGTTGGTCTCGAAATTCAACCCTCCTATGAACAATTTACCCTCGTCAGACATCGTCAGTGTTTCTGAGGGGGAAAAAGACAAACAATTCAGTGAAAAGGTCGACATTTTAAAAAAATCTACAAAATCCCCCACTTTAGCGTCGGCATCGGCTCACAGGACGAAAGTAGGTCACCAAAACTCGTTACGACAAGGACCGTCTGGTTATCAACGCAACGCGGTGTTAAACCTTCTTCTGTCAATCCGATTATTTTTTCGAGAAAAACTCAAACACTCGGATAATTTTTTGGATCTCTGAGGTTCGGCGGGTTGAACAACGCCTGAGGCCTGGAAACATGGTGGTTAGCGGATTAGGGACGTTAGCTGCGATTTTGCTTTCGGCGCCATTTTGTAGCAGCGAGCTCGTGGTCACCCCCTTTTGTTTCGATGCCGTTAGCTCCACACAAGGCCTCATGCTGCCTGTGCTCAGTTATACAACACCGTTCAATGCGAACAAAAAACAAAAAATACAACAACAAGACGAGCCAAATCTGCTTGCAAAATTAATTATACTAATTCATCTGCGCAGGAAAAAACATTTAGTACTGTTTGTATCGTTTTTACATACTGAAGGGTCGGACCGCTTGGGTATTTTTAACACAGAAAATAAATATGTAATTACAAAACGAAAACTTGTACGACCAATAAAATGTATTCAGAGAGAGAGAGAGATATGTAAGGCCTTTGAATTCCGAGTTTCACTATAAATTTTTCATACCGTTTCAGTAAGCTTACCTTGTATCACTGGCTGGTGTACAATTGAATACGTGCGGAGCGGCTAGTCGAATGAGAGAGGGAAGAGAGCGCGCTTCCTTTTTCACTGACTTAGAACGATGACGTCTTCCTTCTCTTCTTTCCCCTTCCGTGATTGGTGGCTCGCGGACCCTGTAAAAGCCACACCGCCACCCACCGTACAAGAGGCTGTTCTCGGATATTTAATTAACAAAAAAGCCCACGTTTTTAGTCATAGCCCGTGGTTTTAACTTTCCAATAAGGGAGAGTGGGGTAAGTTGAGCCACCGCCTGACCAAATATTTACGAGATGGGCATCGATTCTTGGAGTCTGTGAAGGTTAGAAGCACATGGGTGAAGGGATTAGATATTTATGTACAAAAAACATTTTTCACTCTTGAAAGTGAATTTAGTCTGTCATAAGTTTTATTAGAATTGTATTCGGACCAAAAAAGATCATTTTAAATTTGTTTTATACATCAATTGTGGTATCTATGAGCTACAACATAAGGTTAAAAACCTAGCGTAAAAGTCCACCATTTTAGCTCAGAGGACTAATAAAGTCATAATAGTAGGTCTGGGGTAAGTTGAGCCAGTGACTCAACTGAGAAAGTAAAAAAGTTTGATGAGAGGATCAGAGTTTCAGTTCAGATTGTTGAAATGTGTTACTTTTTCTGTATAAGAATACAGCTGTGAATGTTCTGAATCACTTAAAGGCATTTTCATGTTAAAATTACTTTTTACAAAACAGCTTTTTTAGCAGTTATATACAATAATAATAAAAAGAATTATTGTACCTGTTGAATAGCGTATAAAAAAATAAAAATACAAATGAACGTGAAAAAGTGACTGTTATTTAGGTAGAGAGAAGGTGAGGGAGGGCTGGGGTGGAGAGTTGGGGGGGTAGTAGGGATACGGCTCAACTTACCCCATACACGGGCTAAGTTGACCATAGGAGACCACTTTTTTGGCATGCTATATTATCAAGACAGTTGTGTTTACACTCATTCCGTTGGTTTGCAGGAATGAACAGCGTCTTGACATACACTAGTTAGAGACAAAACTATGATTGCCTTGATGTAGTGATCCGAAATATGAAAAATGGCTCATCCTACCCCTTTCTCCCATATATTGAATAATGCCCTTCTAAAACTCTTATAGCAACACATATGTTATATATAGATATAAGATAACAAGGGATCTTTGATGTCATATTTAAACTTAACATCAGTAGATGTCACATGTTTGATGGAAGCTGAAAAACAACACAAACATCTCAATATCAAAAAAGCCATCAGATATGTAAAAACATTAAGGTAATCAGTGTCAGCAAGGGCCTTGACATGAACATCTCTGAGTTTCACATTTTTCTCTTTATTCTTTTTGATGCTTTTCTTAAACATTTAAATATTGCATAAGAGAAACAAGTTAGAGGAACATCCTCCACACAGAGCATGGCGCTTTAACACTGGGGAATGTTTAATTAAGGCATTGTAATGCACAAACAACAGACAGCAGAAGGTTTTGATTAATTAATACGTCAAACATGACATTATGCTACATATCAATGACAGTTAATGTCAGGATAGCCTCAGGTAAAGTTACAGACTCAGGACACTGACAGCCACAGAATAAAGACTCCTTGGATATTTATGAATGACATTCTTCAGATTTTTTTCATAGTATAAAAGGAAAAAATCTAAAAAACAAACAACAAAAAACAAGTTTATTGTTTTTCTTCACAACAAGTTTGGGGGCGTATTAATTGTTTTTTCCCCAACATTGTTCGATCAGGTCAGGTTTTGACGGTACCACAACCACACAACTGCATCACTTTTTATTCCTACAAGGGAACTAGGGGTGATGATGATGATGATGCTGATAGGGGTGGCACGACTGGGAGAGATGTGATTTCCTGCGAGTCCGCCTCTGCTGCATTAAAAACTGCAGACGCTCTAGCTTACAGTGTAAAGCCTGATTCTCCTGTGTGGGTACATGGAGAGCGGGCCTCTCTTCATCTACAGGAGTGAGATATAATAAGTTACCTTTGATTAGTAACTTGATTTCACTTTGTTAATATATTCAAGACTTTCAACAATCATGCAAAAACATGGATTTAAAGTTTGGTCTGTGTCATTGGAGCCAACTAAAATGTGTATTTGAATAGAAGATATATTTCAAACACACGTATATATTGTGCAACTTCACTGTTGTTTAAGGCTCACCTGGAGTTTCAACCAGGTTCTCCGTCCTCTTGGTCTCCAGTATTTTACTTTTTGCTTTGCTCTGCTCTTCTGTAGCGAGCAGTGGGCTGACCGGAGGGTTTGAAGCAGCAGAGTGTGGGTGATGGACTGCGGGTGGAGCACCCTGGTGGTGAAAGGCAGCCCTAAGGAGGTCGTTGAGGATCTGGAGGATGATGGTGATGCCACCTCGAGGATGGCTGATGCTGCTCTGACTGCAAGGGGCCAAAGTTCCTAATGAGAAAGAATAGTGCATGAAAAAAGAAATAATTTTTAAGGTTTTCAAGAAAAACATTAGTTAGTTGTTTTTTTTTGACATGTTGGTAAAAACTGGATGTTTTGTGGTTGTGGACCTGAAATTTCCTTTAATTTCTTCTCTACATACCATAATTACATAAGCATTGATTGAACATGGAATTGTAATGGTGTTTAGTCATCTTTGTAAACTCTATCCACTTTATATGTTGATTTCCAGGGAGGATTAACAGAGTATCCTCCCAATTTCTCTATATATCTTCAGTTGATCTAAATGAGACTGAAACTTTAACTGGGAAAATGGAGGCCAGAAAAAAGGAGAGTAAAGCAGTGAAGCTTTGAATGAGTTGTAGTAGATGACTCCATAGATCAGTAAGACTCATATATTTACTTGCCTATGTTTTAATAGTTCTCACCCCCCTTCACCCAGTGTGCCTGGGTCCCCACCCATCATCTCTGTCCATATTCACACCACTGCAGGGGATCAGGCTTTGCTACTTCAATGCAAATCATCAAGATAGCCACCTCCCTTTCTTTTGGTAAACACAAACTTCCAGAGGACAATCCCCTCTCAACTGACACTGACCCAATATTTCCATAACAGTGAGTGTTGCATAATGAGCCCCGCCTGCTTTACTCCACAGCAGGTCAACCACTGCTGTGGCATCAGTCACTGCATTGAAATTACCAGTCTCACCTCCCTCACCCCAAGCCAAGTGGGAGACAGGAGATCACAAGGCCTGAATACACAAAGATAAATGAATAAGATAAGAGAGCCAGCCAGGTAGAATCAATACCCCTCCAATACTCAGTCCACCCAGTTATAGCAGTCAGTTGATCATCAGTGGGTCTGGTTTTGCTCATAGTTTCAGTCTATTTACAGACATTTCTTGTTGCCACCGTTGCCAAATGTCGTACAGAGTTTGCTTGTGATGGGTAATGATGACGTGTCTCTTTGTCATTGAGCTGCTCTTGTCAAAGGGCTCTGTGATAACTTTTATGATTTGGCACGTCTTGGTTTCATGCGCTATTTTTTTTAGCTTTCTGTTGGCAAAAGATGTGGAAAGTTCTTGAACATGGTCTTCTTTGGCACAAAGAATGCATAAGGGCAATGAGTCCAAGAAAATCACAGCAAAGTGTGACTCTGCAGAGTCATGTGGATTCAGCTATCTAGAAGGCCAAGCCATCCTCAATAGAGGCTGCACTTCACTGAAGAAGTATACAAACCTACAGTGTTTTTGTATGTGTGTTAAGAAGACTACACTGTTGAAGCAGTTTTACATGACAGCAAGATAACCACCTTAACTCCCTCACATTAGAATATATGCTGCAGAACATACAGTCAAAGCCTCACCATGACCATATGTTGAAGAAACATGAGTGTTCTTTGACTGCAGACATGGGAAACATGTGGCAAATAAAAACCTTTAACGGGCTAGCGCTGAAGCACCAAAACCTCCCAAATGCTTTCCCTGAACACGTCTGCAGGAGGATGTTAACTTACTGACACATAGGAACCTTATACATGAGGTAGTGAACCAGCACTGAGGATCCCGAACCCACAACTTCTCAATTTTTTTGACAACATCCTGCCTTTCCTTGTTCAAAGCTATTGAAAATGCAAATACACTTCACATGGATGCCATTGAGCACATACTAGCTGACTTCAAGGGAGCTTCATTAAAAGGTTTAAAAAATCTACAGTCTGAAGATCAACACCAGCATGACCAAGATCTGGTGGTGGACTAGTAGAGGAACAGGATTCTCCTTTGTAACAGTCAATGCAGAGATCTTTGCTGTGGAGGGATCAAGTGGGTATGGAAGCTAGATCTCAGCAGGTCAAGGGAATTAGTCACTGAGAAGAAGAAGACGAGAATAACATTGAAGCTATCATGATTTCCCCTTTTTATAATAGGGAGTTTATCCTTGCCATATATTCATATAACCCTGATGCCCACTGGAGTACAGGATGACACCAACTTACAGTATATCTGACTGACACAACAGCAGGGGAGACCACTGACAACATCATTCACTCACACTCTGTTCATCTCAAATGTTTGCTTTGTATTTTTAATCACAAATTGATTTGATTTAAACTGCTCCTCTCATTTTTATGCTTACTGTTTTTTTTCCCGCTGTAATTGTAATTCTCCTTGTGCTGTTTGAAAAACAGAATCCTCTACACTCAATAAATAAAACCCTTTTTTTATTTAAGTTGAGTCTCTCTACCACAAAACCACAAAACACTATTAATCTGCTGTTCTACATTTTTAAAGCCTCACAAACTTACCAGAAAAAGTCCCGGAGAAGATGCCTGGGGAGTGGCTCACAAAACTTTCAATGACTGCGCCTGGCTGCTTGCATCTCTCAGCTGGAGATGAAGGTTGAGTATTACACTGCCAAACAATCACAAGATACATGCATAAGATACGATCTCTGTGAAACGTAACAAGAGGGTGGAGATCACATCATGTCTTTAGCCACACATAAGTTGACTAAAAACATTTTGTCCTTCATACCTTTCGATCAAATATTAAAGACTAACCTCGTTGAAGGTTGTGGCTGGTGCTGGACTTAGGGGTCCGGGCATGGAGCCATTGGGAGGAGGTGAACAAACAGGTGTTTCCGCCTGTAGTGGAGAGCTGGGATGTGGACAACCAGGAGGCAAACAGGGGCTTGAAATAACCGGAGAACATGTGCGGAGAGTTGGAGGAGGACAGGACTGATGCAGAGATGAGCAGTGACGGTTTGCAGAGGCAGGAGTGGGAGAGTGGAAGGAGAAGGCTGATGAGTTTAAAGAAGTCCGGCTTCTCTGAGAGTTTGACTGGGTCATGGATGCAGAGTCAGAAGAGTTCGGGGCTTGAGCAGAGGACTTGGAGGCAGGGGGGCTCGTTGTTCCTGCTATGTTAGAGGGGGACCAGGCTGAGGCAGAAACAGAGGAGCTTCTCCCAGCAGCAGTAGGCAGCCCAGCTTGAAGCTCCTTTCTGCCCCCAGCTCTGAAGTCCTGATGATGCTGCTGCAGTTCTGCCACGTTCTGCGCAGACAGCTGCAGCTGGACGTACATCATATGAGCACCAATTCCCAGGTTAAGTGTCAGAGGTGAGCGTCCAGACAGGAAGTCTCTGATCTGAAAAACAGAGGAGAATCACATCAGAATTATATCTTAGTCTTATGTCTTGTGTCATTCGGCAACACCCATTAAACAGCAGGTGCAGTTTTTCATTATTCTTGGATGCTGCACATATATGTTCTTCCACCTAAAGAGCATTGAAAAAAAACTAAACTAAATAATTAATGATTTTGAACACACTATCGAGTTTACATGAGAAGAATTAGGTCAAACAGTCCAAAAAAAATAGGAGAAAAACTTCAGCGCTAGGGTTGCAGGAGAGGTCCCAAGTTACCTGGTGGTACAGATGTATAAACTGTGAGGCCATGTCCACAAACTGAGTAAAGTTCTTCTTATCACGAGTGAGATTTGGTATCAGTAGTGTTTCTGGGCCTTCTGGATTGGCAGATACCATCAGATCACATGAGGCTGCAGTCTGAGTCACTCATCAAGCAGATTTCTCTGCCATATCGAACACTGTTTTTAAATTTTTAAAAAGTTGATTTGACTGTTTTGCTAACTGCTGTCTTTAATATTCACAAGTTAAATCAAAAAACGAAAAGCCGAATGAAAGTGTATCTTCAAATTAAGTATTTGTCTTTTTTTTAATTGCATGATGTCACAGCCTCTGGTATGCAAGATAAAGTTCCTCTAACAAAATGCACTGTGCATGCTGTAAATGGGTAGACAAGGCTGGAATAAACTATACAGCCATTAAAGTGTTTGCCAAATGATCTTTGAAATTTGGTGCTAAAAATTGGGTCAAACTGAGATGCAAAAGTACCAAAATTCAGAATAAATCCACAACTTGTACATCATAGACTCACCTTGCTGATCAGTACACTGTAGGGGGGAGAAAATGTTTCTATCATGTCCAAGAATAGTTCAAAAGGGCTGTCTGAATGAATAAGTAAAGCACTTTGAAATTTCAAAATAGAGGGTATACTTGCATGAAAATGGTGCTTTTGTTGGAGTCAGTTGACATGCTATATACATTAGCCTACCTGATAGAGCTAGCCATGTTAAATACAGCAGTATAGGATCCCATGTGCTAGTCATAGTTCCCCACTGTCCTTTTAAAAACAGACAACTCTGTCGTGGAAACCACTGCATGGGCTCAAAATCCCCCCCAAAAACCACTGCCCATGAACCCTGGTCGCTGCATTTGGAAATGCAGGTTGAAATTACCATGCAAAGACAAAACTCTCTATTAACGTGATCTTAATTTGGCCGGCAACTTCTTTGGGCCCTGAGCTCATTTCAGATGGACCGAGGTTAAGTCAGTAACTTTCCTGTGGTCTGCAAAATCATTATTTAACATTCTTTTTGTTAATCATGGACCCCACATCCTCCAATCTGAGGGTTACCCGGCTTTCTTTCAGCACACAGTCCAAAAGCCAGAGTTCCTGATGGTACAGAGTTGCATGAGTGCTAATGGCATGGGTGTCTAACAAATCTAAACAACTATTATTTCAGAGAGACGATGCTGTATCACATTCTGCCTGTACAACAATACAACAGTACAACAGCATGGCTCCATAGTAGCAAAGGCCAGGTGCTGGATTGATCGGCCTGCAATCACAGCTTGTCACCCCATCAAAAACATTTGGTGCACCATGAAATGAAAATCTCATCAGAAGAGACCCCAAAGTGTTGAGTAAGTTCCTGATTCTACAAGAGTTTTCAGTTTGTGAAAACATGCATCTGCACTATTTTCCATAAAACAGAATATCAATGATTTGCAAACCACCATAATCTCCTTCATCTTCTTCTCATGATCACTATTATTATCATTATTCGAACCTTATACACAGCCTCTCACCTTCTTTGGGGTTAGGGTCACATTTCTCTGAACAGCTGAATCACTCTATAGTCTTGAATTGATTCAGTAATTCTGCATCCTGATCTTGGAAATGTGATGTACAAACCTTCATGACAATCTGAACCATATTTTTCAAGGTGGATGCTGTGTGGGTTTTTACAGAGCACTGGACTGATGGTGGAAATCACACCAGTGAGTGCGTAATGTAGATTGATCAAGGCTTTATTGACCTTTTTCCAAGCATGCAATCAACTGGTGGGTATCCATAAAAACTAAACTCTTACCTGAACTTCTGTTAAACTCTCCAAAACATCCATAATTCCCCTCTCGGCTTTGGCAGTGGAGCACTGTGACAGCAAGAATAGAAAAAAATGTACTTAACATATCAAGGAGAGCAACTGAGACTGTGCGTGGAGATGACAGGGTACTTACCAATCCAGCCTCCACCACAGGGACCAGGGTCAGTTTGCTGCCATCTGTTACACCCAGGTCCAACAGTCTACCTGCAGTCAGCTGCCTGAAACACATCCATCAACCAGCCTTTTAGTTTCAAGAGAAAAAAATAAAGGTATTTGTGACACTCCATGAAGCACAGCATCAGTATAAGACCAAAAAAAACACCTGTCTCTATGGAGGAGGACGATCCTGTCTGTTTGCATCCTGAGTTTGTGGGAAACGTGAATCATCAGTCCCTCCACAGTCTCTCCCCGCGGGACACTCAGTTCTACTGGACTGCCGGTGGTCGAGGTGATGGACAGATGCATGTTTGGCGAACCGATAGACCCACAGCATGCAGACCTGCCCGGAGTGAAGCCAAAGAGACCCCGCTGCTGCTGCTCCATACAGCTAACTTCCTCTGACAGGTCCAAATTAAACCCAGCCTTTGGTCGCTGGATTGGATTAAATCGAGATTATACAGTGTTTGTCAGCGTTACACTTGCTCTTCATCTCACACTGAACAGAATAAATAATCTATTAACACTGACAACGAAGACTACAAAATGTTTCGAGTAGTAAAAACCGTGACAGTTCCCGGATCTGGCAGTGACAAGAGCAGCACTACTCCACCGGCCGTGATACACCACATCCCTGACAGTACAAGCCCCGCCCAAAGTGATGGGCAACCAATCAGCGAGAGCTCCAACACCGGCCTGCCCGTCCTGACCAATCACTACGACAGTTTCTCCTTTGGCTCCGCCCAGTTTCGTGCCTCACTCACCATTCATAAATGATGCAATCCGCTCAGCACTATAACAAAGTATAAGGGCTGTCATCATGCCAATATCCCTCCTTTTTCACGAGAATACCACACTGTTTTGTTATTTTAGCTCCTGATAAATGATGGTATCGTAATCTGTCATGACACTGAACACAATGTGCTTTGTTTCAACACTTAGTTACACAGTCTCTATGAAAAACAAACAACGTTTGATTATACGTACCATGATTGTAATGCTTGGTTTGTTATTTAGAACTGTTTGACCTTTTAGACATATGTGGTTGTTCGTTTTCTAAATGTAAGCCTACTTATGTCTGGAAATAAAACATAAGTTGGAATGTATGGATCACACAATGAGCAGTTTTTACTGGAGGTACCCAGGTATCTTGATTTGTAAACTTGATTAAAATGTTTCATGTATTATTGATAATCACAAATAATGGCAAAATGACAAAAATAAGCTTCTACTTGTTTCACTTTTGCAAGAAAAAGGAAAATTTAAAATATTCTTAGAGGATCTGAAAATCATTTTCGATCATCACCATGTTTTAGAACATATTGGTGATGATGGTGCCCAGTTTGCGCTGTGCTTAATGCAAGGTAACACCATCACATGCACACTGGTGGAGGCTGTTGAGTTTCTGTGTTCAGTCGGCATTAGGACATCTTCACAGGCAGCCTCTATCCTTTGTACTCTGCTGTCTTTGTCCCCCCTTAGCTGTTTAGTATTCCTGTCCCTCCTCTGGTGGTCTGCAGCAGGGCCTGGGGCTGCACCTGTCACATGGTGCACAGTGGAGAGGAGCAGCTTGGAGTAAAGTGACGCAATAAGCCAGGGTGGGCGGAGAAATGCAGCTAATATCAGTCCTAACATAGAGGCTAAAAATAGCTACACCACCCACCTACACAACACCCCCACTTTATCTGGTCTGCGTCACTCCACTCCCATATCACCCACCTCTCTTCCTCAGCCCTCCCCCACACTCGCTCTTCTCCTAAATGCAGACATGTTGGCTCATTGTGTCTTTTTTTGTCGAAGAACAACAAAACCTGCTAGGAAATCTATTGTTTTCATATATGATTTGTTGTTTGGTTGTTTTGTGCAGCATGATCACCTATTTGTCTCTTACTCTTAATGAAATGGTTCATATTTGAGAGCCCTCATTAAGATCACTGCAATGCAATGAAACATTTAAACATCCAAAGCCTCGATTTCATCCTATTTTGAACAATGCTTCCTCCATTTTCTTCCTACTGTGTAATTCTGATGGAAACCCTGTCCTCCCTGGGTCTCCCTCTCCCTCTCTCCCCCGTCATTTCTATGGCGACACATCCCTCCTATGTTTCACAGTCTGGCTAAATGGGAGAGGCTGCTGCTTTACATTCTTCAGGCCTCGCTGAGAACAATTCCACAGGATGTCCTGCTCTCCAGAGCGAGCACAGACGCAGCTCTGACGTCAAGAAGTCCAGGAACACGCACACACACACACATATGGGTACACACAGCGTTTATCCTCTCCTCCACATTCCTCCTACCCCTTCACAGAGCCTCTCCTGGCATCATTTCCCAGATGTTTCAATGTTTTGGTATTTTCCACCTTAGACTGCCTTCAATTGTGGTGGTAAAATAATTGAGTGTATGGAATCAGTGTTAAATATTTCAACAATTGTCTAATACATGGACAGAGATAATCATCAAATCACTGACGTACTGTCTGAAAATACAGACACACAGATGGAGGAGAGCATTAACGGCTCCTTGCTAATCTTAAATGAAATAGTTTGGATCCTTCATGCACAGGATGAAAATCTGGATGAACGGCATGAAATGAATTTCTTGACACTGTTTTTAGCTCAACCATTTGTCCACCCAAGAACCCCTGAATAATACCCAATCCTAAGTCCTGTGTTTATTTTTATTTGGGTGTAATTTTTGTAATGGACTTGTGCCACATACCCAGTTATCTATAGGCTGACACTCTTTGGCTGTTGCAAATGCAGAAAACTCAAGAATAACTTTGTTAGGTCTTAAACAATTTAGCAATAGAAGCTATGCAAGTAAAGTGCAGCTAGGAGAAAAAGGACAATGTACATAACTGAGTCCCCCACTAACTTTATTATTTCCTTGGTTGTGCTAATGTCACACTATCAATTAAATTGAGTCTTTACTTATGCCCCCAGCTGCTGCCACTCGGCTAAAGTTTCATAGGTCTATTTTAAAGGCACTATTTGTAATTTCAGGCACCAGCAGGCCTTCCATCAATACACTAAGAGTTTTAGTTTAATGGTACCATATAAAAACTCACAGCAGCTGTTGTTGTCATACCTTAACAGCTGTACTGTCTTTGCTTAATCTACAACATAACTCATTCCTGTCTGACGTATCTCGGACAGGAATGCTGATGAGGTGAGAGTCACAGTGTTAATCATGTTATTGTTATTGTTTAATGAGCGGGGTCACCTTCCATTTAAGGGAAACCTGGTTGAATGCATTAAAACATTTGCTACACAAGGTGTAAGCCTGTCTCATACAAGTTTTGCTGTAAGGTGAGTTTGCTTAAATGACTTTTCTCAGTGATTTATATGGTAATTGTGAAGTGTGGAACCTGATCCTGAAGTGAACTCCACTGACTCAGCACTGCACTTCTCCAGCAATGATGGACCTACAATGGACAAAGAATGAATCAAAATCATAGCTCTCAAATATGTCTATGCACCCAGCTGTTGGCCTTAAGAAATAAAAAGTGGTCCACAAAGGTCTGGTAAACTGGCAAATGCTCCACAAGCTGAGTTAAATCAGAGCCACACTTCAATATCATTTTCATTTCCATCTCTTGGGCTCCAGAACACTCAACATCCTCACTTTTGCTTAAACAACAATCATTTATTGTCAATAAATGTTTAAAGTTATTTCAATGACTCCTTCCCAGGGGTGAACCTGCAGCAAAAAATGATGAAATACTAAAGCCTTATTGAATATACTGACATCAGCTGCACAATAAATCAATCATTGTTGCAGCTGAAAGAGAATCATTGTTGCAGAACCCTGTAAAATTTCTGTTTTTCAAATTTATTAAAGTTCACTGTTGCAAGTTAGCACCGCAAATAGTCTATGATTGGATAGATACTTAAGTGTAACAGTGCATGTACAGTATATTGGTAGCAATCCAATAAAACACTAATAAGGGAAATCACAATACACTAAATAATAAATGAAAAACTATAATCAATTAAAAAAAAAAAAAAACTACAAAAAGACATAATAACACACAACAGGCAAAAAATGTCCAGAGAGATATAAATCAACGTCAAAGACATTCATAATGACAAGAGAGAGACATGAAACTTTATTGATAAGAAAAACTACCAAAAAGGGGCACAGAAATGCTGAGGAACAGTGCTGCACACTAAATCTTCCTCTAATGTAACAGGGTCAGTGGCCTTACATGCCTGTGCCCATTGTTCTGTAATCTAGTCATAATTTGATCAGATAATTAGTGTACGATTCAAGAAAAACAAACTACAAAACAAGAGAGCCTCCATAAAATCAGACACATATTTGGAGTGATAATCTGTGAAATTTAAGCAAAGTGTGACACTTGCTATGAAAAGTCTGTATGAAATATATTTTATAAGACTTGAATGCCTCTGCTTTTCAGCTATTTCTTGTGAACAATTGCATTTATCAAAACACTTAAGATAATTTTTTTTGTCTTTGTGAATGCCAGAAAAAATGTGTATTTTGTTATAATCATAAGCTGATTTGTGTCCATCACAAAGAGTGCATCAAAAGTTAGATCTGCTCTATGAACAGCTCTCCTTCCTTCTTTCCTGTGATCATGCTTCAGTTCGCCTCAGAGACTCTGTTCTTGTAGTGTAAACTGAACCTCTTACTTTGGTGGAACCAGAGACTGAGGAACTTTAAGTGTCCTAAAATATCCTGGAATGTAATTTACATAGCCTGAGAAGTTTACACAGACATGGTGGAGGGAACATGAGGTCACATTCCTGAACTTCAGCACCCCTTCTGCATCCAGCCAAAGAAAGTGAGGCCTTAAACTTTAAATAGGCTTCATTATGTTGGGTAGGTCCAGTGAGTAAACACATGTAGGTCAATCTGGTCTCTCTGATCCAGGTCCAACAGTGGTATCAAAGCGGACATGTGTGCCGTTATTTCTGTCACACAACCAGATGTTTCAGTCTGGGCCAGTTTGTTAAAGTTTGGGTTAAATATTAATTTTTCTTTCATTTCTACATCACACAATAACCTCAGAGTTGAGGGTTGAAATAAATGTTTTCAGATTACAGTGTAAATGCATACTAAACATTTGTACATATGCAAAAAATAAACAGAAGAAAGACGAAATAGTGGAGACTAATGGAAATAACTACAGAAGCCTTAACCGGACATGCATTTATACATTTTAATTACATCTATCATTGAAGTCTCTAACATACTGCTTCTAACTTAGCAAGAGACTAGTTGTCCAGGGCTGATCTTAAATTAATGCATGTAGGTGCAGATGCCCTCTTCTGCCCTCTTTGTGAGGCCTTGGCTGTTTGTTAATGAGTGCTAAGACAATAGGTTTGCTGTGTCTGTCTCATGGACAGTACCTGATACAGGTGTCCTTCTCTCACAAGGTCTCAGAGTTGATTTGTAGAAGTCAGTGATGAGGATGACAGATTCTGACAATTCTGAAACAAACAAACAAACAACAAAAAGACAAAAAAAACAACAACAAAAAAACGTTCTAGTCTTCCATCCAAGGACATCTGGAGCTCTGGACGAAATCTTTGTTTTTTGATGAATCAAAATCAAAGAATGGCAGACGAAATAATAATGAAATTTGAAAAGGACAATGATAATAATAATAATAATGATGATAATAACAACAACAATAATTATAATAATAATAATAATGATGATGATGATAACAACAACAACAATAATGATAATAATGATGATATTAATAATAATAATAATAATAATAATAATAATAATAATAATAATAATAATAATAATAATAATAATAATAATAATAATAATGCTATTATTATTGTTGTTGGTTTGTTATTATTATCATCATCATCATCACCATCATCATTATTATTATTATTATTATTATGAATAATAATAATAATAATAATAATAATAATAATAATAATAATAATAATAATAATAATAATAATAATAATATAGGCTTATTAATCATAACCATTATTTAAATCGTAATAATGACAATTAAAAAAAACAGTGTAATACTGTCCCCAAGTGGTGAAAAATGAGATTACAAACCACCGGCAGAAGCCATCGCCACTGTTCCGTCCCTAGATCATGTCCTACTACTAGAAAATCTAGAAATGTTTGAAAACAGCATGCATAGGATCTATATTAATACACACAAACAGAAATGTAGTAATTAAAAATTAATACGTTTAGAAAATATAAATAAATAAATGTAAAATACAGTCATTCAGTCGGATCAACTGCCGCCATTCATGAGTGCCAATCTAAGACACAGGGCTGGTTTTTCTCCTCCATCTCACATCATCACCACAAACACCACCACCATCATCATCATCACCAGCGCCGGTCACGTGGTAAGTCGGGAGCGGGCGGTGGGTGTGTCTAATCGCGTGTGGTTCCATTCATAACTAGAGTCTTCATTTGAAGCCTAAATTAAGGTATGCAGAGGGGGCAGGCTGCCTGTGGAGCGCACCTTCTCACGTCGGAGACTTTACCCGGGTGAGTCCCATCATCTACCCCGCTCACATCAGGAGCAGTTCGTTGACCTGAGCGCGTGAAATGTGTCACTATTTCATTATGTAAGATGTTTGGATAGGTAGTTTGAGTGGGGGGGGTGTTTGTTTGGCGGACAGTGGCGGAGACCGGTAGCCTACATGTGAGACTGATCGTGATGTGTTGTTCCCCGCAGGCTGAGCGCACACGACGCGGAGATGTGGGACAGCTCTGATCGGAGGGTTTTCGGGGGCGAGAGGAAGATGCTGCTGATGCTGAAGATGATGATGATGCTGAAGTTGCTGCTGCTGCTGCTGCCGCGCGCTGCCGGCTGCAGCGGGTCTCTGTAGTCAGCCTGCACGGAGCCTCAACACCGCCTGTATACACCGTAAGACCCTGCACATCTGGATACCCCCCCTCCCTTCTCCCCTCCCCTCCCCCGCATGTATGACTGCTGCTGCTGCTCATAAACATCCTGAACATTATTATTATTATTCCAGTCAGCCAGAGGAATTAACTAGAAAGTACCTCCGTCTCTGTCTGCCTGTCTGTCTGAGCCCCCTCCATCTGTCTGTCTGTCTGTCTGCCTCCTGTGCTATGTGGTTACTGCGCGAGAGGATGTGAGGATTTATCACGCACGCACACGCACGGATAGGCAACACGCACACGGGATTTTTTTCTTGCTCTGTATTTGTGTGCGTGTGTTTGTGCAATTAAATGAGGGGTGTTTAGTGTTTGCTTACTGGAAAACAAAAGAAGTTAAGATTAAAAGTCTATGATTAAAAGTAAATGATAATGGCATTATAAAAACGATGAAAGCATTAAAGCAACAATTAAACTACTGCTGCGAGGCTACAGCTACTCCTTTAGATAATAATAATGATGAAAATAATAATAATACAGAAAGTAAAAAGTAAAATAAGAAGGGGGTTATGAAAAAAAGAGAGAGAAAAAAATTATATAAAAAGCAATGAAGAAGAAAAAGAAAAAGAGGAAGACTACTCTACATTTAAACTGCACAAACATTTTGCAGAGAAGATAATCTGGATGAGTGATTACACAACATATAGTTAATGAGTTTGAGTTATCAGTACAAGTGTTCAATTGCTTTATAATATTATAATTAAATGTTATTGAATACTTTGATATAGTAATTACATTAAAAAAAACAATAATGATTTACAAATCCGAACCTATTATGGAGTCGTTATTCTGAGATCAGCTGTAAGAAAAGCAAAAATATAGTGAATGTTGCACTTGTATCCTTTTATGTATCTTAATTTGAGAATTAGGTTACATGGTGTGCAACATCCAGCATTGTTTCTATATTGAGTGTAAGAACTGATAATTGTTGATTATACAGAGTACCCTCTTCTTTTTAAATTCAAGCTGAACTAGTGTAATATTTCAGAAAATGCAAAATTAGTCAGAATTAGCAATATAGGGAGAAGTCAGTAAACAGAATGAACAATGTAATTTAGGTGTAGTTCTGTGAGGCAGGTTAGTTACTGCAGTAAGCAGAGTACGAATAAACCTCTGCCTCTCTTTTAACTGTGAGTTCAATGTTGTCAGTTGACTGTAAAAAAAGAAAAAGACCGAAAGCCAGAACATCTCTAAGACCTTCGATGATAAAAAGGATAAGAGGATTTCATCATTGAACTCCTCAGTGAGGTGACTTAAAACTATTTTGTCCCTCAGAAAGTAAAAGAGCAAACTTTTTCACTGGAATATTTAAAAAGCTGCAACCACTGCTTTCATTTTTTATATGTTTGAAAATTCAGATAATACTTTACTTTGGTTCCCTAATGCCTAATAATTATATAACCATCAAACTGAATTTTGTGGCACACAAGTATGTTAAAACGCATGTTTCAGTAACCGTGTGTGAGCTGTTATAAGTGAGCTGGTTATAATTTATAATACAATGAAACAGCTCTCATGTAAAACTTATCGTTGAGGGAAAAAATAGAACTCATTCCACTTACATTTACATCTACTTTTAAATAATCATGCTCACCTACAACCTAGGTGTGAAAAATCGTTGATCTTATCTATTTTTTAACTCGGGTTCAAATGTGGATATGTGAGTGAGTGGATGTGTGGTTTCTATTGTTGGAGTGTTCTCTCTATTCAGAGCTCAGTCCTTTTCAGAGTTACCTTGAGCCATTTTGTGTATGAGATGTTACATAAAACATGACTCTCACATGGAGAGTGAGTGTGCGCTGGAGTTTGTGTATGTGCGTAAGGTATGCAGTCATAGATCGATGTTACACAAGCTCCTCTCTGTGTGAATGATCATGCCCTATCGACTAGACTGATTTCTTTTCTTTCAATATGTCTTCTGTATCATTAGAAATTAAACTGGCTTTTGTCACTTTGGTATGTTACAGGGATATAACCTTGTTTTATGGTTATGCAAAATAATTCGGATTAACTTGAAAAGCTTGATTTTAAAATCGTAGTTTAAGATCTTTATTACTCACAGTGTAAGCCTCTAATGACAGACACTGCCCAGTTGCATGTTTGAGGCTATGTGTCAGGAAAATTCATGCTCCGCTGTTCACCTTTGACCAGCCTTTTGATTTTAACTTTCTCTTATATGAGTCATCCAACAACATAGGTTAGGTACTTGGAAGCCAGAATGACCATAACCAGGACTTATGAGGCCACGAGTTCAAATTCCCAATACACAAGATCAGAACTGTAATGAGTTTTTTAAGAGACATCCGACAATTTTTAAACTGTTAATTTGTATTTTTTCTCTTATCTTTCCTCATACCTCGTGGTACTCTTAATGCTTAATTCCACTTATGTAATCTGCAAAAAGTACTGAAGAAATTTAATATGACTATTTATCTTTTTATAGAGCCAAAAACCCCAGAAAGACCCAGACTTAAAGTATATCAAAATAAGCCTAGAACTCAGAAAACAAGTAATTTCCCTGTTAATGTAAAACACAAATGACCCTGCAGGGTAAATCTCTGCAGGGATGTCACCTAAATGTCTTAGACACCGTAAGACCTGCACCTAAATACAAAGACGAGTTATACTCCATAGTCTATAATAGCACAATGGAGTCACACTCCTACAGACTACCTCCAGACATCCCTTCACTCTTTTAGGAACCTGAGTGGACACAAAAAGAGCACAAAAAAACAGTCTCATTTCATGTTCTTCTCTAAGTTGACAGAGACATAACAAAGTTTGACAACAAAAAGTTTTCCCCTTAAAGTTGAAGATTCTGAGCACACCTGTTTTATAGGTGAGCCGTGACAACCCTCTATTTATTCTAATTTATTGAAAAACTATAGAGAACAACCTGCCTGAAAGTCCAAATATCAAAAGTGACCATGAAATACACATGCAGTTGTCATGTCATAACAACAGCATTGAATCAGAGCTGTTATTCTGGCTTTCCCCACCAACTGATGCCTTATAAAAACTAAAGTTTTGACTGGGGACTATTTGGAGTTGCAGACTAATCCTCATGTGGCACTCTGCTGTCAGTGTCGGTGAGATGATATATGCCAGACTGGATCATGAAAGAGTGCATTGAAGGTGTTTTACATAAAAAAGAGCAGGTCACCAGGTGCAAAGTTGTGTCTCTTCGATGTCTTTTAATTGTTTCTAAACTTAAGTTGAGATCTTTGGCACCACAAAAATCATCTTTTTGCTTACAGGTTTTGCTCTTTGATATTTCTAAAACTATTCTGTCATTTCAAGAATGTCATTTCTGAATTCGCCTCCTCTCTCCTCTCCAAGGTTCACTCACGCTGACCTGGACCATGAGCGATGATTCGCCTGTTCTGACAAGTCTGACCGACAACTCCACTGTGAGTACGGCTGCTGTGTACACCCACACTCTACAAGGACATCACACACTATCGTCACCTTTACAACACCTTGTGTCTGTCAGTGCTCCTCTGAGATACTGGGACTTAGCCAAAAGGGTTGACCACAAAAACAGCGCAGTGTTCTGGTTACAGGTATTAAATTCCAGGTGTAGAGGACAGCCTGATCTGTATTTAAAGAGGACTGTGTGTGCTGCTGTCTTTGTAACTAAGGCAGTCATAGGGGAAACTAGGTGTGTGGGTTAGTAACATGGCTGTCAGCTGATTGTTTGTGGTTTTCTCCCTGTTTGGCTGAGCCTGTAAAAACAGCAGATTTCATTAAGCTGAAGACATCCGGACCAACAGTGTGTGTGTGTGTTGTTTGTGTGTTTGTGTGTTGGTGTGCTGCACATACACATGTAACTGTGGATGTATCAATATTAGCATTATAAAGCTGTTATTTTTGGCTCTAAGACACACAATCATGCTGTTACTACCCTTAGATTTCAACTGAAAGTGGGTCACGACAGCATGTAATGAATGCAAAAATATTCTCCATGTGTGCACGTGTTTGTGCGACATGAGACCTACTTTAACATCTTCTGGCCCGGAGCAGGTTTGAGGTTGAATAAAAGAGGAAGTGTTTTCATTCGCTCTGATGTACACAAACGTCAGCCTTTCCCCTGCTGTCTCTGTCCTCCATGTCGAGACTTTCTGCTGTTAGATTGAACGTGTGACTGAAGCTGACACAGATTGATTGGTGCTTTTTTTCTCTTTGGGAACTACCTCCACCGTTTACAGTGAATGCAGAGTCAACATAAAATAAGCTGTTCTTGCTCTTTATCACACACATACGCCCTGTGCTATACACTACACCCACATTAGATGGCTGACAGGACACTTGGCACCTGCTGTTTAAAAATTCAGACTCTATTGTGCAAAATCTCTTATATGCAGTTGGATTTTTGTCATTTTAACCTGAACTGATTGTAAAGACAAAATAAGGATACAACGATCACTAATTCCCAGCTTGGAACTCCTTGAAAGAGAAAATGAATCGAGAGATGAATAAATTAACTGATAAGACGATTATAGGTTGTACCATCAGTGCAGTCAGCAGCAGATTTCACCCTGTTGCTCCTCCTGTTGAGTTCATCTTCATGGAAAGGTCAGGCTGTGCTCTGCGAGGTACATCTTCATTTCATCCAAAGTTGTTCAACCTTTAACATTTTAAAATGCTTAATGTTGCACTGGAGGAGTTTCCCAGTCATGGTGGTGAAAAGAGCCCAATTATTCTCCGCTCTCTTTTGATACTGACATCGGAAGAAGAGCAAGGAAAGTCTTGTGTGGGGATTGCTCATGTGTGTCTGCATCCTCCTCCTCCTCCTCCTCCAAATTTCCATTTTTAGCCTGCGGAGGCCTCATTTCCCTCTCATTGAGAAGAGATGGGAAATTGAATTAAGGGTCTCGCTGACGTTTCGATTAGCATCCCCAAGCTCGCTCAGCCAAGACTGAGAGTATTAATCAGGAAGAGTAGCTGTGTGTGTGTGTGTGAGCGGGCGGCATGTGTATGAGCGTGCATGTGGATAAGAATCACTGCGAGGAGAGGGGGACTTAAGAAAGTCTTTCAGTGCTAAATCCACCCCTTATTAAATATTATAGTGTGTATCTGACAGTGTGATGTGACAAAGACATTCCTCATCGCTACAGCGCTCAAAGGGAGACAAATCACTTATTGACCCAGCAGGTCTTTAAATCAGCCACTGAGCGCACAACAACATGCAACCACGCAGATGTTGTGCCAAATGAGACTTGTGTTTTAGGCTGCACCATATCTACCAGTGGAACCAGTGGAAATGTACGCCATGTAAGACAACCAAGTAGCATGAACCAGTTATTATTGGGTTAAAGCCACCAACCAAACTTATCAATACTGGCAAAATCAAAACAACAATCAAAACACTATAAAAAGAGGAATCCAGGATCATACCTTTGGTTCAAGACCCATCCCACTGAGCATTTTTTGGTCTAAAAGAGGTCTAATAGACATCTAAATGTAGCCTAGACGACTGTTCAAAAATCAGGCTACCACAGGTCTAAAAATGAAAGTTTTTTAAATGTCTAAATTCAGACCAAGTTTAGACCAAGTCTAAATCTGGGATATATCTACACTACACTGTATATCGCTATCACTATAATGGCTATCATCATTATTTTGGTTAAGAACTTGGAGATCAGTTATGTAACTCACAGTTGCTTTTTGAAATAAATAGTTATCAAATAATGGGTTAAAGTGCAACGTCAAAATTCCGTCTAACAATATACAGAATCTAGACGGTTGAAATTAGGTTAAAAAAACAACAACAGACATTTAATAGCCGTCTATTGCTCAGTGGGATCCTTGATTCTCCATGAATGAGCAGTGGGCAACATTGTAGGGGACAAACTTCATGGGTAGAAACCTTCAGCACAACCAGATTCACAGGTTAAGATAAGATAAGGTAAAATAAGATACTTCTTTATTAATCCCACAAGGGGAAATTCCCATTTACAGTTAATCCTTTCAAAGAAACATACAGCCACATTATAAATTTAGCTAGGCAGAAGGAGAAAAAGGGATTTTAGAGTCCCTGTACTCAGTGTATTGAGATGTTTAATGCCTATCTCTTGATTGTTACTTTCTCTGTATCATTTGGAGAAAGACTAGAGAGGAAGAACACACCAGATTTAGAGCAGCTACAGCAGGTTTAAATCTGAATCATATCCTGTCGGCTTATAAACCTCCAGGAAAAAAAGAGCCTCATCATCCTTATTATTCAGTCCAGGGCTAATATAAGAAACTGAACCCTGGGATTCAGCTCTGACAAGTCTTACATTCGGAACTATATAATTCAGATTTTTCTTAAGACTTTTTTAAGGCCTTTTCATGTCTTCATTAAGAGGGCAATGACAGTGGATAACAAGGGAGACTGAAAGCAAAAGGCCAAAGTTGGTTCAAACCCTGCAGTCTCTAAGTACGGACATGCAGTTTAATAACAGCTTCACTACCATCCCTACTATTTAACAGCATTCTTTTATAAAGGGGTAGAATGACTCTGTATAAGGTTAAACTATCAGAGGTAGAAATACGTTTACGTCTATATACAAATGATTTGTATTGAGACCTTTAACTGCAATTTTTTTGTAGGTGTCATGATATGATGTGCTGCAGTTTTTTTTTTTTTTTTTGTCAAGAAATATTTCTATGTTCCTGAGCGGTTAATTTGTGCTTTACTTGTTTTATATCCTTGGAAAACTATAAAACTATGTAAAAATCTCAATATTAAGTGACTAAAGCTATAAAGTATGTCATATTTTGAATGACAAAGCAGTAATAAATACTGCCGCAGTCCTAACCTCTTGTCTCGGTGCTCTCTCTCAGGACGTGCCTGTGTCTGCAGGCCAGGTGGAGAACTATGTGCTGCTGTTGGTGCTGCTGAGTGTTTTTGCGGGGGGCACGCTGGTGTTACTCTCCCTGCTGCTCCTCTTCTGTCACCGCTGCTGCATGGGGGGGCGACGCTACTCCAGGTGAGTGACTCACCGTGTGGGACCTGACAGGCTCTGATTCTATTGCAAACACACACAGAGAGATTATAGAAACCAACGTGATCGTGACAGCAGAGGATTAAAGCTTTGTTGAAAAATAAAAAGTGAAAGCTGTGAGGAGAGGGTTTTTGTTTCTATGAAAGAGCAAAAACAAGTAGACTTCTTTCTGTCTTTCAGGGCCAGCGATGACCTCGAGAAGACAAACACCACCTATGCTGAGGATTCTCAGCCCACCCAAGGTTAGATCTAGACGCTTTATTCGGTTCTTACATAAATTTTTCTAGTCCACTTTCATAACTAACTCTTTCTCTGTCTGTCCTTGTCCGCTTTGTCACTCAGAGATCACCATTCATCTGGATGAATCAGATGCTCTCTCAGCTTCGAGCTGTCACGATGGAGAGTCAGAGCGATTCGTCTCCACTGGATCTACTGGCCGTAGAGTCTCCTTCAATGAATCTGCACTTTATGAACAGGAGAAGACAACTCAGGATAAAGGACGGAGGTACTGCAGAGCAAAAGTGAAGTTCTTTGAGTAAAGGCTGTTGATGTAGAGGGGATATGATGATTCATCCTCTTTCTTAGGTACACTCTGACTGAGGGAGATTTCCACCACCTGAAAAAGGCCAGACTGACCCACCTCCACCTCCCTCCAGCTCCATGTGATTTAAAGATCCTCACCATCATGGAGTGTGACTCAGCAGAGAGCAGCACCATCAACATCAGTGAGGCTGACACGCCCAAACTGCCCCTCACCATCTATCAGGTAACACAGAGGGATTTCTTTCACAGCTTTGGCTGGATTTCTGATCTCCAAACAGCGTAAACAGCCGCTCTCTGGTCCTTCAAGAACTATCTCTCTTTCCAGCCCGCTGACAGGAGAGTCCCTGATTGGAAGGGACAGAGCCTGAGTGGAGGATTGCCGGGACACCCACATCACTCCACCATCCTGGACCAGGGCCCAAGACCGGTTTCATCGGTCCTTAAACCCCAACACACACGCTCCCAGACAGTAAGTTTAGCTTCCCCTAGGTTATACCCACTGAGCAGTTTTTGGTCTAAAAGAGGTCAAATAGACGTCTAAATGTAGCCTAGATGACTGGTCTAAAATCAGGCTACCTCAGGTCTAAAAATGGAAGTTTTTTAGATGTCTAAATTTAGACCAAGTTTAGACTAAATCTAAATCTGGGCTGTATCTATATTACACTGTATATTGCTCAACGGCAATCATAATTATTTTGGTTAAGTACTTAGAGATCAGTTAGTAACTCACAGTTGCTTTTTGAAATAAATTGTTATCAAATTATGGGTTAAAGTGCAACGTCTAAATTATGTCTAAAATTATACAGAACCAAGACGGTTAAAATTAAGATCTAAAAAAAACTAGACCTCTAATAGCTGACTATTGCTCAGTGGGTGTCTAGAAAAATACAGGCCACTACATTTAAATCAGACCTAAAACATCTTAATCTCCATAATTTCTGGACCATGAGTCTTAATGACTCTTTATGCTGGTTTGACTTTATGTGTCTGGTACACAATATTAATTTGATCTCCTTTACTAGTTTAATGTTTGGTGACTCTTTTAAAATGAGTCTAAAATTATGATTAAGTTGTGAGCTACTTAGTTCAGTACACAGCAATGATTTACTGGAAAACTGTTTTCATATCTTTAAATCTCTAGCTATAGCGAGTGTCTACAGCTAATTTGCGGAATGCTAGCATGCTAACATACAAGCTGCTAGAGCAGCTAATTGGCAAGATACCAGCATGTTAGCATTGTACCTGGGTGCATGAGAGCATGGTAATATCAGCATTTAGCCAGAAACAGTTTGTCTGAGTCGTGAAGCTGGAGTTAGTCTTGTTTTCAGTCTTGTTTTATCATCCCGATCTACATAAACCACTATTGGAGGAAATGCTCAGTCTGTTTTTCCCCCCAATTGTTCTCCCAAGCAAAATCAATGATTCTAACCTTGAGTCGTCTTACACTATCGATAACACAGTAAGACTCTCAGAATTGACAGGGAAAGTTATAAATCCCAGATAAAACCTGTTTTCTATCACACATTTTCTCAAAATCTGCAAAACAAATCTATTTTTTGGCTGGTAAATCATCACTAAGTTGGTTTATTTTACTTCATTTTCTTTTGTCTTTTTTCCCCTACTGCTTTTAATGGTTATTTTATTCTATTTAACTTGCATTGTTTTGGTATGATTTGATTCTGTACGATCTTGGCATTGTTCTTGATATCTACGGATTTATTTATTAATTTTTTTGTGTTGGAGTGAATCCTTTGTGCCCTAACATTCGCTGTTGAAATGAATCCATTGAAAACTCAAAAAAAAAAAAAAAAAAAAAAAAGGATTTAGAGGAAACCATCCCTAAGTACAAAGTCACACAGTAAGTACAGATCTTGATTTCCAAGACCTCAGTTCAGATCAATCCACAAACAGAGCTGTGAAAAGCCACAGGCTGAAAACCCACTGATGCACTGTGACATCAGTCATTACTGCAACTGAGTGACAATATGACAAACTGCTGTCCCCTGAAGGATTTAGCCTTTGCCCATCACGATTCATCTTGGCCTGTCTGTCTCAACTCCTCTTTTATGTCTCCTCACCTCCCTCCCTTCAGATGGAGACTGTCGGGGACAGAGGAGAGGCTGAGGGTGAAAGGACGATGAGAGGGGAGTTGGCTCAAGCTTTGGGACAGAGTTCAGTTCTACATTTCTTCACTAAACTGCGGCGCCATGCCAGCCTGGAGGGGGCGGGACCTTACTTCAGGAGGTGGAAGTTTGACAGCAGTCACCGAGCTGCTAGCTTGGATGCTAAAGGTATGAATGAATGTCACAGATGAGGAAGGGAAGCTTTAAAAAGTACCTCCAGGGTTAGTTCAGTCACCTTACCAGCAGATTCAGTTGTATTTACTATTTTAATAATGTGATGTCAAGAACGGTCTCTGATTGGCCAACAGACACAACCATAATCATCAAGGAACATTCAAGTGGACAAGTAAATGTTTTCTATTTTAAAATCCTAAGAATAAACACAATATCAGATTTATCACTATAGATTTGTGTTGCATTTGGCAGAGGGTTGTAATTTCAGGCCGGGCGAGAGCTCAGCTTTTAGTCCCACAGCTACAAAGAGTCTAACTAGCAGCATTGAATGGTACTTCTTCGTAAGGTTGTGCAGGGATTGGGTGATTTAAGGTTTGTTGATGCTGTTAAAAATAGCCTGTCAAAGTTGTTCAGTAGATTTCATACAATCTCTAACAGGATCTCCCAAGAGAAGGCCATTTCAGAGACAGAGGGCAGCAAGTGAAACCACTGATCACACCGAAGAAGACTCCTCTCCTCTTCAAGATGAGGCTATTGAGTCTTTCCCACAAACTCCCAATCAGATGAGTGGTCTCCAGGCACTCTCTGCAGAGTCTCTGTCTCATCCTGCCACAGCACCCACATCCTCAGTCTTCCTCAGCAGGTACAGCCCTTCCTTAGTATCCCATGACGTGCATGATTAAGTTCCCAGAGATTTGAAGTAACTTACTGTTAACTCCTTCTGTGTAGGCTTCAACTGGAGGCTATGGCAGAGGTAGGTAGCAGCAGCAGCAGTATAAGGAAAGAGGATCTCAGTTCACCAGTCAGTGATTGTAAGGCTCAGGAGCCAGAGAGAGCCACTGCAAATGGACCTGGAGCAGAAAAAGAAACAAAGTTTGGAACAGGTACGGACACAGAAGCAGCAGGAGTGGAGGCTGAATTTGCAGAAGAAGACGACTTGTTTGGGGAACAGCAAGAATCTGCCAAACAAGAAAGGTTTGAAGACCTGCTGAGGAAAACTGAAGTCACACAAATGAATACTATGACACCAGATTTAAGGAAAAAGACCGAGGTGGATGTAGAAGATGGAGATGAAGTAGTGTTGGGAGCTGAAGCCAGACGAAGGACCAACTCAGGCTCTTCTCTCACCTTCATGATTCGTCAGGAGAGTTCAGAAACTCCTCCCTCTTTGTACAGAGACATTTGGAGCTTGAGAGCTTCTCTGGAGCAGTATGCCTCCTCAGACCAGAGCAGCACAGATCGAGAGTCCATCCGCAGTGATGCTGACAGTGTTTCCTCCCTTGGCGGTGCAGGAGCTCGCTCTGGCCTGGAGAGCTGTTTGTCCCAAGACCTGGATGATGAGCCTGAAGGAGAAGGAGAGGGATTGGAGGGAGGAATCCGAGGGGCATCAGGCGGCAATGGTGAGATGGGAAGTGGAGCAGGGGGGGAAGTGGAGGCAGGGAACCGCAAGCTCCTTCAGATGGACAGTGGCTATGCCTCTATTGAGGCGCCATCAAGGGCCCCTGAGGAAATGCGGCTTTTTGGGACTCCTGGAGTTCCTCGAGGGAAGACAGCATCGGAAAGAAGGTTGTTCTTCACAAGCTCAGGGAGAAAAGGTTCAGTGTGTGAGAGCATTGAAGCCCGGCTGTTTCAGGAGGAGTTGGAGGATGAGATGACAGACGGAACAGGGACTGAGAAGAAACTCAAAGATCGTTCTCAAACGGACAGCCAGTCTCTGGTCCTTGAAGAACCATGTCAACTTCTAAAGTCTTTAAATCCTCAGAAACCTTTCGAGTCTCAATCACAGCTTATTTCCTCACTTATGAAGCCAATTCAACAACCATGTAGTCCTCACAAACCTCGTCTCCGCCGCCGTGACTACAGCATCGACGAGAAGACAGACGCTCTTTTCAACGAGTTCCTCCGCCATGATCCGAGGTTTGATCAGCAGGATTCTCCTCTGCGCACTCGGCACCGATCCAGGGTACACCTCCGAAAACAGTGGCAAAGACACAAGCAATACAGTGACCCGGGGTCAAGTGCTGGAGGAAGGTACTCCCCTTCTTTGGAGAGGCAGAGGTTTACCCCACTGAGGAGAGGGGACAGTGCAGGATACCCTCTGGACACCAGGTATCACAGCACACTATCACGCATTGCAAGTGCAGCTGATGAAGAAGCCAGTGAGGTCGCGGCTAGCGAAGAGGCAGCCAAAGAGAGCACAGAGACCAAAGATCCATCGAGTGAAGGAGCCGCAGGGGAAGCTACAGAAAGTACAGCCAGCTCTGAAGGCACAGATGCTACAAAGAGCTGTGCACAGTCAACATGCGACGCTGAAGTCTGCCAAGTTTCCACAAAAACGGAGGCAGAAAGCACAAAAAAGCGGTCCTCGACCAGTGTGACTACACAGAAGAGCTTCATGGATCCAAGAGTTGACAACAGGAACAACAACAGCAGTCAAGCAATGCTGTTGGAGGTTTCCCTGCAGACAGAAAACAGCCTGACAGACAAGCTGGTTTTGTCAGTGGAAGAGAGACTCTATGGCGACCTGCGCTCTGCTGAGACGCTCAGCCAGAGAGGATCTGAAGGGGTGCTTACTGTGACCAACACAGCCTCACCTGGCTTCAACCCCACATAGCCTGTCATCAATCCAAATCAAATTTATTTCAAATCCATCTTTTAGAGACAACAGACTTGAACAAAGTTGTCTAAAGCACTTAAAACATCATCACGTTACATTCTTGGTTATTCTACGTCCTCTACATTTGGACATATCTTCAGATGAATATGCTCTCAAAACTGATGCAAAAGACAAGAATACTAGTCTAAAGGACAGACGGATCTCTCTGGTGGCCTGTCTCTTCCAGTGTTTTTCATTCAGAACTCTATGTCCACTGTGATGCCATGTGACACGTGATGTCCCCGCTTTTTTTTTTTTATATCAGTGATACTTTAAACTCAACTGCACTCATTCCATGGCTTTGAAAATATAGGCTCTTTAGATGAAGAAAAGAACATTTTCAGACTTTACTGTGAATTTTCAGCATGCTACTCAGTGTCCTAACAAAGTCTATGTGAATAGTATACAGATTTAACTTTAAAACATGAAGCACTTTGACGAGGAGAAAGATAATGATGGAGTTTCTGCCAACCATTTCTCTCATACTTAAACCATATCCGCCCCAAGTGTCCTTGTCTCCATCACCATGAAGGTAAATGTCTCCATCAAAAATCTGATTTCTGCTTTAGGCAAAAGGAAGAAAATCATTTTGAAAAGATCTTTATCGAGAACATGATATCAGCAGATCTGAAACCATCTGCCAATACAGCACTAAAAATAAACGCATCTCGGATGTTTATACTCATATTTGAGGATTTTTATAGGATTTTTGTTTAATTTATCCCAGTTAGTCATCAAGAAAAAGGTACAAAAGGAAATAAAAAGGTATCCAGAAGCTTCCGTGGGCTTGAGCTGAGTGTTTGTCTCACTGCCGGGACTCTTGGTGAGGGGGAGACTGATGACACTTTAAAGGACTGACACAGGAGCCTCTCAGGCTTTTACACAGATGGTCCATAGACTGAGAGTTGAGGCTGTGAATGCGGAGGTTGAAACCGACTAGCAGAAACACTGTCGGCTCTGAAACCAAATAAGAAAAGGATAAACCTGATCTTCATTATAATTAAAATGAAACCAACTAGAAAAATCAAACATGAAAAGATAAATGTTGAGCTGCTTTGCAGGTCCAGGTCACGTGTTCTTTCATTCCTGCAAATGCTGACCTAAATTTGCTCTGCTGCTGTAAACACGCACCAGAGAACAAAATGTGTTAATCCACGGCTAAAGAAAAATGCCCTGATAATAAAACTCTTCCTGGTTTTTGTGTAATGTTTGATGCAGCTTTTTAAGAGGTTGTCCAGCTAATTTGTTGACAGCACATATTTGTGAGTCAGTTCTCAAGATGTCTTCTTCAGAAATCACCAGGGACTGAAATTAACGATGATACTGAAGGAAGTAGAGATGATTGTACAAGTACAGATACACTTTCTGGTTATTTTTCATGAGATTAGTTATAAAAAAGGTAAAATATAAACATAATACCAGCTTTAACTCTCATAAATATTCTAGTTACATTTAGTCTTAACATTATAATCTTGTAGCTTTTCTTGCTCTCTATTCTTGTAAGGATAAAAAGTGTAATTAATCATTCTTCATTCCTATCAAATGACATCTCTTCAACACGAGAGCACTGCTGCATGTTATGTGTGATAAAGATTGTCTCATGGGGAAACTGGAATTGCTGCAGCTCGTCCCTTTCTCTCTAAAACACAATTACGTTAGAGCTACAGTACATGACCATGTGAAATCATTGGAAACTTGTCTTTGTTCTCATTTATGGTAAACCATTGCTCGGCTAGACCTTGTGGGACCAACTGAGGTGAATCTTGTTTTTTGGACTGAATTTTTCTGAATAAAACAAAGGGAAAAAAGATCGAGTCCCTTAACTCTGGTGTGATGCTGTTGTGTGTCTTATAAGATGTAAGATGATGTACTCTGAGCAAAAAAGGTGTGCCCCCCGTATTAATCTTCCCGCTGTATCATTTTTCATTCTTACTGCGTTGCTCCCCGTTTGTTGTCTTGTTCAAGGGAGAGCCTCTCTTTCGACCTTGCTGACGTGATAAGCGCAGCTCCCTCCCTCCATCGGAGTTGTGACTCACCTGCTCTCTGATCTATTCCCAGTGAGGAGCTGATGATGATGGGCCTGGCTGCGCAAGAGGGGGCAGGGCTCCTGCCGATGTGATCCGCACAATAAAGAGCATCACTGGAAAAAACAGGCGAACGGGTGATCGTGATGACACAATGCCCGAAGCTGAGCAACATCAGCTCTTGATATTCGAGGTTGTGACTCAGAGACAGAAGAGTATGGGATTCCTAAACCTTTCAAAAGGAATCAATAATAATAAAAAAGATAAAATAAATAAGGTAAATAATAAGAAAAGGAGAAAACATAAACCGTTGAGCTAAACTACATAATTATAAAAGTGTACGAAAATTATGCGGAAAAAGATCATCCAACAAAAGAGTCTGTTTGGGACATATTTTATATAAATAATAATTAAAAAATACTCATTGGAAAAGAAAAAAAGAAAAGAAAAATAAACCTAAACGGAAATCAAAACTCCCCAACAGGTCAGCAATGGTGGCTCTCAGTCTGTCAGTCTATTTTTGAACCAGATGCTTTCCCTTTCTTCCAGCTCTGTACAGCATGCAGTTTTTTTATGTTGGTGGTAGTTGAGTACTATTGTAATTATTCTCATCATAGATCTAAATATAGAATTATTCATAACTTTTGTCTTTTTTTTTTCCTCTTTAATTTTTTACACATCACAATGTGTCTTAAAAACTGCCATTAGGGTTTTTGTAAAAACAAAGGAAGTCAAAGAAACAGAAGATTGGGAGAGGGTACGTGGATGGGGGGGGTATACACGGTTGATGGTGTTTGTATTCTATTGTAAAGTCCGGTGTGACAACTGGCCCTCCAAAGAGGCTGAACAGGGGAACTAGATGACAGAACTGGATGACAGGAGTTCAAAGGAGCCAAAGTATGGGAGAGGAAAAAAAAAAAAACATCTTCATAGCCAGCGCCTCAGTCTCAGAGCAGAAAAAAACATTTCATGCTGTCCTTTTCCTCGTCACTTTATACTGCCTCTTCACAAGACTCTGCAGGCCAGTGGTCCAGGGAGGTACAGGGGCGTTAACATCAGCAGGTTTCTCTCACAACTGTGTGGACTCTGGACACAGAAGGACAGGGACAGATCAACCTGACGGGGACAGAGCAGGAGGACAGATTAAAACAGATACGTGGAGGGCTTTTGTTTTCTAACATCTCATCACGACCTAAAGCGAGCTAAAAGTAGAGACTTTCGCAGAATTATAACAAGGAAGAACTAATTAGTGTTGTTAAAAAGAAAGACTCATCCACGGGGTGAGAAAGAGAGAGAGACTAACATCCCACAGCCCACTTTCTCTCATCCAGGGTGAGTCATCGCCTGAACAAATTAATACACAGCATCTCCTCTGCAGTGCACCCATGACAAACAGCCTCATGCAGTGAGTGGTTCGTATGAGAGAGAGATTGAAAGAGCAAACTGTAGGTGGGAACTGGAAAGAGAAGAGGACAACCTTTTAAATTGGTTTGTGTGCTTGAAGCATATATCTGCCCCATTTCTACGCCCGGATTAAGGGCCATTGACGCATCTCCAGACAAAAAATAAAAGGCGAAATCTGAATGTTGCAGGAGCAGCCAAGTTCAGATCCAGTTTTTCTGACTCCAAAAGAAACTGCCAATGTGTTTGCCCGAGGAGAGGTGGTGAGTCAGAGCAGCACACTCTGAATATCAACACAGACTCTCCCCCCCTTTACTAATTTCCTCTCCTACTCCTCCTGCCTGATACTCATTCTCCGTGTCTCCTTTCAAACTTATTCCCATCTCACTTTTTACCTGTCTGTCTTCATTTTCCCTGTTTTCGGACTGTGCTTGAAGGTGCCCTTCTGAGCTCGACTGCAGCACACTTTAGGAGAGGTTTTGTTCACAGTCCACACACAAACTCACCGGGAAGGTTGTTGCCGGGGGCGAGAGGGGAGGGGGTCATTGCTGTTTGCAGGTGGAGAGCTTGCGGATCTTGCTGGCCGTGGAGACTCCTTTACGTGAGGGGTTGGATGAAGAGGAGGATCTGCGCTCAGCTTTGGCCTTGCTGTTTAGAGCTCCCCCCTCTGTGCCGTTCACACAAACCGGCTTGGACAGTGGTGGACTGTGGTCCGCATGCCCCGGATCCAGATCTTCTTCGGCCACTTGTCCTGAAAACACATTTGGTATACTGTCTGAGAACACGCTCTCACACAGGTTTTCAACATGAGGACGTGAACATTTGTAAAATAAACAATCGCTGCAGAAAACTGGGTTTTTACGAGGAGACCTTTAGAAAGGTAATTAGTCCGCAGGAGAAGCAAAATGTCAGGTCATAAAACCGTGACAAAAAAACATGAGATACTCAACAACAGGAAACCTGCTGACTGAAACAATCTACCTGAACCTTAATGTGGCTTTTAATTTCAGACGCAGGTGCATGAGCCTGAAACTTTAAATGTCTTCCCACACTGTAAAAAAAAAAAGAAAAAACCCTTACACGGCAAGAACCAATTTCCTGTGAGAGAAAAACACCAGCTCAAGCAGGTGTTTGTCTTTATTACCACACACACTATTATTGCAGCATTAAGTGAGCGACAGCCCGCGGCGTGTGGGAGTGGATCCTGGAAAAACCATTCAGACTCCCACATCAAAACCTCTTGTACTGGGCTATTTTTAGACCACTTCATTCACATTCTGCATCTCTGTGTGGTTTTTGTGTGGGGCAGCGCTTCTTGATACCCGACACAGTCTACTGCAGGGGTTAGAAATGGCTGTTGCCTAGGAACAGACAAAGGATCTGAATTTGGGGGAAAAGATAGAAAGACAAGTTGGGAGACAAGATTTGATCAAATTTAACCCAAAGTCAGGCAGCAATCTGGAAAAGTTTCTACATCCTGTAAAGAGCTCTGCTTTTTGTGACATTACACTGAGAGTAAAGGACATGAAGTCCTATTACAGCAGGCATCTAAGGATATGTCTTGTTATGCAATCACATTATAGCTGCAACAACATTCACGGTATACATCTGGAAAAAAACTGTGCTCCTCTCATACTACCATCCTGCAGGGTTCCTACACATTTGGAATTTCCATACTTTTCAGAATTATTTTTTGAAATACCTACTTTTCTATTTCTGAAGACAGTATTTTAGAACTGCGGTAAAAGTCTGGAAACATACATATTTTTCCATATTTCATTTTCCATGCTTTTTAATGACCTGGAAATTGATCAAATTTGTTCCATACTTTTCCATATTTTCCATACTTGTGTAGGAACCCTGATCCTGGAATTAGACTGAAGCGTTTGAAGGTTGAAATTGAACATGAAGTCAAAATTAAGTCACTGTTGACCAAAGCTGTTTGTTGTTGCATGTAGAACAATGTGTAGCCTACAAAGCTGCATCTCTAACAATCAACTTAGAATAACAGAGCAGCAAAAAAAACGGGATGTCCGAATAATCATCTCTGTAAACTCTAGTTAGAAGATCCACCAGCATTTATGAATGCCTTTACTTTGCACTAGGGCTGGGCGATAAACCGAAAAAATGTACAAATACTAAAATTTACGACAATAACCGACGTCATCTTGCCCATGTCTCTATATTCTTTGTCGAATAAATGAATAAATAAAAGTTGGTTTTGGATGTTTGTAGGTAGGCTATGGTCTCATGTCCCTTTAAGGCGCTGTCCTATGTCAGAGATGTGACTCCACCCCATCTAGTCCGTAACAAAGAGGGAAAGACAGGTGAGGAGATGGAGGACGGTTCAAAAGTTGTAGCAGCTGAAGTAATGTGGAGAGGGTGAGCAGCTTGTGGAGGAGTTATCATTGTTATCGAGGTGAACTGCTCAATATATTGTGATATTGATTTGAGGCCATTTCACCCAGCCCTACTTTGCACTTTTGCAGTTTAGGAGTTTGGTGTATTGTGGTACTTTAAACGACTGCAGAAGGTAAATAGTGTGAAAAATAAAACATAGTCCGATGTTTAAATGACAAAACCTTAAACTTGGATCAGAATTAAAAAGATAATTAACAGACACTGAAAAGTTTTCTACCATGAGTTTCACTGAGAGTAAGTCAAAGATGGCACGCACACAGGACAGAGAACACACCCAGCTACAAAAATAGCTTCAAGCCTCCTCTGATGGTTCTCTGGGGATTGGATTTTTGTATTTGAAGCTTAATTCTTTGATTCAGATTTGTTCTCTACGCCTGTTTCTGCCCGAGCACTACTCTATCTTTTCTCACTCTAACGCTTTGGTTGAAAATGGATACAGTTTAACCGATTTTTATTATACATATACATACATATTATAAATAAAATAATTCCTGATAGAATTTTGTTGTCTTCAAACAACGTTTTGGGAAATAATTAAGTAGTCAGGTGATGGTCTGCAGCTGCAATGTCTTTTCTGCAACGCATTTGTAAGCGAGACAGTCTTGTCACTGAAGAGGAGGAAGCTGCTGACAATGAGACAGCAGAGAAAAAGACAGCTCTTTATCTCCTCAAAGTCAAACAGGATGAATGTGAGTCTTAAAATAAGACACCGCATCCATTATCTCTAAAACAAAATTTTGGAGAAATATAACCAAAGACCCCCAAAACTATGTGGCTTCAGTTCAGCTGTTAACAGTGCGAGTTTGTCCTCACCTGGCACTGTGAAGTCCTGAGTGTATATGATCTCATCCTCTCCATCGTAGAGCTCGTCGTCGTCCTCCTCTGTGTAGCCGTGCAAATCCTCCAGGTAGGGCACCACTGTCATACTCCGCCAGGGATCCCTGCTCTCTGCGCTGGCAGGGATGGGCACTGGGGGCTCAGACGGGGGATGTTTCTTGCGCACCCAGCTGGTAGGAACAGGTGGGATAAAAATTAGGATGTTGGAAACAAATCAGCCTGATACTTCTTTAAAATAACTATTTTAAATGTGAATCTTTTGAGCTGACTTCTTACAAAAACACTCACTTGTGTTGCCTTATGTTCTGTATGGAAAACCTCTTGGCGGGGTCGTACTCAAGCATTCCTGACAAACAAACGTCACAAAAGGTCAGCTGAATCAAAACAATCCTGCACATTTTCAGCGCTCAGATCTCTCTGTCGAGTGTAGAGCAGAAACTTGTGGGAGGCTGCAGAGGCTGCGAGTCGAGGTAACTGCACACAGATGATAAACTCACCCGGGGGAGATAAATTAACGCGAGTTATCTCATTTATCACTGTGCCTTGAGGCGTCTTGCAAAGCTCGGAGTCAATGAGGTACAGTAAAAAAACATCAATATGAGCAGCCTAACAGCTGTACCAGTGTAAAGAAGATTTTGTTCCTTAATTATCATAATGTGGCTTGATTCTGTGGGAAAAGCAGAGTGTCAGAGTGATAAGGTGGCAGTGATGCAGTGCCTATCCAGACCTAGTAATGTAATTGTCTCCCAGCAGGCAGAGAGGGGCAGCATGCAGAGTGCTGATAGTAGTGCTGTGCCTGCTGAAGGACACCTTTTGTGGTGCTGGGCTTATTTTAGACCATGTAATTATGGACTGACTATCTCTTAGGTGCTGCGTCATCACACAGAGACGTCACACGCTTACACAAAATGGGGGATGGGGGGGCTGGTGAGTTATCACAGCACCAGAATGTGTGTTTTTTTTTTTCCACCTTAGTCACGGTTCTGCTCTCACTTTACAGAGAAGGAGGTACTATTCAAAACACCTCTCTATGACACAAATAAAGACGGGATGGATGGATGGATGGATGATTTGCTTTACTGGAGTGATATTTTCAACCTTTTGTTTGGATTTTATCGATATTCAGTTTGTTCTTCATTTCACAGTAAAAGACTCAGCGGCAGGAGCAGTGCAGTATTTCTCTCTGTGGACAGCAATGCCTGACTGAGGTCTTTAGTATTCAGCCAGTGACTCAAGATCAATGGAAACTACGTCAACAGCTGAAGGGATTTCTTCAGTTCGGGGGGAGCCTCCTGTGCTGAGGAGTAATAGTGGCTTTAAAATGTTACAGCACCACCTACTGGACATCACGGAAAACACCACAGCATTACTGGACAGGGTTTTTTTTAATGTATTAATGCTGTTATAAACCTGACAAAAAAGTCCCCCCTTATTTGTGATGCAACACAATATCAAAGCTGAAATTGGGGCAAACCTGTCCACTTCTTCAAAGTGATGCATGATGTAGTCTGTTGAGGCGCACTCACCTCGCAGCAGGTCCGACAGGAGGGGTCCACACTCCTCGGGGATAGTGTAGTCGCCTTTTCCAATGTTCTCGAATAGCTTATAGATGTTGTCCCCCTCAAATGGATACAGACTAGTTGTAATATTGTATCTGTATGGAGTGAAGCAGAGTTGATAAATTCTGTTAGTGTATCACGAACCAAGTATAAAGTTCAAAAAGCTCATAGACACAGAGTTTTATCAGTCAAGATGGATGAGCTTTGACTATTTCTATTTGTCATGTGTGACCTGTGGATCCTCCTGCATGAATGTCATGTTATAAACTCCCCCTTTTACTGGCTCATGCTCAGAACAGCTGCTGACATCATCATCACGGGTAGACTCAGACAGGGTGGATGACGTTAGCGGAGGTTGCATCATCAGCTGCACCCAAGTGCTTTCAGTGACTTCACTGACAGTCCACACCAGGGCAGAGTGTCAGAGCTGCTGACACACTGGAGTCACACAGTCTGGCATTATGCTGCGATTATCTGATTTATGCTGTAATCCACAGGCCGCTAGAATTCAGCAGGAGTTTATTTTGGCATTTTATAACCACAGCTCTGGTCATATCTAGCTGTATAATTTATTTTTTATTTTTATTTATTTTATTTTTTATATGCTGCTCCTTGAGTCACAGTGACGCACTACTTGTGAAATGGTTAAATAGGAACATAAATGTGTGACAAATATAGAAAACAGATGACTGATAATCAGCCGGACTGTCTAACTCCAGGAAAAAATTCAGCTTCTGATAAGAGGGACAGTAAAAATGAATGTTTTTCTGTAGCAGTCTCTTGATATTTGATTGTGTCGGGAGGAACAAATGCCACTTAAGCTGACGTTGAGTCTTTTAAAATGCTGTGCAGTTTGAAAACCGTCTCTGTCTACTCACAGTGTTACTCCAGCAGACCAAATGTCCACTTTAAACCCTGAAAAGGTGTCCAGTCCGTTGGCGATCTCTGGAGGCTGGAAAGCCGGAGAGCCCTGACTGGTGCGACATGTGTCGTCCTCTGCAAATGGGTGAAGGGCCTGAAAACAGCATGAAATCGAGATAGTGATTCAACTTATTAACAACAGTTTGAATTCCAAGAAGCAGGCTCTCGTCCTGCTGGAAAGGGAAATCAGCATCTCCATAAAGCGCCTCAGCAGAGAAATCTCCTGTTAGGCTGCAGTGACTCTGGACTTAATAAATCTCTGTGGACCGACAGCAGCAGATGACATGGTGCCCCAAATGATCAAAAACAGCAAACATTTTACACAGCACATCAGACACCTTGGACCTGCCTGAATAAAAAATGACAGTGTCTCTGGTCCAGGAGGGACTTAATATTGGGAATGTAAAAGTGGAGGCTATTTCCACTTGAAGAACTCTGCATGAAATTGGTTTTCCAAGCTGCAGTCAGCCCTGTTGCTTGTGCACCTTATCCAACCACACTTTCCAGTCAACTTTCCATTAATATGCTTCAATACAGCTCTGCAAACAGCCAGCCTTTTCAGCCATGACCTCCCGGGGCTTACCCTCCTTGCGTTGTATGACGCATTGCAGAAAACACAAGCAAAGTCTCAGAATTTGATGATAAAAATGGCATCAACTGTAAAATGTGTGACATTGTGTGATTTGCTGTATATATCATTTACTAGATAAATATCTGATTCATTCAAATAAATACTATTCATGGGGTCTTATAGCTTTTGAAACCCATCAATTAATACAAACTTCAGAGGGTCCAACCACTGTCTCCATTAGCCGTCCAGCATCCCAGAAGCTTCCTTAACTATGGCCAAGTTGTGTTACTCTATTTGAAATGGAAAACTATGAAGTAAGGCTGTACATCTTGGACCTTAAAAGTTCTAAACTAGACAAAAAAAAGTCTCCAGCAACGAGGGACAGAGCTGGATGTTTCTGTTTGGTAATTATTTTGCACTTTTAAGGAGATTGACAATCCATTTTTTAACTCAGAGAAACACACAAGTAGACTTCTATTTTAAACTAAGTGAATATTATTAGAATAAAAAACAAAAATAATGAATGGCGATGTTAAAAATCTCATTTCAAACCACCCAAGGTGCTGAAACTCATGCTCACCTCTGCTACTCCCAGGTCCGAGATTTTAAGCGCCCCGTCTGTGGTCAGCAGCAGATTCCCTGGTTTAATGTCTTTGTGAACTATTCCCTGGCTGTGCAAATATTCAAGGCCATCTAAAAGTTGGCAAAAGTACCTGAAAAGAGAACAGAGTTGTTAAAGGAAACAAATCATAAAGAACTGGAAGCTTTTCCTTATCTCTGTGGGATGCTAATGGATTTTGATGGACCTTGACTTAACCTTTACTCCAGTGGCTTTTAGGTAATGCTCACATTTCACACAATCAATGGTCAGTTATTGTAACGGTAGAGGCCTTGCAGTCTTTCTTAGATCTAAACTTAGGTTTGGAGCAATGGCTGCAGAGAGAGGGAGTCAAACTAAATTTAGCAGACACGAAAAAGAAAGAGGGAAAGGGGAGGGAAAAACAGAGACTTACCCGTGAGCTTGAAATACTGGAAACCTTTTTTCTGGGACACTGTCCAGCATTTCTTGCATCCCACAAACGCAATACTCCATCACCATATACGTAAAACAGGAGTCAAGGGAATTAGCCAAGCCAAGCAGAGAGTTCCTTTAATAAAGTGGGCAAACTATCAAGCTGACCACTAACAATAAGCAATAAGAAACCAAGGAAATACCCCAGCCCCCTATATAAGCAGCATTTATGACTGTGTTATTAATCCGCTCATGTCCACACTGGTTCAGCAATACAAGGATATATTTTCTGCTTCTCTTCATTATAGAGCACGTCCACCAACTGGATCACATTCTTGTGTTGGAGTCTTCTTAGCAGCTGAATCTCCCTATATATGGACACAAAAGAGGAAATAATATTACAGGAGTTATTTAAGCAAATATAAAGGCTGAGAGCTGTGTTTATTAAGTACCGGCCTTGGCTGCTGGGGCCATAGGTGCCTTACAAAGCCCTGTGAGACCATGTAATATGAGCATAAGTGTAGAACTGGTTTTGATACAAGATTTTTTAATGACCTTTGGAGCTGAGGTGACAACTGTTGTCACCTCAGCTCTTCACATCACTTGTCATCACTCACATCAGTCAGTAGTTTGTATTGTTCAGCCTTCATATCCATTTCACATTCAATTTATGATCCACCGACCACTAATGAAACTTGTTTATCCATTTCACATTGAGAGTTAAAACATCAGAGACTCTCTGAAAGAGGATTTCAGGAATAAGACTTGCTGGGGTGATACTGTAGGACGAGGTTGCTGCAGTCCAGTAAAAAGCAGAGATCCAGACAGTTCACTTTGCTATCCAGGGGGAAGAGGTGAAAATCAGCAGCATGGCTGAACCACCAGAAGACTCAACATTCATCAGAAAGCTGCGAGAGTGCACGGATCATAAATCACAGACCTCCCTGTAAATACTCCCCACAACTTTGCTCAGGAGGGCCATCTAGACCAGTAAGCCCAACACGTTTCAGACAGTATACAGTGCCCAGCATAAGTCAGTACACGCCCTATTAAAAGTAATGTATTACTCAATATCTAGATGAGCAGAAGTACAATTTCCAAAGTTTTGACAAAGCTGAGTTTAACACAACATTTTATTTACCATAAGATAAAAATAAGGGTGATATGGTAGCTAAAATTTAGCTTTGCTCTCAGAACTTTGATTGGGGTGTACTTATTTTTGCACCCTGATTTTAAATTAAAAAAGTACTGTTTTGTGAGCAACTTAAAAAATCTTGTTTGCAATCAATGGCAGACATTTGGGGAAATATTTTGTTGTATAGTCTGACATAGAAAAAGTTGATTTTGAAAGGAAACTAAAGATTTTCTGACAACTCTGAAGGGGTGTACTCATTTATGTTAGTGTGCTTGGTAATCTGAAGAGCAGAGCATTCAAAATAACAGAAAAAATAGCATTCATTTTCTTCCTGCATTTTGTGACATGTTGCAGTCCTCCCCAAGTTTGGTATGGCATCATTCAGGCTCAGCATGCTAGCAGTAAAGTTCCATCTATGGACATGGTGTAATAAGTGAGAAGAAGCTATTAAGTCTGTTTTTCAATCTTCTGTTATAAAATACATATTCCCCTCACCTCCTGGGAAAACCACTAAAAATGTTCTGCAATATACATCAAAGGTTCAAAGGGATGAAATGAGATTCTCATGGCCCTTACAAAACTTTTATGTCTTTGAGACACACACAGACACACAAAAAACTCTTTGAAGCTTTTCTATACCTTATCAGCCTTCAGTTTTTACGCTGTGTCACCGTTCTGCCTCATGCACAATCATACCACTGACAAATGGCTATTTTGAGCCAAGTCAGCCTCTCGCTTGCACTCAGATGCACACAGGCAGTTACTGTTGCATCGCTGCACTGGTAAAAAAAAAAATACTTGGCCACGTTCACACATAACAACATAATTAATAACCTTTATTTAAGCTGCACATCTCTGCAGATGACATGCAGAAAGATCTACTGCGCTTCTATAACTGCATGTTTCCATAGCAGAAATGATTCAACAGAGGCAGGCAGTGCTGAGGCCCAGTGACTGCTGCAGTCCATCTGCAGTCTCTGAGTTCAAATGAGTGCTGATGAACCTTGTGCGCTCAAAGCCTGCAGGCAGCAGAGCTTTAAGGATTTGAAGAATCAGCGATTCCTCTGGCACCGAGCAGCAACAAAATGAGCAGATTACCGTCGACATTGATAAAAGAGTTTGTTTAGAGTAAACCCTGTGTTAGCGTGTCCATGTGCGCTCCTGTCAGTCCAACCACAGGCCTGGAATCTCAAAAGTGTTACCTTAGAAACAGGAGTGGCATTGCTCAATCAATGCCAGAATGAGCATGCCAATCCCCATGGCAACCCTCTCAAAGCAGGAAGTGTTTGGCAGACAGGAATGCTGAACAGAAGCTGAATGAGAGGGTGGGAGGCTACTATGGCACCCGCTTACAGACAAGCCTTCACAGGCTCAAGGATCCAGCTTCCTCAGGCTGGGACACATAAGGTCTCCGCAAAGAGAGACAGATGCACACGGTAAGAGTCTCTAACGCTGGGACAACACTGTATCAACCCACTCTTAAGCTTTGTCCCAGAAATACAAATAAAGACAGGGAGTGCAGAAAACAGACACCGCTCAGGACTATCCATCGTGTCTCCTGGAAGAACATTCAAAACATCTTTATCAGAGAATATCTAGGAAAGCATCACAGTGATTATTATTATCATGTGGGTTAAAAGTTCTCTAATTTAAGAAGCTTTTTATCTGCAGTGCACTGAATAATCTCTGATGTGTTCAAAGGTGTCTGACAACAATTAACCTTTTGGTAAAAATCAACCAGTGGATCTTCAATTTTCAAGAGGAGCAAACACAAAATATCTACAAATAATCTCATCTCTTAAGAAGTTGGGAGTCAAAATGAAAGCCCCTTCACTTCAGTTCTAATTAAGGCAGTTACAGCTATGTGACTATGGCCCGGACTACACGTATATAGGTATTTATTTATCAGGATATTTTTGTACTCCCGTCTAAATAAATGTATCTGTCCACACGTGTTAGTTCTCAAAAATATCTGCGTCCACACGTAGCTTTCAAACTCAATCCTATCTGGTGCCGCTTAAAAAAAATTCAGGAACAAAGCTACCTGATTGGCCGATGAATCGTAACAGCGTGATGCGTCATGCATTGTTTGCGGAAGCTACGCTAGTGCGTCGGGTCCTTGTGACGGTGTGGCGGCTATAACAAAGCAGACGCCTCTGTGAGCTGGCTGACTGGTGGATGTAATTGTATAAAACAAGGTTCACTTGCAAGGCTGAGATGAGCCCCAAAAGGGCAAAACAAATGTAAAGAATACCCTGTATGTCCGCCATCGTTGTTGTTGTTTTTCTTTTCAATTCGCATGCGCGAGCTGCGGTTTGACATCATCGATCCGTAAAAGTTCAACCACACGAATCCACTTATACAGATATTTTTTTATCTCTCCACTTGTTTTTTTGGATTCACAAGCTCCAAAAAGCTAATGCTCCAAACGCTGCGTTAGCTGCCTCTTGCTCATATTGTTTGTGCGTGTCATGCTGTTCACAGAGAAGTGATTTCGCAGTTTTTTGCCATTTTTAATAACGTTAAAAGCAATGCGCTAATATCGTGATAATATTTTGATTCGTGATATTTTGGGCCACCAATATCGTGATATCAAATTTTTTATATCGGCACATGCCTAGTCGTGGATAATCATTCCTGTGTAGCTTTGGGTTTTTTGTCCAAACAGAAGCCTCTCTCCTCAGATTCACTTCTTTTTCAGAACACTTTTAGGTTTTCATTATTTCTCTCTGTTCCGCTGTTTCGGGTTTACTTTCCACCATTACCTCTGGCAATCACAAACCAAGCTGTCATTTGAGATTTTTTCAGGCCAGACAACAGTCGCATGCAGTGTCTACCCTGCAGCGACATTCAGAACCGTCATAAGGCTCTTAATGACCTCTCACAAAGAATTGTTCAAGGGGACTTTATGTGATAACCTTGTCCAAGTACAGAGCTTTGGAAGCTGCACGCTCTTTTTCAGTAAGTTTGCAGATTTGATTAGAAAAACTGTTCCGTCCTTATGATTAATGACTTTGTGATTGAACACATTCTGGGCCAACTCCTCTTAAATCTGCGGCTGGTGTCATTGTGAAAGGATTAAATAATCATGCAATCACCTATTTTGTGGTTGGAATCTGTAATGTAGAACGATTTGTTTTCAATCTGACATTAAAAGAGCACTTAAGGCATCACACTACTTTCCTTCAAAGTTCATCATGTTGATAAATGGTTGATAGGGCTGCTAAAATGTGTATGCATGAAAGGAGCACCGTGGCTGAAGGTCCCAGAATAGTTTTCTAAGTTTTTAAGTTTTCTTTCTTGAAATCTGAGACTGACATGAGCACAAATAAGTGACTACCTGATGAATACGAGCGACTGCAGTATAATCCCACAAAACAAACCACAAGCCCTTTTTAGGCATGTACAAAGTTGCTGAAAATTTCTTGAAGTTATGAGCGAACACAGATGAGCTAATTTTATAAAATATAGCCCCCTGGATCATTTCTGATCTGCTCTGAAGACGCAGCAAGAAATCTTCAGGAAAATTCACTGCGAGTTGTGAGACAGGGATGCTGTTTATAACATGCAGCAGGTGTTCTGTCTTGTTTAGCAGCTTGGTTGAAAATAGAGATAAGGAGGCCAGTTTGTGCTATTATTCATTAAAGTTTACTAATTATGTATCTGAAATTCAAATAATAAGATTTCAGGCGAAGTGTATCTCAGAACACTGATATCCCTGATCAAACAATGCTCCCAGTACAGAATCGGTTTTATCACATCACTACTCTCTCCATTTGTATTGTTCGAGTAATAGCTGTGTGTTTGATTCTGTTTTATAAAATGGATCTTTTTATCAAATCCCTCATTATGAATTGAAGAAAAGTGCAACTCTTTTGATCAAATCCTTCTTCCAAGGATGACAAGCACTCAGGATTCTGGATCTACCTATGTGCGGACATGACAAAGCGGTAACAAGTGTCCCAATCTGAGCCTAAACTGCGATGACTGGGAGAGAGGAAGGAGAAGGAAAAAATCGAACTGGACTTGTAACCGGATTTTGTCTCATCAGTAAACGTATATTCCTTAATCAATTCTTTATACGCGTCCTTATACGAGACACTGTTTGATACAAATAGATCAACCCAGAGGAGTAAGGCGTAATAGGATAAAAATAACATCAGAAGTAAGTGAGACAGTCTAACATTCACTTCTCCTCTGCACTTCTTTTTCACTCATTTGTTGATACCGTGGGTTTGTTTAACCACCCATGGCACTGGTGTAAAACCAAAGGCCGTTGTAAAAAGGGTGCGATTCTGTCTGACAACTAATTTCACATTGATCTACGTACAGACACACACAGGGAAGACTTCATGCTGTGACGGGACATATGTGAGCGCTAAAGTCAGGTAAATTTACAGGGCAGGGCACTTAAATTTTTCTTGAAATTTTCAGGAGGACTCTGTGAAAAGACCCGACACTTTTGGGTCCTGTTTTTTTCTCTTTTCTAGGTCCTTTGCTGACTGCAGCTTAAAAACACCGTCTATCCCTGAATGAACTCATTTGACAGTTTCCTAAAGCTCCCTCTATAATTAGTCCGGTCCCTCAGTGAGAGGCTGGAGTAATATTTAATAAAGCACTGTGTGATTAAAACTTCTGATAGTCATCTGGAAACAGGGGGTGCAGGGTAAAAGAAAGTGATGGCATTAAAACAGAGACACTATTGTTGGTTTTGTTAAGCAGACTTTTTAAAATGAATCATCAGCCTTTCGTCTAAGATTAAAAAAACACATTAGTGATGCAGTTGTAATGTGATTTAAAGGGGAATATATCTTCATCGGTATTAAATATCATGTTGTTATGCTTTGACAGACTTGTACAACAAACATCTCTTTTGATAATGTTCCAAATTTAGCATATGACCACTTACAGTAGGACTAATAGTTTTATCATTTCTATGAAGCACTCCTGCACTGAGCCTTGATTCACAATGATAAAGCTGCTTATGGAAATATCTGTTGACATCAACATGAATTAATATACTAGGACTACGTCTGATGTTGACCACCCTTTAGATGCATTCTTTTTTTCCTTTCTTCACTCTGGACGCTAGATCCTAAATCCTGATGCTTCTTCTTGTCTTATGCTGATGACTATTGCATGTTTCAAGCTCTGTGTTTGTGTGTAAGTACAGACTGAGACTCTGTACACATGGTCACATTACTTTAAGATCTTTCTAATACGTAGTTAACTGTACAGTTGACATGATTATGATGAACATGCTGAGAAATATCTTGTTGTTAAACAGAAATATCTTAATTTGCTTTTTTTCACACTAGAACTGTTGTTTGATTTTGGCAAATGCTTAAGCACATTACATCAAAGACCTTTTAGTTTTTCAGACACTAAAGTTTCTGCCTTGATGCAGTGAAGCACGAGTATGTTTGGTGTGCTGTCAGTATGGTGTTGGGTGTTGTTATAGGTGAGTAAGGACACAATTTTGAAGTGACTACACTGCCAAAATCTGGATGCCCTGATTGCAGACTAAAAAGGATGATAAAGCATCAAACAGAAAGGGTCAATAAAACAAAAATACACTCACTTTTTCACATTGGCTTCTCCATTGGGAATCCGCCTCAGTTTTTTCTTCTTCAGTATTTTGACAGCCCTGCGACAAAGTGTTTCAGAGTCCAGCATCTCTTTCACTTTGCCATAAGATCCCTCCCCCAGCAGGTCCCCCATCAAGTACTTTCCTATCAGCTTTGCTCTCTTTCTCCGGGGCTGGTAGATCACCTCTGTAGAGTCAATGCGGTGAATAAAAGTATCCATCTCCATCAGTTCATTTTCATTGAGATAGTCAAGATGATGCAGCTCGCCGGTACTCATTTCGGCAGCCACAGCTTAAACTTCCTGTGCAAAAACGTTTGCAAAGAGTTATGATTGCTGCTGGAGACTAATCCACTGGTAACCTTTCAGCTCTAAGCTGAGTATTTTGATTCCAATAGTTTTAATACAGATGTATTACAAAATACTGGACACGTGAGAGGGCGTAATCAGGCCTGAGAGTTGAGGAAGGTGAGGGTCGATCCAAATTTTGTAAACATAAGGGCTCTTTTTACTCCGTACGTGCAAACAGAGATGGGGAAGCAGTTAGATCCAATGCCAGGTTAGTGCTTCAGTTTTGCATGTTGTTCCACATCTGCAACAAGTTCAGTTGGGCAGAAATAAGAAAAATATTTATCTAAAAATCCTTTCTCTCTCTTAGTGTAACTGGGAACCACTTATACAAGTTTAATACTACGCAGTCTTAGGTCCAGTCCTGATTGAAGGCCATGCAGCACAACATTTCTGTCAGAGGTCCATGCTTCACAACATATTCTTCTCAGGAGACACCTGTGTGGACAGGTGAACCAGATCCAAGTACAGGTCTACAGCCAAAGGTATACAGCAGTGTCAGCCCAGCTTCTGGCATCAGTCCGGCTCCTGTCGCTCATCTGAGCCATCTGATGTGTCAGGCTCTCCTCAGGTCTCCTCCATGCCTCCACGGTCCCTGCTGGTCGGCGCCTGTAAACAAGGTTCATCAAAAAATTTATATAAAATACAGCAAACCTCCTTTTAACTCGCTTTGAGTAGATTTAGCTCAATAACCAACACCTGGCCGGTTAACCGGACTGAGTTTTCAACATGAGGAGGTATGATTGTTCAACAAAAAAAACTAGAAAATGATAAAATACTTGAATGAATCACAGTGGTCTGGGAGTTTATACTGATAATAAGGTCGCTCAGATTGAACAAACACATCAAGATTGTTTGCAGGCTTGGAGGCTAACATAGCATGTCTGCTTGAATGAACTAGCATGCAAACATGAACACTAACTATTTGCTTCTTTAATTTGAGCCCCTTTACCCCCCACTGCGGGTTATCGATCAAGAGCCTGGATATAAACAGCCCAAACTTATTTCTCCCACTGGAGAGCTGACGGTGAGCAACTGAGGATGATATCCGAAACGTCGTCACACATCTGTAGCTAACGGGGTCTGTGCAGCGCTAGCTCGCTAACTTTGCCTGACGGTGAGATTAGCATTTCACAACTTCACCTCATTTACCGGCAAAGAAGCGACAGACACAACTCTTTGGCAGAATTTCGTAATTTTAAACAAATAATAAATCTAGAATAAGTTATTACAAGCATATACCACCCAAACACGATACAGCGAGCTAACGCAGGCTAACCGGGCTAGCATACCGTTTAGACTCCCAATGTAAACTGCTAGCTAAATAGTTAACAGGCTAACTACAGCTACCTCCTGGTACCGGGTCTCACCTGGATCCGGGTGAATTTTGTTCTCCTCTAGAGTACTTTCTCCTCCTTTCGTAGCGGTCCGACTTGACTCAAACGTTTCACTCGGCTCTAGTGAGATATCGGTTCTAATTTCTGACTATTCGTGTTACTCTTGCCTCTCAGGTTGTCGCCATCTTGTTTACCTCCCCCCTCCTCGTGCTGACAGCCTATACGTTAATGCGTCAAATCAGAGGTTTTCCTCCTCCTCACAGACGCCGATGTCAGAGAGAGAGAGAGCACCTGAACTTACAGTGAGAGGGGGATAACAAGACTGTGAAAAAACAGTTTCTCTAATGTGAGGTTTTGTATGAATTTATCATGCTTGTCAGACTCTATTATGTCCCATAATAATGTTGATGACTATGGGGAAATCTAAAGGGTATCTATGGGGAAAATATGGAATTTCACTGTGTCAGGAAAACTTATTATCCAGGGATGGAAATTTTGAATTTTTAAATATTTGTGGAAGAATTAACTCAAACTTTGTGCCAAACCTCTTTAATACTTAAGACCAGGGGTGTCAAACCTGAACAACAGCAAGGGCCATAATCTGGATTTGGAACTAACCTGAGGGCCAAACAGGGTCAACATTTCACCAAAACTGTCAACCTCCTTTTCAAAATATGTAACAAAATCAGCGATAATTATAAACCACTTGGAAATTCAAATGTGATAAAAAGATGGAAACATTTTAATTTTTATTTATTAGTTCAAAAGATCAGAGCATGATATTAAAAAAAGAAAGATAATGCTTTTAAAGAGCAAATACATGAGAAGAACCTTGAAATCAGGTTGAAAAGTTCAAAATATGACTTCAAAAATTTTAAATTGGAATCTAAAGTATAAAATGAAACAAGTCTAAATACTGGGTTAAACAAATCAAAGCATGAAATAAAAAATCCAATCATGTTTGGCTTGTTCTTGAGATGCAAAATTGAAAACATGAAATAAAACACCAAATATTTTTCCCCCACATTCTTGACTATTTATCAAATCTTCCTTACTCTTTAATTTCCCAGATTTTCGTGGCTTTTTTAAAGCCATGAAAGTACGACATTTAAATGAATGGTGCTAAAGTTTACATTATTATACTGGAGAAAATCTGCAGACTTCATACATGTAGGCCAATAATAATACAAATATGATATGATCTTGTGGGCCACATATAATTGTTCCACGGGCCAGATTTGGCCCCCGGGCCTTGAGTTTGACACCTGTCCTTTAATGCCTTTTGTACCATATTTGATACATACTTTTACGATGCTTCCATCAAATCAATATGATCAACAAATTTACTAAAAAGAACACCTGAATACAGACCGACAAATGATAAAAATGTCCTCTTGTGGTGTATCACTTTCCAAAAACATCTAATGTAACAGATGAGATAAATATATATATATATATATATATATATATTTATTTATACATAAAGTTCCTTTTCCTCTCCAACCACTAACCATTTAACTGAACTTGCCCCAGTTCCAGCTATTCAGTTCCAAGTTGTGTGTCAGTATCACTGTTGTGCTTTCTTCATTATTCAGTATTTTTTTTTAACATTTAGAAATCAGTTTAAGACAAGCAATTTGAATTACACTGCCTCAAAATGCAGAAACTTGCAGAATATTTCTGATGTTTAACTAACTGAATGATTAAGGTGTCATGTAAATTAAGGTTGGTTGTAACCCTTAATCTGACTAAAAGTTTTGCAGTCCGACCAACGCCTTGAAGTATCACTTGCAAAGGCTGAGGTTGCCTGCCCCTGACTGATGCTGTGGCCAACACCAGAAGAGCTCTTGCTTAGTTGGGATTTCAGAGTTATAATTATCCTGAGTAAGCCCCCTGGGGAATGGCGAACTGAAGGTCTGATTTCACTGATCTGTCACCCTCTTCAACACTAGCCAGCTCCGGTCAATGACTCACTGCAGTCCAAAACTGAATCCTGATGGTGGGAAATCAACATGATTGGATTAACGCCTGGAATTGTCACACAAGTATATCATGAACAAAGCAGCTTCATGCTAGTTATATTTTTCCTGAGTGACAGAAAATAAACAGATGAGTGAAGTGTGTTAAGACAAAAGTGTCACATCTCTTTATTGTTTACACTGCAGCAGTGAAAAGAGAAAAACTGTTGCACACTGGAATATTATACAATAAGAATCATACAGAAGATTGTGTTATAATACAGTATTGTATTATTTATTTGGAAATACAAGGTGAAACAAGCTTTAAAGAGTATTAAGATGGTAAAAAAACAAAAGCGTGGCGAACATGTGGTATTTTTTTACAGTATATCATTTCACTTGAATTGATCCAAAAGACGATCAACTATTTTGGGAAACATTTTAGATTTGTCAATCCAAATTTAACTTTAAATGTAACGGATGTGACCATTCTTTCTAGTGACCCCTACGCACACACACTTTAAATGTAAAATCTGCTATTGTGCAGCTGTATTCAATTTGTCGTCCAGCACAGCACTGGTGGGTGCAGGAATACCTTTTAAATTATGATTAAAAAAAGAATAAGTAGAAACAATCCTCCACATCAGTAATACGGTCTTCGTGGATTATTCTGTGGAAACAAAGATGAAGCATTTGATTGACTTCTATTGTCTTAATGAATTGTGTCTGGCTGTCTTAGATAATAATACAAATTTGTGCAGATTCTTGAATTTTTGCTGCTAAAAGTATTCGAATAATAAGACAAAAAAGTTACCAGGGGATTTGGCCTGAAGCGGTAAGCAAGCATCATTCTCTTTCTGTATGCATCATATTCATCGTCTCCTTTTGTGAGCACAGCTGGACGCTCAATCCCAAACCCAGCTCCCTCTACTGCAGTGGTTCCCCTGCAGTTGGACAAAGACAGATACTCAGAATGACGGCATTCTTTATCATAATCATATGTGTATTACATTCATGATAGAGATAATTACAGATCCTATAAAATACCACTGTACCACTTGGTCCAGCTGGATAGAGAAAAGCAACTGAAATACAAACTTTCTTCGCAGTTATCCTTTTGACGTGTCACAGTAGAAAAATTAACTTGTACAAAATCAAACCACTATATTTTTCTCCAATTACATGTCACAACACATGTTTTAAGAAAAAACTGAAAAAATACATGATGAAGTGACAAAAAGTGACCTGATGTGGTTGCACAAATTAACATGTAAGATAGTAAACAATTTGCCCAAACACTGCAAACATAGAGAGATGTTGAAGATGTCTAAAGACGTGTTATTAAATGGAGTGAACTGTTACAAGTAACTTTTCATCAAATTTAGCTTTACTATACCAGAGCTACCCAAAAGAGAAATGTAGCAAGCAACAGTACTTGGTACATCAAAGTTATTTTATTAGCTTTTCCATTATATTCAGGGAGTTTTTTCTTTATTAGATAGTTTTTATGAACTTTGAAAGGGAAGGCTGAGGCATATTGAGAGATATTGAATGAAAAGTGGACAAGAAGAAACTCTGGAGAAACTGGTGACTTTTTCCTGTTCAAGTCTGGTGTTCAGCTGGTCATGCATAATCACATCCAGCAAAAGATTGAAAATCATATACATATTCAAAACACTGCAATGAGAGCCACTTTCTGCTACTACTTGGTGTGATTTCTGTTAAACTAGATAAGTTGAAGGTGTTTTTATTTGGTTGGAGGGGCAGAAAGGAGGATTGTTTGATGTTCTTCATGGCACTAAGGTGCATCAACACTTAAAATTTTACATAAACAGCGTGGGTAAAAGTAAACTCAAATAATACTATTGAGACAGGGGACAATAAAAACAAAACAGAAATATTATGACCTTATAACAGCACGAAATATGGACAGTGCATTTTATTGTCATTGCGCTCTGTGAAAAAGAAAAAAGAAAAGGCAGTGAAGTAGAATACTCACTTATTAACAGGGGCCTTGATACCTTGTCCATCGCTGCCCAGACCTTCTCCTTCCTTCCAGCCCATCTTCATGAGCATTTGGTAACCAAGGTTTTCCACAGTCAACTTAAACTCTTTGTACTCTGAGTAATCAGGGTCCCGGCCCTCCTGCAAGCACACATGACCACAAGGTGTGAGTTAATGTTACAGTCACTGATGTGTTGCACCATTTCACACGTCACTATTTGTTTCACCATTTTACTGTTGCAACATTATTACATCAATTGTTTTCATATTAAAAGTGAAATGTTCAATTCACAATCATCATTTTTTTTAAAACTTTTTTTGTCATTGTTTTATTAGAGCAATAATAATATTGGTTTCTGCTCATAAATATTTATATTTCCTTACCAGGAACCAAATTAAACTGAGTAAATATTTCTGCTGGGTGCTTTTTTCTCAGGATCTTATCAGCTGTTGTACTCAAAGTGTGTTGACTTGCATTCAAGCTACATGCTAAAACATTAATAACTGGTTGAGGTGCATGTTTATTTACCTGTAGGGAGATTTTCTTTTGTAGAAAAACAATGACTTCCCCCTTTCTGATCACTTCCAAATTGCACAAGTGTATAGAAAAATCTGTTTCTACTCTCTTTCATATGAGCCGTTTTTTTATCCGTTGTAAGGGAACAAATGTGCAAGTCAAAACCAGATTTTGCTTTAAGACATTTCTAGCTGACCACGCAGTACCGCAATTGTCTTCGGCCTTACGGTGCAAAAATAGACCTCCAATAATTGCCACAATTTATGTGACAGAAACAAAGTTCAACGTTTAAAAAAAATGAAACTGAAGACAAAAAGTTCAATTTTCCCTGTTCATACCAAACTCATAAATGTGTTCTGTTTAAATGATTTATTGAAACCTTGGGTATCCCCAAAATAAAATAAAAATACAATAAATACAAAAAGAGAAAAACTTAAAACAAATGCACCTCTTTTCTTGTAATATCTCAGGAGTCTGCTTGTTTTACCTCTGAAACTGAGGCTGGTGGATTAAGACATTCTCAGAGGTTTTACCACATCACAGTCTTTCCCTATCAAGCTCCAAAAACAAGAGAGGAAACTGACCTTGAGTGCCTTAAAGGTCTCCATGAACTTTTCCAGCTCTTCAGGGGGCAGAAAGTCTCCAATAAAATGTTTTCCTTTCCCCATTTCTGTCAGCGATTCAGCCCACTCTGAAAAAGAACAAAGAAATAACGTGAGAACAGATTCTCCCTCTCCCTTCATGAGGACTTATCTCAAACAACCAAAGCCGATACAGTTGTACTGGCAAAAACAACTCTCTGCAGTGATGGTCGTACTTACCTCGGGTCTTCTCCATTTCCATCTTACGGAGACGATGCTCCCAGGTGCCTGCCTGCTGGTCCACCTCCTCATCGCTGTCATATTCATGTTGGTGGTCTCTTATCGCCTTTTCCCACATCTGCTGCATCTCTGCCATTGCCCGCTTGTGCTTTATGATTATGTCATACATCTCTTGCATCTAGATAGCGAGTGAGAAATCATTACACATACTGAGTCAGCAACCTGAAATGCTGAGAGGGCAGATCACAGGACATAATTGTTTTGAATTATTGGTGTGATTAACCTGATTTATTAAAGTGGGTTTTGATTAAACACAGTGTAAACAGGACACAGTCTCCATGTTCATGTTCTTATATTTTCTTACCTCCTGCTGCTCTTTAATTTGTTTCTTCTGGTCCTCAGAGAGTTCTGTCACTCCCACCAGCCCAAGAGGTTTCCCCTTTTTATAACCCAGACTTTGAAGATCATTAGCTGAAACAGACATCAGCATAAATGATGCATTAAAGAATAAAGTTATCCAAAAAGCAAATTAAAATGTGATTTCAAGAAAAGGGTTATAAAAAAGCCATTTTTTAAAATCTTCACTTCTTAAAAACACTCAAAAACTCCAACAAAGGTACACATTAGCATGAACATGTCTGGGATAAAGATTCACGTTAAATTCTTCTTTCAAGAACACACTGCCAAATGTTTAGTATAGGAGATCAAAGTTCATGTACCAGAGAGAGCAGGGGCATTCGGGTCCTGAACAACCACCGGAGGGGAAACGATAGGAGGGATTGGCAACTCCACTTTGTCATCCTCAGCCCCCCACCTGCTCTTTCTTTTCCGTTTGACAGGTGGAATTTCTGTCTCTGGATTCTTGGGTAGAGAGGCGGGTTGTGTCCTCACTTCTGCTGCTGGAGGTGAGGAAGTCCGCGAGGCTGTAGCACAGTACTCCTGTATTTTCTCTTTGTAGTAGCGGTAGGCTGGGTTTTGGTGGTCATATAAAAAGCTGAAGAACAAACAGTTTATGTTTTGTGTGGTTGGAACTACAGATAAAGAAACACAGTTATGGTGCATTTCCACCAAGAGGTCTGGTTTGGTACTGTATGGTGCGCATTTATTTGAGTTTCCACTGTCAAAAGGTACCCAAATATCTGACCTATTTTTTTTGGCACTCTACTGTTGGGTTACCTAGTTCAGTGATCCGTCCCTCAACAACAATAATTGACGGACATTTACCTGGTTTTATTTGATCATGATCCTGTTTTGTGTATGTTTTTATTCTTTGAAGAGAATGGGAAAGACATTTTTTTCCCCTGTAACCTGATGTTTTTAACGTCTCACCTACAGCCTGTGTGATGAAGGCTCACTTTTTTCCAGTGAAAGTTTACCTGAGGCTTGAATACAGAGCCATGCAAGTTACGTTCTAACCAACTAACTGTCCCTGACACATCTTAAAAGTAAAGTATTATGGGAGCTGGCTGTGGAAACACATGCAAGATCAGGGTTTACTGTACCAAATCATACTGTACTTAACTGAACAAAACCGAACTCCTTGGTGGAAACACCCCATTTCAAACTGTTTACAGTGACTGACCTGCAGGCAGGGTTGTCTCGATTCTGCTCAGCAGCAATGGCTTCCACCTCGGGACCACCCTCTGACACAAACCTGGCCAACTTCTCGGCCATCTGCAGGGTTTCCGCGTCCACTGAGGGGGAGACTTTAAGCAGTCTATCAGTACTGGGACTCAATTCACACTCAACTACTGTACCGTACTCAACTGGCCCTCACACACCACCAGTCTAGAGCCAATAGGGGATAAAAAGAGGAAGGAGGAGCAAGGGGGGATATGGGAGGTGAATAGGGAACTGTATGGATGTGAGGCTTTTAATTGAAAATCAGCCCAAAATAAAAAGCTGTTTAATGCTACAACAGTTAAGTATTTTGATGTGTTATCATTTTTGTATGGTGGCAAAATCTTGAAAGCCAACATACAGTTATTTCCCCTAATTCAAAATGCATCTGAATACTTTTGTCGATGTTACAGACATAAGCAGATTTTCCTTTAATGCAAAGACATGACGCAATCAGATCAACTTCTCTAGAATCAGAAAAGTTGAATTTGTCTGTTGCCCATGGGATGATTGTTTTGGGCAACACCAGTGCGCACACATTTATATGTGTTCAAGACCCTGCACACTGTTATTCAGTCCAATTTGAGAGTCCAGTGTAGCAGACAGTGTATTCAGATGCACTTCACTGGTAAGAAGGTGAATTTTTACAACTGTAATCATGCACGATAGTCAAATGCATCTGTGAGGAAGAGTTCTGAGGTGATCACGAATGCAAACATGTGAGTTTAAGATTAGTACAATCTATTAAATGTCATACAGTAGTTGTGTGGTGACTGGCAGCCATAAAAGAAACTGGAAAAGCCAACTTGAAAAATTGTTCCTTCTTTTTCTAAGAGATATATCAAAGTTTCAGTGAGAGGAAGTGTGAGATAAAGAAAACAGTGACAAATAACGGCGTGAGGAAAGTTAATCTTACCATTATCTGATGTACTCTCAGGTCTTGTCAAATCCTTTCTCAAGACTGCAACTCTATTTTTAAAGTACAGATACTCCAAGCTGCCCTTATCATATAAAAATCTAAAAGGAAAGGAAAATGACAAATCCAGTGAGTTTAGAAATACAGTGTGACTAATGAAATTTTGAATGAAAGTACATCCTCTTTCAGACTTACGAGAAAACCGGATTGTCTTTGTAGTCCTCCCTGGCCTTTCTCTCCAGCTCGGGTCCTCCCTCTGCCACAAAAGAGGCCATCTTGTCGATGATAAGTCTGGTGTCTGTGTCCTCTGGGGGAGAGACTTTAAGCAGGCTATGAGTATATTTACTCCGAGGACACTATGACAAAATGTCAGTCACAAGGCAACTGTGCCAGTGGAGTAGTCAGAAGATGCACAGAAATGTCCAAGTCATGGAGCTGTCCAGATACATACTGACAAACACAGGCCCTGCATTACCTTTCATCTCCAAGAATCTGAAGTAATCTGCATCTTCTTCTTCATCTTCATCATCTGGAGAAGAAAACACACTCGGCCTCTGGCTGAGAACAGGATTCTTCTTTGTCTGTGAGTAGCTTTTATACTGACTAAGCATGCTACTGACTCCAAGTCCAGGCCTCTTGCCAACAAGAATGCTCTTTTTCTGTAATGTGTTTCCTCCTGGTGATGAAGCTGAGGTTGAGGAAGATTTACTATCAGGGGTTGAACCTAAAAAGACAAGAGAAAGTCCAATGTTAGCTTTTAAGTAATTTTATTTATCATTTCTCCTTCTCTGGTTATTGCTCTCTGACAGTGTCGGTTTTAATATTTCCTCTTCTAGTAAGTTGCATCGGGTCATGATGCCCTCAAGAAGCTCTTACTCCTCCACAAATCAATATCACTCCCACAAATTGCAGAGCTGTCATTATTACAGCAGCAAGCCTGGAGCTTGACTTGTAGTTAAATGTGAAAGGATTAAAGATTAAAACAAGGTCTCACTTTTTATTCTGCGTTCTGGTTGCTGTGTTAAATTTCATTACCCAACTGGGCTCCACATTGATATAGTTCATGTCATAGGAAAATGATGAAATAATGATAGTGGATCTGCATAGATAAAAGTTACCATTTTGAGATTTATCCTTCTGCATCTTCATGAACTGCTGCAAGAAGCTTCCATCATTTGCAAACTTGTTTGAAGAGGCTCCTTGAAGACTGGGAGAAATACTGGGAACAAATAAGAATTTTCACTTTTACAGGTATGTGATTTTTTGTCAGTGTTTGTGTCATTGAAGTTATTTATTCATTCCTAAACTATCTGACAGCACCAGGGATTACAGTGTGAGTATTTACCTTGGAGACAGCGGTTTGCTCGTTGTTTGCACATTTAATTTTGCTTGCTCCGCCATCCTTTCCTCAATCTCCTTCTTCTTTTGGGCTATCAGCTTCTCTTGGCGGAGAATATTCATGTTCATCTTGTTTTTCTGGGGCTGAACAGGCCTGGACTTCCATCCTCCTCGCCCTAATAAAAAACAAATCAACATTTTAAAACGACAGTAATCATTGCAGATCTGGAAGTCCTCTGTACAAGCTGGTATATATTACTCGAGCTACGTTGGATTAGATTTGTTTCCACTTCTTCAGAATAAACATTGTACAATTTTATAATATTATATTTACATGGTTTACTGGCTGACCGATTTGAGTATGTCATCTGGGTACTTTTGCACACTCAATTTTCGCATACTGTCCATACTTTTTTTATTTCAGACGGAGTAAGTATTTATACGAACATTTACATAACTTTTACATATTTTGAGTTGAGTATGCTTAAAATTTTAAGTATTTAGTATGGAAAGTATGCGACTAAGAGTCCATCGTTTACATTTTTATGCAAATAAGCTATTTAATTAAACCGGAAACTGCGATTTACTGAAAAATAAAAGGAGAAACCGGAAGTCATCTTCCTGGTCAGTCCTCTATTTGCAGCAAGTAGCCATGGTAACGTTCCGCTGGTATTCGTATGTTTCCGTTCACACCGAGCTCCCCATTCGACAGTTGAGTTTTCTTGTCCCTTGTTGCTACCCGTCCGTACCATTCGAACTGCTCTCCTGCATAGAAATGGCTGAAGCTCCCCCACGGCCCTGCCGGTTTTTTTGTCACCGGTGTTCGACAGAGATCAGTCCACGTTTGCCGGTAAGAAGATAAGAGACTCTCGTATCTATGTGAGACTGGATAAATCGTATTCGAGCGTGTTAGACATTTATTGCCGTTTTTTGTTTTGTTTTTGTTCCGGTCACACCACGTCGCCCCAGTGCTGCTGTTTAGCTACGCTAGTTAGCTTCTCCTATAGGCAACAACTGTCCAATGTGACAGTTCAGCGGTAGCGATACATGTGATGTTAGATCCACGTTTTGGTTTCGTTTTGGACAGAAAACATGATCTTCATTGCGTTATATCTAATAGTAGCTACGTAGAGCCTGATGTGGCAGCTTGGCCTCAGCCTGCAAGCTAACAGAAAAGAGCTCAGAATCACTATTTCACCTCGATTTCGCGTCAGAAAGCTACTCACAGGTTTCTGATTTTACTTAATGAGTTACACCGCTCGTTTTCCCACATAATTAATTTATTATTATGATAATTGCTGTAAAGCGTAGGGAAGAGTCAAAGTGAAGCAGTATCCCTTTAGTCCAAAGCTAATCTCAGTAATCAGAATTGCTGCTGTGGCAACAGCCCGCGTGCCTGCCGCCACAGCAGTCTGTTTTCAAGCCATGCATGGGAAGCTTCTTGAATTTTACAGTAACAGTTTCTTTATTGTCAGTCAGTTGCTTCACCTGTATGACAATCATGACAATGTGCCCCCAGGTGCTTAAATTTACCAATACGAGGTGCTCATGATTCGTTATGTGTAAATGGAGATCGCTGTCAGTGGTATTGATGAACTTTATGTGTATGTGGAGGTATTCCTACAACTTTTTTCTACATAAAATTTTTTTATTCATATTTATATTTAATCTGAAGACAATACATCTTAAAATGACAAAAGGTAGATAATAACTACTGATAAATTATAGTTACTTAAATATACACAAAGGCTCACAAGGGAGCGTCTACACACAGTAAGAATTATTGTAAGAATAATTTTGATAATTATTATTTGTCCACCATTACTGCACCTGCATAAAAAAGCATCCATCCATCCATTTTCTACCACGTATCCCCATTACCAGAGTCAACAGTGAGGCAACAGTGCTAACCACAACCACAAAAAAGCAAAGAAACACAATTGAATCAGAGTTCTGAGAATGTTTGAGGACTGCCTGAGTGTTCATTTCTTCAGTGTCTTTGTATCAATATCACTGATTGAAGACTAACTATTAAGTATATCTTATCATAACACACTCATTTTCATGCAGCTTGTGTAATAACCACATAGCTGAATCAGCGTCTTTCCGACAGCCTTGAGTTATAGCCTCCATTAGAGAGGGATTCAGACAGAACCGTTGAATTACATTGTATTAGTGAAAGCTGTGTGCATAACAAACAGACATCTGTACACGTTGTTTTAGGAGTAATCATACCCGTGTATTTTAATTTCAGGATTACACTTGCCCACGTTGTGAGTCTGGTTTCATTGAGGAACTACCTGAAGAAAGGAGGTACAGAGACTTACTGTTTGCAAAATGTGGTTATTGTTGTTTTTAAAGGTTGTTTGAATCTAAGCTTTTAATTGCCTTTATACAGTACTGAGAATGGATCAGTATCAACGTCCACTTCGTCCATCAGTGATCAGAGCCGCCCAACCTTTGAGGTTAGTGAAAACTCTTAAATCAGCTAGTACAGGAAAATGCATCTGATTCTTTGATGCTGACGTTATCCTCATCTTTTCCTTCCAGAACATGGATCACCAACACTTATTCACTTTTCCCTCTGGGTACGGTCCCTTTGCTCTTGGGATTTTTGATGAAAACTTTGACCTTCGAACGCGGCTACCCACAGAGGACAATAGAGAAACAGAAAACAGGAGAGAAAGGGAAATGGCATCACGGCAACGATATAGTGCACGGCAACCCAGGGGTCGGCATGTTCCTCGACGACAGGGTACGCGCCATGAAGGAGTGCCCACATTAGAGGGGTGAGACTTTTATTGCAGAGCAGTATGTATGTGTGGGAGGTCAGTGTGGGACACAAAGATGAAAAAAGGATATGAGTAAAAACTCAAATCATTTTTGCCCCCTTGACAGATAATATTGATGGTTTGAGAGTTAAGTGATGCCTGAGTAACATCTTGTTCATGCTCCATTAAAAAGTACAAAAAAAGGTTATTTTTTGTGATTTGTTAAATCAAAGCGTAGCACGCAGGATGATGATATTTTAGTATCATGATTATAACTGTCAACGTGATATTCCTGTGAAAAAAGTTTTAACGAATATCTATTTAAACCATGTTTTGAATAAGTACCTGTAGTTTTATCAATTTTTTAATTCATTTTTGCTTTCTTATCATCACTATGTACAGGAATTGTACAGTAATAGAGTTTACATGAGAAGACAAGTTCAAATTCCTTGTACAATTTATCAAATTGCTAATCATAGCTAATGTTCTGTTTTTTACATTTACAGGATTATTCAACAGCTAGTAAATGGAATTATAGCACCTACAGCCATGCCAAATATAGGAATGGGTCCATGGTAGGTAAAATAACCTGTAGTCTTTTTTGTGAACTTGTTTCATATCATGGAGCAACCTCCATTGCAGCTGTCAGCTGTGTTGGGCTAGTATGTGTTTTTTTCATTACTGTCTTGTATTGCAGGGGAATGTTACATTCAAATCCAATGGACTACGCCTGGGGTGCCAATGGTCTTGATGCTATCATAACACAGGTATTGAAATTAAAGTACTCTGCATGACACTAGAGATTAAAGTGCATAGAAACTAAGTAGAGACACTTTTTCTCTAGAACTACAAAAATAATATTTTCATAAAAACATAAATGATAATTTATTTAAGTGACGTTGTTGATTAATTGATTGATAAATTAAGATTCCAGGATAAAAAGTCCTGAGGAGTTTCTGCATGTCAAAGATGCGTTGATATAAAATAAGTTATACTCAACCCCATAAAGCAGTTTTGTAAGAATTCATTCTTGTTATCAGGCTTATAGCTGGATCTGAAAGTTGTCTTGACAGAACAAAATCCATGCACATGCAGAGGAGACTGTTTTTGGTATGATTTTCTTTTTTGATTGTAGTTATTGAACCAATTTGAAAACACGGGTCCCCCTCCTGCCGACAGGGAAAGGATAAAGAGTTTACCAACTATATCCATTACTGAGGAACATGTGGGTGAGTCAACATGTCATTCTCTCTCTCTTGGTTATTGCTACACTCTTGCTGAGAAACATTCAAAACAACTCCCCTGGTATGAATCTGAAAGATATTTTTCTAACATTAATCTAATCAGCCACTGATTAAGTCATCTTTACATCTTACTGTCAAAAATAGTTTCATGTCATTGCAGAGTAATGAAGAATGATTACAAAAATGATCTTTGTACCTCTACTTAGACTATCAATTACCATGTTGCTAGTTGTAGTGGAGCACAGTGCTTGATCTCAGCTGCAAACTGCTCAACTCTGTCTCAACTCAAACAAACAGAATCTGCGGGATCAGAATTTTTCCATGCAGCTGACACTTGTGACCATGAATGACACACACACACACACACACACACACACACACACACACACACACACACACACACACACACACACACACACACACACACACACACACACACACACACACACACACACACACAGACAGTCACACACACACATTCAGAATGTGGTTTTCTGTTTAAACAGGTGCCGGTTTAGAGTGTCCTGTCTGCAAAGAAGACTACAGCATTGAGGAGAGTGTCAGACAACTTCCATGTAATCATTTATTTCACAATGACTGTATAGTACCGTGGCTGGAACAGGTATGTATTAATAAAGAGTGTCCTAAACAAATCTGCAAGACTTGTATCAGACACTGACCATTTATCTGCTCTATCCTCCTGAATAACATATAAGTCACATTTGTGGGTCTTCAAGTCTTGTCAAACTCAGAAATAGTACAAGCAAACAAAACATTTGTTGTTGCAAATCTTGCTTCATTAAGATCCAGTTTGTGATGTCATTATGTCAGGTAATTTATTAGTCTAAACTCTCAGAAAATGAGGACTCAGGAGACTGTGATGGCTCATGTTAAATAGTTTATGTGATTGAGGAGAAAAGATCAATAGTTTACAGAAGAGAGCAGAACTAAATTCTGTCGGACCATCTCTCTGGCATGATATTTATCACCTGGGATAATGATGATAATGTTGCTTTTCATTTATGGCTATTCTATGGATGCACAGTTCATGTATTCTTACCTACATTTGATGATTGACAACGCAAATGTGTCTGTAGAGGGGACGCTGTCTCTGCAACACGAGCAATTCTGATAATTTGAGTAATTTAGGATTAAGAAAGAGTATGCTGAAAAAGACCAAGTAATATTTGTTTATTTCTTGCATGTCATAATATTTTCCATTGTCGAGCAGTTATCACTGACTATGACCTACACCACCACCAAATACTCTAACACAACCCGTGTGGAGTAAGATGTTTTGAATATTTTGATTTAGTAAGAAGGATAGGCGTTAATAAGCTTTTGCTTCAGCCTATGCCTTTTCGGTCCGGTTATCTTTTTCTTTTCTTATAATTTACTGTATATATTGAATGGATATGACCAGATCGAAATAAACTTCAAACTTCAAACTTCAAGTCCTAGTTAGTTACCCATGTTAAGCACAAGTTCAGTTCGTTCAACAGTCATGTCACTAGAACTCTGTACTTGAAGATTTTAATCTCTTTTCTCCATGTTTCCCGCAGCATGATACATGTCCTGTGTGCAGGAAGAGTCTAAGTGGACAGAACACAGCCACAGATCCACCAGGGTTATCAGGAATGAACTTTTCTCCATCCTCCTCATCCTCCTCCTCTCCCAGCTCACCTAGCAATGAGAATGCCACAAGCAACTCGTAGAATCATCACGACCACCTCGCATCTGAGAATCCTCACAACACGAGCGAAGCAGGCCGCAGCGGCCCCTCTCGATGGCTGAGACCAGGATGGCTGGCTGTCTCAATTCAAGAGGACAATATGGAGGTGAACTTTGGAATAGTTATCGACTGTAGGCCTCTCACTCTTCCCCTCCTGTGTGGATGCTGGGTAAAGCTCCTGCTGCTTTGGTGGCTGAAAATTTGAGGAGGTGGGACGGGGAAGTTTCAAAAGAGGCCAATAAAGGTAGTATTGTATTAAAAGTGGATTAGAGTTTGAGCCTGAATTGACTTTGTTTTGATGAAGTCGTGTCTTCACAAAGAGGCTGGGACACGTTTTATAGCAACGAGATGGACTGCCTTTCTGTTTTATTTTTTAAACAACATTTCTTGTGGTGGTGCAGAGTACATAGGTGTAGATAGAGAATTAATTTTGAACTGTCAGCTGCTGAACAGCCAACAGATCAAACAAAAAATTAGCAGAAAGGGAACTGAGTGTAAGTATTTATTTATTTGCACCTTTGTTTTTTATTTTGCACAAAATTCTGTCTTATTTTGAGAATGTGAATTTCGGGAAACTACTGAACACAAAGGGAGATTTTTTGTCAAAAGATTTGCATTGAATGAGTCTTATAAGACTTTCTTGTTTTTTTAAGAGATTCTCTTTTAAGCAGCTTGATCCAGTGTTCTCGGTGTATCTCGACAAGGTAAAAAATCCTCAAAGCTCAAAACCTTCTTATTTATTAATCACCTGCTGAAGATAAAAACCGAGAACTGTAAAAGGAAAATCAACACATAAAAAAGGCATGGGATCATTGTACGTCTATTGAAATGACCAAACGTGTTTCATAAAACAAGTGATAATTATTTTATTTACAGATTTTTCGTACAGTCACAATAAAGTGCTCAAAAACACACAATCAGATTTTGGGGAATGTTTCTGTGAGTAGTAATGACCTCTTAGTCCTGTTTCCAATACCTGGCCTTTTGGTGTCTGCTAATACCGTGAGTAAATAAATATAAATGAATAAGCACAATGTGCATGAAACATCTTTAAAACATAGGAGAGTAAAATACGGTCTAAAAGCCATTACATACCCTGCTACATCAAGCAGAAGTTTCTGCCATCAAAATCACAAAGCATCCGGAAATGACAAGGAACAGAGCTGCATTTAATAGACACCCAGGATCAGCTTTATTGTCATGATACCCTGAGCAAATCAACCTTTTGTTTGTGGCATTAGTACTTGCGTTCTCCAGAGTTTGATTTTCTCAATATTCCACCCCGGGGAAGTTTTTTTATTTAAATAATTTCTGGGGGATTTTTGTTTCTATAATAGGCCGGCTAAAAACTGATGGGAAATATATGGAAGACATGCTGCTGTGATGAGAACTAGACCCTCTGTGTATGGGGTACAAACTTAAACCACTTGGCCAAAAGTGACCCAGAGGTTATCTACTTCAAATCAGTTCAGAACATTAAATCAAAGTAGGGCTACTCTTGACTTTGACAAAAACAAATAGCAAATTCTTGGAAATCCACTGTGTGGCACAGTGTAGAAAGATTTACCCCACGCACAGAGGAATTCTTGTTGCAGTCACTCCTTGTCTTGATCCTTTACTGAATGTCTTCCCCACTTTCTGCTCTCCATGTCTCTCTTCAGCTACCCCCAAATAGGACTTAAAATTGCAGACTTAAACTAAAAAGTTCATGCACCTGTCTACACAGTTAAACTAAATAAAAACATTTTACAAACAGAGGTTCTGGTTGAGGTACAAATGCTTGTGCCTTTATGCTACACAAATAAGTTCATTATCAAAACCTTTAAATAGGTCAACAATCCTGATTCTTATTCAAGCCCAATTAAACCCAATGTACAACTACTATATGTGTTTCTGGGGCACGCATACCACCTCGATCGTCTGCCCTGTCTACAACACTTGTACTCAAAAACCCTGCAGGAAGTCTTGAGAGGTAAAATTCATCATCCCACCAGGAAGTAAATCTGAACAGTAATGCAGCTGTAAAACTTTAACCAGTACACTCGTATTAAACCAAGTTTTCCAGACCGGAATAAGACTCAACCAAAACTAGACCAGAGAAAAAATACAGGCTAATTTATAGCTGTCCAGGTAAGAGATCGCTCCATCATCATGGTCCACATTCTAAGTGTGTAGGGATAGTGCTTTGCAACACTTCAACTATGGTTATTAGCACAAATGTGCACTCAGGCTTCCTTGCATTCATTTCCAGATTCCTCTAAAATGCCAGTAAAGGCAACTGCTTCAGGACTTAAGTGATGCTGCACCTGCATTTGTCAGCAACATCACCCCTGTTAATGTATGTGCTACATAAATACCTTCTGCTGAAACTTGTTCACCTTGATCCCAGGTAGTATTTTCAAGGATTATAATGCAGTAGCTGACGAAGCAGACTCCACCTCTGAATGTTAAAACATTTGGGTTTGGCAGATGCTGAAAGAGGATGTGAGATGTGTATTGATTTCTCCTGAGTGCTTCCTCTAGGCTTTTCATAGATAGATAGATAGATGGATAGATAGATAGACGGTAGGTAGGTAGGTAGATACGTAGGCAGGTAGGTAGATAGATAGATAGATAGATAGATAGATAGATAGATACGTAGGTAGGTAAGGTAGATAGATATGTAGGTCGGTCAGGTAGATAGATAGATACGTAGATAGATAGATAGATAGATAGATAGATAGATAGATAGATACGTAGGTGGGTAGGTATGTAGGTATGTAGGTAGGTAGGTTATTAATTCCAGAGGGAAATTCAAAAAGGACACTCACACTTTTAGAAAATGAGAGCGATATCTCGATTGTTTACACTGCATTCTCATAATGTCAAAACCCTACCTTACTGTTCATCAACTTTTTAACATTTCAACTATAAAGACCTCACTCCAAAAGCATTCATCTGTTAAGTGCTGTGACATGTCTTACGGGGAAGTGGACGGATCAGTGCTACCACGTGGAAGTGAACCACAGCATCTTTATGATCTTGCACCACTAAGGCCACGTTTGTGACCGTATGTGTTTCCGTTCTGGAGAGTGTAGAATTATCCTGCAAACGTGTTAAGTTTGATTCTCCTTCACTATTGAGATCTCATCACATTGACTGTGACGCCTCTGTGTCACTCCTATGCGGCCGCTAGGGCGCGATAAACACTCACTCTGGGTGACTTCTTCATAGAGGGGATGTCATTGAAAACACCTTCTAAAACGTATGACATCATTTGAGTTTTCATTAACACGTGGTAATTAAACTTTTTATGTTACTGGAAGCCGTGATTGGCGACATGTAAATCACATACTGACGTCTTGCTGCCTGTAGAAAGCTACTTATGGCAATTCAGGCTGTAGGTCATAACTGCGAGGCCTCAACTGAGAGCAGACAGACTTGAATTAACAGCAGTGAAGCCAGGCTAATAGTTTAATGATATCTGACGCAGTCAAAGGGCTCAATTAGTTTGATGCTCGGGCATCTTTGGCACAATGACTGGTGAAAGTAAAAGCGCAGTAGTTTGCAAAGAAGTCACGTCCACCCCTCCCTCTGTCCCTCTCTCCTTCCTCTCTCCCTCTCTCATCTTCTTCTCACCATCTCCCCTCCACCTCTGATTGGTTTTCTCCAAAGATAATTGGAGGCAAAATTTGATATGCTCAATGTCATGGACAGGAATGAGGTTTCACCGGCGACTGCTGCCACCATGAAAAAGAAGGCGGTAGGCGGCAGCGGATGCAGCCACATCAACGCACCGAAGGCTGCCGCGTCCAAATGCACAAGAAGCAGCAGCAGCCAGAACTGCCTGGACGCCGGTTTCCCCGGTGCACAAAACGCTAAGCAGTCCGGTGCTGCCAGCAACGTCGTGATGGACGAGACGGAGGACGGAGAAGAGGAGTCCAAGTTTCAGCATCCGCGGTTGCGCCGAGCCGGGGGGAGCGGCAGCGGCGGAGGTGGAGGAGGAGGCGGCGGCAGTATTAGGATGAAGAACTTTACGCCAGGAGGGGGAGCCGCGTCCTCGGGTTCCAGGAGAAACTCCAGCAAGGAGCCCAGCCATACGCACACAGAGGACGCTCCCGCCGCTTCACGGCCCACTGTTGCCTCCAGATCAGCCGAGACCCAGACACCCTGTCCGGGCGATGTTGCCCGGCGCAGAGAGACCAGGCGAGCATCTGGGGCGGAGGCGTCGGAATCAGCGGTCGCGTTAGAGGTTTTAAACGCGACAACGGGTGATGGTTGCAACAGCATCGCTCCAATTTCCAGCATGAAATGCAACAAAAACGGAGAATGCAGGAGGGACTCTGGTACCGGGAGCCTGCGCTCAATCATCTCCAAACAGGAGAAGCAGACGGGAGGGTCGGGGAGGGCCGAGGACGGGGGGAGCGCGAAGCGGGGAGCCTGTAATTCGGCCACCGCCAGCATGGATGGCTCCATCACACCAGGTGGGTCTCTGACCGGGGGGCAAGGAGGCGAGAGCGCTAACCCCGGTGCTACCCCCGTGTCCAGCGGCGTCCCTGAGAAAAAGGACTCCAAGGTGTCCTTCTCAAACGCACCGAGCCGGAAAGCCTCGTCGTCGCTGCACGGCCCGGCTCAGACTCAGACCCAGCAGCCCAGGAACTCTGTCACTTTCCAGAAGCCAGAGGATGGACCGCCAATCGTGCCCGCCGAGGACGCGGAGCCTCAGGGCAGCCAAGCCAGCTTTATGCAGCGGCAGTTTAGTAGTATGCTGCAGCCCGGGGTTAACAAATTCTCTTTACGCATGTATGGTAGTCAAAAAGCAGTGGAGAGAGAGCAAGAGAGGGTAAAATCAGCTGGAAATTGGATTATCCACCCTTACAGCGATTTCAGGTAAGAGCTGGGGCTGCCATTGGTTGCACGTTGAAAGTCATGAGGGGCCCGTGTGAGTCCTCATAGTCATCTACAACTCACTTTGCTGTGCGAGACCACTGTGGCTTCATGGGGAATACATGTATGGTTATTGTACAAGGCTACTGGCAGCTGGTTTCCCATCTCATCCCCTCTGAGTGAATCTGTAGAGATTCAAATCGATGCATTGCAACGTGCTGCCGTTTATCCCCCAAACAACCTGTTGTCAGGCAAATGGACTTTGGCGAGGAGTGTCCTTTCAAGGTTGTAAACAAATCCTATTCCAGTCTGTATGTACAGTAGCATGTCTGGGATGCTCAACAAGCCCGGCCTGCTAACACGACCCCACTTTTCGTTGAAGCACGCGCACATTTAACAGAGGACGGCGATCTGACGCTAATTTGAGCTGATTTTAAAAAGCCATTATTATTCAAAGACGGGCTTATTATTATTCGTTGTAGTCTAAGCTCTGCGACAAGAGCCGCGCTGACAGGATGTAGGCTATGTCTGTGTGTGTATGTGTATGTGTGTGTGTGTACGCTATGCACTCAGTAATGGAATGTCACCTTGAGCCAAGTGTGCGAAAACCTCAAGCATGCTCACTGGAGACACATCCGCCTGTTCGACTCCCCGGATCCTGCATTTTAATGACGGATGCGCTGTGTTTATCTCGGCCAAAACACTCATGACCCGGCTGTATACGTGCAGCATTTTGTCATACAAATATTTACTGACATGTACGGGGCCAAAGAGGTTCCTCGTGACTTGAGCTCGATGATTTAGCCCCGTTATGTTTTTTCAGCATTTACAAGTGCCTGGATTGGAAATCGGCGTGTTTGGCTGTCAGCTGGGGTGTTTGTTTTCAGCACCACACTGGATGGACAGCTCCTGGCTAATTTGGAGTCGGCTCGCGCGTCAGAGCGCTACATCTTGAATTATCCCACCTTTATTATTTGGCTCTTTTGTGTCACGTTACGCCGCGTTAGTAGACCACCAAAGCTAAACTTGACACGTTTTCTTCAGCAGAGATGTAAATTGACCACAGGCCACCGTGGAGTCCTGTCTTTTCCATGTGAACTCCCACACAGCTGACTCCATTGTTTATTGATGCGAGGTCAAACGTCAAAGGTGTCTCGACTTTAGGCTACCTCTCAACGCGGCGCTTATTGTTTTTGCCGGGAAGTGGAGGAGTCAGAGCTTGTTGCATAAGTCGCAGTGTAATGACTCAGCGCTGCACCTGTCCCGCAGAGACTCCTCTGTCGGGCTTAAACCCCCCCAGTTCTCTCATCCTGTCTGTCCCATCTACCGGAGTGCTGCCTCACCACTGGCAGCACATAGAAAGCCACAATACTGAAAAGTCAAAAGTTACACACAATGTGACATTTTTGAGTCCTGGACACCCATACTCCTCTTTAAAAGTTCAAAGAAACATACTTAACATGTTTTAATCAGCTTAGTGCTAAATGAGTTTTCTTAATTTTTGTGAGAATTAAGAGTAAATCCACTAAGCTAGCTACACCAACATATCAGAAATGAACTCTGTTTTGGGCCCCAGAGACCCTGGATATAGAGTGTTTCTGAGGAGGATAGTTCAGCTCTTCCCAAATTTCAAACAAGTGGTTTAAGACTCTAGTTAAGATATTAATAGCTTTTTCCAAAGGTTTTTCCTATGAAGGATAATGTCTTTATTATAAAACAAATGCACATTAGATGTATCGAACTGGTATTTCAATTCTGCTTCCTCAGTTTTAAGGAAAACCAAGACATTTCCAACTATCTGGTTTGGTGTTTTTAACAAGAAAGTAAAAGAAACGTCATACCATGTAGATAAAAAGGGGTGAGTGCTGCAGTGGGTGAAAAATGATATGGAATAATCAGGTGCCTCTCAAATATGAGGGACAATGGTGAAATTGCAAAATAGATAAATAGAAATAAGGTGTGACCTGACAGAAGTCACTTGACACCTGAAGGCAATCGATAAAAAAAACACCCACAGACAGCAACCAACTAAAGGGAGGACAGAGTTAAAGCATATCATCTTGTACACAGAATTTTAAAAAACCATACTAGTGTACACATGGTAGATTAAAACTGAGGCAAGTAGTTGTTCATGAATAACCTCACCGGTCGTTAATTTATTTATGATTGATTTAATTATGCTTAATTAAGCTAAATTTAACTTGTAAGACAATCCAATGTTATAAAAAGGTAAAATATGAGGACCAATGTTTCTTCCATCTCGTAACCCATTTGAATCTTAAAATTTCAGCCGGAGAAGCTCATCAACCCCCCTTAGTCACACACAAGCTATTTAAAATAATACATCAAAAAATATCATCTGAGCTGGATTTTTGATTTCAATGTTCAGACAATTCTATGTTTTATTGTTTCAAGAATGTTGAACTTAAGAGAAATATCTTTTTAGATGGTGATTTGAAAATGGTAAGTTAAGTCTAACATCTCTCTGTCATTGCTCTCTGCATGCTCAGGCAGGAAGGTGTGACTCCTGCACTCTGTTTACACTTTTCCATCCTCACTTAAGAAGTCTCTTGTGCCTATTGACTTTCCACTGCAACTCCATTTCCTTATCTGACTCTATTTTTGTCCTTCCCCACCCCCTTTTCACACACACACACACACACACACACACACACACACACACACACACACACACACACACACACACACACTCACTCACCTTATAAACACAACACACTTTCATGGACACACCATAACTACACTCACACACACGCCAGGTTCTACTGGGATTTCACAATGCTGCTGTTCATGGTGGGCAACCTGATCATCATCCCCGTGGGCATCACCTTCTTCAAGGATGAGACCACAACACCCTGGATCATCTTCAACGTGGTCTCCGACACCTTCTTCCTCATGGACCTGGTGCTCAACTTTCGCACTGGAATCATCATCGAGGACAACTCAGACATCATTTTGGACCCCAAAACTATAAAAAAGAAGTACTTAAAAACTTGGTTCATTGTGGACTTTGTTTCCTCCATCCCAGTGGATTACATATTCCTTATAGTGGAGAAAGGCATCGACTCAGAGGTATACAAGACCGCACGGGCCCTGAGGATCGTCCGCTTTACAAAGATCTTGAGTCTCCTGAGGCTGCTGAGGCTCTCCAGATTAATACGTTACATTCACCAATGGGAAGAGGTAAGAGCATATGTTTCATGACTCTCCCTGTGGAAGTAGTATCCTAATTCTGATCACACAACTCTGAGCCATAGATGAAGACATATCAAATCTAGCCAGTGATGTAAGGTCACTTATTCCCCTCCAATATGCTGATGTTGGCTGGAGACCAAATCAACAATCTGCCTCTCTGTCTGCTTTGAGCTGCGCCTCTCCGCTGCAGGCTCCTTATTCATGTTTTCACCTGCCACCTGGTGAGAAATGTGTAATGTCAGCAGCTTTAACTAACTTTGCATTCTAATGACTGTGATTGTCGCACATTCCCCCTACCGCTCTGTCTCCCTGTCTGACTGGGCAGTCCTACAGGTGGCATCAGCTGATCTAATAAGAAGCTTATTAGCATGGGAGAACACAGTTAATCAATTAAGATGCCAAAGGAGGAGCAGGTGGGATAATACGCAGCACTAGGGGGCTGTTTATTATGATTATATATGTCACTGATTGGTTATTTAAAGAAATGAGAGCTGTGGCATTGCAAGAGGGTGGCACTTGGGTTGGCATGACCCCTCCCTAGAATTTGACCATCCCAGGTGTCTACATACACACAATGACTGATTTTTTGTAAGGTCAAAAATTGGGCTGAAGTTGAAACCTGGCACCCGGCTGCAAGCAGCTTTTTTTGGCGATGTTGCTCAAATTTTTGTAGTTAGTCCTTTTTACTGCAAAATTTGGAGATACAACTTTGTAGCCATTAAAGAATCAAGCACATCTGCCTTATGTTTCCCAAAAAATCCATACACTGATACCCAACAACTGTTGATCACATCAGTTTTAGTTAGTTAAAGCTCCTGTGATTACTTTTTTATCTTGTCATGAAATGGCCAGACATTAATACTGTGGCATCATCTTGATCCATAGAAGCAAACAAGGCCATCAGTGTAAATATTGTGTATTTCTCTGCTTGTTTTTTTTATTGAAACAGTTGGCCAAGGGTAGGTGTCAAATGAGGAGAATAGCAGCAAGCTAAAAAAGACCTAACTGACATTTTCCTTGTCAAACATTCACAATAAGTGGTCCATTTGTTTTAAATACATTTCTTTGTGTTTATATTTGCAACCTCTGTGAACTTACTAGTGCTTCTTATCCCTTTCCCAATCCTGCTCTGTACATGTACATTCCTTGATTTTTTAAAAAACCCAAAACAGCCCTCTATTTTGCCCTCCTTGCTTATAAACAGTTTTAGTCTGCAGCTGTAGTTTGCTGTTGAGCAGCAGAATAACTGGCATTTAAATGAAGTAAAAAGGCTTGTTCAGGATGGTCTTGTTACCTCGTGGCCTCAGCTAGATTAAAACCTCCTCACAGATGTGATTAATAGCGATCATTAAGTTAATAACTCACTGTTTGAACACATTTATTCATGCTATCCTGTGAAGTGTCCCCCATCAAAAAATCCTGGACGCACCTTTGAGCTTGAGTCGTGAGATGAGGGGGCGTTTGACTGGCAGACTCTGGATGTGTGAATCGGTGCTGTTGCTAGGTAGAGGTCCTGCTTCCTGAACTCAGTCTGACCTCAAAGCCCCCTCCTGCTCTTCCTGGCACACTCAGCTTTTATTTACAGTGTGAGGGACTGATAGGGACCTTGCTCCAGCCTCTCCTCCTACTTCTCCTCCCTCAAATGAAGGACAGCGGCCTGAGAGACAGGAGTCCCAACCATGCCATGAGATCACTCGACTTTTTGTGTATGCCAGTATTGGCAGCCGGGTGTTGGCATTTTGCAGTGGTGAGCAGCACAGTGGGGCCCGGCTTCGAACTTGACCTTTGGATAATTGGATTTCTGAAGATATGACGTTGTGCGCGTGCGCACACACACACATGCGCGCGCACACACAGGGTGGTGCAAGATGGGAAGTGATACTTGGCATGCATGAAAAATGAGAGTGGAGACGTGATGAGGAATGGAGACACTTGAAGAGTAAAGGCTAAGTTACAGAAGTCTGTCTTTGTGTCGATATCTTACAGCTTAATGATCCAGGATTTATAACACTTCAATTACTTTGAATTGAGATGTTTGATTTTTTCTGATTATTAAGTTCTGCTTTTAAAGTTGAGGATAAGGGATAAGTACTCTGGGCTAGTGGAGGAGTGCCGGAGCAATGGATGGCAGGCAAGATGCCAACCCATCAAGGTGGGATGCCGAGGTTTTGTGGGCCAATCCTTCTGCAGGACCTACAAGATGCTGGGCATCCCAGGAGCCAGCCAGCGGAGGGCCATCAAGGTGGCCACCAATGCAGAAGAGGTGGCATCAAGATGGCTGTGAATCAGGAGGGGAGAGGCCTGGCTTGTAGGGTAGAGCGACCTGGATAGAAGCCGGAGCCTGATCAACCCCAGCTGGGTCACCTGGGGGAGGGGTTCTGATTGTTAAAAGACCCCAAACCCCCTGTGATCTTAGGTTACATCACTAATGATGTGTCCAGGTGCATCATAGGATGTCTCTAAAAATTGGCATCTTTACCTTTATTTGACAGGACAGCTGAAGAGGGAAGTGGAAATGTGGGGAGCAGAGATTGGGGATGACATCCTGCAAAATGTTAAGAATCAGGGACCACTGCAACAAGGACTATAGCCTCTGGATTTGCCAGACCAACACTCCAGAAAGTTCTATTTACTCCCAATTCAGACACTTGGGTATTAGCTGGGATGTATGCTATAATTGCTGTTTGGCTATAACCAAAAAGAAACCCCTAAAGAAACTCAGCATTTAGAGACAAGCTAAGCTAATGCTAACCGCAACTCAGCTTACACCAGGACCCTCCTGGACTTCTGTGTTCTCCTTTTTATCCCCTTTATAGTTTGAACATTTGTGTTTTTGTCCTGGAGGGGTTTTATAAATCATTATTGATTTCTAACACTTGTATGGGAACCAGAGCAGCTCTGGGAGTCTCTCTGAGCTGTCTGTGGTGCTGAACATATCCGTCAGGCTGCACAACATAACTGCATGTTAACACAGTTTCACCCATCCGTCCTCAGCATAAGGAAGATACAACAAAGAAGTCTTTTTGTGAGCTGCTGATTGATGGAGACTGACACTGAAAACCCCATAAAGGTTAAAGCACCATTTAGAAAGATCAGCACATGTGATTCATGCCCAGCCTCATTCCTTATCACTCCAATTACAGAGTATCACTATTCTCTCAGCTGCACTGAGTAACAGATGACCCATCTCTCATCCCAGTGCAGTTTTCTCCAGCCAACATTTCTTTGACTCTTATTTCAGAACATAAAACATTTTTTTCCAGATTTGATTATTATAGAAATGATCAGGGTATTAAATAGAGAAACTGAGAAGTGAAGCAGCAAAAAAGTGCTTTCCTAAAGTCCATCAGGTGATTATATGAAATGACTGCCCAGCGACACAGGATGATTGATGTGTGAGACAACACAGACTATCACTTGTTAAGGATCATGATGGTCCCTGTCCATCACTCTGTGAGTTTGTGTACACGTTGGCATGTGTTGTTATTGTATTAGTGTGCCTGTAGGCTTGCGTGAGTGTTTTTTGTGTGTAAATGAACTGTGTGTGTGTGTGTGTGTGTGTGTGTGTGTGTGTGTGTGTGTGTGTGTGTGTGTGTGTGTGTGTGTGTGTGTGTGTGTGCAAGCCTTTGATTGATGTCACATATCTCTGAGTAAAAAATACCTTGCCGTCTCTTACTGTGTTTGATTTTCGACTGCTGGTAACCTGCCTCCCCTACTCATTAATCAAACTTGGTATGGTCCAAAAGAGAAAGTGGAGCCAACAGGGATGCTTGTTCTGCCACTGAGAAATAAACTCTCTAAAAACTTCATTATTACTTTTAGAGCTCATTTTCCAAATCAAAAACACAAAATTTAAATTTCCCCTTCTCTCCTACATGTCTTACTCCAGATCTTCCATATGACCTATGACCTGGCCAGCGCGGTGATGAGGATCTTCAACCTGATTGGTATGATGTTGCTGCTGTGTCATTGGGATGGCTGCCTGCAGTTCCTGGTTCCCATGCTGCAGGACTTCCCCTCAGACTGCTGGGTTTCCCTCAACAAGATGGAGGTTTGTGTCTAAGGGTCGTGTCAGTGGATTTAAAGACTCCCGTTTTCAGAGACATCCACAGGTGCGGGTCAGTGAGACAAGAATCAGAGCTGCAGTAACATCAGCAGGTTTAATGAGGGACACTGATGTTTGGACTTACTGCCAACATCAGGGTGCTAATAAGCTCCCTATACGAACACTAACATGTCTACACATTGTCTGTATTCACAGCTTGAGTTTGCAAGCTAATAATCTCTATTCAGCGTCAAACACAAACTCAGCGAAGGTTGAATAAAAAGCATTTAGCTCGGTTGGTGTTTGGGTATTCACTAATACATTAAAATATGAAGAAACTTCTTTACTTACCTATTTAGACAGTGTTCATCTAAATATAAGAAAAACGTCCTGACATTTTTCCATCAAAATTCATTCTATATTTGAGATATTTCTGTTTGCCCTAAAGAGGTGGACGATTTCCATCTTGAAAGCTGCTGCGAATGTGGCTAAAATTGAAGGGTCCTCTAGGTTAGCTGTGACTGTTATATATACTGTCATTTGGATCAATGTGGTCCACTTTGAAAAGCTTGTACTGCACCATTCAGGGAACCATTATTATCCTAAGTGTTGCAATTATGCTATTACTGATTCAGGAGGAAAGTCAGTGTTTATTTCCAACAAATCAACAAAATTACTCATATCACTGCCCTCTGCTGCAGCATTCAGCTGTTGTGCCAGACATAGGAAACAACAGTAGGATACCAATGAAGAAGCTGTGAAAGAGAAAGCAGAGAGGTTTGAGCACACCTCTGGATCTGTGCGTGCCTCCTCTTCATGGTGGGCTGATGACAGAGAAAGATAAAAGGGGAAAACAGAGGGATGGAGGGGAGGCAGCCGGGCAGCTGGGCTCTTTGTTGCCCAGTCTCTCTTACAGAGATAAAAGCTGCTTGTTTATAGGTCTGTCTGTCAGACGGGCTTTTTACGGAGTAAGGGGGAGACCACACTAACCCAGACATGAGGCACTGGTCCAAACAGGACTTAAAATGAATCAAGTCCAACTCCCAGACTCTGCCAAGGCCTGCTTTGTGCACTTATAGATTTAAGACTTGAAGTATTTCCTGGATGACAGCAGTAACTCTGGTTTTATCGCTGTACAAATGTAATTCCAGCTAAAACAAGTTAATGTGACAAGGAGAATAAACGTTCTTGTTGGCTGGTTTAAAGTCTTGGAAACCTACTTTTTCCAGACAAAGTGATAGTTTTTGGTAGAATTGGACAAAATCATCCACCCTAATCAGAATGCCGGAACCCAATATCAATATGTGGGGATAATTGTTGCTCGATCTCTGTCAGTGAGGTGTCAGAACAGTTGAGTCGGATGATATTTTGGTCATCACTATCAACTAAAACAGCATTAATGTAATTTTACTGCACACACACACACACACACACGCACGCACACACACACACACACACACACACACACACACACACACACACACACACACACACACACACACACACAAAAAGCTTTATTGTTGCAATAAATACAGATTTAGTAGAATAGGGTGAAGTCAGAGGATTCATTGATACATGTAGATTGGAATACATAGATATCTTTTTTAACATAACTTAATGGTTTCAGTTACTTTGAATGTGCCATATTTGTACATTAAATGATGAAAAAGTTGACAAGTGCAACCTTTGTACATGGTCTTGTGATGAAACAATATTACAGCCACATAGGTTTAATACACTGATTTACACTTCTGGTCAATCAAATACTGGAGGCATCTCTCTCTCTATGAGTGGATGGATGTACCTTAATGGTCCCAAACTGGAAAACTGTGGTGTTGCAGCTGCAGGTTGCATCGGCTATTGTACTCCAGTATTGTTAGAAGTATATAAATCTACATATATTGCCACATTACTAAGTAATAGCCTCAAATAAAGTAAACTCAAAATCTTAAACTAAATCTTAATGTACATGTCAGCATTTAGATTTCTTTGCATAAAATCGATATATTGCACACACTACATTAACCTTTCTCTAAAAAGCTCCGTCAGCAAATTGACTCTCCTATCACAGAAACTTTGGTATGCCTGCTTTCACAAACCCACCTGACTGTCCAGAGGACAACTTGTTCTGCACACAGAGCCAAGTTTTAAGGTTCAGAATGATGAAGTTTGGGGCTGACAGGCCACTGACTCCTCTATTGCTCTCTCTCTCTGTATATTCAGAGACAGTCGGTCTCTAGAGAGCTGTCACTCTGGAACCAAAGGGCCGCTCTGGCATGGTACAGGCTGCCTACAGCCACCTGAGACCACCCCCCCTATTGAGTGGCTGACAACTTGTAACATTAGCCATTGTGTTGCAGCCAGGCCATCCATCAAGTCCTGCACCCTACGGAGGCTGTGGTGGTGTGTGGCCCACAGGCGGGACCCATGGAGGGCGTTCAGAACACTCTCTAACTCTGAATGACATCCACCGAGCAGTAATTGGATTCACTGGAAGTTGTAATACCTCAGAGAATAATGGTTGTTTTTGCAGTACACCTCAGTTTCCATCCATTAGTCCCTTTACTTTATATTTAGCATTAGTTTATGCAACCTTGTCAGCCACAGTTAATTTCCTCAGCAGAATGTAGCTTGGTGGCAGAGTCTTGCTGCGTCAGAGGCGAATGGGTAATAATAGTGACAGCAGTGCTAACAGACAGACACAGGGTGTATAGTTTCAACACTGTAATTACAACTATGTGTGTACCCATCCTTGTCAGAATCTACAACACAGAGATGTCTCTCTCCTATTATTCCCCACACCATCAGCTGGAGGGGGCTCTGCGGAGATAAGCTTGTCATGTAAGGTGTTAAATTCATTTAGCATTTACTCACTGCACCCACTTTGACCAAACAGCAACACAAGTCTGTTGCTGGACTTTGCAAATTTGATTTAAACTGCTCCCTGGGCCTGCAACAGCATACAAACATAGTGAGAGACAGAAGCAGCGCGGTCTCCGTAAATGGACCAGGGGTTGGGTGGTGTTTTGCTTCCTGGGAGAGGAAAGGAGAGGATGTGATTATCTCGGTCCCAGAGGAACTCAGGTGTTTTTGTTCTGAAGGATCTCATTGTGCTGAGGACTAGCAGTTCTGTAATATCCAAGTCAGGGAAGAAGTACTGTTTCTGCACTTAAACTTCACAGAAAGCAGCACTTACAAAACTTGGGCTGAAATATACTCAAGCAGGAGTGTAAATGTCAGCATCTAAGAGACTACTATGTTATGATTGGTCTCTCCGAATGAGCTGATGTCAAACGCTGATTAAAATCTTTTTCTAGATGAGGAAATCTTACCGACAAAACCCTCTTAAGTCTCTTATTCTAACAAGAGAAAAAAAGGAAAAACTTCTTCAGCAATTGCTCCATGAGAGGAGAGAGTTCAAAGTGAACTAAATTGCGTCAAAACTCCTGAATTATGTTTCATAACCATTTAAAAAGCAACACAAATCATCAAAAATATCCACAAACATTGTCTCACGTGAGTAACAACACAGAGAAGTGGAGCTTCTTCCGAGGCAAACCCTAATCCTATGTCTCAGACATGTCTTAGAAAAATAACCAGTGATAATGATAAGGTTTACCTCAGCTTTTGTTTCAGGACCACAAATGAGCAACGAAGATTATTAAGAAGTGAGTTCATAAGAGTGTAGCTTTGATTTGTTTGATTCTTACAGTATAGGGTTACCATATTCTAATTTCCCAAAAAGAGGACACTACTATGCAGGGCGGAGTTGTGTGCATGCAAAATTTTGTTTTTTTTTTCCAGGTCGGGTCGAATGTTTTTTACGCAATGGTCTGGGATGCGAAGATAAAGTACACGCTAAATAAACTCAAAACTATGGACGCCCGTTTCTACCAGTCATAATAAAAAAAAAAGTTAGATAAAATGTTTCATCTTTGAAAAAAAAAAAGAAAGACAAAATTTTATTTCACCTTTTTTGTTTGTTAGTTTTCACTGACGGAAACAGGTTTCCATACAGAACCCCAGATTTTGAAGGATTTTATAAACTCCCCCTGGACAGCCCCCCAAGAGAGGACATGCACGGGTAAAAGAGGATGTATGGTCACCCTTTCACTTTTGTCATTTGTGCTAAATTTTTGGCGTAAAACATTGAAAGTAGTTTTTTAAAAAGGTCATCCTAAAAACAACAAAAACGTTGAACAAAATCAACATTTTTCTGATAACAGTGTAAAGCAGACGCCTGGATCCAGAGGATAATTGACTGAAAATGTAAAGTAAACAGCTCGCATGGCTTTGTCCAAAGTAAAAGACACACCTGTCAACATGTAGCTTATAAAAGTTGCTAATTTTTTTGTTTAATCCCTAAACAAAAAAAAAAAAAGAAAACTTAATTTTACAGAGTTGCATGTTTGTTATTAGCAGGCTTGCTTTCTTACACTACTTCAAGTCTTGCCAAGTAAGCGAGCTTGTTCACGCTAGCCACAAACTTGGCACCCAGACATTACTATGAGTCTTTTAATGCCTGCACAAGACTCTAGCATGCATGAAAAAAAAAAAAAAAACTCAAGGCAGCCATCATACATTGTTCATGTGGATGGAGAGAAAAAACAGACTTTTTTGTTTTTTTTTAGCCTTACAATGAACTGTCAGGGAACAAAGGATGACTTTCCTTTCACATCCAGAAACAACATATTTCACTGCCCACCCAACAGATTACAAAGAGACCACACACACACACACACACACACACTGACACATGCACCGAGGCAGACTAGAAGAAAGGACGGGACAGACAGCGAGAGGGAGAGAACGAGAGAGGGAGTGAGGAAGCAACAGATTGAGCTGACTGTACAATAAACTCAGATAAGCCTTTGTAAACTAAAGCGGTGGGTGTGTGACAGGCCAGGCCAAGAGCTTGGAGCATTGTTGATTATCTTTAGATTTTTGTCCAGCTTATTGGCCGACGGAGAAACAAAGTGATCGGCCATTCGGCATGATATGACTCCATTTCCACCTTTCCCCGCTTAGACATAGAAAATACTTATGGCTGTGAAGACCATGGTGGAAGGAGGGTAGAAGAAACAAGACTTGATAAAGGAGGCAAGAAGGGGACGGTCAGCTTTCCTGTTTGATTTTGCAGTGTTGCTCTATCTCATTTGAAAATCTTATCTGTATACTGTAGCCTGTGCCGCTAAGAAACACACTGAATATGAACATGTTAAATAGAAGCAGGAAAAAGGGATCACATCTATTTTTTTTACTTTATAAAAAGTAAATGAGGTAAATGAGGTGTTTCTCTCATTTCTTTTCTAAATGCTGACTGTATTGTCACTTTTTCATACGCGTCCATCCTTTTTAATAAACATTCCTGCTTCACAGTCATGTTAATATGACTTTCAGCACAAACATCCCGTCCCAAACGCTGGAACGCCTTGTCCTCTCTGGAAAGCGGAGAATGAACATGCTCATGGTCATGGCGTTTGGCAGGTGAAATTTATGTCCGAGTTTATATATATATGAGATATACGAGGCTTGCTGCACTGCAAGGTCGCACAAACACTAACAAAGAGGCATTTTAGGACACTGGAAGATAAATTTAAAGCCCCCTGTGTTATCAGCCCACTTCACACAGACTATCTGCAGCTAATGGAGACGGTGATTACCAACAAAGCTACAGATAGTTCTCAAACTGAACTCCCAGGGGAGGGTTGTTGAGACTTATGAGGGTACAGAGTCCCTGTCTCCGTCTCTCCTGCCTGTGCTATTTCAGAATCAAAGTGCTCATCGTTCATCCATTATTCAATCTCTTTCACTCCACTGTTTCTCTTTCTGTTTGCACATACACCATTTAGCCTCAGCCCACTTGGTGGAGCTGTATTTATTTTTGGAGTCTGCTCATGACGGAAAAGTCCTTCCATCACTGTGTGGCCCTTTAACGTTGATGACGGTTTCCTCTGGAGACAACTTGTGTCGTTTTATTGCACGTGTGTTTCCCAGTTTGCTCATTTATTACGCAATGTAACAAATAAGTCAGTTAGTTATAAATCAGGAAGTATTTAGTGATCTGTTCTGGGTTTATATTTTTCTGAAGATTCAATCTCGTACAGTCAACACTTCAAAAAACATCGAAATCTCTTATTGATAATGATACAATAAACACAGATAAGTTTATTTTATTGCATCAATCATCTATTACAAGGAAAACACTGCATTACAGAAGCTCTACAACATCTATAGCTGCTTTGGGTTAAATATAGTTATGCTGTGGAAATCATGTTTCTGGTGATACTGACTTGAAAATAAAGATCAATATCAATCAAATCAAACCGTTTAAATGATCTTAAAGACGCTTCTGTGTGCTTAGACAGTTTTTTCTTCAGTCATGAAAAGTTGACACTTGGACTGTCCAAATGTAACTGGACGGTGACGAGGATAATCAAGTTACTTTGAAAATAAAAGCAGGGAGAGGAAAGTGTGTGGTGTAATGTTCTTGCGAATGCACTAATAGGCTGTTAATGCACTTCTATAAGTTACAGTGGAGGATATAGTTGATCCCTCTGTGTAACCTCTGTGTAGAAAGGAGTGAGTGTGCATTAGTTTGTAACCATGAGAGAAAATGTAGTTTTTGGAGCTCTTAGAGGTTTTCAGGAGTCTGTTTTTGCCTTCACAGAGGCTTTGATAACAACATTTCATTACCAAGGATACTTGCTTGTTTGAAAGGATAAATTTGATCCAACCAGAAAACGGTTTTAGTCCTTTTTTTTCCTTTTTGGCTTTATCTTGAATTAGTTGGCGTCAGCAGCGTGTTCAGGTTGAGGTCACTGCGGTCACATCTCAGTGCTAATGAAAGGGAAAAAGGAAACAAAGGAAGCTCTGCAGACAAAAGTATCAGATCAATGGAGCTGCTGTGGATTGCCCAGTCACCCTCCCTCCCCCGTGATGCAGGGTTTTGACAGGACTCAGAGGAGTATCTCAGCTCCACGATTTAAAGGTAGAGAAGCTCCTGCATCCTCACAGAAATCCTACATGACTGCTGTCCTCTGATGGTTTTGTGAGTTACAGCCAGAGATCTGTTCATTCATGAATCTGAACACTATAGCAGCCTGGTGACCACTGCCCGGCTGTCACCTCCTGTAGTAGACTGCTTTTTACGCAGCTCTGAAAGGGCATATTTAATGACCTCTCATTACCATTATTCACAGAGGAAATAATTTTCAAACTGTCTCCACTTTACTGATTAAGCCTCTAAGGATTCCCCCGATGTCGCTTTCCACATCCTCCGTCTTTCTTTCTAATGCAACTCTCTCCCCTGAGCTCTCATTTGTTTAAGTGCTATCCATGACCCCGCTGTCCCTGCAGGTTTCCTTTCAGTCCCCTCCCCTTGTCCTCAAAACAGGCCTTTTTGTGTACCACTGATGTCTTTAACTGTTTCTTTATCTCTTTTTCTCCTCTCTCTCCGCAGAATGATACCTGGTCAGAGCTGTACTCCTTTGCTGTATTCAAAGCAATGAGCCACATGCTGTGCATCGGTTATGGTCGACAGGCCCCGGAGAGTCTATCAGATATCTGGCTCACCATGCTCAGTATGATTGTAGGAGCTACTTGCTATGCGGTTTTTATTGGCCATGCAACAGCTCTTATTCAATCCTTGGACTCTTCCAGACGCCAGTATCAGGAGAAGGTGAGGAGCTGAATCATTGAATCTACTCTCTCCCATGTTATCAACACTTTTTCTGTTTGTCACTCAACGTCAGGTTTTTAAACTACCCTGAAGGACATATGACCTTTAGGAAAGTATTATTATTCTCAATCAGACTTTGACTGTCACATCATCTGTACAAAATATATTGTGGTACGACCCCCCCCTAAGGTTGCTAACTTAGCTTAGCCTACAGACACAGGGATGGATTTGTCTGAAGTAGGGCTGGGCCATAAACCAAAAATTTACCGATACTGAAATTTACGACAATAACCGACATCATTTTGCCCATGTCAATATATTCGGTGTCAAAAAATAAACAAATGAAAGTTGGTTTTGGATGTGTGTAGGTAGGCTATGGTTTCATGTCCCTTTAGGACGCTGTCTTACGCTGGAGACGTGACTCCACCCCATTCAGTCCGTAAGAAAGAGCGAAAGACAGGTGAGGAGATGGAGGACGGTTCAAAAGTTGTAGTGGCTTAAGTAGACAAAGTTAATGTGGAGGGGATGAGCAGCTTGTGGAGTAGTAATCGTTTATTTATTGTTATCGAGGTGAACTGCTCAATCTATCGTGATTTGAGGCCCAGCTCTAGTCTGAAGGGTATAAAACCATGCAACAACACATTCCAATCTCCCTAAATCTACCCTTTCTGTCTTGCTCATCTTATCTTCAACGAAATTTTACAAATGACAGGCTGCTGTCTCAGGAGGGTTTATCTGCTGAACTATAGTTTGAATTCAGCTTGTAGAAATGAGAGTGGTATTCTTCCAACTGTAGGATCTGAAAGTTTATCTCAAAATGTTGTACTTATTTAAAAAACTTTTGCACTCTTTGGCCTGCAGTAGTTAGTGCCAGCATCTGAATATTGTCCAGCGTACTTTAAATATGAAATAAAAAAATAAAAAAACCAAGATTTTTACAGCAGCGGCATTCCAAAAATGTGAGATTTTGAGATGTTTTCTCTCTTGTTTTTTATATAGTTCTACTAAACTTTGCCAAGCACTTTGAGCATTTTTGAAACTGTGGGATCTCCTCTATGTTCCTCTAGAGGTGATATACAGATTAGTCATGTACCCTCATTTTTAATGCCTTAAACCGTAACACTTTACTATAAGGTACACAAAATTACAGTAGTTAATGAGGAACTAATCAAGAACTAATGAGTAGTTCCTGAGGAACTGAGGTACACAAACTCAGAGTATAGTTACTGAGGCACTAAGGTACACAAACGTTACTGAGGAACTCATTAGAAGCTCATGGAGAGGATGTGCCAGGTTGTCCAGGACGGTACGCATGGCCATGATGAAGTAATGATTCAGTCCTCATAAACTAGTCCTAATGATGTCTTACTTAACTTTAAGGTACACAAAAAAGGTCGGTAATGATTAAGTAATAGTTAGTTCCTCAGTGACTAATTTGTTCCTCGTTAGTTCCTTTTTATGTTCCCCATTTGCTCCTCAGTAACTTGTCATTAGTTCCTCACTAACTACTCCTCTAAAATTTGATCAGAGGTTACTGAAACTCTGACCATTAATAGTTACTTTATCATTATTTCCTCACTAACTACTCCTTTGAAACTTGATCAGGGGTTACTGAGGAACTGATCATTAACTAATAGTTATTTTATCATTACTTCCTCAGTAACTACTCTAATTTTGAGTACTAAGTTCCTCAGTAACTACTCATTAATTCCTCATTAGTTCCTCAGTAACTACTGTATTTTTGTGTACATTATTGTAAAGTGTTTCCCCTTAAACTGTCAACAGTTGCAGAAAGGTACAATTTGAGGAGATTAACTGTCTAATACTGAAACTGTCTTTTTGTACATTTTTCATCACAGTGCTTCAATATGAACACTGAATATTTATTGAGGTCTTTTTAACAGTTTGCATGGCTGTTGGTTGTTTATATGGATTGGGTGTATCTTGTAACATGACTTGGGGGAAGCCTAAAAGATGTGTGTATACAAATTACAGTTATGTGTCCTAACATATGAGAGAATTTTTTGATGATCTGTGACTGATCTGGGTAGGTTGGTGTGGTTAATGAGCTCCATCAGTGGTCAGTGTTAGAGTTTTCTTTGACGGTGGCTTACCCTGTGATCACACCTTTCTCTTCCTCTTTGGTCATAACTGACTGTGGATTTCAGACCATTGCATATTTTCTGCTGATTATATGGAAATGTAAGTCTCACCCAGAGTGCAGGATCTGAATATAATGAATATGAAGCATGAAAAGTGATGTTTTCTCACAGTTCTGCACCATAATGCAGGCAAGCATCAGGTCACGCTACAGCAGCTTCTCTTGCGTTTTAACCTTAAAGCACATTATCCTGTTTAACCCCTCGTGGTTTTTGTCATTAGATAGTGTTTTTCTCGGCCTGTCAGACATTTCTTTGAAACACGATGTGGATCAGAGCGGTGCTGAGCCGTGCTGCTGCAATGGCCTGTGGTGGTAACAGCACAGCCTGTCTGTTTCCAAGCAGAGTCTCGCTGGATGGGGAGCAGGGGGAGTGTTGCTGGCTTTCAGCAGCCAATCAGAGGCTGCGGGTGTGTTCGGCCAGGTAGAGCCACGTTGCCAGGGGCTGAGGTTATGCGTGTATGTGCGTGTGATATGGTAAAGAGACAGAGAGAGAGAGAAAAAAAGAGAGATGGACTGAGACACACACACACACACAGAGAAGGACTGCGTGTGTGTGTGTGTGTGTGATATGATGTCCCCTTGGGCAGCAGTAGAATTGATGAGGCAGCAGACCTGTGTGTCCTGCCAATGTCATCCTGAAGGTGACGTAAGCAACCATGGCTGCCTTTCTCTGCTGCTCTCTCTTCCTGATCACTCACTCACCAGCTCTCACTCCACCTGCACTCTGTGTCATCTCTTATGCGTCTTTAACTGCTCCTCTTTGCGTTCCCTCAACCCCTCTTGTCTTCTTCTCCACCTCCTTAACATCTCAACCTGATTTTTTCCCTCCATCTCTCCTTCCTTCGGTCTTCATTTCTCTCCTTTTTTTTCTTGCTCTCTGCCCCTCTTTCTCTCCTCTCTGGTGCTGGTGTCCTTGAGAGGTGCACTGCTACTGCTAACTGTCTGCTACAGGGAGCACAGAGAGGGGGGAGGGGAAACCTGTAGGAGACGGAAACGGCCTCGCTGTTGACACAAGTCTTGTTGGTGCACTGCAAGATATTTTTTGTTTAGAGTGTTTTGCTGCTTTTTTGTTGAGCTAGCATTGCGTGGAGCTCCCTGTAGGATTGTTTAGCTGCAAGGCTGGACGCATAATGTCCAATAAAGGGTTTTAGAAGACAACGATTCAGCAATTTAAGCGTTCATCGGTGCTCTTGTCTTTGCTGTGGGTCCTAGTTGATGGAAGCTAAAAGGCTGGAGGGGAAATCCATTTCGTCTCATCCCTCAGAGCGGTTTCTTCCACAGCATGGGGTCAACATAACAAGCTACATGTCCCGGAAGAAGACTGTTACAGTCCTCCTTCTTGTCAAAAGGGAAAAGTTTTCACCTGTGCGTCTAATATTTAGTAAAATTTGCTCTCTAACCAGTCTAAACTCTGATAAAACTTGAGCCCTGTGTATTTAGGGGGCGTAATGAGTCACAGAAGTGTCTATAATCCTCTAAAAGCTTGTTTAGGTCAGTTTAAGGATAAACTGAGAAGTAGGAAACATGCATGGAGTTTGGTCCCTTAAATTAAGATATTTTCTAACCCACTCTCACCCAATCCCAGAGTATGAGAAGACAGGGAAGTGCATCTCCCCAGAGTCCTTTTTTTCTGACCAGTTGACAGATTCTCTTTCCCCTAGCTGCTCTGTGAGGATTAGTATTTGAGCTGAGGATGTGTTTATTTAAAAAAAAAAAAGAAAGAAAAAATAGAAAAAAGGCCTCGAGTAGAGAATTGCCAGCCAAGCCAGAGAGGCTGATGCTGCTGGCTGAATTCGCCACGCCTCCGGATAGGACTGTAAGTGACGTTTTTTATCATTGGGAGAGTGTAAGCACAACAAGTCTGCTGGCAGTCTGGTGCAGCTAACCCACTGAGGCTGCAGCTAGCATTGTGTGGAGGTTTCCATTTCAGCCCGGCAGTAATGTCAGACTCACAGACCACGCCAGTTAAATTTAGGGAGAATTCCACTCAGTGGCTTTGGTGCAGGGACCCATGAGTTATTTATACACGGTGCACAGTGACACACAGCAGAGGGGCAGACAGACCCACATAGATGCATGGAGGTGGTCTCACTTTTGTCACCTTTAATGCACCGTCCTTTTATTTGGAAATTTGCAAATTAATTCATGTTGGGTTAGTTGCAGGTCTGTATGCTAACCCCCCAAAATACCCCATTCATTTTATTTAAGTTATTCTAGTGTGTTTTATGTAATTTATTGCAGTATTTAATGTCTTATCCTTCATTTATGTATTTCCAGAAAAAAAACTCTCATAAGCCCCACCCTAGGGTTCACATTAAAGTCCAATTTTGTCATCCCATCTGTTTCGCCCATAACTTTACAATTGGAGGCATTTTTTTAACCGTATTTTCTCTGTAAGTCTGATTCCTCTATTACTTGTGTTATTTTTAGTTTGTTTTTTAAAATGTATTTGCTAAAGCAAGTTGTGGTGGTTTTGCAGCCCTTTCGCTTGCAGATGTGAGTTGATGTTGACGCCACACTTGGACTGTGCTTGTTTAATTTCTATGTAGTCCAGATGAAACTCAGAGTTATGAATGCTTCCTGTTAACAGAGTTTGGTGAAAACACCGCCATAGTTTTGTGTGGCCTTGAAGAGTCATTTGATTAATTTCAGTCAGGGGCAACCCACATTCACTTCAGATTAGCTTTAAATGGCCTTTGACGCAGAAACTTAAAGCTCTACATTATCCAGGTGGCGCAGAAGTTTTTTTCTAATGTTTTTAAAGCCTGCATGAAATGTTCTAGACAAAGACGGAGATGTGCTGTGTGCAGGGACAGCGCATAATAACACAAATCTGGATTGTGTCTCCCTTCCCCCTGACTCCTGGCTAGTGACCAACATGACTGACATGTTTACGTCAGGGTCTACGATTTCAGACTCATAGCAGATTCTTACCGTAAACATACTGACATCAACTCTCTTCTCCAATCCTGGCCAAGGCTTTTCTGTGCGTGGTTAACACGTTCTCCTCAGGTGTATGTCTGGGGTCTTTGTGGGTAATCCGGCCACCTCCCACAGTCTAAAGATAAGATCATCAGAAATTCGTTACTCTAAATCGTCCATAGGTATAACTGTCTTATATATCAGACTTATTATTGGCTGGTGTTCCCCTCCTCTCGTCCAATGACAGCTGGGATCGGCAACAACGTTTGGTTGTACCATAAAGTTATTTCAGTGCTGCTCAGGATGGTGGTTTTTGAGATGCACAATTAAATCGGTAGTCTTGATCACCCATCATCTGTGTTTGCAAACAGCTAATCAGCTCCAGACAATGAAAACACTTCCATAAAGCTGACATGTTGAAACATGTTGTTGGGATGCACAGGCTGTCGTCCCATTCATATTCGACGTGTCACCATGTCAGCAGGAAATTTTATCCTGCCAAAAGCAATAAACAACTTTATTAGATATTACCTGCCAATACCAGTACTGTACTGCTTGCTTGTGTGGTGCCAAGAAGTGTCTCAGGAAAAGTACAAACTTTTTAAAAGCGTAACACATACTTGAAAGATGTTTATATAAGTCACGGTTTAAGAAACAGTTTTGGCGTTTGTCGCTATTTAGGATTGCAGGGACTTGTTCGATTAAATTCACAAAGTCTCAGGTTGAAAACAATCTTTTATGGATTCAAGATTTCTGAAGATTAAGAAGACAAAGTCATTGTTTACTTTAAATCCAGAGAAAAAAAAAGCATGTTAAAGCTTTATGATTGTCTTGTTAGTGTTTATGCATTCACGGACTGTGCCTTTCAGACATGAGACAGACAGCAGACTTATCATACACCGTCTAAGTCTACACAGACACGTTTTGCATCAATAATCAGCCTGTAACAGCCTCACAGGAGGTTTCACATTGAATCAGCTCTCCCCTCTTGGAGTCATGAAGAATTATCTCAGTCAGCAAGATGTCGACTGAGCGCAGACAGCAGTCTGAGCTGCCTGACATGACGTTGCAAAAGACAGGAAACAAGATTGTTTTCTACCTTCTCCCCCTCCTCCTCCTCCTTCTCCTCTTCATCATTCCGCCACCATCAACAATGATCCATCTTCTAATAGGCAGGCTGCTTGTCACTGATCACTCTAATTATCCAGAACTGGGCTGACTTTGCAGAGATTATGGCCAAAGAGATTCCTGCGCCAACGTCTACAACAAAAACAGTGTCCCTGTGGTTGAGCCAATGATACCCACGACTGTGTTTGAAGAACAAACCCTTATCAGACGCTCTCCTTTGGTCGTCACTCCCTTTGAATGTTATAAGGGATTTTCAGTGTTGCCTTAGAAGCCCTGTTTCATTTAATGAGACTTGTACTAAGTGAGACCCCACAGTGTGTTGTTCCTCTCTGTGTACACATCTACTGATTGAAGACAGAGGAGACAAGCTCTGACTTACCACTATCTGATTTTCCCCTCTTTGGTGAATGTGCTTTATAATATAATGAGGCAATTTTGCAGCAAATTAAGTGAATGAATTAAACATCTACATGGTTGTTTGGGATGAACCCTGAATTAGAGTTTTGAATGAAGGAAGGTTGTATGATGAATGAGCAGAAGGACAGAGATTTCGGGATAAGTAAGGAAACAAAAAATGAAAAGGAAAGAGGGATGATAAAAAAGGAGAAATGCTTTGCCAGTAGTGAATGGAGACAGCTGTTTTTCTCAGATTATTACAGCTCACATACTGTTGTATTGGTGCTGGTGTAAGTTTTCTCACTGGTTTTTGTCACCAGTCACCAGCTATTATTAGTATTCATCCACTAGGTAAACGTTTTTGATCCAGAAAGTCAATTCCAAGCTAAATTAAGTGAGAAATGTGTAATTTTACTTCTTAAATGTTGTAGTGTTTAACACCTAAACAGTAACATTAGCTTTCAGCAAAACAAAAGCTTTTATTATCGATGGACTAGCTGAATGCTAACATTAGCTAATACGGTAGCTGTTGCTGGTAGTGTTGGAAGTAGTAGTGTCGGTAGTAACTAATGAAACAGTAAAACTACTGCTTTTTTAATCTACCTGAGTAGAGGTACTTTGAACTCTGAGTATTGAGTACTTTAAACAGGGGATGAGATTTGAGGGGTGATCATATGGCGCCAAGTTATTTTGAAAGGCTTATTTTTTCGAGATAACTGTTGTAGTATGTCAAACTGGAGACTGTAAGTGTGTGTTAATGGATTTTGTTGACACAACACCTAACCACATTGTGTATTTTGGGGGTGTTGTACTTGAAGGGTGCTGAGTCACAGAAGGCAAAGAACTCACTTTAATTGTTCCAGCTAACTGGATGTCTCATACTGCTCAAAATCAGGTTGTGGCTCGCTGTTAGTCTTGTTTGGAAAGAGGAGTTGGTTTAGTCAAAGATGGGATTCAGTGATGAGCTTCGGACTTAGGAAGGACAAATCTGTGAATATATTCATGACTTCATTGGAGTATTGCTTGTTGTGATTTCACCATAATCATGCGTGACCCTCTACCCCTGTATGTAACTTTGCCTGACTGTCAGGTGGTGGATTCTAACCAATCAGCTGAGTGAAAAGCTTGTATTCTTTACTGTTTTTATTTTTTACCCAGTAATGGATGGAATATAATGTGTGAAGAAATACAGTATCTCACCCAGAAAATTCGAAAGTTAAAGTTAAAGCACTGATTATAGACACCATTCAAATAAGTACAAGTACTTACTAAAAAACGTCTTGATTAACATGATGAGATGTGATAGTTACTTCCTATCCCTGCAACTGGGTTATCAAACCTGCGGTTTTGACTTAAAATACAGGCATTAGCTACTTCAGATTCTTGTTCTCCAGTGTCTCATCAGAGTTTTATTAACTGAGACAAGGCGTCTTATCATGATTACCCTAAATGTTTATGACTTTCAACAAAGAAAACCCAATCCTGTAAAAGCATTTGAGTCTCCGCCCTAGAGCAGGGTGTCAGGGGGAAATGACTACATTGTGAATAAGGTAAAGATTATGATCTGAAATAAAGATACAAAGTGTTATGAGCCCTTCCCCCCCAAATAGACGCCATATACAAAATCATACCGCTGAGACAGAGAAGGGACGTCATAGTCACTCTGGTTAGGGTGTTAATCAGTCCCCTCTGGGCGATGTGACGCTTGATTCCTCTCCTTGGTGACACTGACGAGATTTCAGGTCGGCCTCTAAGTAATCGATACAACACACTGTGACATGGCTCACAAAGTCATTAAATGCCACCATCTAAGTCCAATCAGATTGGCTTTTGCTGCCTCATTCATTCATGCTTAGCCGAGTCACAATCCCCTTCACAGCATGAGTTTCACGTCACAGTCTTGTGTGAGGTTTTCCCTCCCTGCCAGACTACCTCACACCTCTACTTTGTCCACAATCAGCACTTCTATTGTATGAGCGGCACGCCAGCTGCAGCGTTAGCTCTGACACATGGAGTAAAGCGTTGTGACACAGGGTCATTTCTGCGGGCCACTCTCCATCTGCAGATGTCAGGAGGCAGAGTCACTCATGCAGGTGAGACTCTGTGTGGTTGTGTAACTCTATCAGAAGACTTGTGCAGCTGTCCCTACACAGTGGACTTGTTCTTACATAGATTCCTGAATAATTGAAATGATGACATGTTTGGTTTATTTATGTTTAAGATGAATGTCAGGAAGGAGAAGTCTGCTTTAAAGAAACCAGCAAGAAACATGCATGTCTTCTCTCCACAATGTGAGAACGTTTTGTCTTGCACTATGAAAGCATGACATATGAACTCACTCGAAACGATAGATTTTGTGCCTTTTGTATGGTAGCATTAACTATGAAAGTGACTTTTCTCTTTTGTTGTTAATACAGACCTGAAAAATTAGGCTTTTACATTCTATAAGCTATAGTTCTGCATGTGATATAGATCTTATTGCACATAGATCACATACTTATGGCCCTGTGACTTGTTTTTGGGGCCCTTTCTCAAACCTCCATGCTCGAAAACTCTGATTTTTAGGGATGTTTTTTGGGTGGAGGGCGGGGCTTTGCCTATATGAAATCCTGGTGCCATGATGCAGATTTTTCAAGGTCAAATTGGGCTCTTTCAATAAATCTGCATCTCTGCAGACTCTCCCGTGGGACTTGCCTATAGCAGAATTAATGATGTATAAAATTTTGTTGCCCTACCCCCTTGAAGGTGTACAAAACAACAATGGGTGGTGTCAGGAAGAAAAGCAACTCGGTTCATTGTTGGTGCTGAACGTTAGGTGATAATAAGAAGCACGCATCTTTATAGGTTTTGAACAGCTGGCATTGTTTACAGGCCCCTGAAAGCACATGTTGCCAACATGGTGTGTGACATACTCCCCTTTTATACCACTTTTTGACCTCTGAGAGCATCAGTTTGTAAAAAATACTAACAATAAAAACGCTTGTATAGGGACATTTAGAGGATCTGTACTAGTCAGCAGTTTTACTCTAAGGACTAGGTACTTTTGGTATTTGGTACTAAGAGTTTAATCTTTACAGGCTTTGGAAGTTTTCTAGGGGAAAATGATGGGTCGAAGGTAGGGCTGGGGGATAAACCGAAAATTTACCGATACAGAAATTTATGACAATAACCAACGTCATTTTGCCCATGTCAATATATTCGGTGTCAAAAAATAATAAAAAAATAAAAGTTGGTTGTGTGTAGATGTGTAGGTAGGCTATCATCTCATGTCCCTTTAAGATGCTGGAGACGAGACTCCACTCCATCCAGTCCGTAACCAAGAGGGAAAGACAGGTGAGGAGATGGAGGACGGTTCAAAAGTTGTAGCGGCTGCAGTAGCGGCTGAAGTACACAAAGTTAATGTGGGAGGGGGTGAACAGCTTGTGGAGTAGTTATTGTCCATTTATCGTTATCGAGGTGAACTGCTCAATATATCGTGATATTGATTTGAGGCCATATCGCCCAGCCCTAGTTGAAGGGAGCTATTAGTCTTGTATAAAGTAAATATATATTTTGGTAAGACCTGTAATGAGGCTGTATGTGAGTTAAACCTTACATACCCCATATTCAAAATGTTGCACAATGATCCAATGGAGAGCATGTTTTATTTGCTAAAAGCCAGACAGTCCAGTCCCTGAAATAAACACAGACTGCAAACAGCTGAAGTACAAACCTGGCAGAGGAACACCAGGGAAGATGCCAAGAGCCTGCTGATTTCTGCGGGTCTCAGAGTTCAGCCAACAGTGGATAGTAAAAGATACGCACCCAAAAATGATGTATGAAGATTTAAGTTTTTATTGACTTAGTTTGTCAGAAAATGGATTGACTGTGTGCAAATAGATGGAACAATTACCAAGTAACGCATCTGCATTTGAATTTGTTTTTTAGGTACAGATCGCCTAACACTTCAGCATTATTAGAGGTAGTAAATAGCCTGGTGTAACAGTACTTTATGAGGCTGTGTGGACCACGACAAGGCCTCTGTAGTAACTGCCTTGGTGTTTAAAAAAGTTTAGTCTGTAAGTTGCTTTTATACCTGAAGTGTGATTTATAGTGCTGTTAGGTTTCATTGCTCTGTGCTGCAGGATTCTCCCAGCATAAACAAGTATTCAATAATGTGAAATAAGAAATCGTTGTTTGCCAAATATGTCTCTCTATAGGAAACCGGGAGCCATTCTGTCTGAAAACAAAGACTTCACTCCGGGCATTTATCTGGTAGCTCTTGTGGACGCTGAACTCATAACAGTGCTGGAGCAGGCGGATCTCTTTGTTTTGCTCCGGGCCTCAGACAGGAGACTATACCCAATATTGTCTGAAACAGTAGTGACCCAGGACGCTCCAGCAGTGGGCTGGTTTCACTATGTCAAAGCCATCCTGCTTAACACTGTCAGAAGGTGTCACTTGATCCAAGCTGACAGTTTTTGTGACATCCAGTAGGGATTTTTGGAGTTGAGTTGGTATGGGCAACAACTTTTTTCAGTGTGTAAAGTGAGTACTGTATGTGTCAGCCTGCTGAGCTGTCACTCTGCCTCTCAAAACTGATTCAGACAGCTTTACAGGTGCAGAGTTGAGCTGTGGGTCTTATACAGCTTTTTGTTTGAGCAGGGTTGAGGTGCACGCAGTCTGACAGCAAAACACAAACAGAAATCTTTGTCTTGACTGTTGACTTTCGTTCTGTTTATCTACCTCTCAGCCACATTGTTTCCTAAGTGGTCACTCTGGATGGATTGTGATTAGCATATCTCAACAGTAAAAGCCAAGTGTTTGTGTTGTTGCTGGATTGGACCCTCAGCATTTTATTGATCAGGTATTGATTAACTCCCCGGCAGCATTGATCCGAGGGCTGGTGTGTTCATTTTGGGTGACAGCTGAAGGGCGAGAGCTTGTGCTTTTTGTGTTTGTTGACTCATGGGGAGAAAATCAGGTGTACCACTGTTGATTCATCTCCACAAGGAAAGCGTGTGTAGTTTTATTGATGACCCATGTCAGCTTGTGGTGCTACCAAATTTGTTTTTTAATATATTTTGTCCATGAGACTATAAAATGTTCCAGAAACCTCTAGGAAGCAACAGCCCCATAAACTACAGGCTCCAAGAGGGCCATAGCTCTGCAGCAGCTCCCTCTTAATAGTTTCAATATAAACTGAACATTATGACCATCATAAAGGTGGGATTTATTACAGGGTTGCTGTGTTAGGTTGGCATCTGAGTGTAGGTAAAAAAATCAAAACTGCTTACTGAATATCATAACAAAGACTGTACTGTAATTTGTTGTAATTTTAAGGTGGCAAGTGGTGAAAGGTCGTTAGTACACTTGTGATTCTTGCTGGTTGTGTATAAAGATGTGGGAGGAGTGGTGCAGATGGCCTTGTGGTCAAAGCACACCCAATATAAGTTATAGTCCTCATCTGGTTCCACTCCTCCCACATCTTCCACACTCTCTATATTTCCTCTTTTCAGCGTTCCTATTTCAGATAAAAAAATACTAAAACACTTGACTTTAGAAAATCAGATCAGATCCTTCATGCTCTTCATGAGACATATTATGAAAACCTCTCTTTTTCCATATTTTTACAAAAATACATGGGTATCATGACTATCCACTTACAATTCCTTTGTTTGTGGTCGGCCTGTGTCTGAAATCACACAATCTGAGAGTCCATTCTCCTTGTGAAGTCTCACCAAAGTCATAGTAATAAATAAAGCCTGATCCCTCAGCTGGCATCTCCACCCTCTCATTCCAAGACACACCACACATGGAGTACTAAGCTTCTGGGAAATCAGTTTTAGCCTTTAGCATATGTCGTTAAATGTACATGAGCTACTCCTGACCTTCTAAAACCTGCCTGAGAAGGATCTCATTTGCATTTAAAGAGACACACACCAAAACCAACTGTTTTGGGAGAGGCTGCTCGAAGTGGGTCAACACAGGGTCAAAAAACGCCTCTGACGCTTGATCCATATTATGTTTTATCCAAAGCACAGTATATTAATGGTCAAAAGGTGTTAGTCAGACATTCCAGGCCTGACACTGGTCTGTTTGCACACGGCCATGGCATGGGATGTATTCTACATCTATCCAGGCAAGACCCTCCAGACAGTGTTTGGAGGGGGCAGAACCTCTAAAAAATACTGTACAAATATCTAGACTGTCACATTCATTTTGGGCCAACCAGAGCAACAAAACATATAATGTTGGCCAAGGACTCAACTATATAATGTAAGCAGGGTAGGTACTTGTCCTCTATGTAAGCTTTAACTATATATTTCAGTTCAAAGACAACTGTATCACACAGTATGATAAAACTATGTTATCATCTCACTTGTGTATTTGGCCAGCGACAGATATAACTGCATATACCTGTTACATCTGTCCAGGTTATCTGCTTTGCAAGGTGAATAATACATTCCCCATATTTTTTGATATTTTAAAATGCAACATAACCTTATGGTCAATTTTTGTCTTGATTCACAACTGTATTATTTTGTGTACTTTGTGTTTCTAGTGGATATATTAAAAGTACTGCAAACCTTTGTCAATGTTAAAAATGTACATAAACACCAGCAATGTCTTTGTCTGTTTCACAAGATGCCACTGAAGTATCATCACAGGCTCTAATTCCTAAGCCCATTTGCTCACCCAAAGTCTCTGAAAACTGTACGTTTTAAAAATTGTTTCGGATGTCATAATTTCCTTAGTCATCTAGGCTGCCAAACCGTCTAATGGGATTCTTTGCACCCTGGTTCAGATGAGACCCTCAAAAGACTGAGAGTAATACTGTTAAATATTAGTGCTTGATTTTAACTCAGTGGAAAAGCAATTCATACAAATGTTAGTAAAGACAAAAGCTTTAAAACTTGAAATCAACAAAAAATTAGTGTGACGGTGGTTAAGTCTCATGTTTCTTGCTGAGTAAGCAAGTCAGTCAGCTACCTACTTGCTACTCGGCAACATCTGCAGTGCTGTATAATGCAAAGGTATAAGCAGAGACAGCTGGTGACATAAACAGCAAAACGTTGTTACTGGTAATATTCTTTTCTTTTGACAGAACATTTTCTCTGTTTGTCCTTCATTCTCTCCCTCAGTACAAACAAGTGGAGCAGTATATGTCCTTCCATAAGCTGCCTGCAGACTTCCGACAGAAAATCCACGACTATTATGAGCACAGATACCAGGGCAAGATGTTTGACGAGGAGAGCATTTTGGGAGAACTCAGCGAACCTCTCAGAGAGGTGAGACATTATCGAATAATGATTCACATAATTTCACTTGAACGTATTAACTTTTTTTTTTGTCAGTACTGTATTATTTTTTTTGTTTAAGATATCTGCATAATTCTCTGGGGTGTTATTTTAAATTTTTTGTATGTTTTGTTTTGAAAATACAGTGAATCAGTTATTGATTTGCACCTCACTGTTGTGGATTGATTTTTAACAGATGGTTACAAAACTAAATCTTTGAATTATTAGTATTAATGCATCCAGGGAAGACCACAACCTGGGTATACAACATCAGATGTAATTCCTTTGACTGGCTTTTCTTCTGTCAACACAAACACTGTTTTTATGGATTTATTTCTAGGAAATTGTAAATTTCAACTGCCGTAAGCTGGTCGCGTCCATGCCGCTGTTCGCTAACGCAGAGCCCAACTTTGTGACTGCCATGTTGACCAAGCTGCGTTTCGAAGTTTTCCAGCCGCATGATTACATTATAAGAGAGGGAACCATCGGGAAGAAAATGTACTTCATTCAGCATGGAGTCTGCAGCGTCATCACCAAGGGAACTCTAGCAATGAAACTCTCTGATGGCTCTTATTTTGGAGGTACGACACAGTGTGTGGCTTGAGTTTGTTGCTTTGTTTATGGCTACTTTATTCAAAAATTCTTCCCTTACTTCCTCCTTGTTTCAGAGATCTGTTTATTGACAAGAGGTCGTCGAACAGCCAGTGTGCGAGCGGAGACGTACTGTCGACTCTACTCACTGTCTGTTGACCACTTCAATGAGGTGCTGGAAGAATACCCCATGATGAGACGAGCCTTTGAGACTGTGGCCATTGACCGACTAGACCGCATAGGTAAAAAAACAACTAGTGTTTGAATACAAACTAGAGATCACAGCTCAACTTAATCAACATTTGAAGGTAAAATGTTAATAGTTCTCACTGAGCAATAGACGGCTAGTTTTTTAGACCTAATTTCAACCGTCTAGATTCTGTATATTTTTTGCCATTGCACTTTAATCCATTATTAGTATTAGTATAACTATTTATTTTAAAAAACTGATCTCCAAGTACTTAACCAAAATAATCATGATAGCTGTTGAGCAATATACAATGAAGACCTCTGTTAGCCGGCTAGTCTAAACTTGGTCTAAATTTAGACGTCTAAAAAACTTTCATTTTTAGACCTGTTGTAGCCTGATTTTAGACCAGTTGTTTAGGCAACATTTAGACGTCTATTAGACCTCTTTTAGACCAAAAGATGCTTGGTGGGTTAAAGCCACGGCACATTTATAAAGTCTAACATACATCTGGCTGAGAAAAATAGGCCATGTTTTTCCTTTTTCTAATCCTAGTTGTCAACATTAGGTCTGCTTACAGCTTCTTTTTGATCACTGTTTGACTGCAAGGAGCTGGATGCAACACTGAGTGTGTGATTACAGCTAATTTTACAGACTATTTCAACACCAATATCCTAAAAACATTTTCTTCCAGCGATGTTGTTTCATTTTCTGTTAATGGGGTTCGGTGCAGTGTCAATGATGGCGTCAAGATTACACTTTTTTCACCATTTTAAGCAGCTGTTAGTCTCTGCATCCAGCTTTTAGATGGGAGATCTTGAAAATGAACCCCATGTATGAGAAATAAAATAATATTGCTCTTTGTGTTTCCAGATTGTAAGTGCTGAAAAATGCTGTAAAATGAGCTGTGCTGTTCCCTTGAAATGAGGGAATGGTAGATGAGAGTACAGGGTGACACGTTCATTTTCCTCAGGGCTTGTTCTGCTAGAGGATGTACCTGGTGTGAAGGACATCACATGCTATATCCAACTCATATTGTTCTCTCTTTCCAAATCCTCTTGTTTCCGTTTATTTATTCTTTGTTCTGCTCTTTGTCCTCTATGTCCTCTTTGCTCTCATCTACCTCTCTGATAATCGTTCTTCGTCATTTTCCAGGTAAAAAGAATTCCATCCTGATGCACAAAGTTCAGCACGATCTCAACTCCGGGGTCTTCAACAACCAGGAGAATGAGATGATCCAGGAAATTGTCAAGTACGATCGTGAGATGGTAAAGCTGGTGGACCTACAGCGGCCGAGAGCTATGTCTATGACCCCCTCCATCGGCGGTATCTTTGCCCCTCCTGGACAGCCGCAGTCTGGTTCTGCTATTGCTACCCTCCAGCAAGCAGTGGCCATGAGTTTCTGTCCTCAGATGGCGAGTCCTCTGGTGGGTCCAGGAACCCTGCAGTCCCCTAGAATGGTTCGAAGGTTTCAGGTGATGCAGAACCTGTCCAGCCCTGTCTCCATGTCTCCTCTTCAGTCTCAGCCCCCTCAGGCATTTGGAGGGGCATTTGGATCTGCGATCTCCAGCCCGCCCGTCCAAAGCCCGCTTGCTGCTTCAGGACGGACTTTCCAGTACATGGCGAGTGCAGGACCCTCTGGTTCCCAGTTGTCCCTAGTACAGCACCATGCACCCAGCCCCACACAGACCCAGCAGAGGCCAGCCTCACACAAGAGCACCCACTCCCTTCATACAGGCAGCCTGAGTCAGGATACACGGGCCTTGTCTGCCTCCCAGCCTTCACTTCCCCAGGAGGGAACACCACAAGCTGCCTCTGCGGCCCCCAGCCCTCCACCATCCACTCGCACCTCCAACAACTCCATCGGCCCCCCTCAGCCACCTCACTCCAGCCTACCCGGGCCATCAGGGGTGGGGAGATCAGCAGGAGCTCAACAAAGGGTGGCCTTTGCCTCCACACCCCCTCCTGGTGGACCTGCTGGGTCGGGGGCAGTAGCAGCAGCTGCTGGATCAGGACCTCCAGACTCTGGAGTTCCCAAGAAAGATTCAATTGTCAGCCTTCCAGAGCTAGACTCTGCCAGATCCCGGCTGTCTTCCAACTTGTGACCCTGGTAGAGTTCAGGAAAGAGGCCTTTTTTGTAGGAGAATCTGTTTGTTTTAGGTCAGTCCAGCTGATCTGTCAGCCTGCTCAATGACCAATCAGCTACCGCCAGCGCCACACGTCATTGGACCTGGATGCACTGTGTGCTGAAGTCAGCAGAAGGAAAAGAGCAACTCAAAGCTTTGAGACACTTTGACTAGGAGGAGTCTATACAATTAAACTAGTATAACTTAAGGTGGAACTGGTCTTGTCTACTGTGCCAGCACCTTTAGTCTTAGTATCACCCCTTACACTCTGCTTCCAAACACCTACTGTATATCGCTGTCTTTACTGTAAAGATATGAAGAAGAGTACGATAAATGTAACTATTGCATACTGTGTAGAATCCATGCAATGCAATCTAGCAGGAGCTGGACTTAAAAATGAAAATCAGGGACTTGAGGTCAAATGACAATGACATTTTAAGCGTTCAAAAGTGTTTTGAGTGTCATTTTCTTTACGTATAAGCTGTCGTAGCAAAAGAACACATTGCTCTCCATATTGTTTCAAATAGTAGTGAAGTAGTGTTTTAGACCGCTGGTCGATCTTACATCGATGTGTAAATAGTTGATGAAAAAAGTGCAGAGGGTTATTATATTCATTGTATCTACCCAAACCAAAGTTGAGCTCGAACACAAAGTCTGGTTGTGTCTGTATCAACTAAAAAAGAAACATAGAAGAAAATGCCATTTATTTAACTGCCTTGATTCAACGTTAGAAGCCATATATTTGGTTTGTGTGTTTGTGTATATGTGGGCGTAAGTCTGTGTGGGTGAGTTTGTTTGTACATTTTGGTTCTATTTTCAAAGGATGGACACACACTCTGTAAACAGCTTTGTGGTGCGTGATTGGTTTGACATGCTGACGTCGGCTCTGACCTGTTTTCATGAAACACCTCTGAGGCGGTCAGACGTTCGCTCAGCCTTCTGATTGTAACCCTGAGGGAAAAGGTGGTTAAATAATCTGAGCTTTATCGAAAGGAAACATTTGTGAACAACCCATACTGTATACTTGCTTGTTTTCGTCTAGGTTTTATTGATTAACACATGCAATATAATTCTGCAATACTCTACCCCGCCTATATATAAATATATGAATATAAATATCTATACATATGCTGTACAGGAAAGTGAACTTGTTTCTTTTTCCTTTTGTTTCTTTTCAATGTGAAACCTTAAAGAATCCAGCAGCTATTGTGGCTTCACTTGAGGTATTGTAATCCAGTGACCATGTTGTTACCTTAACCAAAAATGTCAGGGGGAGTGAGAGGACATGCTGTGTCATTTTTTCATAGAAAAACAGAAGCAAACAGGCTCAGAATCAGGAGGAATCTATGCTTTCAGTTCAGCAAGTCAGATCCTCTAAATCGTCACTTTAAAGCCCAGTTGAAGATGATAAATTGTAAGCAGAATTGGGGGTTTGGGGGGGAAGGGCAACATGGGGTTAAAAAATGCCTCATTTGTAAAAAAAAAAAAACCTCTTTGCTCCATATCAAAGTCTCTGTGCGCCCCGTATCACCCGAAACCCCCATGAATGTCTCAACATTTGGATCCTATTGTTCAAGCGGAAATTTCTGGACAAGTTTGAGGCTTTGGTTGTATTAGTTCAAAGTCTTCTGATCCTGCTGAACCTAAAAAGCCTTCTCTTGCTGAATGTACGCCATACGAGAAGGAAGACAGCTAATCAGAAATAAACTGCCATGTAAATAGAGGGTCGGAGGTTTAGAGAGGCTTTTATGATGCAAGGGGGGTTTGGGGGCGTTGCTGTATGTGTTGCTGAGTGTCTATGCGATCTTTTTAGGTTCAATAATGCTTCTCTGGGTGGAACATTACTGTATTTAACCTGTATGCTACCACCCCCTTTCCTTACACTACCCCTTACACATGAGAGGAAACCTTCTTTTGGTTAATTAATTGATTTGAGCGTGAACGAGAGTGAGCTGTACCCGCTTTGATCTTCCGGGTTTAAAGCGAGCACTGAGGACATTCAGTTAAGCACCTTCTGTTGCACTTCGACCTTGAAATCAAACTAAAAAATCAATGCTCTATTCCTCTAAAATGGCTGCAGTGCTTCTCCTGGAGCTGTTATCTAGTTAAAAAGTAAGGACGAAAAGTGAATCCAATTGGGGTTGAAAATAGGCAGCTGATTCAATGTGTTAAATAAACACTGCGTCCAACTTTGTTGGCTCTGGGAATCAATCCTGAGCCAAACTGTAAAATCAATGCGATGGACATTTCACTCAGGTTTGCTACCTTTCCAGAGAGATGTATTGATCGCCTCAGCATGGCATTCCATTGATTTCTGTAAACCCGCCCATCCTCCCATAATCAACCTGTTGATTTAACCATGCTGAAAGATTCCCCTTGAATTTTGATTGGCTGAGAAAAAACAAGGAGTATCACAGATTGTTATTGGCAAAACTCGCTGCAGCTAAGCTTTGATCACTTTTCCTGAGAGCTTTTTGAAACAAGGTGTGGTTGATTGTTTTTATCCAAGGGCTTCATTATATGGCTTGTAAACCCTGGCTCATCGTTTCTGTAGAGCTGCCACACTTTCACTTCCTGTTTTTCGATCAGTAACATGCACTAAACTTTTTTTTCTTTGTTGGGTCAAAATACTTCAACCTGCTCCATCAGCGTCACTTTGTATTGCTTTTTCTTATGGGAAAGGTACACGCCAAAATGCCAATGTGATTGTGATGAACCGAATCCATTTGAGTCAATAGCTGTTGTGTGCTTCAATACTGTTCCAGTGCAATCAATTGGTCCTCATCCCTGTTCCTTTGTGCTAATACCAGAGTTTGCCCTATTAAGCTGCTATCAGGACTGTGCTGATATTATTTGAATGAGTCCACAGTCAGTAAGAGCGAGATGGACAGAGAGTTAAAAAGCTACAGGAACGTTTCAGGCAATATCAGGCACCGTCTCTATTTCATTGCATCCATCCAGTAAGATAAAGTGTAATTCACTCCCACTCAAAGGATGGCATCCCAGACTTTGATCAGTACCACTCTGTTCAAACCTCACGCCATGAGGCTGATACAGAGCTAACATCGCACACACTTCTGTCAGGTATCTGTTTCGTGTCTGTGCCACGAGTGCGTCCTGGCTCTCAGCCACTGTCGAGGTGTGTGTGACACAGCGCTGTGTTTGCCTGATGACGGGTGGTTCAAAGTGCGATTGTTTAATGGTTCTTCTTTTGGACCTTGCTGTGAAGTGGGATTGAAATCCCTCATACGTGTTTGACACTGACTGACAATTATTGAGAGTTTCTACGTTTCAAACCTCTCATTCTTGCTGTACCAGATATAAAAAGGGTACTGAATGCCTTGGTGTTGATATGTTAGCAAATCAGGGTATTATTTTCTGTTTGTAAAGTGTCTTTGATTTATCGGTATATTCTGTTTGGTTCTTGTTTTTGCAATGTGCCCCATGCACATGGACTGTATATACCTTGTGCCTAGTATATCTAGTTTCCACATAGTCTATTTTTGTGGTATGTATGTGCCTGTAAAAATGCAAATACGTGTTTTTATTTTCAACTTGCAATATATGTAAAAAAAAGAAAAAAAAAAACAGTAGATGAAGACTAGTATTGCTGAATTAAAATGACAATGTCAGTATATATAATTTTCCCTGATTTGGGAAACACAAAATTGCACATTTTTGTTGGTTTGAGCCTTCCAACACCATGCGCGCTGTACTCTGTACTTTCATGTTCTGTACATACGGTATACACAGAGATGTGGGGCACATTGTCGTGTTTGTCCACAACCTGCTGTATCAGAAACATTTTCTACAGTGAGAGGGTGAGCTCTGACAGGCTTCTGGTGGATATCGGCAGTCTAGACGTTAGCTTAGATGACCTGCTCGTTGCACAGGAACAAAAGAAAACAAAAACGGTGGCGACACCTGCACAATATCAATACAAAACACAACATGTAAATGCTGGATAATGTAAAACTATATTGTTGCACAGGTCTTCAAACACTGACTCTGGTTGCACACTAATCTGGTGTTTGCTATTGAAAAAGAAAAGATCTCTCAAGACAAAACGAGCCTCAGCCGTCTCGAGCTCGACCTCCAGTTGAGTTACCTTGACAGCTAACAGTAGAGTGCATGCTCGTATTTTTCTCCTCTAAGCAAAGTTCTGTGTACGATTCTTAGTGGGACCTTCAGATCTAGACACTGTCATGTACCAACTACTGTACAATGATTTTATTTAGTATTACAGTTTAACCTTTGTGTCGTAGCTACTGTAGCCTGCTTAGCTTACCTAAGCCTTCTCTCTGCTTCAGGACTCTGTGTATTGTGTGCTTGAGTTTGTTTGTGTGTGTGTGCGTGTGTTCCTGTGCCTTTCCTTCTATAATGTTGGTCCCACTGGAGAATACGACGCCATTTGAGGGGGTTTAAACCCAAATGAAGCTGAGAGAGTCAGTTTTAAATGATCACAAATCCACTAAAAAGAAAACTAATACTGTAACGCTCCTAGGAATTAATGACTCTAGCACAGCCCTAGACTTTAGTAGCATTCCACAGCATGCACGAGCAGCTCGGTGTGGGCATCCAGACACACTTTACCAGCACCATGTAGACAACAGCACAGATAACTGACACAATGTGTGTCCTCTCTATTTCTTTCTCTATCTCTCTCTGGAGGCCAATCTGCAACCATCTCAGGCTGTGCTCGGCTTCTGCTCTTAACTAAAAGTATCTCAGAACTCCAGCTCTGTCTAAGTTGATGTCTACAGTCCAGGAACAAATCAGCTCCCAGCCCGAACTGCAGCATTTTCAAAATCGATTTCAAAGGATCGTGGAAAGGGAGGGGGTGGGGAAAGTTAAAATTCTTGAGATATTTGTTGCGGCTTTTTCAGGCTGAAACGCACAGCTGGCAGCGAGGGTCTTGGGGTTCTGATTTGATCCTGTGTCCAAAAGGCTGTCTTGTCCACCACCTTTGCTGGCCGAGAACACAGAGCCACACCCTGGTCTCTCTCAATAAGCTGGTCTGTCAGTCAGTGGCAATGTCGTTTAAGCGTTCGTAAAAAGACGATACATTGTTGTGCAATAAAAAGATGAGCGCATTGGCATACTTACCCTGTGTGTGGACTTTTTATTCATTGCTGGATGCAGTGTGTGTGTGTGTGGGCATTTAACATAGCTCCCGGGGTTACAATAGTCGTTGCAAACAAAATCACAAACACACACGTCAACCTTGTAAATCAGCCAACAACCTCTCCACCCTTGTTCTACCCCACATTAGATGAGATCTCTTGCTCTCTTTCTCTCTCCCTCTCTCTTTTTCGCAGACGGGGGCTCTGCTGCATCCCTGATGAGATGTCTGAGCTCAGTCTAAGAGCTTTGCACGTGTGAGTGTGTTGTAGTCACACAGCAAAGCAGCGGGTGTATTTATTCCTGTACCTAGGAGCCCCGTGTGTGCACATGCAAGCCCTACTTTTGTATTTGTCTGATACGAGGAGAGGGAGTAAATGAACCGGTGGCAGTTGTGTGTGCATGCATGTGTGTGTGAAAGGGTGGGCGGGTGTGTGCGTCAGAGATGAGGGCAGTCCAAGGACACACTCCTCTGGCAGCCTGGGAGCAGCACCCACCCGTTCCCTTTCTCTCTATTTCCTTTTCCTTGCTCTATTCACACACACACACACACACACTGCTGTCTGGAACCTCAGTGATTATGCACGGCACACGGGACAGAAAAATTAAAATTACATGCAAGGTGAGCTCTGGACACACCATGCATGTTGCCTCCATGTGGCTGGTACAAATGTGGGTGAGGCCATCCGCAGTGCGCGTTCAGAGTTTTACCTTGACGTGACATAATGTCCTCTCTCTCTCTCTGTAGCTCTATTGACACACACTCTCTCTAACCATTTCATTGTAATTCAATGAGGAAGCAATGCACTGATAGTGGCTGCAGGCAGATACTACAGCAGGTTGTGAAGCTATATGTAGTGGGAGTATATAGTTTCATCCTGTATATGGCCGAGGATCGTCCTCTACCTGCTTTTCTCTGCAGTGCCGGTCCTCTGCTGTGTCCCTGACTGTCCTACTTCAATTAATCATATCAGCATCTCCTGCACTACCCCCCTGGCTGTTTACCTCCAGAGGCCAATTTGCTTATTTAGCTTCTTTCTGTTATCCTCGGCCTGTCCCATCCATCTCCTTCCAGTTTTTCCTTGCGCAACATCATGACTGCAAACTTACTTTTTGTCTTGTTTTTAAGCTAAAATGTTAACAGCCCCAGGGGGACAACCAAGCATTTAAAAAATCTGCTTTTTAAGCTTTAACCTGAGTAGGTTGATAATGATGTACTGTACATTTGCATGTGTTCTTGTGGAAAAAGCACAGAAAAAATATCAGCCTATGTGGAAAGAGGACACACAGGCTCAAACATTCACCCTTGTGCCCTCTGCCTGAGCTGCTTCGGCCATGTCTCTGCACTGGGGAGCATCCAGAGAACACAGCTCACATCTGAATGCCAGGATTAGCATTTGATCCAAGCTCCATGAATGAGTCAGTGAGCAAGACATACAGAGACAGAGACAGAAAGAGAGAGCGAGTGAGCGAGAGATACAGTAAATCATTTTAGAGCCGCAGGCAGCTTCAGTGACATCTCAAGTGTTGGACAGTCAGTGGGCTGAGGGAGGAAGTGAGAAGTGCGTCAAGCTGAAATGATCAAGAGAAAAACACACAGTTAGTGACAGGAGGGAGGAGTCACATGCTCTACTACAATCTGTGTCATCTTATTAAGAAGAAAAACATAATCCTGATTCAGTCCTGTTTGACCAACCTCCTACATTTGTTTTACTTTACTTCTTTCCTTCCATGGCAACAAAGAGATTTTAATTTCTAATGGATCAATGCAGAGCAGGATGTATTCAAGAACATGTGTCATATAAAACTGGCACAGCTTGACTGTAAGTCAGACCACCACTCACTGCAAACACACATTAAAAGGACACTTAGCCGTGAGATTTATGTCTCTTAACAAGCAGCTAAATCAATGTACAACCCCAGCTGTTATTTCTCTGTAAAGACAGACTGCAATAGCGATCGTACCCTTCAAATTTACTTCATACCAGGATGAGAATGAAGGAAACCACATACAAGCACCTACTGCTTTTATGCTCATTTGTATAGAATTAACTTGTGTTAGAAATTAGACTTAAACAAAAACACAAATTTGCATAAAGAAGGGTATATTCTTGCATGGACACTAGTCACATATTCTGGAAGTGGAAACAAGATGTCAGCTGAGGGTGAGATTTTCAGAATCAAGACTTGACAGTGAATTTTTGGAGAAGGTGGATGAATTTACTAGTTTGCCCTTTGCCTCTCAAACAGCATCATTATTAACCCAGTGAGAAGGATTGCCAATTAAATATATGTGAACATCACCAAAGTGAAGCTCTGGCAACAATCTAGCTATTTTAGGTGATATAAAAACACTTGATCCTGGAGAGATGGACCATCAAAGCCTGTGCTGCAGCTTCACAGAGCTCTCTCTGCCCTCCAGGCCTTTGCGCTGATCACATGACTGACAACTACAAACCATATACTACAAACTGAGTGAAAAAGCACACCCTGATTCCTCTGCTTGATCCCTGAGGCATCCCGACGAGATTAATGAATGACTGAAAGACTCATTCATGGATATCTATTGGTGATCTTTCCTCTCAAGTACGACTATATTACCAAATGTTACCATGTTAACCAATGTGGCCATACTCTGTTGTCAACTAACGTTCATCCAAAAACTACATAGAAAGGTTTGAACACCTTAGTTTAAAGAATTTAGAGAATAAGAGTCCCAGTTGAATGAAATACCATAAATATGCTTAAAGGAACAGATGTAATGAGACATAATAAGTGTGTCTACGGGAGGAAAAGAGGAGGAGGAGGAGGATGAAGAGGGCATCATCCATACATTTTTTTACATAAATTCTCAACTCTTTACATGCAGCTTTAAAGTCTCTCAACACTGTCCTTAAAATGAAATGATGATTCAGTACCTTGTCTTTCTGAATTGAAGTTTTTCAAGGCTTTTGTCTTAAAGATTTCCTTCTTAATAAAAGATAGAAGAGAAGCTGAAAAGTGTCTCTGTGAGCAGCTGGTCAGAGCAGCTCCTCACACATCTGCTCTGCTAAACGCTCCCTATTACAAGTGCTCAGAAACATCCATCAAGCTCCTGGCCTAAAGACCAGACAGAGAGGAGTGGTAAAAAAGGGAGGAAAGCAGTAACACAGTGTTATAGAAATATGGGGAGTAGGAAATATGTTGAATGGGACATAAGGAGACAAGTTTCCTCACATTTTTTGCCCTTTTTCCTCATCGTAGTTTCTTTGTTTAGTTAGCAACACATTTAATCTCTCCCAGTCTTTAGGCTCTTACAGCCATGATTGTCTTCCGACAGGAAACAAAGGCGCCCGTTCAATAATTTTGCCTCCATCATCCACATCCTGCGATAATATTTGCCCAGGGCCGCCAACTGAAGTGATGAGAGCCAGGACAATGCCTCGGCTTCTGAATCATCTCATCTGTTCTGCTCTGTCAAGGTCTGTACTCTCAGTGACACTGTGGCTATTCATCACCGCTCACTCACTCACACACAGGCACACACTTACACATTTACATGCACGCACACATGAGAGAGATAAAAATATTAATCTTCTAAGTGAGACCCTCCTCTTAAAGCTGCTGTTACAGACAGCAGTTCTCACAAGAATAACCAAACCGTATTTATGTGTGATGTCAGGGGGGTGTTTTGTTAGCCGATGGTTATGCCAATTACAATCCTGACAGGGTGAGTTAAAGCCTGTTACAATTTCAGCACTACAGAGCCGTGCTTTAATGGGTGGTTATGAGTGTTTTGTGCAACTGCAATAGAAAGCAGGCAGCACATATTCCTGCTAAATCATGTTACTCTCCAGATCTACAGGTATAGGAAGATGTAGAAACCTACCAGCAAAAAGAGTGAAGAGGCAACAGGTAGCAAATCGAAACTAAATTAATGGGATACTCCAGCTTTAAATTAATTTAGGGTCAAACACACCGTAACACAGAATAAGACACCCCGTCGAGAGATGAATGTTACTTCTCTAGTAATACCAACTTTAGTAACGACTGCACGATAGCAATACACAGGAGTCTGAGGAGCCACACACAAACCTCAACCTCAAGGAAGAACATTTATGATCATTTCTTCATCATTTCCTTGAAGTAATAATCGTCATATTAGTCTTTTTGCACTGCAGATGCAGTAGGTCTTCTGCCTTAACATTTCGGTCTGATTGCATTTCCATGAAGTAATCATCATAAATGTTCTTCCTTGAGCTGCGTCACCCCTCAGCGGTCCGTAATGGACTGGCCCAAGGTCCCGCTACAAACAAGCAGCTCCTGGAAGAGAGTAGGTGAGTTGTGTTTAGTCTCTTTGCTAAAAAAATTAGGCAAAGCTAAAAAGATGTTTGATGGCTAGTACTATGACTGGGACCCTATATGTACTGTTGATGAAGTTAGGTGCTGTTCTGAGCATTATTTGTGGCTATAGAGTTTTGGTTGACATTTGTTTATGGCTCCTTAGACCGCTGTGTATTGCTATCGTGCGGTCATTACTTAAGTTGGCATAACTAGAGAAGCAAGCAGTCGGCAACAGTCATCTCTTGAGGGGGTGTCTAACTCTGTGTTACGGTGTGTTTGACCCTAATTTAATTTTACGCTGGAATATCCCTTTAATAATGTCTTCTGATGTTTTTCTACTTAATAAAAACTGAACAGATTTCAGTGCAGCAAAATGACATCAGCTCTGGTAATTCCATTGTAAATTATCTTTCATGAGTATGCTATTTTTATTGGCTTAAATGATGAAGTAGTTAGTCCCATGACAAGAAGATTCCTGATATAAATGCATGCTCCCCCAGTCACGTGTTATAGTCCAAAGATGTGCAGTTTAGATGAATCTGGGACTGAAAATTGGCCATAATTGTGAGTATGACTGGTTGTTTGTCTACATATGTCAGATCTATAATTGACTGATGACAGCCCACTGATGTACCTCACCTCCTGTCCAATGACAGCTGAGAT